CCCTACTCCTGCCCGCCATGCGCAGGTACAGGTCAGGGAGTCCTACGGCTCAGGCAAAGGCGAATGGCGGCGCCATACCTGATCCCTTCGCCATGATCCGCGCCTACGAATCCGACTCCAATCCTACAAAACCGATCCGTCCCTCCCCCCTCACCGCTTCTACCATACAGGGCCTGCCTTTGGACCTGCTCGATCGGTTGCGCTCCTTCCCTCTCTTCGTGTCCGCCCCGGAAGCCTTCCTCGCCGCTATCGGTACCCACCTCCGACCTCACGTCTACAGCCAGAACGACTACATCCTCACCGAGGGCGACCATGCAAAGGCCATGTACTGGGTCGTCCGCGGGGCCGTCCGCGTCACCTCGAGGGACGGCGAGAGCACCTACGCGGAGCTCAAGCCGGGTGCCTTCTTCGGCGAGATTGGCATCCTCATGGACATTCCCCGCACCGCCACCATCATCGCGAGCATGAAGTCATTGATAGTCCGCCTGAACAAGGAGGACCTCAAGAAGGAGTTACCAAACTTCCCCGCCGTCGAGCGTGCCATCCGCGAGGAGGCCAAGGAGCGCCTGTCCATCCTCGAGCGCAAGAAGAGGGAGATTGGATTCTCCGCCTACAAGAAGCCCATCATCGCCCTCGTCTCCCGCAACGGCAAGCGCACACGCGACCGCGTCGACGGGAGCGTGGAGACAGGCGACACCGGCGCCGTCGTCCGAGGCGGCGACGTCGTCAGTGCGTACAAGAAGAGGAAATCCCCCAGCCCAGGCCTGGCCGAGGCCGCTGCATTGAGCGCTTTCGGAAGTGGGAGCGTCAACATAAGACACCTCCTCAAAGAGCTTCCCCTCTTCTCCAGCCTGCCCGACGACATCCTCCACTTCATTGGCTTGAACGCAACTCCGCGCTCTTTTCCTCCCTTCACCGACATAATACAGCAGGGCACCCAGGGTCGCGATGTCTACTTCATCGTCCGGGGAGAGGTCGAGGTGGTCAGCACCAAGGCGGAAGAGAACGGCCACCTCGCGAGCCGTAGGAAATCGATCGCTGCGGGCGAGAACAACTTTCCGCAGCAGGTCGTGGCTCGCCTCCGGGCGGGGCAATATTTCGGCGAAGTCGTGAGCCTGTCACTAGCACCCCGCCGGACGGCCACCGTCCGCTCGATATCGTCCGTCGAGTGCTTGATGATCGGCGGAGACGTCCTCAACGAGCTATGGAACCGTTGCTCCGCAGACGTCCGCAACCAGGTCGAATCGACCGCCAAAGAACGACTGAAAACTTCCAAGGATTCGGACGTCGAGATGAAGGATGCGACGCAGGACCCGCCCAAGATAGATGGCTTGGTGATTGCGGATCTGATCATGCCTCGCACGCCCACGAAGAAGAAAGTGCCCACCGTCACGTTCGAGGATCTTCCCGCCGCGATAGACAGTCCCATGACCCCTTCTCGGCGGGACGAGAAGATGATGGAGCCATACGACCCTGATCCGTTCCTAAATGTAGACCTCGACAATGTGCGGTCGAGATCCAGACGTGGTTCTCTCGCGCCTCCTCCGCCCGAATCCCCCACCAGCCCCTCCAGCGACCCCTTCTCCAAATCGCCGTCTCCCAGCGGGACGCCGCTATCGCCTTCCCCCTACCCCAAGCATGCATCGACCCCTCCCGAACCCACGTTTCCGATCAAGAAGCCCAGAATAGTGCGCCGCCCGAGCCGGCACGGCCAGGGCGTCCTCCCGGATTCCCTGTTGGTCAGGATCTTCAAGAGTTTAGACGTGTATGAACTGATGCAGATGCGTCAGATATCAATGCATTGGCTCAAGATCATAACGACGTCTCCTGACATCTTGCACACCCTCGACCTGACCAAATACAATCGCAGAGTGACAGACCGCGCCCTGGTGGACATCATATGTCCATTCGTCGGTACTCGTCCGACGCTGGTCGACGTCAGCAATTGCTTCCACGTCACGGACGAGGGATTTGCTGCGCTCGCCAACACCTGCGGACCCAATGCAAAGGTGTGGCGGATGAAGAGCGTGTGGGACATTACCGGGCCTGCCGTGCTCGAGATGGTGCAGAAGGCTAAGGGACTCGAAGAGGTGGACCTCAGCAACTGCAGAAAAGTGGGAGATAACCTCCTTGCACGCGTCATAGGATGGGTGGTGCCTGAGTTGCCCCCCGCCATGGCGATGCAGCAGGCACAGATGAGCAGCCGCCGTTCTTTTGGACAGCAGATGGTCGGACCCAAAGGCCAACCAATCCCCCAGCCTCTGCCGCCTGGGACCGTGGTGGGCTGTCCCAAGCTGAGACGATTGACTCTGAGCTATTGCAAGCACATCACAGACCGATCCATGGCGCATATTGCCGTGCATGCGGCTTCGAGAGTGGAGCAACTGGACCTCACAAGGTGTACGACGATCACGGATGTTGGATTCCAACACTGGAGCGTGTATTCCTTCCCTCGGCTGACGAAACTCTGCCTCGCGGATTGCACCTATCTGACGGACAACGCAATCGTGTATCTGACCAATGCGGCGAAGAGCCTGCGGGAATTGGACCTGGTGAGTTTATATCCATTTTTAAGGCCTTCAGCCAAGGCAGTAATAGTGACCGGACGCTAATGACCATTCTAGTCGTTCTGCTGTGCTCTCTCTGACACAGCGACGGAGGTGCTTGCTCTTGGACTGCCCAATCTGACCCATTTGAATCTCGCATTTTGCGGATCGGCCGTCTCGGACACCTCGCTGCGCTGCATCTCCCTCCACCTTCTCGAATTGAAGCAATTATCCGTTCGCGGCTGTGTTCGTGTGACGGGCACCGGCGTCGAGGCTGTAGTAGAGGGCTGCAGAGACCTGGAGCTGTTCGACGTTAGCCAATGCAAGAACCTGAGCAGATGGCTAGAAGCCGGAGGCGTCGAAATTGTACGAAGCCGCGGGCGGAAGATCAAGTTCGAGACCGTTACTGATGGAAAATGGCGAACCGCCAAAAAGAACTAGGCCGCTTTGCCTAGCATGTACGACGATATGATGAACGACACAAAAACCAACGGAGAGATGTGGACGAAATAGATTCCGGAAAGAGTATCCAAGCTTCCGACGCCATCTTGTATATCATTTACCAGGCGTCCCTGCTGCATCTAAGAGGCAAAGAAATCTGGCGTATGGGAAAGATATATAAATATTTTGTGCATACAACGCGGGCCATTCTTCTTGATTCGTTTTTTTTTTTTATTTACCGGAGAAAGGGCCATATACCCATTTTGCTTTTTTGCAAAGATGCAGGGAAAAGGGGACGAGGTCTTTTCGTCACCCCTCCGCAATGTTTCTCGACTTTTTTGTTTCTGCAGATGTTTTCCGAGAAGGGACTTTTTCCTCGAGGGTGCAGCCAGCCAGCCAATCACACGTCATTTTCACCACCACCACCACCACCACCACCACCACCACCACCGTGCTCATGATCATGATCACCATCTTCACCAACGCCATGTATCAACATTTTACTCCGCTCACATTTACTTTATTCTTGGGAAATGTGCCATTCTTGATCGATGATACCATACAATTACCTCGTCCGCCATACCGACCATCTGCCATCTGCGCCCCCGGAGAGCCATCTACTCGCGCTTCTATCCGTCTATCTACCCACTTCCATACCTGTCTGCCTACCCATCTCCGCCCTTATAGTGGTTGTCCTCGTCGTAACAGGCCAGCAAGGAAGCAGCCAACCCTCTGAGGCAAACCCCTATTCTGTCTGTCACTACCCACAACAACATACCTCGTACGAAAACAGGGGGCAAAGGCAAGGCACGTAGGGGAATGAGATGAATAAGGGAAAAGGGACATGGGTTTGAAGAAAAGTGGCTTTACATGTCATGGAAAAAGACGTACGGGAAAAAAATAAGACGAAGAAGGATGTGATTGACTGGTCAGAGGCTATCTCATGCAAAGACAAACGGCCTTTTGAATCGTGTACATATTGAGATTAGAGGATGGCGAGGGGATGGAGATGCGGCGAGAACGAATGAAAAGCGGGAAACGAACGTTAAATGTTGAAAAAAAAAAAAATTGTATAGAGCAATTCCAAGAAAAAGAATTATAGACAATGTATCACCATTACCAAGAAGTTAGTTTTTCCTTCTTTGCATGGGACGCGTGAGAAAGTGGGAGGGGGGTGGGGTATCAACTTTTATTGCTCCATTATTGCACAACGTATATATCTCCCAAAAAGGTATCAATCATCTATCTCCTCCGTTTTCCCTTATCTCCTTTTGTACGATTTCACGAAAACCTATTCCCACACCCCTTAACCACGCCGTCCAAGATCCCCCGCATCCGCTTACACCCCTCAACCCCCACCGCCAGCATCCCCTCCACCCTCGCGACATTAACCCTACTCTCACACATCAGCACCGCGACCTTGTCACTCGCCCCGAGCGTCGCAACAGTCAAGAACGGGAGTTCCTGCTCCTCGAGGAGATTCAGGTCGAGTAGTGGATCACCGCCGCTGTCATCAGTCGTGGTGGTGGACGACGTGGACGCAGCGGTGCACGCGACGAGGTAGTCTGACATCGGGACTCCTGCGTCGATGAGCGCGAGCGTGGACGCGTTGATGCACGCCGCTAGCAGGGAGCCGTCCTGCGAGAGGACGTTGAGGTGCAGCGTTATGGTGGAGTGGGGGTAGAGGTGCGTTAGGAGTGTCGAGGCGAAGGCGCGGGAGAGGGTGTGCTGGAGCTCTTGGATGCGTCTGTTCGTTTTTGTTAGATAGGTACGTGGGTGGGTAAGAAGGTGAGGGTAGGGTAGGGTAGGTTAGGTTGACTTACTTATCGCCTCCGGCCCTCCTCTTCCGCCTCTCCACGCCGCTGAAGCCCGCGAATCCGATCTCGACTTCCACTCGGGCCTCGTTGTCTTTGCCTCCTCGTTGACCCGGTTGCTGCTGCGTTCGTCCGCCCTCCGCGGGGCCCGTCACCGTGCAGAGAACCTTCGTGTTGCCCATTTCCAGGTAGGAGGACCCGTCCGCGGCGGCCTGCGTGCTGATTTGCGCGTGGATCCGGCGCAGCTCGTTCCAGCGCCGGCCGTCGAGGCGGAGGAGCGCGAGGGAGTATGTGCTGGTGTCGAGGGGCATTGTGTGTTTCTTTCTCTTTTGTTTGAAGTTTTGGGGGTTTGGATGTGTTTTCTTGGGTGTTAGCACCCTTGGTGTTTGTCCGTTTTCCTCCCCGTGCAATGGGCGTGCGTGTGTTATGGTATGCGGTGATTGTCTAAGAAACTATGGATGCGCGTATGTGTCGCTGTGAGTGAGCGGTCGTCCAATTGCTCGGTGCGCGCGGGTGCAGAGATGTGGTGAATGTCGGAGGTTTCGTCGACGGATGGTTAACGAGACAAGCTTTTGGGAGGAATAACTTCTGGGATCGAAGTTGGTCTGTGCATAGAGATCTGCGTCGACGTTGGAAATCGGGCCGTCGCGTAGGTGAGCTCCCCGCCCTATCGGATGGGTGGGAGCACGTGAGAGCGCGTTAGCGTGATCTGGAGATGTTGGGTTCTTTTTATCTCGATAGAGGTTGCTACATGCTGACCCTATGGATACCTTATGATCTATATACATGTATCATTTAATTAACTGATAATTAGACATTCTCGCAAAATCCAACTTGTTGCTACGCCCTGACGACGGTTAAGCCTGGGTACCTGATATTGCTAATACCTTTTATACCTGAGATTGATAACACCTTATGTTCACACCCCGCCACCTGGTTTGTATAAAGGGATTGCTGAGCCGAATTTGAGTAACGAGACCGAGGTCGAGGTAGTCGGGATTTCCCTGTGCTGCTGAACTGCGCGAACATTCCCCTTGCCATTGCAGTTCTAGCGCCTCGAGGCTTTCTTCTCCTGCTCCGCATCCCATCTCCTCTGACAGTCCTCCCGATACCGATTCATGAGAGCTCGATATTCTCGATCCGTGGCTTCTCTGAACCTCTTGTGCGCTTCTGAAGTAGAAGGCGAAGACGCGGAGTAAAGCGGCGAAAGTAAGGACAAGAAGTCAGGTTCGTCTTGCGATGTGTTTGTTTGAGAATGTGATACACGCGTATCTTGCTCGCTGTGTGCTTCAACACCTTGCTGCAGCCGTCGATGCTTGTGACTGGCATTCTGGCGTCCAACCCGACATTCTTCACAGCGATTTACCTCTCCCTTATCTGCTTGCTGTACGATGCTCTGGCACCCTGTCTCGATGCATTGGTCCTCTTTTTCCAATCTTTTCCTCTGATCTATCTTCTTTAACCGGCTGAAGCGATCATACTTCGAGCGTCGAGCACGGCATTTCTCGCACCGAGTTCTGTCGCGTTCCTCAACTCTATTTCGACAGTCCACGCACAAGCCCTGCTGTTTTCTACGTGCTCTTTTGTCCTTCAAATAGGAAAGACGGCGAAGTCCAGAATCACAGCGGTCCGCATTGCCTGGTCCCTTCTGGCAGCCAGCCTCTGACAAGTCAGACTCTACCGGAGGCATCGTCTTGGGAGGAAGGCGTTTTCGACATGAACGGCGGAGAGTTGGCGGAGGATTCGACGTCATTTGCGGATGATTCCCTCAGTAGAGACAATGCATTCGGTGGGCGGCCGGTAGAAGGTTGTGAGTGTCGTTGGTGGAAGGTCGTGAATGTTGCCTGCAGAGGGATTCTTTCCCAGATTTCAACTACCTAGCAAGTCACGACGTCCTTCAAAAAAAGCAAAAAGCAAAAAGCAAAAAGCTAAACAAAGAAAACAAAAACAAAGCACGGAACAGTTGGAGGATATAAGACGAAATTATCATAGTGGTTAAACTGCTGTCTGCCTTCTACGATTCCTTGATTGCCCTTCGCGCACTCGATTTCACAATTTCTCGACTGCTCTCGCTTCCTCTAAACCTCGAAGTTGACCTTCGGCCTTTAACTTGATATAAATCAGTAAATAGTGTGCTGCTTCTAGGTCATGGTTACCTTGGGTGGTGGTGTTAGATAATCGCATCCTTGGCAGAATCTCCCAACCAATCATCGCGTGTTTTGGGTTACAGATGCGCCTTGTGGATTCTGTTGTGATCCCGAACTTGTCAACCTAGCTCAAGGTACTCGAAGAAGAGGAAGGGAAGGGTGCTCACAGTTTTGGCCAACATGGATAAATATCACTCTGTTGATACGTGGTAATGGGATAACAGATTCTTTGACTCCTGAATTACTTGTGGAGGAGGAAGTGACCCCCACCCCCATCCAGTCTCCAATATCTTGATGCATTGCCACCGCGACGTCGCAACCCACGGTCTCCAAGACAGAAACAATCAGCCACTATGTCCTTTCGGAGCAGACACGAGCAATCAGACAGCAAGACTAGGCGCATTCTTGCTGAGGATGAAAGCAGCAGTGATGACGACCTCGACATTGTAGGCACCGCGCGCAAGGGCCTAAACATCTCGCAGTACATCGATGCACTCGCATCGCAATCCCAACCGCAACCATCAAGGAAAAACTCACTACGCAAAAATGACGGAGATTCCGACAACGCTCCTCGTTCCTCACCACCACCCTGTTCACCAAAGCGGGAGGACGGTCGCGCAGGCAACAATGGTTCCAGGTCCGTCCCGTTTGTGATAGATTCAGAAACGGACGTCGAAATCGACGAGGATGCCGGCTCTGCCTCGAACGATCCCGGCCAGGAATCCGACATCGACCTCCTTGGCGAAGACCCTGAAGCCACGTACCGCCAGTACCAGGAGAGCAAGAAGCTCAAGCGGAAGCGCGTGGCCGCCGAGACGAAGCGGATCCGGACGTCGAAGAAGTCTCGAGCAGCTGCTGCCACCAGCGTCGTCGGCAGGAAGCCGAGGAAGAAACTGGAAATAAACCCTCACAAGAACGACACCATCCGCGATGTCCTCGATAGCTACCGTGCTGCGTCTGATTCCGAGCAGGAGGAGACGTACTTGGATGATCCGATTCCCGAGTACATCGAGTCTCGGAAACGAAAGATGAAGAAACTTCATGAAGCAGGGCTGCGGTACCCGCCTAGCTACGACGGCATTTATTTCAGTGACTCGGACGGCGAGCAGAAGCCGGTCCTGGACAAGGCAGTGAAGCCGCAGAGACCGAAGAAGAGCATACAGCTGACCGAGTCCGGGGGCATCATCCCGGCTCCCATTGCGCGCTGGTTGCGAGACTATCAAATTGATGGCGTCCGATTCCTCCACGAAAGATTCGTTCGCCAGACGGGTGCGCTTCTAGGCGATGATATGGGCCTGGGTAAAACTATCCAGGTCATCGCTTTTCTTACCGCTGCGTTCGGGAAGACGGCAACATCACGCGACAAGAAGCGCCTTCGCAAGATGCGGCGAGCGGCGGATGTCCCGTGGTACCCCCGGATCCTGATTGTCTGTCCAGGGACCCTCATGCACAATTGGCAGGATGAAATGGACAGGTGGGGTTGGTGGATCGTAGACAAGTATCACGGCCCACCCGCCGAGAGGAGGGGAGTCCTCAACGCCGCGAGAAAGGGAATGTGTGAGGTCATGATCACGACCTATGTCACGTATCAAAAGAATGAAGGGGAAATCAATACAGTAGACTGGGACTGCGTGATAGCCGATGAGTGTCACCAGATCAAGAACAAGCATGCTGCCGTGACGAAGGCCATGAACAAGATCAATGCACTTTGCAGGATAGGTCTCACGGGTACAGCGATACAGAACAAATACGAAGAACTATGGAACTTGCTCAATTGGGTCCGACCGGGAGAATATGGCTCCTACCAGCAGTGGAAGCACTCCATCAGCGTCCCACTGAAGGTCGGACAAGCCCATGACGCTACCAATGCGCAGCTTGCAGACGCGCGCGGGAAAGCGCAGGAATTAGTGACAAAGATACTGCCAGACGTGTTCCTACGCCGCATGAAGACTCTCATCGCCGATCAGCTTCCTAAGAAGAGCGATCGCGTCGTCTTCTGCCAGCTCACGGACACCCAAGCGAATGCGTATCGTACATTCATCGAGAGCGAGCGCGTGGATGCCATCCGTCGAGCAAAAGAGCCTTGTGAATGCGAAAGTGGTAAATCCCGAGGATGGTGTTGCCATGTTACCGTCAGTGGAGGCGGTAAATGGATCAACTACATGTTCCCTTCTATGATGACATTACAGAAGCTAGCGAACCATCTCGCCCTACTTCTCCCACACACGTCTGACCTCGCGGAGAAGCAAGCCAAGGATCTCGACAACCTGCAAATCTGCTGCCCCGACGAATGGAAATATTATTTCCGCATGCGAGACAAAATCTTCGATCAATCCCAACGAGAGTTCTGTGGGAAATGGAAGGTTCTGAAGCGGCTTCTCGGCTTCTGGCAGGTCAATGGCGATAAAGTTCTAATCTTCTCACACTCGGTGCGCCTGCTTCGGCTGCTCAAAACACTATTCGATGTCGATGGCCACAACTACAACTGGTCCTACCTTGACGGAAGCATGAAGCTCGAAGACCGCGCCAAAGCTGTCGCAGACTTCAATTCAGATGAAAAACAATTCGTATTCCTCATCAGCACCAAGGCAGGCGGCGTTGGACTGAACATTACCTCCGCCAACAAGGTGGTGGTAGTCGATCCGAATTGGAATCCAGCATATGACCTCCAGGCCCAGGATCGCGCATACCGCATAGGCCAGACGCGGGATGTTGAAGTGTTTCGCCTTGTTTCGTCCGGCACTATCGAAGAGATCATGTACGCCCGCCAGATCTACAAGCAACAGCAGGCCAACATCGGCTACACGGCTTCCGAAGAACGTCGCTACTTCAAAGGCGTCATGGATCATTCTGGGAAGGTGGGAGAGCTCTTCGGACTTCAAAATCTCTTCAGCTTTGAAGAGAATGGGCTTCTGCTGCGAGACATCGTTCATAAGACGAACGTTGCCGAGACACGAGCCGGAGTCAACGCAATCGGATTCACACCAGAAGCCGACAGCGATCTGGATGACGAGGAAGAAGAGAGCATCCTCTCAGATAAATCATTAGGCATCACAGACGACGACGGCATTAGCGAGAAACAAATGAAGAAATTTGCCGATCGCCTCGTCAACGGATCCGATACAGCTGACACTACCACCAAAAAGACAACCGCACGTCGCAAAGGCCTAGACGCCGTCAACGCAATACTAGCCAAAGCGGGCGTGCAGTACACGCACGAGAACTCTGAAGTCATCGGCCACAGCAAGATCGAAGCCGAGCTGGGCAAGATCGCCAAGGAGCATCGAAACGACGTAGACCTCGCCCAACGCCGTGTCTTCCAGTCGCAATCCCAAAACCCGGCCTCCCATCTATCCGCGCATTCGGACGGGAACGACGAAGACAGCGAAGACGACGCCAACGAAGATGACCACGACCACGACGACAATGCCGATGTTAGCTTCATCGGCTCGACGTCGAAGGGCGGGAGGCCGGAGTACAAAATCAACTACAAGTACAGGCCCGACGAACGGATCCGCAGGCGCCAGTTGTGCAGCATGGCCGAGATGATGGGGTTCTCCGACCCCGTGGAGTTTGCGCTGCTCGTCGAGAACTGCACGCAGGAGGAGAGGAGGAGGATGCTGGAGAAGTTCTATCGGGGCAGGAGGCGCGAGCTGTGGGGTGAACTCACTTGATGGTTTCTCGTTGAGGATGTTTTGTGGTGCCTTCTGGTGGGGTAAACAAAATCAATTACTGCTTGCCAGAATCAAATGAGAACGAATTTCACGGGTTGTCGGTTCGTTCTTCATGTGCACATGTACACAGTTGAACGGCCCTTGACATATTTGTATCTTGGAACCAATTCCATATCATTGCTGTACAAGCAATACTATGGCACCCAAAGTCTTCGATACTAACTGATCTGTTCATTACTTCTCTTTTCTGCTGTGGAAAAACAAACGTGGGAATGATATCATAACGAGCTACATGACATGATAATTGGTGCCGTAGTAAGTATTATCAAGTGGGCTATTTTGATCATTCATCTTCTCCGCCAATGAATCTCATGATTTCAAAATCGGGCTAGTAATGTACTCGATTTCTGTGATACTTATAGTTATGCTAACGCTAAGAATTGCATGTTGTTGCCTCCATTCCGGGGATGAGAGTAATGTATAAACAGCTATATAATACCTCTGCCGTTGGGCTTTTGTTCGGCATCTTGGTTCCTGCATGAGTTGAACCTTAGATAGGAAACCTCTGCTCCGATCTTGGACATGTGGGAAGTTTAGTTGACCCTCAGCACAACGACCGAGTTCACCACCTTCGTCCAGGGATGCGCGACAAGCAGCGTCGTGAGACCTATCCGCTGCAAATCTTCAGAGAGCTCCAGTACCTGTAAACGTAACCCAAAATTAGCAATGTGCGCCACTCAAGCAAGCGCATAGAAGAATAAAAATGACAAAACTCACAGGATACAACACCCCCCTCATCCCCTGCGCACTCCTCACCACAAGCAGCGTCCCCGGCTCCAACTTCCTAACAAGACTCTCCATAATCGTCATCTTACTCGGAGTATCCATACCCACGAGCGCAGCCAGAAACACGACGTGGAAATCCCTCCACCTCGTCGCACCCTCGCCGCCCATCTCTTCACTGACGTCCTCGCAGGCGAACGTCATGCGTCCGCCGTACCCGCACTTCTCAGACAGCTCGCGGCTCACGCGCAGGGCGCCGGCGTCGCGGTCGATGTTGTGCACGACGGCGTCGGGGTAGCGGTCGAGCATGCAGAAGGAGGTCAGGGGCATGGGACCGGAGCCGACGAAGGCGAGTTTGCAGGGGGAGGGGCGGCAGTCGGCGCCGCAGGTTGGGAGGAAGGCTTCGAGGACGGAGCACTCGAGGCGGGAGAGGTCGAGGTAGTTGTCGAAGTAGGGGAAGGAGTGGAGGAGGGTGCGGGGGGTTGTTGTCGTCGTTGTGCCGTTTTCTGTTCGGGGTTAGGAGAGTTGAGAATGTTCGTGGGGTGTCTTTTGGTTGAGGTAGTCTTACTTGATGATGCAGCTGCGGACGCAAGTATACGGTTTGCCCAGTACTTTTCTAGCTCTCCTTCTGCTGCAGCGCACAGAGGTCGAAGAGAAAGACAAAGTTCGTTGGCTTCGGGAGAAGAGAGTGTTTTGGCAATAAAGTCATCGCTGTAGGGCTGTATGCAGAGGTGTACAAGTCTTGTCAGGAGAGCATCGATCTCTTTCCCAGGCGCCAAACTGGACAGCGCCTGTACTTCATGATATATCCTTCGAACCTCATCAATCAGGCCCGTGGGTGTTGACGGGATTGAGGCTTGGGTGGCCATGTCTACACCTTTTACTGCTTGTGGCGTTGGGTTATGCTCAAATTCAAGCATCGAGTCAGGTGTAGATAAAGACAGTTTTGATAAAGGGCATTGGGCATGAGTGAATGTTTGCGACTTCTTTACACCCGGCATGGTTATGTGTGGCAGAGATCGTGTAGGCACACCCATTTTTGTGAAGGAGGATTATGACAGACAAGAAGGAATCGAGGGACAGTTGCTTGTTAATATACAAACGAGCTGGATTGGAACTGTGGGGTAAAAAGTGACACAACAATCACAAAAAGCAATTCCGAGCTCATGCTTGACATAAAATCCTTGCTGCATTCTGGAAGTGAAGTGCATCGTTGGGCTGTAATTCCATACACATGGTTGGCTCGATTGACTTGGAGCACCGTGAGCACCGTGTTGGACAACGAGTGGGGTGTGGAAAGAAAAATGCAAGAAAGCGGACTCCATGTCCGTTTGACAATCAACAAAAGTCCAGGGTTGCAACTGATATGTGTTGTAAACCGAGCTCAATTGCAGGGTTCAACTGTATATTCATGGCTCAGAACCTTGTATGCTTTGGGTAAGAGGTCACTCTAGGGCCCGGCACCGGTCATCGGCCAATCCACACAAGCATCGAACCGTCCGTTTGATAGACCCTATTATGCATTGGACACAAGGTAGAAGGGCACGCTATGGCTTCTCTTTCCTTTAAACTGCACGCCATCTCTGCGGGTACGGCGCGTGTCATCCTGTCTTTGGATATCTTCGCCCCACGGCCGTTCACATGGGGGTGGGCCCCGTGACAATCGCCCATATCCGTTCACCCACTCTCAGAGGACCCGTGAGGCGGAAGATCTTCAGCTTCAGGGCGCTTGTACACTCTCTTCCCAGCCACCCACGTCTCTTTTACTGTTACCTTCCGTAATGACTCCACGTCCGTGGTGTCTAGTGGCTCGTCGAGTACCACCCAGTCCGCGTAGGCTCCCGTCTGTATGACACCTGCTTTACCTTCAAGGAAAGAAGCGTACGCGGGGTTCGCAGTGAAACCTATGAGAGCTTGCTGGAGCGTGAGAGTCTCCGCGGGATACCATCCATCTGTACCACCTGTCGAATTGAGCCCTGTGTGCGGGCTTCGCCGCGTCACTGCTGCGTAAATGCCTTCAAAGACGTTTGCAGGCTCAACAGGAAAGTCACTGCCAAGTACGGGATTCAACTTAAGAAGGCTACGCATAAGATATGCTTCTTCCTTCGTTCGCTTTTTACCCAGTCGAGACTCCGCATACGGCATGTCTGAGGTTGCGTGTGTAGGCTGGATAGATGGAATAATACCGAACTCGAACATGCGAATTTGGTCGTCGGGATGAATGATCTGAGAATGTTCGATGCGGAATCGATTTTGCTTTTGGCATTGGCGGGGGGAAATTTCGGGGCATAGAAGATTCAGAGTTCCTAAAAAGGCGTCGATGGCGTTTCTATTGGCAAGGTCGCCGATCGCGTGGATGTTAACTTGGAATCCTGCAGTGGCCCAGTCTTTGGTGACATCTGATAGCGTACTCGCATTGACAAGCAGTGATCCGGACGATTCTGGCTTGTCACGGTACGGCTCGATCATAGCACTGCCCCAGCTTCCAAGAGCACCATCTGAAGAGTGTTAGCTTTGGTTACAGTAACGGGGATGTTCTGTCGTGGGACGAGACATGCCTCCAAATAGCTTTACGCTACGCGCATGCAATTTTCCATTCGGTGTGCTGAACCTTCGCGCCTCATCTGGGCAGAAAGTATTCCTCGTTCCACACTCGAGCATGGCATAGACACGAACATTCCAGTCCTCGTCGTTAACCAATTGCTCGTAGAGGTTGATATCAGCAGACAGTACACCAGCATCGTGCATCCCTACAATACCAAGTTTGTTAAGCTCCTCCATTGCATCCTTGATGAATTTGGTTTTTGTTTCTTTGTTTGGCCTGGGATAGTAGGGCATTACAATGTCCATGGCGTTGTCGCAGAACACTCCCTTTTCGGGGATCTCGCCGCCAGGTACCTGAGGAAGCGGAGATGGGAGTAGATCTAAAACCTTTTGGGAAACCCAGATGCAATGGATGTCAACGCGGTCTAGCATTACGTACTGATCCTTGAAGTCATCTCCGATTTCAAGATCAGACTTTGAATTGTTAGTAAAGCTCCAACCTGCGCCCCAAGGTTTCTCCAGAAACATTCCAATATACAAAGCACTTAAGAGCAAGTCTGAGAAACAGGAGATTTCTTGAACCTACCGCGACTGGATAGCGGCCATCGAACTTGGCCTGATCCCATCCAACACCTCTGACCCACTGTTGACTGGTTCCCAGCTCAGGCCGACTGTTCTTATAATGCACCAACCTCTGCTGCACCTCGTCCATGGACTCCGCACCAAAGAGATTGACCGAGTTAAGCAACTCTCCGTACTGGATTAGATGACCATGTCCATCCCAGAGACCAGGTATCACGTGACCAGTTTGACCATTCACCGCATCAATAGCAGTGGTCTTATCGCTATACACCTTGGTAAACTTACCTCCAGAAACGGTGAAGCACTCGGCCTGTGGTTGGGAGGAGCTTAGAGTCTTGATTGAGGCATAGCAATGTGTTTCATCGATCAGACCCTGTAATATACCCAATGTCAGAAATTCTGGCAACGCGGTCGCGATGGTCGCGAAACCGAGTTGATAAACGATAGCAGCGAGGATAAGAGGGACCGAAATCCACACCAGGTTGGTGATCGAAGGCATGCCGCCTGGATTATGATTCCCTCAACGACAATGGCCGTGATGATCGATGGCAGTGTAAGAGAATGAGAGAATTTGCTTCTTTTAACGCGATTGTGTATTTCATCAGGTGCAGGAAGATTTCGATGACTGCCCAGGCGTGTCAGGAACAATGAGGTGTTGATTCGTGTGTGCTACCACGGCCAGATCGAGGCTATACCTATTCTGGAAGGATCCCGTTCATCATATAAGCATCCATTCAGTTTCGTCTGATTGTCTGTCTTTCTCTCTGAATGCCATCTTGAATATATGGCTGCGACGGATTCGGCTTCTGTGTTTTGAATCATTGATTGACTTTATGATATGTAACTCTTCATGTTGGGATTGACATCTTCATCTGAAGACCTTGACTAGCAAATGGCGGTGAACAAGACTGGTAGCTGAGTCCATCTCCAGCCGTCGCTGTTAACCTTTCAGCGGCGTCTCACATTCAAAGACAGAAACCGAGTTTACAGAGAGAATCAGACCTTGGTCAACGTCTTTCTTTCCCCTCCTGTGCCAGGACGCAACCTTCGACTTGGCGGAGATGGACATTGGACGAAAGGCCCGGTGGGCCTGACAAGAGCCTCTCGGCAGCTTATTGGGCATAGTGTGGGGGCCGTGTATGGACAAGGTCGACAAGCTTTAAAATGTTTGCCATCCGCTCCGACTTCACGTGCGACTTTGAGCTTGTTACGAACCGTTTATCGTGTTCGCCGGCCTGTAGAAGTTGAAGAAGGAACATCTCTCGCACCGTGGGACGGATGGCAATTACCGTGGAGGTGCTTCAGAAGCAGCTAGAAACGCTACAACGCTCGCATGACGCGCTCTTGAAGAGCATCACCGATTCCAATGGATCTTTCGGCCCTTCCAACGACCGGCTGAGACGGAACACCCAGGACGGCCACAATGGCGAAGGCAATCCCGTCTTTGCCGACAATTCGACTCTTTCCGACGACAGCAGCGATGAGGAGGATGATTACTTTGTGCAATCCGAGTTACCGTCGCAATCTTATGATCATGAGCATCTACGCGAGCATTTAAAGAAACATGATTGGGACGAGCATGGACGAGAGATCTTAGCTGGAGTTATGAGCGAGCGTGGCCGACTAAAGCAACCTAATCTGTTTCCTACGAGCCGGGATCCGGCCGATGATAGAGGCCATTATCCGCATTTCCAGTAGGCCTTCTCTAGCAAGAAAACGTCGTTGCTTGCTTACCATAGTTAGGGTTTATGATGTGGGCCCAGATGGAGAAGCCCAGCTTATCGAGTCCAGCGGCAAGGACAATAAGATGTCCAGGGCCAATGAGATATGGCATTCCATCAAGGTCGGTGTGAATACCATACCCGTTACCGTAATATCAACTGAACCGTTCAGGACATCGCTGTAAACAAAGCTCAATCAGGAAAGACCGTTGTCGGACGTATCACGTGGGTTTCAAACAGAGACCAATGATCATATACCATTCTAATCCATAGCAGTATAGCTCGAGAGCCCTCACCTATATTGTTTGGTGCATTGCATCTAACCATGCACAACACGTTTGACATGGACGAGTTGTTCCGATCCCTAGTCCAGACGGATGCAACATCGGTAAGTCACCCGTGCCGAACATGGTGCAACATCTAATCATTTAGGCTCATATGCATCGGGCATTCCATGAGGAAAGAAAACGCCAAAAGACATTCTACTTCTCGTTCGAGTATTATACCATCATCGGCGAGGAATGCAAGCCCATGCAGTGGCAACGTGCGGATCGCGACATCAAGCACACCGAGAGCCACATCCCTCTCACTCGATGTGGTGCTGTCGTAGCATTGGCGTTATTCGACGACAATCCTCGCCGAATTCGAAACCGAGGAAGGCGAGCAAAGACCAAGTACGGCTGGGTCCAGGATGTCTGGTCCCCGTGGCAGGTCCTCAACATTCAGGTATGGGCCACCGCCGAGTATGCTCTCTTTTCGAATTGTGATTGACGTTTCATAGTGTTATCCGGATTGGCGTGCAACTGCAGACACGTTTGAACAGGGGCATCGATATCTCAACGGCGCTGAAGCGTTTCTGCACGCACTTTTGACTGAGTACAAGGATGCTAGGAAGAGATATGAAGTCATATACAAGGGAATATCGGAACTCGTCACGCCTGCACTTGGCTTTCTCTTCGATACGGATCTACGTGACCAGCGACTCTTCGAGGATAGGAAATTCACCTGGACGCGTCGATATTTCTACGCTCATCAAACATTGGGTATGTACGCATTTATGCGCTCTTGAATCTCATGCTGATAATGTTAGGAAATGTGAATGATAGTATTAAGAGTATGATCGACTCATTCGAAGACACTTTCACAGATGATGTGTGGGAAGGGAAAAGTAAGACATTATGGCCACTTTACGAAGAATCTCCGCGAAACGACCACTGGAAACGAAGACTACGACTATTGCGATTACAATTCGAACGAGAGATGAAAGAGTTGAGAACCCTCCAGAATGAAAACAACGACCGGCGAAAGGAGATCGAGTCGCTTCAAGACCACCTTTTCTCGGGGTAGGAACATCCCCAATTGAATGGCGTGACAAGGCTAATACATAGCACAGCACCTCGATCCAAGAATCGCGCAAGTCCGTCGAACTCAGCGATATAACGGTACAACAGGGTCGCAACATCAAGGTACGTTTCAAACCCTCATATCCCCATTCAAGCTAACGCCATCTCCAAGCTCCTCACCATCGTCAATCTCTTCTTCATGCCCCTCACCTTCGTAACATCAGTCTACGGCATGACCAACATGCCCGAATACCCCGCGTCCTTCTGGCCCTTCGGCCTGACCCTCGCCTCCGTCTGCCTCCCCTTCTTCGGCCTCGTAGGCTTCCTATCCACCGACTTCGGGTATCGGATCTGGATGGCCAAGACGAAGGCCGTGTGGCGATGGCTGCGGCCTAAACCGGATCCCACGGATGAGGCTGAGGAGTTTGAGCCGTCGCCCATGAACAGGACGATGTCAACACGGGAGGGCATGGCACTTCGGATAGGGGAGGAAAAGCGGAGGAGGGATACAGATGCCGGACTGGATCGAAGACCGAGTCATGTGTCGAGGCCTAGCCATCCGCACATCAAGAGGATGGTCGAGGCGATGAATGAGGGGAAGCCGGCGGGTGTGACGAGGGCGTCGACGATGCCGAAGTGGGGGAGCACGGTGGCTGCGGACGGCGATGAGAAATTGGATGAGGATGACGATGTGAAGGATACGGTTATTAATGTGAAAACGGTGTGAACGATTTTAATGGGTTATGATGAATGATGTTTATGGCATCCACCAGCTTGAAGCGTTTATGTTTCGAATGAGTATAAAATTGGATATTGGGATACGATTGAGATCGTTGATTTTAGGATTCGTAGATGTATATAGATATAGTTTCCAGCCCAGGAACGACGTTCAAAATCGAAAATGGTGCAATTGCCAATAGATGCCGTACCATGCTCGATATAATTTGCCTTCAAATACGCCCCACAGATATGTATGCACGTTTAGTTCTCAGTGCTAGGATGATCATCATGCTCCTCTGCACCTCCCACATCCATGTGCGCCATACTATCAACATCGCTCCCTCGGTCCAGTGCTGGTAGTACTCCAGGCGGAGGCTGCACACGGAACTCCTGCGCCGTCTTCAACGCAAGAGCAGCGTATTGACCTTTAATATATCGCCCCGCCAATTCAAACAGCTTCTTTGAGCTGCCCAGCGCCTCCCTCTCCCCCATATCATGATACGCATAATCCTGCAACTCCCTACTCTTACTCTCCTCCATCTTCTGGAACGCAATCGCCGTCCGGAAATAAATCATCCCAACATCTGACGCGCCGACAAACTCAGCCAGAAAGTCCTCGAACTCCGTGTCCACCGCCTCCCGCATGATGCGTATACTACGCATACCCCAGAACGCCGCCTCCTCCCACTCCCCGAGTTTCAGATACGCAGCCACCGTCCGCGACACGAGGCGAATGCGCAGCGTGATCCGGATCGTCGGCCCAGACTGGCCTGCAAAGGGACCGGACTCGATGGCCTCGTGGAACCAAGCGTCGGCGAGGACGCGCCGCACGCGGCCCGACACGATGATGTGCATTGCGTGGAACGCTTTCACGTAGAGTTCGAGGGCGCCCTGCGCGTCGCCGGATTCCAGCGCCTTGTCGCCGGACTGCATGTGGCGGGCGCTGTCCTCGAGGCATTTCTGCACGCTGTCGTACGGTGTCGCCATGCGGAGGCGGAGCTCCCGCTCGACGCTCTCGTCGTAGTTTTGCACGTTGACTTCGTAGAGGCCCTTGACTTTCTCAAAGGGCAGGAGGAGTCGCTTCTGCAGGGCGATGGGGACGGGCTTGGGGTCTGCTGGGTAGTAGGGGTCCCGGAGCACGAAGGTGACGCACAGGTGGTCGTTGAGCGTGCGGAAGTTGAGGCCGGAGTACATCCATGTGTCGCTGAAGAGATACAAATCGTCCAAGAGAATTACTATGGCGTGCTGTGGAACGAACTCGTGCAGTGGCGCGGAAATTCTGTCGATCATACAGTTCTGAGTTAGTGGCTATGGCTATGAGAAGAGATGATGGAGCAAGACGTACTGGACCAAAGCATGGTGATGTTTAAACTGTTCGCCTTGTTCGCCAGCAGCCACTATAGGGACGAGACCTTCCTGGGCGATGTGATGTTCTAACAAAATCGAACGACCAATCAGCAAATTTTCAAAGAATGTCAGACATCGCGGACTCTCTGTAACATACCTGCTTGAGGCCATGGTGTTTCGATGCGCACAAAGACATTCTCCCGTCGAAATACATCTTGGGCTTCCGTATATATCTGTTTATTCACCCGGAAGAGACGTAGGTCGAATTTATACTGCCCGCCGCCATAGTCGCTGTCCACGAGGAGGTCACTTGGTTTGAAGTATTGGGAGTATATATAATCACGGAGCTCTAGGGGCAACCGCAGAAAGGGAAATTTGCCTGCCATTTGAACCTGTCAAGTATTGGGATTATTACCATTCAGGATGTCGCTTCAGGGGGAGTAAATGTCTGATGAGGCTGTGTGAATCTGGTAGATGGTAGATGCTAGACGTCAGTGGCTTCAATGGTTGTCAGCTGGAGAGGGCGGACGTCACTCGACCTGTTTAGGCTGTCGGAGGTTTCTCGGATCGTTCCGAACACACTAGGGTTTGAGGCATCCCATAAGCACGATTGTAGTTCACATAAAAATGTACTCGTACGGTAGTTGTTGACTCTACTCGAATTTTTCTGAGAGGCGGGGTTGGACTTCTTATTCGGTCCGGATAATTTCACACCCTTCCAGCGGTCTATCTCGGAGGCATCGCGCCTTGTTTCCGACGTTCATCTTTTCTGCACGCATATAATACAAGACGTTTACAATGCAAGATACATGTCCCCCATCTGAACATGCACCGTGGCCGTGACCCAAAGTAGAGTGGACAAAAGATATTTTACAGCCGAACTCCTCGTACCCATCACGAACGCGCTCAAAGCATCCTTTTTTTGTTTACTTCTTTTCTGGCGGAGGTCCGCTGGCACCGAACCAGCTAAAGGCACTGGTCTTCATGTTCTTCATTTGCTCCTCCTGGAATTTCTTCTCCTCGTCAGCCATCTCCTTCAGCCACTTCTCGCCGTTCTCGCGGATTTCCTTCTCCATGATCTCGTACTGCTTCTGGCCACGTTCGCGGATTTGGTCGCTAAGCATCTTGCCCTGCTCGTAGCCCTCTGTGAAACCCAGACCATCGCTCTGGGGCTTGTTGAGACCTAGAGCACCCATTACGAAACCACCGGCGCTATGCTTAGGTTTCTTCGCCTTTTGCTCGGCCATTTCCTTGTTGAAGGCTTCCCTTGCTATTGCTTCTCGGTGTGCAAATTCTACGGGGATGTCCTTGCCTTCGAAGGACTTGATGGCTTGACGAACATCAGCAGTGCCCATCATGGCAAGATACTCAAGGAATGGGATCAAAGCAACAAGCCCTTTATCTCCAGGTTCGCCCTTCCATTTAGGGAGAATGATGGCATTCTCGGGTTGCAGCTTGACGTGAGCGGGGTCGGTATCGATGATCACTGTCTTCGACAGGTCTCGGTTCAGACAAGACAAATCCTGGATCCGTTAGCGTGGCTCGCACTACAAGTAATTTTCCCAAACTGATACATACCTTGATATACTCGCCCTTCTCGTAACGAGTGGCCTCACGGAATAGAGGCCACATGACGATGCGGAAGGGATCTAGTTTCCTGATAATAGGATCTGCGTCCATGGAGCGGACTGATGTAAAGATGACCAACTCGTAGTACTGGCTAAGATAGCGTAGGAAGTAGTCGACACCCGGTCGCTTAGCCATCCTCCAGCCGTGCTGCGTGGTCCACTCGGAATGCACCAGCAAGTCTTCTAAACTCAAGACGAGTGTCATCGGAGGGGCAGGATCCATATCAGGCAGCAGCTTGGGGAAGGTCGGCTCAGTATAATAACCCATCTGGTTGCTTAAGCGGGCAGCTGCGCGATTGTACATAGCTGCAGGACTCCATCCCTCTGGTGCATCTGGGTGTGCCTTTGCTTCCTCCTCGGTATCCCAATTCCTGCCGAGATAGACGGCACCTAGACCTCCAGCGACCAGAGTTGCAAGATACGACCAATTGGCAACGCGGTTACGTCTCCTATCCGTGCTAGTCTCGTAGGCTGACTTTGGAAGTTCACCTCCTTCGCGGCCGCTTCCTGGACGAGGTTCCTTGTCAGGGTCTTCGGTGATGTTGTTGGGATCGTGCTCGTGCTTTGGTGAGCGAGACTCAGCCGCGCCGAATTCGTCGCCGAACGTCGATGGGATGCCTTGTCTGAGATCGGGAAGAGGCTTCTGTGGTTGTTCTGTAGCTTCTCCGGAAGCTTGAGCATCGTCTGCTGGAGTTTGGGATTTTGAAGATACGTCATTGCGCTCTGGGGCAGCTGCAGCGTCAAATTCGGGCTGTTCGTTGGGATGAATTGGGTTGGGCGTTGATTTATTCGATTGGTCGAACTTGACGGGATCGGACTGCTTCCATGTCTTGTTCTTAGAAGAGCGATTGTTGCTCGCGTACGATCGTAGCCAGTGGGATTGGGGTGGTGTGGCTATAGGACTTGTGTGAGGGAACGCCAGTGGTGCGCGCGGGCGAAGTGCGCGGAAGGCAGCGCGGGGAAGCATGGTGGAGCCAAGCAAGAAGTGAGAGCTACTAAGATTAAAAATTGAATGCAAAGGGAAAATACATTGATGGAAAAGAAGAGAGTTGACGATGGTGCAGAACGGCCACAAAGCTTGCCGTTGGTGATTTCATCGCAAGACTTGCACCTGGATCGGAAGAACAAAATTGAGGAAGGCGCCGATTGGCCTAATAGACGCGGGTTAGCCGCTGACAGCCGCACCAAGAGGGAACTGTGGTCTTTGCGGGCACCGACGATGTCGTTATGAGGAGGATGACATACCTATGTACATACAACCTCTGATTTTTTTTCTTGTACCGGCGACTTCAATTCTATCCGCTTGCAATTCGTTCAGCTTACACTCATGCCTTACCTACATATTCCTTGCTGTATATAGCTCGCCCCAGTGTTTTTGATTCTTTACATCCCACCTGCGCAAGGCCCATGTCTCCGCTTCCAGACCATCAAGGGCATGAATTTGACTGGAAGGCATATGCTCGGAGCAGCCACCTTTCGGCTCAGATGGCTCTCTCTGCTTGCTCTACTGTTGTTGGCGACTGTCGCGCATGGCATGACCGATAGTACCATTTCTCATCTTCGGTTCGTCCAGCTGTCGCAAGTTTCGTTTCCTGCTGGAAGCTGACCATCCGTAGGCAAGAAACTATAGATATTTTTTACCATGGATTCGATAATTACATGGAACATGCCTTCCCCGAAGACGAACTTAGACCTCTTACCTGCGGACCTCTTACTCGAGATAGGACGAATCCTGCACATATTGAAGTCAACGATGTCCTAGGAAACTACTCCCTTACCTTGATCGATAGCTTGTCAACGTTGGCCATATTGGCTTCCTCTCCACCGCAAGAAAGCGCGAACTACAACAAGCCACTCCGAGACTTCCAAAATGGGATACAATCGTTGGTAGAACATTATGGCGATGGTAGCAAAGGGCCTGCAGGACAGGGCACGCGAGCACGAGGTTTCGATCTAGACAGCAAAGTGCAGGTTTTTGAGACTGTCATACGCGGCGTCGGTGGGCTGTTGAGTGCGCACCAGTTCGCGGTTGGCGATCTTCCGATACGTGGCTATGAGCCCAAGGTTGAACAAATCAAGAAAGGAAAGGAGGGCATACTATGGCCCAATGGCTTCACATACAATGGGCAGCTACTTCGTCTGGCGACGGATCTTGCTGAGCGGTTGATGCCGGCTTTTCACACTCCCACGGGCCTACCATATCCACGTGTCAATCTCCGCCATGGAGTTCCTTTCTATGCCAATTCACCATACAACACCGACTCAGAATATGGCCAATGCGATACGGATCCGAAGAATAAAGGAACTGAAATCACGGAAACCTGTTCTGCTGGTGCGGGCAGCCTGGTGCTGGAATTTTCTACATTGAGCAGGTTGACTGGAGATACCCGTTTCGAAAAGGCGGCAAAGGAGGCATTCTGGGCGGTGTGGCATCGGCGGAGCAGTATTGGGTTGTTAGGAGCAGGGATTGATGCTGAGACGGGCCAGTGGGTCTCTCCATATACAGGCATCGGAGCTGGTATTGACAGCTTCTTTGAATATTCCCTAAAAACGCACATTCTCCTGTCAGGACTGCCGTATGACCTTAGCAGTCCAGACACCGACTCTCCAGATGCATTCCTAAATGCTTGGGAAGATGCGCACGAAGGAATCAAGCGACAGATCTATCGAGGGGCTGCCCACCACCATCCCCATTATACTCAGGTCGACTTATACACCGGCGCGACACGAGCCTACTGGATTGACAGCTTGAGCGCTTACTACCAGGGCTTGCTGGCATTAGCTGGCGAACTAGACGAAGCCATCGAGACACACCTCCTGTACACCGCCCTCTGGACTCGATACTCTGCAATGCCGGAAAGATGGTCGACCGCCAGCGGGAACATCGAGGGAGGATTGCGTTGGTGGGGAGGCCGGCCTGAGTTTATCGAATCCACCTGGTACCTTTTCCGTGCAACCGATGATCCGTGGTATTTGCATGTCGGTGAAATGGTTCTACAGGATATCAAGAGACGCTGTTGGACCAAGTGTGGTTGGGCAGGGCTGCATGACGTTCGAACAGGAGAGTTGAGTGACCGTATGGAGAGTTTCTTTCTAGGAGAGACGGCCAAATATCTCTATCTCCTCTTCGACCCCACTCACCCTCTCAATACATGGGACGCCCCCTTTGTCTTTACAACGGAAGGGCACCCATTGATCATTCCCAAGCGTCTCCGTCAACCTGGTTCTCGTGAGGAGTCAGCCGACATATGGCATCACGTGCGAACTACATGCCCTCTTCCACCGAAGCCTGTTCCTTTCAGTATATCTGCAACGGCCGCCCGAGCCGATGTATTTCACGCTGCAAGCATGGCTCGCCTGCATCTCATGCCTACGAAAGATACGATAGATTCACCTATCATAGAGTTCAATGCCGACCATCCCAGTATTTCAGACTCTGACATTCAGTCCCCTTCGAATTATACATACTTTCCGTGGACCCTGCCTCCAGAGCTCATACCCCGATATGCAACAAGTTCCACCATGGCCACTCGCATGACTTTCGATTTGTCATTCCCCAATCTCCCTAATAGTCTACAAGTTGGCACGTTACAGCGCGTAAACGAAGGCATTCTGGTCAATTCCATCAGCGGTCTTCGGCTGGGAATGATCCGCGAAAAGGAGATGCTCCCTCAGGGACAAGATATGGACCTCGACGAGCACTTCCGCATATACGCCATTTCTAATGTTGGTCTGGGCCGGGACGAGAAAGTATACATGTCGCGCGAGACCATCGAGAGTTTCAATCCCTCCGATCCGTTCTTCACTCGGACCAGAGATGCACATGCATTGGATTTCGTTGTAGATGCCGTCCCACTCCCAGTCACAACACCATCCCCAACTAAGTTGGCTGACATACTTGATGATGTGCTCGGTGATAACGGTAGCTTGTCTGATCTTGACGTCGACGAGGTGCTGGAATTCAATGCCCATGTCGACGCTGATGCTCTTTCGACCGAACCATCATACCTGTCCTCGCTCCTTGCCTCCCTTCAAAACCTGCTGGCAGCTTCTACCTCCCAACCTACTCAATCTCCATCTCCTCCAACCCCCACAGAAATCCTCCGGAGCGCCCTTCACGCGAGCCTGCCAACCGGCCCCGGCGCCGCTCCACTCCCAGACGTACCTGACCCCGAACTTACCTACTCCGCCAAAAGGCCCCTCATCTGGACCAGCATCTACATCCACCCGACCACCCTCTGCGAAGACCGCTTGCCATTCGAAGTCCCGCGTGCCCACCAGATCATCGTGATTCCCCGCGGCGGATGCAGCTTCAGTACCAAGCTCCGCAACATCCCTGCCTTCCCACCTAAGAGCACATCCCTCCAACTGGTCATCGTCGTCAGCTTCCCCGAGCACGAACAGCACGAATACGACAACGCCGCGCGCTACAAATACGAAGAGCACCAGCAAACACTCAAAGACAGCACCAGCCCCGAAGAAAACCAAGACGAAGACGGAATCGATGAAGCGTACCTCCTCTCCCGCCGGAAGCCAAAGCCCACGCCGACCCCCATGCGCTTCAATCCTCCGTCGAACAACCGCCGCGGCAATAACGCTCCAGTCTCCCCCGGGCTCGTCCAGCCCCTCCTCGACGAGGTGCAGTACACGTCCTCCGGCCTGCCTCGACCCAATCCCATCCCGCTGATCATGGTCAGCGGGGGCGACGAGACGATTGCTTTGTTGGGCAGGGCGAAAGGCGTGGGCGTCAGACGGAGGTATTTCTTCCAGAGCCAGGGGGTCAAGATTGGGAATTTGATTGTTTTGTGATGAGAATTGCTGACACGAATAACAATGATAAGAGGAATGGGTTGAGGATACGGGAATGGATCCGATGTGGTGGTGACGAACTGGTTGTAACTACGTATTGCTTTCTTGCGCATCAATGATCCGGATTAGAACACTTATAGAATTACATGTGAAAGCTATCCAAAGAACATGATCGGACCACAAGGAGACTGGCACGGCTTTTTTTTAGACCCTTTGATATGTTTCTATTAGTACATAGCGAAGCAGTATGATATCCCTCACTTTGTTCCGAATTATCGTTCATCAATCCCAAGAGACTTGCATGGCAAAATGCGACGCTCCTTTTGAGTGCTGGGAAAGGTGCGATGTACCGACCCGAGCAAGCCCAGGACTCGGCATTCAAGACCATATGGAACTACCACTGTGGACGATCCTTCTGTGCATATAACCATCCCTCGGGATCGTGCTTCATGGGGCACATGTGACCTTCTGGGCATTGTCCGAAACGGTGAACCAGAGAGCAGCGCCATCGAAGACATTTCTTGCCCTCTTCCCGACAGTTGCTGCAGATAGCTTTCAGATCGCAATCAGCATTGTGCACAAAGCATTCTATGCATGAGAATACCCCTCGAGGAAGTTGCTTTTTGCTGGACGGCGCGACGAGATGTGCGGCACCGCGCAGAGCGGTAAGCTCGTTGGAGGTTTTCTCGATTTGCGCTTGCTTGTTCTGCAAGACCTTGTCAGCCTTGCGCTGAGCTTCACGCAAGCGACCGATCTCGGAATTCTTTTGCTTGATTTGAGCCTCGAAGGTTGCAAATTTATCCAGAGCAGAGGGTGTATCTGTTTTCTGGGCTTCCCTGAGCTGAGCCTTCAGGTACCCAGCCTCAGTCTTCGCTTCCTTCACTTTGTTCTCCGTGTCCTTCAGCTTCTCCTCCATTTCTTTATACAGCTTCTCCCTTGACTTTAATGTGTCAAGAAGATTTTTAACGCGCTCTGTCTGTGTGTCCATGTTTATTTGAGTTTGTTCCAGCCTTGCTCTCGCATTTACCACGGTGAGTCCATTCACAGCCTCGACCCCATTGGGAGAGCGGGATTTCGATTCCAGTCTCTCCATGTCTTTTCCAATGTCCATAATTGCATCTTTGTGGCCAAATCCATTTACTTCAGAGAGTTCTGTATTACGCTTTACTACCGTCTGGTCCTGGGGAGCATGGCGGGCTAAGTTATAGAATCCTGGGTTTGTCACGCCTCGCAATGGCTCATCAATCGGTTTTGGGCGAAGCATTTGTGAGACCATCCCCAAAATGTTGACTTCCATGCGTTTGAGAGAGTTAGAATCATCCTGGTCTGTCGAGGCGTGATCAAAAGATTGGTCTGACGGCAGTCTATCGCGCGGGCCTGCAGCCAGAATTGCAAGGTCTTCTGTGGCGCTGGTGTTCTGGATTGGGGAATGATTAGGGCGTGTTTCGACATGCAGCAAGTCATCGAGCATGATCAATGAGACTTCTGATTGTGGCAAGTGCTCGATGTCATCTTGACGAAGGTTATCGGCACGATCGAGGGAGAATCGGCTCTTAGTACATATGCCTACAGTGGAGATATCAGTAGATAGCCGTTACCAAGGCAAGAATTATGATCCAACCGTTGACTCCGTTGACCCCGTTGGCCCCTTTGACCTCTTTAACCACACTAAACCTGTTGGCACCAATGTCCCTGTCGACACCGTTGACACTGTTCGCTCCGTTGGCTCCGTTGGATCCATTGACCCCGTTGTTACTCTTTACCCTATTAGCTCCATTGACAGGAACGTGCGGTATCCTTTGCTGCATCGGATAGGCCTCTTTTTTTCGCATCAAGTCAACGAGACTATCAAAGTGGGCGTCGGCAGCTTTGCGGAAGCTTGGGGTCTTGCCGCCGTCCACGACCTTGTTTTCAGTTGAGGAAGCCATTGTTCGTTGAGAGTTATCCACAGAGAGGGCTTGCAGGTGTGATGCGATGGAACTGGGTAAAACGGGAGTAGCTATCGGCGGTGGCGTGGACGCGGGAAGTCTTATGAGGCTGTCGAGAAGGGGCGACGTACGAATGCGACTGTAGAAAAGTTGGTCTGGGACAGTTGCAAGGTGAAGTTCAAGCCGCGGTTGCTCTTGGAGGGAGGATTGAAGAGGAAGGAAGAGTTGTAGTAGTCGGAGATAGAAGGGCTCAATAACAAGGTGAAAGTAAACACTGGCACAGGCCAAGAGGCAGGCACACATGTGATAACAACAAACCACATCCACAATTTCGATTTATTATTTCGACTACGGTCATCCTTCACCTGCCAACTTCTTCAACTTTCCACCTGTTCCTTCTTGGCTCTCTAATCAATCTCAATACTCTCTTCCATAGCGCCGCACTTTCACTCTCCACCCTTCCAAGCTCCTTGTACATCATCCGATTGCCAAAATCTCCGCGCTGCTACGATCGTAGGAAAGTAGGAACGGACGATTCCAGATAGACGGCATTCAGGTGACTGTCCCTGTAGATTAACGCCCAAACTTCTTCATCTCCCAGATGCGGAGTGGTGGGTAAACGACCGCAGCCCAGGCAAAGCCGACAAAGTTTCCCATCTAACAATGTCCATTAGTACATAATTCATAGAAGTCAGTCTCGAGAACTTACATCAGCTCCATAATCACCAACCAGAGTTGCAATTGGACCAATGTACCACAGCTGTGCCATGCAAAGAATGGCGCCGATCCAGCCTACCACAAATGCAGCCAGCGCCGCGATTCCAAGAGGAAGTTTCTTCTGCTCATTCCAGAAAGCCCAATTGAATCCTGTTTTCCTGCGGAAGATGAGCACCTCCTCAAGAATAATTGCAATCCATATAGAGACCCAGTAACCCATGAGCGCAAGGAAATTGGTAAAGATCTCTGCCAGATGGGCGCGCCCCGCAAGGGCACAGACCGTGTAGATGATGACACCGATGGTATTCCAGATGGCGCGCGGTATGACTGAAGCCCAGCGTCCAAGGATCTGTGCATCAATCCCAGAAGAATATCTGCTATAGCGTCAGCATTTGTCACATCACATTTTCCTTCCAGGATCACTGACGTTGGCACGACAAGGTTAGCGACGAGCCCCAATCCGACAATCACACCACAGAACCCGCCAAAGGAACCCAACGGCTTGTATCCTTCTGCAAGTAGTGCTCCTTGTGAGATACCGTATGCATTTTCCCAAGCGGTGTTTGTTTGCATGCCAGAAGCAAGTCCGATCCCAAGGATGAAGGCGAACGTAAAGCTCGTCGTCAAACCGGACATTGTGGCACCAAAGATTTTCCAACTGGATGCATCTTCCGGATAGTAAACGAAATAGTCGGCGGCCCCACCTCCGTAGGTAATGGCTCTAGGTTAGGTCAGTATGTTAGAGAACAGCGCGATTCGGGGTGATCTCACGCTGCAAGATTCAGTCCAAAGAATGAGATGCGGTTTCCTATAAGTGTTGCACCTTCGCCGTGCGATGCCGAGCTGATGTTGAAATTCGGACCAGCCACGCCTGCAAGAATGCATAGTACGACCAATTGAGGAGCCCAAGCATATCTTTCGTAGTAATGAAAGACTTGGTATCCAAACGTTGTGACACCCCAGGTAATCAAAGCTACGATGATGATGCCAACCACAACGGACATGGTGTTTCCAGACACCGCAGATAAGATTTGGCCAGCAATAACACAGTCGAGCAAAGCGTATCCAAGAAGGACAATGATGTTCAGGATTACCACAATCTTAGACGGCCACCACCCCATTACGAACCTTGCACCTGTCAGATTGTTGCTTCTTTTACCAAGAGGTTCTTGGAACTCACCGCGCAAATATCATAGTTCGGTTTCCGCTTATGGGCCCGAAGGTTGCAATGTAAGCGACTGGAAGACAACCAACGAACATACCGAAGACAGCGCACATGCAAGAGTCAAGGAAACCCAATCCAAAGACAGCGGGCCCCAACATACCCAACGTGATGTTGTTTGCAGCCAGGTTGATGGAGAACCACATGACAGCAATCTGCTTGTAGCCCAGAGACCTCAAATCATGCCGTTCATCAGGCTCCACTCGCTGAATGCCGCGTGCTTCCATGTTGTATGCGATCAATTGTCTCTCAAAACGCTTCCATCCTGTCTTGACTTTGCCAACCAGTGATTCGGAGTCGGATTGCGCATGGGCAGCGGAAGTAGGAAGCTCATCTTCCGGAGCAAGCACCATACGGGAGGTCTTCTCGTCGTAAGGGGAGGCTTGTTGATTTACGGCAGTCTCCATGTTGTATGTACGTCCAAATCGGGACCGAATTCAAGGAACCCTGTTCACATTAGTCTGCCTCCACTTCAAAGAGGAAGCAATGCATGATGTCCTTTCGCAGGTATTCCCCTGATCAAGTTCCGACCGTATTATCTCAGATCATCAATCAACACATGTGCGATCTACTCAATGGGGTTTTGTTTCGAGTAAATCACACATGCATCGATCGATGAACACCGGTCTCATGCGATTGCTGTCAAATACCTTGATCAAGTCGTGGTCTGCTACTTGGCGCCATGATGTTGTTGTTGATGTGTCGTACTTGTTGTTCGTAGAGTACTTTTCGAGTGCCGACTGTAGTAGACCGAGTTTATATCTGTGCGACCGTATTCCTGCAAATTGATGTGCAACGTTAAGATGCGTAGATGGTGTTTCGAGAATGGTGGAGTCATCAATTGAAGAGGAGAAGCGATAAGTAAATATTTAGCATCCCCGCTTTTGTCTCCGATTTCGCTTGACCTAATTGGCACAGGCGTTCTGTTAGTTCCTCAACTGACAATACATAATAATGGTATTACGAGGTTTTACGATAAAGGTTACATTATGTCTGGACCTTGCTTCTCCCTCTTCTACTACTATTGTAACTGCCTAGGTGGTATTCTATAATTGCCCTGGAGTCTTTTGATCCACTATGCTAATAGAGATAAATGCCAAATGGTCTTTATGCAGACTTTAGACAACCGATTTTAGTTGCATGTGGGAATCAAAAGTCAGATCAATGTTTCAGATGCTTTTCATCCCATGTGCATGGCTGTTGTGATCTTTGAATTCCGATTTGACAAATACATCAGGCCAGCATCGCATTTACAAGGCTAATTCTCCAGATGATGGGATCTGTTCTATACCTCTTCATGCCCTCGAGTGCAATCATCAAAGCTTCTAGTTTAATGACCTTTCGATGAGAAAGTCGATATATCACAATGCCACAGTTTCCCAAGATAGAAAAATCAGTTGGCCTGGAGTCGGTTGCTTCAGGAAGAGACCTATTCGATTCATAACTGTTGGCGAAAATTGGAGTATGATGCTGCTCACAAGTGCTATATCATCACAATTAGATGGATTTATAGCAGCCGCTGCACTTGTAACTCCTCATGTGCCGAATCTAGCTTTTTCAAATAACATTGCAATCAATCGAGCCTTCAGGCAACTAAATGGCAGAAGATCCTTTCAGCATAGCATTTCAGCATCAATGAAAAAGCAATTGAGTCATTGGAATTAGACTTGCAAGATTTTGATAGCCCCAGGATACTAGTAGTTCATTATAGGCCCACGCGCAGCTAGAGATGCGACTTGCTCTAAACTCAGCATCTCTTCGTATTCTTATTGTTAGCGAAAACTGTCCCAAAACTACCATCTTCCCTTGTATTGATCACTTCCTTCTGTCTACACAGTTTACAGCTAATAACAAACAGGTTTTGTGCGACCGATTTTGGCGTTTGAAGAAGAAACTCGGATGACAACAGTTTCGGACAAAGAAGAGGGCAAGAATGATGGGAGCCTGGGCTTCCAATCTCGGGATATTCGGTTTTCCGTTTGGTGTTCCGAGCCAACAATGTGCTGGTAGATCTAACTAAAGAAGGCACGATTTTCCAACCAGCGATTGATCTCATCCTTATACGACAGGCTCGTAGCATTAGCATGTAGCCACCTCTGCATGCCAGACATTAACAGTCAGCGAGTACAAGGTTGACAAACCACGGAGATCAAACAATCGTCTTGAAATTTCGCCGATGACTGGCGAAGATCTTAAGCAACGAGCAGTGTCATCGGCAGCACAAGGATCATATCTCCCAACCATATAGTACATCTTCTCAACACGTACTATACAGAAGAACATCTGCTTCAAACCATGGATACAGGATCTGTTCATGTGAAATGGAATAAATGGATGTTCGTAAAGGAAGTAAGCACGTCAAAATAACCATCTGCTAACTTCGTCCATCGTCTATATCTGGACTTTCTGTTCTAGGGTACATGTTGACCAGTTTAAGATATTATGATGGCCCCGCGACCTCGCTCTGGTAGAGTATATATCAGGAGGCCTCATACCTTACAGAACCGATCAACGGAGTATCGTGCTGGTTCGTTGGATTGGCACCGGAGGCTGTGAAATGCAATGATCCGCCTATAACCATACTTGGAATGCCAACGGGAATGTACAATTATATGAATCAAAATGAAAATATCAAGGCTTTAAAGGCAAGTAACAAGGTCTTCGTGAGCGGTATAGTACTGACGGGCCCATACTTGGTTTGTTTTCTTCGCTTTTTACCTGGCATGATTTTGCACGCTCTTGTCAGGACATATTCTGTTCCCACATTAACGGATGTTTTATGTTTGAGTGGACCTCATCGTCCTGCTACGATGTATGCAATCTAACAACTTAATTGTATGGATCCTCTAAGAAGGTTTGTTGGTGTTCAACTCGTTGCAAAACTACAGAACTGGTCAAGAGAATTCCAACAAAAAAAAACGCTTCTTTGCCATCCCCGCTCTCCGTATGGTAGCACTTGTCCTTGGAGCAGCATGCCTCTCCTAACAGAAAAATCTTCTTGACTAATCAGTAGTCAACTACACCCCACTGCTTCACGTACATTACGCCATTCGATGCGCTTCTGCATCTAGCCCTTCGCTTGGGTAACAGAAGGACCTAGAATCAGAAAACTTTGTAAGTGTTCCTGTCGATCGACACCAGGACGATCTTCCTCTGGAAAAGGTTTCGTTCTCCGAGGTGCTCCTCGCTTATGAAGTGAACAGAGAACCACTGGGAAGAGAACACGATGGCCTGGTGCGACTAGTAGGCTCCGTACCGGACTCCATTCTCGAAAAGTCAAAGGTAGACGCACAGGAGCTGGCATAGTGTAAAGATGGCGTGCATCATCTGGAAGTTAACTTCACTGGGGGCTTATCTTAGTTCAAATTCAGCCTGTTCTGTGACAATGTTATAGCTGTCGAATGTCTAGTTTACCAGTTGACTTACCTCCTGTGTCTTACGGTCTCGTTGCGCGAGCACAATGTGTGGGCCAAAGAAGGAACCATGTTTAAGTTCAAAGTCCGAACAGAAAACAATACACCTAATTCTCGGAGTTTTGACAGCCTAGATTGGGTGATCTATGCCTTTTTTTGATCAACCGGAGACTTTAAAATACTCTTCACAACGGTTCACTTCACAATGTCCAGTGTAACGCGTGTAAGATGAGTAAACTACCTCGCGACTGACAAACTGTTTCCCCAGAATAGAATAACAGTATCAAAAGTAGCAAGCATTTTTTCTCACCTTAATTGAACTTTAAATCAAAACGTTCTCCGAGAGTCTTCACTCCTATTGGTCATACAAATGGTAAAATAAAGTCGCACTCAAGCAGAAAACCCCCAGGAATCGATCAAGTACGGCCAAGTTGAACTTCCATCAACATTGAACTGACTTTGAACCTGTTTAACCTTTTTAACCATTACGTTTCTTCGAGAATTATGATGCAGGTATATTGTCTTTCGAGCTTCCCCGTATTATATTCAAAGGTTGTTTTGCGTAGAAATAGAATCCTTGGTTAATGTATAAACTTGATAAAGTAGCACCTGAACAACACCACATGAAGAACGTGGTTGAAGGTCGCGCGTATATCTAAGTACTACTGTAGGAAATGAAGTGAGAACCATACTATCAAGAAGAAAACCATTGACGGAAGTCATTTCGAGTCCCGATAGCTGCTAAGATCACATCGAACCGATTCATTACCTATCCTGAGTCGATCGTCTTGATAAAATTACGAATTAAACACCGACCTTGAATCTCACTGACTACAATAAGTTTGTGAAGTAATTCATTAAAAGTTCTTTGAAAAAAGCGACTGATCTTGAAGTCACCGGTTCTATTTCATAAAGGTACATATTGGTGCTGAATCATTAATCTCTACACTTGATCGTTTCTTTGCCTGAAGTAAAATGAGACCTCGTAGACTCATGTATGTCAAACCCTCCTTCAATTCAAACCTCCGTGGACCGTTCTCGCCATGCTTGTATGAAAGCATCGGTCAAGCTGCAGGCAATGTCACAATGAGACTTTTCTGAAACTCAAACCAACCCAACCATTCAAAAGAAGGAGAATTAGGTTGGAATTATGAAAGACAAATGAGAGACAAATGAAAGACCGTTATGAACCAGTGTCAAATTATGTAGGACTAGATCTACTCGTTCATCGATATGTCAATTACAGGATCATACGTCACGATCCCGAGAGGACTAGAACTTTCTGTGTTCTTTCCAAGCAAACATGGGCCCCTAACAATTTGCTTCCGAAGTCCTCGGCAAACTCTGAATACCAATTGATTGACCAGTAAAGGGACTTCAAGATGATAGTATCGTATTCCTTATCTAGCTGGGTCGTACAACTGTTTTCAGAATGAAACCTCATCTACCAGTTCGCTGCATAATGCATACAGACATGGCACAACCACATCGTGTTCACTGCCCAGAAAAGGCGACAGGAGCGCCTCAGGAAGCCACGGCACAGTCGTGACATCTCATGACGGAGGGCTGGCTTGTGCAACATCATGTCATGTCATCCAGTCGCACTGATTGTGTGTACTCATGAGCTCATCAATATCACCCCGAGACTGTCACACCCTCTCAATCGAGCTAGCGCTTCGCTCAGATGCCACGAGCGTTGGTGCCGACTCAACGAAGATGGTGAAACACTTCATGCGCACGTCTGCGCTCGATAATCAAGATGAGAGCTGGGGTAATAGAATAGATTGACTGGGATGGCTGTTTGAATGCCGAATGAATGTCGCTTCGGCGGATTATTAAGTGCGGAAGCGAAACGGAAGCTATTTTGCCACGCGACGGTCGTTGTTGGAAGAAAAACGTGGAGCAATTCGAGGGACATCACGTCTCCGCTCAGATGACCACCTCAGTGAGCAAGCGGCCTCCCCTGTGCATTGTACATACTGCTGAGGGTAGCTGGTCCGCCGATATGCAAGGCTCACCTCAGCGTCGTTCGCACGCAGCAGTAGCAGCAGCAGCATCGGGGGGTGGCAGTAGGAATCATTATCGGACCTATTGCGCCGTGCATCTGCATGACCTCATTCATCCTCCCTCGTAACCACCCTCGTTCACACTTTGGAGAAAGAGAGGCGGTTATTGCCAATCGAAACCCCAGCGATATCGCGACTGCAGGATCGGACATGGCCGAGTACCCTCCGAATGGGTACGAGGTTCTTTCTGGTTGGGTCGGGACCAAAATAAGTCGATAGATGATGCGTTTTAATGTATCTGTGATATCGACAGCATCCAGCAATATCAAGCTCGCGCATCCGCATCCGCATCGCATCTTGCGAGGTGACAGCCGTTCACGGCGAACTGCACTCCGGCCTCAAAACCGCGTCCCGCCCAACACACACACACCACATTGCGTGAGACATACCCAATGGGAATCTCCCCACAAGTACGCACCGGGGAGGCCTTGGAGGTGCAGGATCCAATGGAAGGCCAGAAGGTCGACTTCAGCAGAGATTCGGTATGTACCGCGCGTGGTTTTGGCCCCTCCCCCTGGCCGCGCATCGTTTGCTGTACATATTGCGCGTGCTCACTGCGTCTGGGAAGGTCGTCTCCAGCTGCATCTCGGGGTTACACAACGGGAGGTCACTGGACACAGAAAGAAGGCAACGGAGCTGTGTGGTAATACGTGAATTGAACTGTCCGCCTTCTAGAAGGACGCTAGAAGGCATTGATGACAATCCTGTCAGCACTTTACCCGCCTCGCGCCGTTGCAAATCCGTCCATTTGTGCTACCATACTAAGCAGATGGCCAAGTTGCCAGCCCGTCTGTCTGTGCTGGGCGGCATGCTTGATGGTCGACGGGAATCAGTCCCGCGATGTGCATCGGAGCGAGGATTACAGCGAAGGCCACGCGCAAGGCCTCTGTCGTCATAATCACCGTTATCACAGTGGTCGCCGTCGTGAATATTAGTGTCAACGACATAGTGGAGAACACGATACCTTAATTGTACTCGCACAGTACGCAGGTACGAGAAAGGATTCGATTCGTGTGAAATCGTATATTAAACTCGCCGAACAGAAAACGTATCCGGAAGAGACAAGTTCCATAATTAACCAAAATTATAGATTTGTATTCAGTCCCTTGTCCAATAGAGGGTCCTATGAATCCTCCATGTATGTCGAATTTCCTTCGTACGAATTAGCCTGTGAAATGGTCCCGCAATTGTTCTCGTTATGGGACTGTGTGGGGAATGTTTTGTATGATTACCTAGATGGCCTGCAAGTGTGAACAAGTCCTCTGCAACTCGGCCCGGGAGGAGAAGAGAGGTTCCCACTCACCACCAGCTGGGGGGACCTCGTGTAGGCCAGTGGGTATCTTCCTCGGGAGACAAGCTGTGCGATGGCGAACTTCCCGGGAAATAAAAGACAGACTATCATGTTACAAGTACACTTGAACCCTTGGAGAGTGGCCGCCTAAGCGATGGGGGGAAATCGATAGCGGGTGCACCCCGTCCTGACCGACTCGTGGCGCAAATCTAAGGGTTCCGACCTTCCATAATTCGACGTGTGCACATACAACCACCATAGTTATCACGTATCTACCGACCTCAGGATCAAGATACTGGAGACAGCGAAGCGGGTATGGCTTGGCGTGGATGCAATCCCGATCCGAGGGAGGGGAAGGCGCCGAAAGGGGGTGACGCTGGTAAGTGTTGAGCGATCGATCACAGAGTAAGACGGGAGAATCTCCCTAAGTTCAAGTTCAAGCTCAAGTTCAGAGCTGCTTCGCGCGTCAAAAACGGTTGTAGCCCGTTTCTGTGATATGACTCTCTGCGAACCCCCTCTGCTCTGCATGGATAGTATGGTATTGTACGGTAACTCGTATGGTATGGGCCTATAATTCGTTGACCATCTCGTACTCAACCTTGGGCGACCAGCTCAGACCACCCACGTGCAACCCAGTTGAAACTGGAAAAAATCCGCGTCCAAAAGGGACAAAACAAGATTGCTACAGATGATCTCACCTGAATTGACAAGTAGCATGCATACATACACGCACACACGCATGCAGACGTTCAGAGTTCTGGGTAGCTGAGCTCGAAGCGACGGATAGCGGCATGGGGGGTACAGACTCAGTACTTGCGATTACCTCCCGAATGTGAACGTAGTGGTTTACGGGGATGCCGCTCTCACATGGCCAAGTTGCAGCCAACCCAGCATATACCTTTCCAGCCATAATCATACAAGTAACTTTCCCCCATTCGAGAGAGAGCAGCACCGCGGAAATGGACCGCTAAACTGTGATGGGTGCTGTGCTTGGGAATCAGACCGCGGGCCAGACACCAAAACCCTCCCAACTTCCTTGCTTTTCACCTTCAACAGGTTCTGTATCGTCCAGCATGCATGTCTTCGAGTCCTAATGGGGTTACTTCGTCACCCGTACTTCAAGGGCAGCTGAGAGTGTTCCACTGCATCGGGTCGAGGGTCGAACAGCGTGCGGGATAAGCAGAGGGGGGACTGCTCAGTTCCGACATGCCCTTGCAATTCAAATTAAACGATTCCTAGTCGCACTGCTCCTCGTGGTCGAGAGGTGGAATCAAATTGCAACACCTACACAGTATGCACGACCGCATGTTCTGCTCGGTCGGCCATGCAAGTGCAGATCGTAACAATGCTTTTCAAATTGCCAATAGGCGTGCTACTCTGCGCCAAAGAGTGGCGATGGCGAAACCGTCATTCCCCATGCCATGCGAAGCGGAAACAGATAAGTCCCACCCACAGAGCCGCAGATACCAGTTCGTAAAGCTGCAAGTCGACATCGGATACATACAGTGTCCTTGACCAAAATCATACTCCTCGCGTCGCCGACCTCAAGAAAAACGAGACTACGGGATGAACTGTCACCTCGGAGCCCTGTGCATTTCGGCAATTAATCCTTCGTCGCCTGCCTGTCAACAGCGTAGAGTGCATATGGCGTACAGTAGGGAAATGCGAATAAGTTACTGTATGTACATGTGCATCCAGATGTGGTTGAGAGTAGTGCCCGCATGCTGCTGAATCATGTCCATACCGTTTGCTAGCTCCCCTCTAAATCCTGGAACATCAAGTTCAACATGGAGAAGCCCCGTACTGCCCGCTCAAAAGGGCACTTGGTAGTATAACGTCCATGCACACAGCGATTGAATCCCTAGCGAAAGCCACAATCAACGGTGTTATTCGCTGAACGGTCGGCGTAATGAGGAGGTGGGTGGAGAGACTTAGTTTACGAGCAGCAAGGTGATCGTCCCATCAACATTATCGCACGGCCGGGTACGAGAACTGCCCGCCCGCATGCAAACAAAGTTGACACGAAGGATGGAGGAATACGATTGTGGGCAGACGGGAGCTCGCGCGATCCTTCCGTCGCTGCCTGCGTCGTCATCGCCCCAGCAAACTATCGTCATGATCCTCCGAGGAGTCTGTCCTCGAGGAAAATCTACGGCGTACGCTAAAGCCCTCCTGCCGATGTGCCGTAGTAGATCTCGAGATCTCGAACTGTTAATCCTCATGAAGAAGAGATCAACTCGGCGTTGGAGTTGAGTGTCGTTTCAGTAACAGCCACATTGCATGTTCATCGTATCTGTTCTTGAAATCTTGTTTCTCAACCTTGTCTACACCGCCCTTTCTTTTCGTATAGAGTTCTCACCATCTTCTGGTCAGATTACACAGTGGTTCAAATTGATGTCCATTATCACAGCCTAATTGGCACAGTACTACAATGTATTGACCATATTCGGATCGAAGAGACCACCGTGGCGTGTTAGGACCAACATCTCTTCCTGTTGGGAGGGTAAGCGTCAGTGATAGCATTCGTGGTGAAGGATATCTACCCGCTTCAATCTAGCCTCGCCTAGGGGTAGTAATGAGTTGAAACATGCGTGCGAAAGGCGTCAACCCGAAAATGGCCGAGTAACTTGCTTCCAGAGGAGGGATTTGATGGACAGCCTGGGTTTGATGTCGAAGAAAAGGAGATCATGAAATTCTGGATTCTTGTTATGCAATGAATTTGATTGAGATGGAAAAACTCCAATGTTGCGAGCTGGAAAAGGACTGAACTGTTTCGTGTCCACTAACAAATCTATTTTGTGGAGATGCCATGTTCGTGGGCATCTTCGTCGACATCGTCCGTCCACTCGTCTCCTCCTCGAACACCACTCTCATGGCTGGATGAAGCATTCTGCCGAGGAGCTGCGGGTGGTGCATCCTCATCACTGCTCTCGTCCTCAAAGGCATCTGGGTCAGCTAATGGCTGGCTCTCTGGGTCAACGGGTCCATTGCCCGTTGCCTTACGCCTTGGCGCAGATTCTTGTTCCAGAACTCCCTCGTCTGCAGATACGGAAATTCCCCGCCTACCCCATTGGTTCTTGGGCCTTTCGGGCTCACGATTTGCCCGCGGCACGTCTGCCTCCTCGTCGTAATCAAAGTCAACACTCTTCCTGCCGACAAATCGTCCAACCAGCCATCCACGTCCCAGGTCCTCTGAGTCAACGACACCTCCGTGTCGTAGCTTCACGCGTTGACGGGTCCAGTACACCCAAGCGAAGTCGATCATGAGAGCCGTCTGAATTGTACCCCAAACCCATGACGTCGGATCAACATATCCATCTTCCTTCGCGCCACGAACGATCCAGTTCAAACAATAAAGCAAGCGGTAAGTGCCGAGCGTGACGAGATAGAAAGAGTCGAGCACGGTAGGAACGGTGGTTTGACGAAGCAAGAGGAGTTGGGGAATCACACAGACGGATTCGAGGATCTCAGAGAAGACCCAAAGTATCTGCTCTTGTCAGTCCATGGTCTAAAATCCAAGTTCCTAGTAGACCTACCTTTAAGAAGCCGTTGTGTCCAATGACCCACTTTTTGAATATCAAGAACCAGATCGGGGCCACAACGAGGCTACCGAGCAGACAGTATAAACCGAACTTCCATGCCTTTTCTCGCTCGCGTGTCCGCGCGTATACGCTTGTCATAAGAAAGATGATGTACAGTGAGGAGGCGACATAGAATATCTTTGATGAATCAGCATTTGGTCATGATGTAAGCTTTCCCATAGGTGTCTTACTTTGAGCGAAAAGTTCCACGTGTGCTCCCAGTCCGCGGTGGCCGAAACCCTGAAGATATCAAGATAGCGTGTGCAAAAGACGAGAGCATAGAGAGCTTGTGTGATGAGGGATACACCTGTTTGTTGTATTAGCTTGACCTGATATCAAGACCGAAGAGATGCTTTACCCTCAGCACTGCTGTTGGAGTGGATAGCCCATATCAAGATCAGCTTGGACGTGGTATGCGACACATCACCCAGGATGTGGAAAATGTTGAATCTCATACTGAGAGAGACGGAAGTCGAGTGCTACAACGTGACGACGGACCACGCAAGGCCGGTCGCCAGTAGAGATCCACGGCGTGCAGTCAACCGATAGGGACGTTGGATATTACAGCAAGGGCGTGGGGTAGCGACAGCCACGCGTTCGGCACGGGGGTTACGGTTGTCACTCAAGGCCCCTCCGGTTGGGGAAATGGACCTGATCGCGTGTACTGTGGGTAAATCCGGAAGTGCCGCAAATGGGCTGATGATGGAAGTAGATGGTGTATCGTGTTGTGTCGTGCGATGGTGATGTCGATGGGTTGGAAGAGATGATGATGATGCGGTAGCTGAACGGCCGTTGAGTACAACGTAACGTCCACCTGGAAATCCTGCCCCCGGAGGTTTGGCGTGTCTCGGTCTTACCGCATCCGGCAATCACCTTAATAACCCGCTAATCCCCTTGTGGAAGCGCGAGGCTGATTCGCTGCCCTCGAGAACAGTTAAGTAACTAGTCACCTTCTCCACAGCCTTGCAAACCCGACTATTTCATCCTGTTTCTATTTTCAAACATCATTTGAGTTTCTTCAGATATAGACCACAGGACCTAGAATAGATCTCTATACTAACTAGCAACTACTGGCCCACTCTCCACAGCATACCGCCATATTCGAAGTGCTTACTTACCAACCGCAATGATCGTAGAGAAAGGCAGAGTCGCCAGATGCAATTGCAGCAAAGTATTATCTGCCTCGTGCCCGATCATCACGATAGATGACGCCGTCTTGGGAGAATTTGGAATTGCACCAAATCGGGCGTATCTCAAACTGGGCTTGCTTCGAATCCCCAAAGTTGCGCGCAGCCTGGGGCCCGAACATTCTTACGCCCTCGTGGCTCCCCTCCCCTCCCCCATCATCTCTCGCGTAGCACGAGGGATATAGTAGGCCAAGATGGGAGCTACTGGCTAAATGCAAACACACGTGTTGCCGGGCGGCGGCTGCTTGTCGCGCCCTCGAAAATTGCCAGAAAGGATCAGATAGTGTCGAAATGCAGTAATTGTCAAATCTCAGACCCTGTTAATACTCCTCCGGAAGATGATGCCGGTCCCCTTGTCTTTCGCAGTCCTGGCGGCTATATTAAAAACAATTCTTCAAGAGGCCTTTCCGCGCTGGGATTGAAACTTTCCTGGGGGGGCACAGCCGTCCCGAAACTAAGAGAGTAATTAAGTGTATGCAAGATACCCATCGCCATGGCGAAGGTAGCTGCCGGTCGCATCGTCTAGACAGCAGATGTCCATTACGCCGGTGCTTGTGGTAAGCCACTCTAGCGTGCGGCACTCCTCCCAGCGAAAGCGCCGTTGAACTTCAGGGTTCGCAGTACTTGCCGGAATGGCCCGCCGTTCTATGTAGAGGGTCCTGGACGCCTGACGGAGCAACGTGCCTGTTCTATGTCTTCCGAGGTAGCCTGCTCTTGTTCGCGACAAGAACTTGACTATACGAAAGTCGCTTCACCACGTGGGGCGCCTTTCAACGCTCTTTGCGGATTTTGCTATCAAAATTTGAGGGCACTGCCTCACCTAAAGATCAGTCCACAGTGGGAGCGCATCATCGCGCGGCAGGCCTTACAGAGCGGAGGTAAGTCACTTGCTCAAGCGATCGGTCTTGGGGCTAGTGGTTGTAAATATAGCCATCAAGCTCCGTCATAGATCCCTCTGGAATAAGTGTGAGAGTGGCGATAGCCCGAATGGCTTGATATAGTCTCTTCCGATCGGAAGTCAAGTCGAACATGCATTTTCTCAAACAAAGGATCGAATGAGGTGAGCAGAAAGTCCCCTCAATCCTCCGACCGGCTAGAACAAACCAACGGAGAGTTTCTTGAGTGAATCAATCAGAGGTGAAAGACTAGATCGTGTCCATGGAAAGAAACCAACATACTCCTGCATGAACCCAGTGAACGATTCTCTGTATCCTGACAACCAGTGTGGGTCTATCACGAACGAAGCACGTGTATGTACGTGTAGAAGTTGGCACTAGGTACCGGTAGAAGGTTCTGTCAGAACATGAAACACTAGAACTTGGTGTCGTTGCTGCAAGGTACATGCACCTATTCTGCTGAGGCACGGGGTGGTGATGTGGTTCAAAGGACGAAATAGGTCTCGTTCGTCTTTCGGTGATCGAAACTTGCAGGCCTAAGTGATGGTCCGGACATAGTATCATCTTAGGAAGCAACCAGTTCTTTGCCTCCACGAGCTAGAATCCTTCTAGAAGGAAAAAGGAAGTTTCCATAATCCAGGTATCGTGCTTAGGGTTGTTGGTGAATTCTGTTTTGCCCCATCTTTGGTGGTGATGTGGTGATGTTTCTACTCAGTGGAGAAGCTGGAACGCAAATCATCAGATGACCAATCTTGACTATTATTTCCATCCTTGTACATACGATAGATGTACGCCCGGATTTGCAGCCAGCTGGAGGGATCTTCTGCCCCGACTGTGATTTTCGTTCGTTGGCGGCGCATACAGAAAGCCTCATCGATGATGCGAAGAACATTCCAAGGAGGCTCTTCTGATCGGCGGCTTCGAGGGCGAGGCTGAATCCCTGTCTCGTTTGTCTCGTTGAAAGTCATCGTGGACTATTGGCGCAATTATGGCGGGGGGTGTAATGGTATTGTCAGCCATTCTTGCATGTAGAAATCTCAAACAAGACTCACGTCTGGGGCCACGAGGTCCGTCCAGTAGCGATATGTCGTGTGTGTGTGTATGTGCGCACACACAACGCTCGCTCAATCTCACGTTTCAACGATAAACTGGATCGGCGGCCAAGTTTCGAGGCGAGAAGAGCTCCCAAGGCAATGGCGCTGCCTCACCCTTGGCATGTTCTTCCACTCCATTGGTGCAATAGACTCCGAACGGGGCGTCAGAGTGGCAGGATGCGGGCCGTGGGCTGTGCACTGGTCAGTCTTCTCAAAATCGCGATCCCATGCTGCCCTCCACATGGGCGATCTGGGGGTGGTAGGCTTAGCGCCAAAAGTTGAGTGTACTGGACGGTGTTATGTGCATGGGGGCATGCCATACTCATAGATAGTCTCATACTGACTGTTCTGACCATACGCCAGTAAGGTTGTGATGACTGAACAGACGTTGGAGGCCATGAGCGAACCATGCATACGAGATCGGAGCAAGATTTCTAAGAAGTCCAAGCGAAGCTAGACGACAAGCTGCAGATCTTGTATAGTCTCTTGCAGGAAAACGAGAAAGCATGAAATAAAATAGAATAAAATCAATTATCGCGCAACTAGTGTGCAGAGAGTCAAATGAAACGCAATGGATCTACACAGTATCCTGAATGAACTACTGTAATACGCTGTTGGGTAACCGCTTAAGCGTTGCCGGAAACAGAATCCTTAATCCTTTTTCTAATAGGGAAGAACCCTGGAGACTTCAGTTCATTTCGAATATTGATGATCGTTGGCAAACGCTGAGGCGCGTTGAGCAAGCCATGATCATAGTCAGATCTTCTAGAAGCTGACATACATTAACGCCTCAGATTTATCAGGTACGCTTGGGTCTATGTCGGATCCCGGTGACCGCAGCACAGCAAACAGAACACTGACAGCCTACCAAATAACGATTTATGGACTCTGTCGTACCATTTGAGGGCCTGCAGAAGGAAAAACATTTATCAATTGTGGGCAAAAGAAGGGGTGATCGGTGCGCGACCAAGGGGAAGGTGAGAGCTTAGGCCAGAAGAGAGCAACAGATCATTGCTCTAGAATGGCAGAGATGAGACAGGCCAAAGGCAAATTATACAAGGTAGTTTGCATGCAGACACCTTCAATTCATCATTTTCCTTTCGGATCTAGTTTGTTCCTTGGCTGGCAGGTGGTCAGAGAGGCTGCTGAGTCTGCTGAATAGGCCAGACTTGACGCAATTGCACTTGGAGGGAGTAACGGCAACGTGCGTTCGTAGCGATACGGTCGGACTCCGTGGGCCAAGGTATGAGACTAAGTCGAGAAACGAAGCAGTATGGTGCCAGCGACCTGTGCGCATTCTGTAGATTTACGGGCCTTGATAGGACACATGTGGCTGACTGACAATGCACACAGATGCTCTGAGGGACTGTGCAATGACCAAGCGTCTATCGGTGTACGCAGTAGGGTCAAGTACAATAACTATACTGTACACGGTGATGAGCTATACCGTACCGTATTATATCTTAAAATGTCCTGATACTACGTATCTAAACCATTAAGGCAAACTCAAGAAGCGTCATGAGATAGAATGGGGTTGAGTAGGGTGGGACAAGGTGGGGGTGGAGGAGAAAAGCACGAGCTGCCTACCTTGCTCGAGATGACGCGGGATCTATGTGAGAGCAAAACCAATGCAAATACTCGACGCATTGAGCCATAGATTATAGCCATCTGCTAGAGTAGGAAAGAAAACATCTTAGTTGTAAAGGGGGGTTCCATCCAGTCCCAGCACGAAGGGACTTGACTATAGAAGAAAAGGAAAGTCAAAGCAATCGCAGTAAGTAGATCAAGGTTGCAGGAACAAGTAATTTACCTACCGATGTCCAGTACGCAATAATCGGAACATGAAGCTTCGGTAGTAGGTGACCGGCAGGGTAGTGTGCGCTGTTCACTGAACTACTGTGGATGCACAGGCCTAGAGGGCGCACGGAGAGTGATGGCAAGGCAAGAGGGAGAGCAGATGATGAAGGGAGGATGCCATTCACACCAATTCATTCACAGTTACCATCCTCTGAATGTGGAGTCTCGATAGGCGGCGCCTTGGCTACGGCTGAGCGGTGCGACTAGTTTAACCGTTGTCCACGCCGGCCCATGACGCTTTTCACAGCACCCCAGTCTCCCGGCATCCTACTTGCAGCATCCTAGTTTCCAATGCACTGTATCTACTGTAATACCCTGACATTCCGGCAGGCTGTATCTGCTCTGTAATTACAGATTACTGGACGTGGTATGTATGTAGGTGCTCCGTATGTACTCTCTACTGCCCGCACTGGGGAGGCACATGGCATGCTCAAGGCCCCTGGTATCTGAAAGGGGTGTGGGTGCTGCTATCCTCGTGGCCATGTGTGTCGCGGCCACGGCCATGGCCATGGCTACCTGACTATGCCTGTCAGTACCGCACCAGGGGAAGGGTCGAAAGAGGGACTGTAAGAGTCCTAAAATACAGTTTAGAGCGTCAGAGTTGGGGCAAGAAGACTTGTTGATCCGATAGATCCAGTGGAGAAAGCTTGAGGCCGAAGAGGCAGGAGAAGCAGGAGCAGACGAACAGGACGGCGAATTGGAAAATTGCGAAGGAATACGGAATTACTATTGATGAGGACTTGGAAAAGGTGCAGACGGCGCGGATGCCCTCTGCACGCAGTGCAGGGAATGGGGGTGGAGAAACTAAGGAGACATGATATTCCAAATTGGATGAATTATCTCCTCAACTGGTGAGCAAAATGTCAGCATTTAGCATTTAGCTGTCTTTGCCCTGCTGAAAGGGGGCCATTTTACGCGCCTTCACAGCCATGTTTCAGATTCGGCAGGGCCGATTCGAGATGATTTTGCTGCAGATGATGGGTTTACGCGCCGGGAACGAAGCCAAAGCCCAAGCCTAAGCCCACAATGACGGGACAGACATCCAATCCATCGCACCCGTCCAATCCCCAATCTGCTAGAAATGCTGCAGGACGGGCTCTATCTGCATGGCGTGAAGCCAATGCAGTAATCAGATATATCGTGTTCACCTCTGGCAGTCGTTCGAAACGGGCACCAGCAATAACGTTGCTCAATCTGAGTGCGATACAGTACGCCTCGTCTAGGTTGTGCCAGCAGCGAAGGATCGCCATCCCGGCACAGTCTTGTGTGAATTTGCCCGTGCTTTCGCCTTTACGTCCATCTCTTTCTCCGCATCCATACATTTTGGGGGTGGTTGATGCGCTGGAGAGCTAAAGACGCAAGCAGGTTTTATTAGCCACCACCTGTTTGCAAATTTCAGCACTGTATCGATCGGTCCACATTCGACTGACTGGGCAAACCCCTCACAGGAGAGGATGCTCAACAATAGGGACGACTGCATCTACTTCATGGCCGTAGCACATTGATGGATAGCTGTTGCTGTGTGGGGTTAGGTCTTTGCAATACGTTGTGCGACCATTGTGTGATTGTGTGAGATGTTCCCCCATGCAACAAACAGCGTGGGTGAACACCATACAAGAGGCGCAGCCGTTTCATCGACGACGATGGGCGAGGCTGATGGAAATCGCTGGCCAGCAGCCTAGGTGTTGCGCCCATTGCTAGCCGTCGTGATCTTCGCTGGTGGGAGACAGTGCGTCGTTCTTGGGCGCAGCGTCATTGGACCACCTCCTGCTCCGTACATACTCAACGACAAGCCAGAGGGTCAGTCCAGGCGTGGGTGGCCGGGAATGGCTGGCTCAAGGCGCGGCTCAAGCGCAAAGGCACCGACCGCAGCCTGGTGGGGAGGGAGGGAATGGTTCAAGCCTCCACAGATTGGTGGAGCGGGTAAGGAAGCTGTTGAAGAAAGGCACGCAATTGGGTTTTATCTATGCCCATGTCTGATGTAGCAGTTAACAGAGTATCATGATACGGCGACTTGGAATCAAATAGATACCACACATATGCAAATGCAATGGATAACCTTTGAGACGGTACTCTACCACACACACAAGCAGCACGAGCTTGAGCGCACTGTAGCTACCACATGGTACCCTCGGGGCGTAATGTAGCTACGAACATGGAATAGGCCAATACTGGGATGAATTGGGATGGACTGAACTGGGATTGGAATAGGATTGGGATATGGGATGGGATGGGGTGGGAGACAGAGATGGGGTGGGAGACAGAGATGGGGTGGTAATGTTAGTGGGTGGTGGTGGATTACTATGGGCGCTAAGCTGCATCTTATGGCCCCAGCGTTCGTCGACCGTCTACCCGAGCACAGATGGGCCACTACTGAAGACACAAAGTCCGTAGTCTCAGTCTAAAGTTTCCCACTTTGCAGTTTCTGTCTGTTCTGTAATTAACTATCATCTCTTTTCGCTCATGGTGACAATTACCGGTGTACACAGTGGAAACAAACGTGATGAGCATGTATACGGCCAGAATCTTTTCCACCTACGTATGTACGGCAACTTAACATGCCTATCAAAGTCACCGCCTTGAGACTCCTTGTCATTATATATGCTTGTCTTTCTTGTCTATCATGCATTGTGGTCTTGTACGTCTCTTCCTTGGTATGTCTAAGTACTCGAAATCGCCTTCGTGGGGAGGATTCACATGTATGGCTGTACTGTATGTATGCACATGTCAGAATCCCCCGTACTGTATCCCGAATGGAGGCATAGGTACAATTCACTCCTGTATTCTCCACACACACATCCATACACACATAGACTACTGTACGGCGCACATACGAGTATGCTCTTACCGTCTACTATTCCCTTTTCTCTCTCATCTCAGCATCCTAGCATCCCAAGCATCATCCCAGCCCACCTCCATCCCGGCAATCCCAGCGGCAACCCAGCAGGCCATGTCATCCTGGCTCCATTATCCCTGCTGTCCATGCCGTCCATGCTATCCTTGTTGTTGCCGTCCTGACCAGCATCCTTCGCAATCCGTGTACCGGGGGATAGTGGTCCTACCACACACTACCTGGACACGAGAGCCACCCGTCGAGTCTCCCACTCCCTAGCAGTAGTAGGTCTAGGTGCGTGAGCACGCATCGCCAGCTTTGGCTGCATTGATTTATATCCTCCCACTCTGCCCTCGGGGCACCATTGTCTACTATTCATTATTTCAAACGGCCTGTCCATCGTTCCGTGCCGCGCCGCCGCCGCTGTCGCCGCACTACTACCGCCTCACAGATCCATCCATCCATCGCTCGTCACTATCACTGTCAGGTCGCAAACGTCTGCTTGTCGTTGACAGGTCAATACAGCCGTTCATTGTATCCGCTGGTGTATATTGCATTTCGAGCTCAAGCTCCGCGCCGCTTGCCATTTGACTGTCTCTACTACCGATCACACTGTCTTGCAGTGACAGCTTTATGCTTCGCCTTTGTAGGCAGCTTTCCTGATCACACCCCTCAAATACCTTTCGATCCCGTCTGTGGAAAGTTGCATACGACGCAACCGTCCCATCTCTATCCCCCTCATGCCTGCTGCAGTTAAGGACTCAATATCCGAAGGTACTGTGCCCGAGGGTACTGTGCCCCAATCACATTTCCACATGACTACCAAGGCGCCGTGGCCCTCTGTCTATAACAACAACACTCTGAAATATCCCATCACTGCTCCTCCCACCTCTTCGCCTTTACCAATGTCTCCCGAGTCATTGCCACCGTATCTACCCCACTTGCAGGACAGTGCGTTACCCTCGCAGGATCTTGGAACCATACCAACATCCAGCTGGTTCGGCTCGACAGTGCCCGCACATGAGAACAACGAGGTGCGTCACTTTCGTATCCATATTCCCATTTATCTGCTGACGTTGTACATATATAGACTGGATTTACCAGTTACACTTATGAGCCTCCATATGTGACACCTCACACATCTTCGGTCACTTTCTCGCCACCCATGCAATTATCAAAAGGCACAGAAAATCCCGCAACCATAGCTCAAGAAAACAGGGCTTCAAATTTCTCGCCAGTATCCGATTACTCACGGTTCTCTGACCCAGGACAATCCGAAGCTTATACTACTGTCAAACATCCAACGGGGGTTCCAGCTGGTCTCCTTACTGAACCTGTTCATCCAGAACGACCTCGCAGCAGTCCCAGTATCTTCACTCCTGGCCAAGTTTCCAGCGCTCCTCTCGATCCTTCCTGGGCCATGAACAATCCCCTAGGTATCTCTACCTCAATGCAGCAACCATACTGTCCTGGCTCCAGTTATCCTTCGGTACGCACCACGAATGATATCCCCATTACTGTTCAATTGCTAATCGTTTCACTACATAGCCACGCCGAATGTACGCTCCTATAGCACCCCATCCCTTAGGCCCTCAGAGTAGAAGCGTGCCTAAGCGCTCTCGCGATGATGATGAGTGCTCGGACCAGATCAAGAGGCGGAAGAGGTCCGACTCAAACACGACTGCGACCATGGAGCTTAGCGACGAAGATAAGCTTCTCATCCAGCTCAAGGACGAGGAGAGCATGCCTTGGAAGGACATCGCTGCTCGGTTCCAGTCTGACCTGGGCAAGACTTACCAGATCCCCGCCCTTCAGATGCGCTTGAAGCGACTTCGCGAGAGAATGCGCGTGTGGACGGAAACAGATGTCAGGGCCCTTCGTCTGGCTCACGAGTACTGGGTCCAGAGCAAGTTCGACATTATCAGTCAGAAGGTCAGTCGCTCCGTGTCCTCAATGCAAGACGTTCGCTAACTAGAGTAGATGTTGGAGTTCGGCGCTGCAGAGAAGTGGACTGTTCGTCAATGTGCCCGCAAATGGGCAGAAATAGACCCAGGCCCGACACCATATAGTGCATACGACCACCCATCATCGTTCGCCCCTTACACCATGAGTCCCGTGGAGGCAACGCCATCATTCATGCCTTACCTCCATGGCCCATAGTGGAAACTTCATGTACACATTCTAGCTCTGTATTCTACGCTTGCTTTTTTGGGTGCGGCGTCTGCATCGTGCATCTAGCCCAGCGTTGTTTTCACGATCTGTTTAACGTTTATACCCTTCTAGCGATTCTTCATCGTTTCCTTTTCTACGAATTACACTGTAGATACATTTTTACCCCTTCACCTGGGTTAACGGGTGTCGGCCGTCCTACCACTTACCTCTGGGGCGGTCCGAATCTCTTCCTGTAAATGCAAAGGCACTACTTTAGGCCATGTCCTGCACGTGCGCCGGCTCTTGTCACGGCACAGCAATGTCATAGAAGAACAAGAATCAATGAACATCTCTCTGCGAGAACAAATTTACATATTGCCGCTCATGCCTGCTGTGCCCGATTTTGCCCTTGCGGTTAAGTGGAATCGTTCCATCTCGTGAAGGTTTTGTACAGTGACCCTCGATCCTCCCCCTTTAGCCCGAAACAGTTGTTAATTCAGTACTATTAGTCGAGCATAATTTTCTAGAAGTAAGAGCGACGAACCATCACATTACAGTTGGCAAAATTCTCCTACTGATCAGCGCAGGATTCTTTCCAAAACTTAGCATGGCATACTGAAGTCCGATGTCAGCCAGTGCCGATCGTTTGAACGACATGACGCATTCCGAAAGTGAATGACGAGAACTTGACAGCGAGCAAAAGCAGGCGACCACTCCCCTCGACTCACACGTTGAGCATCTGCTGGAGCGTCGGTAGTTCATCACAACCTTGATCCCGCTCTTCGTCCTTCCGAACATGAGAAACTGTAGCTAGGTAGTAGCACCACAGCTCGACCAAGTATCTAGGCAACTGAAAGAATCCAATCACATTCAATCATGTATTGTACACCTAAAGGTATCTCAACGGATACATTGACAATGTTATTGGTCCAACTCAGCCGGAAGGGGAGAATTGTCTTGTTGGCTAGGCTACAGGCATATTCTGTCTCACAAGACAGCCCCCCCGAAGCACTGCACCCAATGCCGTCTCTATTTGACAAATCTCATTATAAAATCGCTCTCGAAAACTCTCACTTGTTTTCACATTCATATTCACCTTCTGTGTATCCATTCTTCCAAGCGAAACATCTTCCCAGTTTGCCGCCGTGGCTCTGCAGTAGTTTCATTTTGCACTTTGACGCTACTGGACAAGTTTCAGCGCTGATAAAACAAACCAGAATAGCCTCATTCCAATGAGCTTAGCAGGCTTTGCTTGCCTACCCTGCTGCCGTCCTGGGCCGTGCTTTTCTTGTTCGAAGGATCAAAAAGGCGCCCGTACCTAAGAGGCACAGCTGGGAGGAGAAGTCGTACCACGATTTCGCCCGCGCTCATCAATTTGACTACGGCTACGGACATTACTGACGTGCATGGTTTAATGCAGCTGGGAGCACGAATCACGGAGGGCGGGTGAGGCGGCCGTTGAGGGGATGCTGTCGTTGGTGAGAGATACCCGCAAACTTCGATTCTCGGGCCGTCTACGCCACACACTGTTTAGACGGCAGTCGTTGGAGGAACAATTTTTCACGAATCAAGCTTCCAAGACTGGTATGAATGAAGAAAAGTATCTATATTGACGATATAGTCGGCATTTTTCTTGCTTGCGAGATAGTGCTATGGTGAGCGAGCAGCGGACCTCATAACCGCAATCAGGACTATCGAGGCGTCATCATGGGACAGTATACAACGGTTCCAGGTACCTTTGAAGTTCGAGAAATGACTTGCTAGTCACGTAAACGTTTCCAGGGGCTGTCATGTGACGGATGATGAATACCACAAGCACGTGACGTGTCCTTCATACCCAACACCACATCGGGTTGGAGACAAACCTCCATCTCAAAGTTTGTTTCATTCGCTTATATATGTCTCATGTGGTTTAGTGTATCAAAGTGTTCTTCATTACGTTCAGGTCGGTGAGAATTTCGGGCGAAAGAGATCGCACACAGACACCAGGTTAAGTAGATTGAACAATCCCAGATCGCAAAACAACATGCAAACATCTGAGGTCTGCTTCAACGATCCATTTTTCTAAACTCTAATTACGAGAAGCAGCTAGCCAAGGCGGGATGTTGTATACAGGGAGCGGAAATAGCATACGTGCAGCTTCAACAGCCATCAAGTGTTGAAAGAGATAAATGGATATTCCTCCGGTTTGCTCTTAGGTGACATAGCCCTGGTTATCGATAATGGAATATCGATATTTACCAAGGCAACTCTGTTCCATCAGGCCCAAGGAACTTTCCATGAGCGGATTCGAGAGTCGCATTCTCAATCTGTGCCACAGGAAGTTAGTGATCTCATTTCATAGCCTATGATATATTGTGTCAGGGATATGCATACCAAATTCTTCAACATATTCGTACTCTGTTCCACGGTAATGATATGCGCAGACAGATCGATGCCTTGCGCTTTCAACGCATCGAAGCCGGCCTTACCCATCTCAGTTGCAACCATTCTACAGCAGTGTCAGCGTAGCTTCAATCAAGGAGGGCATGCATGCGAACCCTGGGTGTTGCGCCCAAATCAGCACATTGTCGACCTCCAACGATAACCACTTGAAAAGGAAGTTGCCTAGTGCTTTGCTCGCCCCATAAGCGGAAAGCGGGACAATGTTGCTCATTGTTGTCAAGCTTCCGCCAGCACTGGAGATGTACACAAACTTCCCCTTAGTCTTGCTTTGCTGCAACAGTGGAGATACTGCCTTGAACAGCTCGAGCTGTCCGTATGCATTCACATCGATGTAGGTTTGAATTTCAGAGCTGTCGGCCTCGGTCAATTTTGGAGTTATGCCAGCAATACCGGCATTCGCGACGACAACGTCAATGCTGCTGATGCCGTGGTCCGACTTTAAGGATGCAATTCCACTTCTGATGGACTCAGCACTTGAGACATCAAGTTTGATGATAATGAGTTGAGATCCCGAACCCTTGGAGAGCGAATGGAGGTTTTCAGCAGACGAGGGATCGCGGACTGTGGCTATGACGGTTGTGTTGGCGCTCGCAAGGTGTACAGCCACGAGGCCCTTCCCAATGCCTAACAGACAACGATTCAGTCAAAATCATGAGGAGATTGAAAGGGAATCACTAAACATACCACGGTTCGCACCGGTAATCAAGACTGTATTCTGGGCAGACATTCTGAATAGTAGATTCAATGTGAAAAGATTTTACTTAGTGGATTTTGCGAATCAACGGCAGTACGTGAGAAAATGTTTCAGTGAATGCCTTATGTTGTAATGATAGAATCGGATATAGGAAACGATGTCTTTATACAACATTTTGTACTGTGTTCTTCAAGTTAATAGTTTCGTCCGTCGATGAATAGCGGTCAAAATAGCGGTTACCCACAATGCTTTGCATCCACCACAGAAGTTATCCATCGAAACCTCGACGGACGAAAATTCAATTAGCAGTACCATTATTGCTTCCAAACTCCGCAAGCTCATGGAATTGAATCTGAAATGTGGAGATATCGTAGCATCCAAGCTCCGCAAGAAACTCCGCTAGCGTCGAGACTAGCGGAGTTTCATCAATTGCATTCCACTTCTACGCTGTTCATTCTCTTCCAACTAGTTACCAACAATGCATCGAAACGCCGCTGATGATCAGGTTCAATCAACACATTACCAATCTTGAACTTTTGCGATAGGAGAGATGCCTCAATATGCCAAAAGCATCGCGCCACAAGTCTTGCGTAGCCTGTATACAAACTAAGCGGAAATGCGATAGAACATGGCCGCGTTGTCAGCGATGCATTGCTAGAGGTTCTGCATGTCATTACATCGGTCGGAGTGATGAGCAGCCATCAAGAAGTCATGACCCCGACTTTGACCAGCTCATATCAATCCAGGGCTCTTCGGATGAGCAGGCCCTTTGCAGCTGGGCACTACAACAATGTCCCACAGACCCAGCATCTCTGGTAGACTTGCTCCCGGATAGTACCACATTCGAATTCCCTAATCACCCTTTCAACCTCGGAAGTATGCCTAATGACAATGACCTTTTCATTCACGGCACTCAGGACATCACTATCCATCAGGCACCGAGCAATGATGAGCAAGACATCATGCAAACCACCACACCCAACGCGATGATCCGGACACGTGCAGATTTTGTTGCAAAGCGATTAAGCTCAATACCGAGGACATTTGCAGAACAAGGGCAAACGATGTTCATCCACCGAATGCAGTTCCAGCAGAACTGTCATCCAGCCTTGCAGGATGCAATGAGTGCATGCGCCCTGTATTGCATGACAAATGTGGCGAACCAGGCACTTGTGTTTCAAAACCTGGACCACAAATGTCACCAGCTGATCGCAAGTACCAATGTCGAACTCAGTTCCAAGACGGACCTCCTCGCAGCTCTGCAGGCACTCCTTCTATATCAAATGATGCGGCTGTTCAATGGCGACATCCGTCTAAGAGCCCATGCAGAGGCCGATGGGCCGATTGTAGCATTGTGGGCTAGTCAGCTCGCGACTTACATGTGCAATTCAGATCATTCGCGAATCATAGAATCAGACTCAACGACAATCAGTATGGCGACTATGGAACCAGAATCGGACTGGCAGTCCTGGCTTGTTGACGAGAGTATTCGGCGCACTGTGATCACGTCTTTCCTATTAAATGGTTTATACAACTTTCTTAAGCTGGGTTCTCATAATCCTGTGGACTTGCGTATTTACTTCACTGCACAAACCGCGCTCTGGAGTGCTCAGTCCGGTTTCAGTTGGCGTAGGGCCCGGTTAGAAAGGGAGTCACTCGAAATACGGGTTACAAACTGGCATGAGGCTATGGCAAAGGCGGAACCAAGAGACCTGGAAGAGCTCGGTTTATTGACCATGGTACTATTTTGGGGACTCGAGGGCACACAGGCCTGGTTGGGAGACGAGTTTACAGTCAAGCATGGCCTACAGGCAATATGAGACGATGCGGCACAAAAACTTTCAACGTGTGAAGCTCTTGGTTTTCCTTTGTATACAATACAAATAGCGTTTTAGGAATTTACAGTGGACTATCACAGTCCCTGTATGGGCTCGTATTGCTTGAACTCGCCAGACACGATACAAGGGGCTAAGAGCTGGAGACTGTATACTTTGAGTTACCACCGGCATTTCCCCATCCCTCAGTCGACAATGTCTGGTAATCGTGCGTCCCCAAGTTCAAGCCAAGTGCTTTCCATGCGTCAAAGTGACACTTGGTAGTAACGGTCCCACTCCCAGGACGCTTATCTTGCCTGTTGCTGATGTATTGCCAAAATGTGGATGTGCCGACAATAGACGGTTGATTCACTTGCTGATGCTTCCAGATGTCATAGACAGAGCCATCGCAGGTGACTGTGCCAACCTTTTGTCCTTGGGCCGACCCTGCACCATTGCTGGTGTACTCTTGAACGTAGTATTCGATGAGTGGGTTTTTGGTCCACCCGTAAACAGACACGAGCACGGTCCCAGATGTTGCGCTTGTAGAGCCGCTGAAGTTGATGTTTCTGTGCACAAAATTATTATGATTGTCTTTTACAACAGCACCTAACCTTGCCTTGTTGTTCCAGTTCTCCATCCCTTGCCGACCACAAAATCTCCAGCACCCGAGAACGTCACGGAGTATCCGTTGCTGGAAGGGCTAAAGTTGACATTTCCGCTTGTTTTGTAGTTTTGGTTGTAGTCTTGTCGGCGCGTGATACTGTTGGTACTGAAATCGAAATCTGGACTATCATCACCCGTGGACTTTGCGACCGGAGTCGCGAGCGAGCCTGTGACGGCTGACAGTGCGACCAATAGATGGGTAATAGTGAGCATGATTGACACGGTTCTTGACGTTATAGAGGATAGATTCGATCTTCGTAAAGCTTGGTATCTTGGTATATGCTTATGAGGATCAAGCTTTGAATTTATATGCGCCAAGGGCTAAATGACCGGGTGTATAGGCAGGTCATTCTGCATAATGTGAGCCAGATGGTTGGTAGTCCATGGTTGGTAGGTTATTGCCTTGATCAAAAAGAGACCAGGTAGCCTGGAAGCCGAATGATATCTGCCGTAGTCTATCATGCTCAAATTGCGGGGAAATTAATTTCCAGAGTGCGGGGAGCGAATGATGATGAGATTATGTTCAATAAATGCTCATAGTTTGATAATGATGTTAGTTTACAGGTCCAGGTCATGAGAACGAGGCCAGTCAGGCGCTATTCGGTTTTGCCTCGGACCGCGTATACGTAATCTTCGTTTTGTCTAGATAGGCAGACCCCTTGCGTATTTAATATCTACCCGGAACTTGTGAATCTGTTATTACCCTTCCCTGACGTGATTGATTATCCGATTCGAATTGATTCCCTTAATGGAAACGGCGGCCGGCGTGCGTCAAAGGCGCCGGAGACGTGTGCTCGATGAGGATCGGAAAAGGGCACCTCGAGCGTGAGTAGTACAATTACGTTAAAGCTCATTGATCAAACTCGTGCTGATACTTATTTTCAGATGCACTCGTTGCAAAGCGCGTAAGAGCAAATGCATAGAAACACCACATGGAGTATGCCAGAGGTGCCAACAGCAATCACTGCCATGTCACTTTGAGCGCACACGAAGCCCTCCAGCTACTATTGATCCAGACATCTTGAGTGATGGCCAAACTAGCCCTATCGCAACGTTTGAAACCGATGGACGTATGAAGCAACGATTTATTGTGCTAATGAAACTTCCATCGCTAAAATTCGAATAGCAACAGCTCCATCGCATGGCTTCATGTGGCCCCGATTCCTCTCCAAATTGCGCGAAACCTTTTCGCTTGTCCCTAGTTCCCGTCCAGAATCCGAATCTCGAGTAAATCCACAATATGTAGGTTATCAACATCGTATATTTTCAATTTGAAACACTTCAACTAATCGTTCAGAAACCTCCCACCCATCACCTTCAACCTGAGCAGGCCCGAAGACTCCAAAAGGCTGTGGATGCCTTCCCTCCACGGCCCATTGCAGATTTCCTACTTTCTGTGTGCAATGAGCATGGCACTGATGCATTTTTCTACTTCGACCAAGCCCAGATGATCAAGGATATCGAAAATTTCTATACGTCTGAAGACTCTCATTTGCGACAAGATGTCGGTTTCGTCTGCCTGGCGCACGCCGCATTCGCGTTGGGGAGTCAATGGGCCACGCTGGTTCGGCCCCAATCATCACACCCAAACCCCCTTGATAACGATGGAGACCCAGGGCGTATCTTCTACCACCAGGCTCGTTCCCTGATCCCTGAGATTATCGAGCTCAATGTAATTCGTGCAGTGCAAGCATCGTATCTGATCGGAGTCTATCTACTTCCCGCCAGCGCTATTGGGTCATCATATATTTACCTTGGGCTTGCATTGAGAAAGGCTCTCGCGCTGGACTTGCATTTGAAATCAGAAGACATTGTTGCCGACGCGACAGAAAGGGAAATACGCTGTAGACTGTGGTGGGCTATCTATTCTCTAGAAAGGCAAGACAACGGACCTTTTACAGTCTTTCACCCGATTTAACATCCGTACAGAAACACAGCGATTAAGCTGAACAGGCCTCGATCCATCGATGCATCAGCCATTACTGCAGATTTGCCGACGACTTCTCCATCTTTGGATGATCGACAGGTCTTCAACAACATCGATCATCAGATCGCAAATGCACAGTTGACCAAAATCATCGACCTTGTCGAAGAACCGATGTAAGCTATATATCAGTGCTGTTTAATGTCCTTGTTTTCGCGCAACTAATCAATCATCAACAGAGCGTCACAAAGTCTGCTTCTTCGAATCGACAGAGAACTTAAGTCATGGAAACAAGCACTACCTCCAAGTTTACGGTTACAGAACATCGACCCCAAATCTTCAAGCTATCGTGCTGCATTCCACTTGTATCTCAATTATTATTTTACATGGATATCGATGGGCAAAGTCAGCGTTGTCGCCATTGTTAGGGCGCATCTCAGGAAGCACCTCGCGCAGGACAACCAACCTATAGAACTGTCAGAGCATGCGCACTACTTATCGCAAACATGCATCAAAGCAGCCAGGAAGATTCTTCATCTTCTAGAAGACGTCCGACGCACGGGAAACCTGACACGATTTTCATTCACGGATTTCCAAGGTTGTAGCATAGCAACCACAGTAATTCTTTTGGCGGGAATACTGGAACGGGACGCTAGTTACGAGAGACTCGTAGTGTTTGGGCTGGACAGCCTGCGAAAGATGGCCGAGGGCAACGCAACCGCCACGGCTGGTGTCGGGTTTGTCGAAGCACTACAGTCCATTGCTGACGAGGCAGTGGAGAAGATGAATCAAACCGAAACGCTTCCACCTGCAACAAATTTTGGATCGCGAGAATCGGACTACAATACTTGGGCACAGTGGCTGGCGCAACAGTCCGGACAAGTGGATGAATCGGTCGATTCTCTCCATCAACGAACATTTGAAGCCGAAGAGCCGATCCAAACGCATGGTTCTGCGCTCTCGCCGGAGTCATCAACTGCGTTCACTAGGTGGGATGGAGCTACCGCCCTGCAGCAGCTTTCAGAACCAGCATATACGGCCACAATGCTCAGCGTTCAAGATCAAACCACGCCAACTCCGTTGTCTCACTTTGATGGTTCGTACTCTTCGATCCAATTTAATCAAGATCCCACGTTCCTCATGGGTCTCACTGGTATTGATATGCTGGGTTTTGATTTTCAGCCATAAGACTGCTGTGTCTCCATAGGAGATCGTCATACAAGAAAAAGAAATTCTTTCAACACACTTCTACATCCTACAACAGTGACTGAATCCGCACTGGCGCATTTGCATCCTCTGCGAGACCACTCCACCGGCTTTTGTACACTCGGCCCTCCTTCATAACGCCTTTAAGGAATTGATCAGGCTTGTCGAAAATAGTAATGTCGTCCAACGGATTTGCGGCAAGGAACAATATATCCGCCTCGAATCCTTCTTTGATTTGTCCTAAGTTATCTGCGTGTCCAAGCATTTGCGCGGGGTTCAACGTTGCACTGCGCAAAACCTCGATAGGGGCGAGAACTTTCGATCGCAAGGAGAACTCGTGCGTCTGAGCGGATCCAAGAGGGCCTATAATATTGTTAGCAGCGTGATCGTGTAGGACTGAATGGGATGTAAGCATACCCAACAAATCAGTACCAAAGCACATCTTGACGTTAGCCTCGGAAGCAATCTTGAGCGCCCTCAGCCCAGCTTCGAGTACTTGTGTGTTCTTCGACTTCTCCGACGGTGGCAGGAAACCTTCCCACTTTGGCGAGGCCATTTCGTTGTAGGTGATGAGTGTTGGAGTCAAATAGACATCGTTCTCCACCAGCAGCTTAGCTGTTTCCTTGTCGAGGAAGTTTCCATGCTCAATTCCCTTGACACCATTCTCAACGCAATGTCGAATGGCCTCGGGTGTGTAGGCATGAGCTGTCACATAGGTTCCAGCATTTTTGGCGCAACCAACCATAGCTCTGATCTCCTCCGGTGTGAACTGCAGGTGGGAGATCTTGTCGGTTGGGCTGCTAACACCTCCCGAACCCATGATCTTGATGAAGTCGCTGCCGCTGCGGATCTCCTCGCGGACGGCCTGCATGCACTCTGCGGCACCGTTGCAGACTCGGCCAAGACCATTTGTGGCACCACCACAGCAAGCGGAGTGGTCGTGCTTGTTGCGGAAATCTGCATGACCGCCGGACTGACTGAGAGCATGCCCGGCAATGAAAAGACGTGGGCCTGGGAAGACGCCGTCCTCGATCGCTTCCTTGAGTGCTGAGTGCGCGCCGCCGCAGTCGCGGATGGATGTGAAGCCGCGGTGCAACATTTGGGAGCAGACATACGGTTGTCGGAGTAGGCTCACTGATTCAGGGTTTCCGAACGCTGCAGAAAGGTTGTCGAAACCGGGAGTAGCTATCAGGTGCACATGACAATCGATGAGCCCAGGGGACAAGTAAATGCCTGTGCAGTCGACTTCCTTGAAGCCTGGTTGTGGTTTTTGGTTGCTTGTGGTAGAGGCAATCGTGGTTATCTTGCCATCTTCTACGGTGACATCGACGTTTCCGCGTATTGAACCCTTCACGACATCGACTATCGAAGCATTGCGAAGGATGTAGGAGTTCTGTGTTGGCCTGAGCCAAGGCTTGAGATCTGCCTCCGCGACCATATTGTGATAATGTGTGGATGTTGTTAGGTGTGGTTTTCAAGGAGAAGATAGGTATATTCCAACACTTGTTTCTCTGTAATAGAAGTTTTGGAAGATTGCCCAGAGAAATATCAAGAGCGGAGATAACTTGTAGATAGAGTATCAGGAACATAGCTTGCCCTAGCGTCGGCAGTCTGCCATCCAGATATGCGGGCACTTGTGCGTAGGCTAGACGGATTGCCGACACTTGTCACATTCCGATGGCAACGATCCGACGGCAATCTGCCACTTATCTTTTCCCCAGATTTCTAAACCCCAGCAATTTCCACTGCCAATTCCAAATGATAACCACCAAGGAGAAATCCAAGTGAATGGATAGGGCGGAGTCTTAGCGCAGGGTTCTTCTATCCCACACAGGATATCATAGCTCTTTATCAACCGGGTCAGCCCAGTCATGTTCGCAGTGGCCACTTAAATAAGTCCCAATGCTCCTCCTTGCATATCTATCAGGACTCTGAACGCCGCCTTCTTTGCCTCAGTATTTGCATCATACAATGTCCACGGCCATCGAGAAAACCATGTCGGACCCGAAGCATGCGCATGAGCATGAGCACGAGCACGAGCTTGATGCGGCCGGGCAACCAAAGAGTGAGGAGATAGGAGATGTCATTGGAGCCGGCTCCTACACAGCGGAAGAAGAGAAACAAGTGTTGCGCAAGATTGATCTCACCATTCTACCGTTGATGTGTCTGGTCTTCTTCATGCAAGTGTGTATAGACATTCTATTCCACCATATGCTCATTGCTGACGCATTCCAGTATCTCGACAAACAAAGTTTGAGTTATGCAGCCGTATGTTATTACCATATCCATTTTATCTACAAATCTAATAGTACCATTATAGATCTTCGGCCTCCTCAAAGACCTAAACCTAACGAGTGTACAATATTCATGGTGCTCTTCAATCTTCTATGTTGGCCAGCTTGTGAGTCTGTCCGAATTTGCACTTCGTATTTAAGATTCACGCTAACCATGCAACAGGTAGCAGAGTACCCTTTCATCTACTTGATGTCCAAACTTCCCCTTACCAAGTTCGTCGGAATAACGGTCATAATATGGGGTGTAGTTTGCATGTGTCTCGCTGCACCCCAGAATTTCGCTGGTTTCGCAGCGGTGCGATTCCTGCTTGGATTTACTGAAGGCGCGGTGTCACCCGCCTTTGTAACAATTACCTCTATCTGGTACCAGAAGAATGAGCACGCCACAAGAACTGCGTAAGTCTTCTGTAACATTCGAATGCTATCGAAAGCTAACTTGCAAAGTCTATGGGTCACCATGAATGGAGCAGCCCAGGTCATTGGTTGTCTGCTCATGTACGGAATCGGCAAGAACCCCTCACTAACGATTCAGCCATGGCGGGTTATGTTCATCGTCTGCGGTGCGCTTACAGCATTTTCTGGTGTCCTTTTCTTTTTCTTGATGCCTAACGGTCCTAAGAACGCCTGGTTCCTGAACGCTCGCGAGAAAGAGGTACTATCACTACGCATGGCGAAGGACCGAGAGGGTGGTGATAAGACCTCATTCTCCGTGAGGCAGCTTAAAGAATCATTGCTGGACGTGAAGACATGGTTCGTCTTCTCGTTTGGTGTGCTAGTGACTATGCAGTCGCCCGTTCTTACAGTAGGTTATCAACCAGGGAATGGCTTGGGTTGAATGCTGACACCTCTGCTAGTTTGCTTCGCTCGTCATCAACACTATCGGTTATGATAAGTACCAGACCATGTTGTACACTTCGCCATCAGGAGCGGCACAGATCCTGCTCTTGTGGATTGGTGTCTTCGGGTGCTGGCTATTCCCCCGCAATCGTACCGCTGTGGTCCTCGTGCTGATCATTCCACCTATCATCGGCAACGTTCTGCTGCTTAAGTTGTCAGTTGACGCTGGTTGGGGATTGATCGCTGCATCATGGCTAGCCTCCTGCATCACCGCCGTCATGTCACCACTCCTATCGCTCACAGCCTCCAACGTAAAGGGAAACACGAAAAGATCTGTGGTCAGTGCAGTGTTCTTCATCGGCTATTGCGCAGGCTGCATTGCGTCTCCTCAACTCTGGACGGAGAAGCCACGATACTTCAACGGTGTGGTTACTGCCCTCGTTACTTGGTGTCTGTTGTTTGTTGTAGTCAGTGCCTACTGGTTCGTGTGCAAGCGCGACAACATGAAAAGAGACCAGGCCGCTTCGAACGGTGGACAGAGTGACGACTTGGACCATGTTGTGTTGGACAAGAACGGCCTGCCAATTACAGATTTAACAGACAAGGAGGACTCGAACTTCAGATATAGCTGGTAAATCTTTCTTTTACTCTTCTCCAGGGCCCATTCTTGCACTTCTAGAGTGTGGTCGAATGACTCGCGGCAGAGGGAGAGTTGAGTGCGATAAATTAGTCGTCTATCTGTCTCAACTATGATAAGTAAAGAAAAATAGGCAGAAACAATGAAACCGTTAAATATTGCAATGATAAACATTCAGATATACATCTATTTGATCTTTTCATATTCAGGAAGTGCCCACTTGACCATCCATTCCGACTCAAGAACTTGCTTCGCGGTGCTGCGATCCTCAGGTCTAAATGCAAGCATTGGACGTAGCATGTCAAAAATCGCTCTCTTCTCCGGAGGACTGATCAAGGGCATCGCATATTCCTCCCTCGGCCGTTGCAGGCTATCCATGAATCGGTCATCCCAAGAGCGATAATGAGTCCGGTTGATTGGCGTGGCGTCCTCTGTAAACTTTTCTCCTCGCGCCTCCCACGCTTCCCACCACTCAGGCGGTAGGATACCAAGGGTGTCAGCCTGCTCACAGGTCATATCGTCCTCCGTAGCAAGGAGTCCTTCGAACAGCGGTCTTTGAGCAATAATAGCCCAGATGGTGCAGGCGAGACTCCAAATGTCTGACGAAAACGCGAATGGCTTGTTTGGTTCGAAGCGAGCTTCAGGTGGACGGAAGACGAGAGGGGCATGAGAGATATACCTGGTTTCTTGGGGATAAGAGAAGGATTCGCCAAAGTCCGTGAGTAGGAGTCGGGCTTCTCCAAGTTTGATCTTCTCGCTGGCTTCTCCAAGCCATATTGGCACCACACCGTGCGATGGGACACCAGGAAGAAGTGCTTCCCCATCGAAACGCACGATTGGTTCCAGCTCAGGTTCTCCGTATGTTTCATAAATCTTTTCAGGTGAGATCTGATCAAATTCAGGCTGACTTTTTAGAAGTATATTGCCAATATGAAGATCTCCATGGACAATGCCTACTGTATGAAGGAAATCTACAGCATGAATAAGTTGCGCTGCCAACGCCCGGGCAACGTCAAGATGGAACAGACGATTCCAGGAACCGTCTTTCAAATCAGCTATACTAGCTCGGGCGGGTGCTGTGGCGTAGCACGGATGATCTCCGTTGGGTCCATGGGTGGTGAAGGTATCCAGGATCGTAGGAACCATTGCCCTGCCTTGGGCACAGAGCGCGGTTTCATGTCTAGCCAAGCTATTTATGATGTCGACTTCACGGGATTTCGACTCTGCTATGCAGATTTTCAGCGCAACATATCGATCAGACCGTTCATCGCGGGCCAACCATGTAGTTGAAAAAGTGCCGTGTCCAAGCTTATGGATAACTCGGTACCGATGACGAAGTACTTCTCCAATTTTAACAGGATGGTAACCCCCTAATCGATAGTTCTCGAGCCTTTCTATCCCCTCAAGGGGTTCGTATAAAGAGTCATGTTTACGGTATTGTTTTGGGGCTGTTGAGAATAATTCTTTTCCCGTGAAGGTGCGATCCAAATGGCTGTGACGGTATGGTACCAACGTCTTGAGAAGACGTGCAGAGTGAACTTGGCAATGTAGAATACGTGAACACGGCCAGGGAAGTTTTGATATCAATGCAAAAGGAATTTCCATTTCATGGCGTTGATTGTCGCAGTAAAGACTAAACCGTTGAGATGCAGACTGATCCAGGGTTTACGCGAGACCCAACCGCGTCGTGGCTGGCCTCCTGCATCCCCACTGTCATGCCAACCTTGATAATATATGCAGAAATAACTTAGCGGACCAATGTCACAATAGCATATAATGAAAGTAGGCGGTCGAATTGGCTTCTAGATGGTTCCATCATCTCCCTGTCATCAATCGAAGTCTAATATAAGGAATGAACAGAGATGGCGGTCATGATTAGGGACGAGGGGTTTGTACGTAGAAAACCATCTTATCGATAGCGCAGCTTCAATAGAATTCGGATTTACGATGTACCTTAACTCCGGAGTCTCCACGAATAAGATCAACTATGCGTCATCAGAGTGTTTGACCTCAAGGGTACATGCATCGTTGCCTTATGGAACTACTTCTCTTCAATAACAATCCACCTGAACATGCGAATTGCTCTCAAACGACTTCCTAGGCAGCTCCCAATTTCCCCTCCATTTGCAAAACCCCAATTTCGCCCATTTCACGCCTCAGCCTCGTCAGCAGCAATGTCAAAACTCACCATCAACACGAAGTACCGCATGCCATCAGGGCATGAGATCCCCGCCCTTGGATACGGAGTATACCAGACACCAGCAGCGATAGCATCCGAGGTAGTGCAACACGCACTCTCAGTCGGATATCGCCATGTCGACTCCGCAGTTGCATACCGTAACGAGACACCATCCGTAGAGGGAATGAATGCGTCCAAAATACCACGAGAAGATCTATTTTTCACCACGAAGATTCCCCCCAAGCAGTTGAGCTACGAGGGCGCGAAACAGCATATCGCGAATACGTTTGAAATCACGGGACTGGACTACGTGGATCTTTATCTGATTCATGCGCCGTATGGTGGCAAAGAGGCGCGGATTGGTGCGTGGAAGGCGCTTGTTGAGGGCGTTGAAGCGGGGAAGATTCGATCTATCGGGGTGTCAAACTATGGTGTTCATCATCTCGATGAGCTGGAAGCGTGGATCAAGTCGACGGATGAGAAAGAGGGAGAGGGAAAGGGAGGCGTGCTGAGCGTGAATCAAGTCGAGTTGCACCCGTGGCTCGCTAGGGATGATATTGTGGAGTGGTGCAACAAGCGGGGTGTCATACTGGAGGCATACTGTCCGCTTGTACGAGCGACTAAGAGCGAAGATCCTTTATTACTGCCATTAGCGAAGAAGTATGGGAAGACGACAGCTCAGATCTTGCTACGGTGGGGTTTGCAAAAGGTGAGTTATACATTTGCACGACATAGCTTCAATCGCATACTGACAGAAGTGTTAGGGGTTCGTCATTCTCCCTAAGTCGGTCACGAAATCACGCATCGAGGAAAATGCTCAACTCTACGACTTCGAACTTTCTGATGAGGAGATGAAGCAACTACATACCGGGGTATATGAACCTTGTGCCTGGGACCCTACCGTGAGCCAAGATTAAGTTTTTGTCTAGGAATGTGAGCCTTTGTTCAAGAAAAATTTCTACTACAAATGAATAAGATCTATTGTGGCCGATATCTTTCTATGTTGACATCCATTGGAATGTGTTTCTGGTTTCAAATGCAGAAGGAAACTTGTCAAGCAGGACAAGAAATAAATCGTCGGTCGCTGCAATGTGGAAAGTGCTATGCAAGTATGCGATTTCTTTGGCATTTATGAGCGTATCCGCAAACATATATGGAGAAAGGAGTACATACCCCTTATTTATTGTTGTGCGTGGAAAACGTATCCCCCAATGACCTGTGGACCATCGCAAATGGTGGAAACGAAACATCGCACGCTTCAAAGTAGCATAATCCACTCTCGAATCCACAGTCGAATCCACACATACCAAAGCCCTAAACATAGGGAAGAGTCAAGGCACGATACTTTTCAGGACTACATTTCTACTCTTGGGGACGAGTATCCACCAAGGAAAGATCTAGAACGATGCGCGCACGAACCCGGGGTGGGATTGCCACTTCATTTATAGTCGGAAAACTCACGAGATCGCAACTAGACGCTCGCGACTCTCGGGCCGGCCGGAGGGCGGATTATGCGATGCTCAAAGCGCAATTCTAGCTTTGGGATATCGATAGTGCATCACGGATATTCCGGTCCCACGTGCTTGAAAGGAGCTTGGGATTCGAGTATTGATGCCTGACGAGAGGGAGAAAATGGGTTTCATTTTGAATAGATGACCAGTAGGGACGGGGAAGAAATGCTTTGAAATTTGCTTTCTGTGAGTGGCATTGGATAATTAGATCGTCATATTACGATACACCTTCGGGAGTGCCGGATATCAGTAGACATCGTGATATAGCAAGGACGAGCTGGTTAAATGTATCAGTTCCAAACCACTTACAGCATCAGGCACACTGTTGAAAGAAGCTCAAGCCTGTGTACATTTACCATCAGCATTTCATCAGGGGCAATGCTTTTCGAAAATTTAAAAATCTGATCTATCAATAGAGCTTGATTCCCAGTTGCCACAGCTATGGAAAAACAGAGTATGCAGTACAAGAAAGCATAGAATCAGCCAAGGATTTGCAAAGCGGGGAAAGGGGAAGAATATTGAGCACAGAATGGAGAACCCCTTCCCCTTGAATCTGTTAACATCTTACGTGGTCACCTTGCTTGGGGTACATGTTGAGAGTGGGTCAGAGTGACGCATATGTGCATGTGTACGAGCGTGTGGACGAGAGAGCACTTTGTGTTCGTTCGGTAAGTGGTTACTATTCTTACAATGGTCCGAACCTCGTGAGTAACAGAAATACTTTTGGTGTCATAGCGGAAGGGGACCCGACCTTGAAGGGCCGATCTCGGGTAGCTCACCAGACCCAGCCATCGAGAGTCAAGACAGAGAGAAAGGTCATAACATACCACCGCTGTTGAAATTTGTTCCATATGGTAGCCATCGATCCATGAATCTAGAGAATCCAGACACAATATTCTAGGAACAGGTACGTACCAAGTGACTAATAGCAGGTACCATTACTCGACGCAAGGGGGGATGTTCTAACTTCTTCCACAGTCCCGTCTCCCGCAAGACCCTTCGAAACCTTCCCCGTAGTTTGGATCCACAATACACGTAATAGGAAATCTTCATCTTTCCACTATTCTGATTCGTCACTTGGGTCTGGACCTTTTTTCCCACTTTAGCCCTCTGACCTCATTTTCGACCTTCGTCGCGTTTTCGCCGAGGCCGTCTATTTTTTTCTACATACACTGTTCCTGGCGTGCCTGGCAAGGGTACATACATATACCGAAGTGGGCTCCGTTGCAACACATACCTAATCTCCATAATTCCTAATAAAATCGCATCAACATCCCCTTGGATTCCCCTCTTCAATCCTCTCAATTCAGATTCCGCAATCATCCGCCTGTGGCGATATAGAATAAATTTTCGTACCTTATTTTTTAGCATACAGGTTAGTCAATCTCACAGTTAACACTCGCAATACATTTATCACATCTTATAATACTAATTCTCAACTTTCAGCATACTTTTCTTCTTTTCAGCATACCATAATGACACACTCAACTGAACCCATCGATCCGGGACCCTCCTCCCACGAACTCGAGGATTGGCCTCCTCAGTTCGAAACAGATGCGCAAAACACCGCCACGAACACTCCCGATTACCAACGAAGCGCAACCCCAGTATCCCCCGAAAGACACGGTAGACCTAGAGTCCGATTCGATAGTCGAGCAGCGGCAGCACCACCTCCTACGTCCACCGAACGACCCGCCGCAGCAGCTCCGGAACAACAGCGCTCCCCGCCAGGGCTCAAGAAACCAAGGCCTGTGTTGTCCAGAAACCCCAACTCGTCGAGCTCAGTGGTCTCTGAGGCTTTCTCAGACGAGTCTATGAGCGCAGAGAAAGCCAAGTCGGCTGCAGATGCTGCTCGGCGCGCCCAGGCAATGGCCATCGAGGCGTGGAATGAATCTACAACTACCCACGCACAATCACAAGACGCAACGAGGCGGTGGTCATCTGGGTCGGAGGCATTCACCGATCCGGATTTCGCGGAGCGCGGTTATACGAGCGACTACACTCGACTTCAGGATTTGGAAGCAGGTCAGCAGAGAGAGGGAGAACCACAAGGGGGTTTCAATGCCGAGGCAGCAAATTTGCTCCGCGCTCACACACAAATTCTACACAACAAATCTACTGCGGCAGAGGGTAAGTCTTTGTCTCTTTATCTAGTTCTCAAGTTTGCTCTGGTTGCCTATTGCGCCTGTTTCGAAGTGCATGCGAGCATTGAGTTCTGTAAATCGCTAGATTTCACGACTGACAAGACGTAGCTGCGGCGAACTCCTCGGAGAATGATCTCCTCGAAGATGGATATACTGCTTCTGGGAATCCCAGGGGTGGAGTGTTCTATCATATTCTACAAGCGTACAGGACTCCTGCGTATGATCCCACTCAATCATATAAAGTCGAGACGCCCGAAACTCCCGGAACTCCCAGGACACCAGGAACACCGCAAGGGGGACGCCGCAAGAAGTGGTACGACCAACCAGAGAAGGATGCACAATCCCAAGAGACTCTTGCTCGACTGATTGGAGCATCAACGAAACTTGCAAACCCCAACGACAGTAAACCTGCACCAACGGGTACGCCTGAAATGAGGAAACGCAAGCACAAGAGGAACTCGAGTGGTCGCTTCATGTCCATGGTAGGCCTCTCCCAGGAACATGAGGCTAAGATTACGGTCCACGTCGCCGATATTCTTCAGCGTCAGAAATATCTGATAAAGATGTGTAAAGCACTTATGTTGTTCGGCGCACCCACTCACCGCTTGGAAGAGTATCTGACCATGGCGGCGAAAGTTTTGGAAATAGACAGCCAGTTTCTGTACATCCCAGGCTGCATGATTATTTCCTTCGGCGATGTCCTCACTCATACGACTGAGGTCAAGATCGTGCGGACAGTCCAAGGCGTTAACTTGGGCAAACTGAAGGATATCCATCAAATCTACAAGGAGGTGCTACATGATGTGATCAGCTTGGAGGAGTCTCTGACGAGGCTCGACACCATCATCAACGCCAAAGATAGCTATCCAACTTGGCTTTGTGTGTTGATGTACGGTCTTGCAAGTACAGCAGTCTCCGTGTTCTTTAAGGCGCGCTTCATCGACATGCCGGTGATCTTCTGTCTCGGCACCCTCCTGGGCGTTCTGCAGCTCTACATCGCGCCCCTTTCAAAAACTTACAGCACCGTCTTCGAGGTCAGCGCTGCTATCTTGATAACTTTCATTTCTCGTGCACTCGCAAGTCTACGAGGCGGCAATCTTTTCTGCTTTTCTGCCTTGACACAGAGTGGCATTGCGATGATTCTTCCCGGATGGCTTGTTCTATCCTCTTCTCTCGAGCTACAGTCCAAGGCAATAGTGCCTGGATCTATTCGTATGGTCTTCGCCATCATCTACTCACTCTTTTTAGGATACGGTATCACAGTCGGAACTGCACTCTACGGTGCAATCGTGCGTTAACCCAAAATTATAGGTTAAGCTAAATGCTGACCCATTGCCAGGACAAAAACGCTACAATGCAGACAGAATGCGCTGCTCCCCTAAGCCCATATTGGAACTTCCTTTTCGTTCCTCTCTACATCTTCTTCGTCACATTCACAGTACAGGCCAAATTGAAGCAAATGCCAGTCATGATCCGTAAGTCCTTACTTTCCCCATCGCCCCTCTGTCTACCACCTATTCTAACCTTCAACGCACACAGTAATTGCAACAGCCGGCTACACCGTAAACTTCTTCAGCTCAAAGCGCTTCTCCGCCTCCGCACCCATCGCCTACACATTTGGCGCCTTCGCCGTCGGCGTGCTCGCAAACCTGTACAGTCGACTCCGCCACGGCGTCGCGGCCGCCGTCCTCCTCCCAGCCGTCTACGTCCAAGTCCCCGGCTCCCTCGCCTCGAGCGGCGCCATCACCAGCGGATTGCAGACCGCGACCCTCCTCACGGATCCTTCGGGAACAGTAAGTACATTGAACAAAGTGAATATTCACCATACCAAAGCGAACACGATGATTCGCAGCATCAGACCATGTAAAACTATATGTAACAGGGCGTTCGACCTTTAGACGACCCCTTTGCCCGACTCGTCTCGCCGAAAGCTTCAAGATGCATGGAGTCATTTCGTCTGTCACGTTCGCGGCGCTTCTACGAAGCTATCCCCCCAAACCTATGTCTCCCTCCACGTCTCTGTAGTCAAGACGTGTGTAGATAGGCCCAAACCCACACTCGCACACCGCTCATGGCGTTCTTGATGACCTCCCCCGACTTCTGCTAATATCCTCCACAGCCTGCCGACACGACCGCCCTGAATGGAATCGTAAGTCTCATATCCCCAGTCGTCCATTCGCACCTTTCGCCTCCCGCTAACATAATTCAAAGGTCTTCAACGTCGCAGCCAGTATGATCCAAATAGCAATAGGAATCACCGTCGGCCTCTTCATGTCGGCACTAGTCGTCTATCCGATGGGCAAGCGAAGGAGTGGACTATGGACTCTATAAAAGGAGTCATGTCTTATATCCTCGCCTAATCGGTTCATAACCCATTCATATTTTTACTCTGGTAATAGGAGTGAAATGATGGAAATGACGTTGATTACGGTTATAAAAGTTAAATAGACAACCAAGGAGGCGACCTAGAATATTAATAGATCTTTGGGATTCAATCCAGTGCAAATGATACTGAACACCTTGCTTCCAAACTTTCTCATGCGACTCTAGGACATCTTATACCGTGAAATTGCCTCATCGATTCTTGTCGGCCAGCTGGTAGCCATGTGAATCTGTGTGACCATTTCCCCAAGGCCATGGAAGAACACTTTGTGAGTGGCTTCAAGTTCCTACTACTGACAAGACTTCGATCTCTTGAAAGGGCGTAGTGGCCGTCGTATACTCGTCAAAGACCTGTTTGCTGACAACACCAGGTTCCAATCCAACGAACTCTCCCTTAGTCGAATCAAGCCTTACTAGACCCCCCAACGGAATCGTCAAAATGGGGTCTGTATGCCCAACATCGACATTCAACAACACCGGCCCTTGAAACCCGCTGACATCAAGCACTCCACCCAACACCTTCTCGAACTCTTCCTGCACCCCTTCCAAATTCGCCCCTACCAACCTCCCGAACACCACACCCTTCACCTGCTCAAACACACCCATATTGGCCAATTGAACAAGCTGTTCCCGCGTCTTCTGTATCGGCGCCGGCGACCCCATAACCGCACCAAACGACGACTCGAGCAAAAGAATCGCGCCCTTCAACGGCGGAAAATACTTGCTTCCTGCCAGACTCAGAAAAGCCGTCAACACGCCTCCCAAAATCGGCCCCGTCGCACTACCCTCGCGGAACCATTTCCAAGTCGGTGACGCGATGAGACTTCGCGGGATCTCAGCCGCCTTGTCTGCGCCTGTTATGAAGGCTGAAAGCTCTGGAGCCCATTGCTCGGAGCGCGGGAATGCGCCGATGGGAGTGTTGGCGCTGCTGGAGAGGACGTGGAGGAAGTGGGAAGTCGTGAAGTCTATTGGCTTCGGGAACTCTGCTAATTCTAGTAACGCGGTTGGGCCGTAGAAGGTTCGCAATTGAGCCTGTGAATACAGTGCGCCGTGGAGATTGGTGATGTCGGAGTAGCCACAGAATATCTTTGGATTGGCGCGAATCAGGTCGTAATCTAGGTGCTGCAATAGTTCACTAGAAGTGTTTCCGCCTGAGGTGCAAATTATGGCTTTGATGTGCGGACTGCTGAATGCTTGGTGTAGCTCGTTGCAGCGTTGTGCGATCTGGGTTGCGTGGTCTTCAGATAGAGGGCTGGTGAATATAACTTCCACGCGGAAACCAAGCGTTTCGATATATTTTGTTGCGCGTTCGAGTGCGGACGGCCAGATGTCATTGAGTCTTCCGGAGGGTGACACAAATGCAATAGTGTCTCCTTGCTGAAGCGCCTGTGGGGTTGTAGCCTCTTCCATTGTGTAAGGCTGTATTACTGTTTGATCACTTTGCATATCTCAAGTCACTTTCAGAGATTCATAGTTAGCTCAAACACACCTCGCGCGGCTTGGAGAATCGCATACATTCAGGACCCCACACACGGTCGTATTGTCGATCAGGATCACTCACGATAAATCGAATCACAGATGGTGGCCTGAACATGCTGACAAGCAGGCAAAGAGACATGCGTGCATTCTTCGATTGAGCCTTGGCCAGGCAGATGCGGGGGCTGACCATATATGTAGTGGCACCTATCCAGGAGTTGCACTCATAATTTCTGATCTTACTTCAACTTTTTGTGGTTCGTAAGGCAATGTCGAACGGATAAATTTCAATGTGTACCATTAACAGTATCGATACGGCACATTTAACCGAACCAGACACATCTCTCGTACTACAGTGCTGTAATCGAGGACAGCCCTGGAATCTTTGTTGAATCTATTCTGACGATGAAAAGACGGGTTTGGGTTGAATAATTGGTGTTGATGGTCTGGATGGCGCCCAAATTGGTAAAGAGAATCTCGCCGAATCAAGCAAGATATCAGAAAGTGCTATCAAACCATCTGGTCGAGTCTTAACAATATCTGAGCCCAAAAAGAACATACGCTCTAGCTGCCGCTATAATCCATCATGCTTGGATCAAATTGAACCCGCGCTGGTGCTCGTCTGCGGCTGGTTCTCTAAGAAACCTCGAATTCCTGCGATATATTGCAAAGAGTGAGATTTTCACTTGATGATTATCGTATATGCGCATTTGCAAGGAGCGGTCGAGATCATGGGAGTATGAACAATGCATGATCACGGAGTTCAGGAATAGCAAGGCTGACAGGTACACATTGAGCAAATTACCGGGGGCGATATCGGGCCTCCCGTCTCTTCAACGATCACTTGTAGTTATTCTCTGCTTACTCTCTCTCTGCCTGCAATCACCATCAATATCCATCAAGTCAATACCTGCCTAAAAAGATCTATCGTAGGTGTCCGCATGAACATCGCGGTCTGGAGATGTAAACGATAAGATTATCGCTCTTACTGAATGTGTTCACATACGTCCGATACTAGCGCTACTATTATATATCCTCAGATGATGCAATGCATCGTCAACTATCAATAACGCAACTGATGAAACAATAGATATGGCAACCTGCCTAAGTGAGTGAAATCAAAAGACCCTTTGATCTCCAGAGATCCCACGGTCGTCGGCAGGCCTGACTTCGGACCTTGGCCAAAGCGTGTTTTAGGAAAGTAGTGAGTATCTGCCCTGGCTGATCGATTTCTGGGCACTTTCGGACTCTTGGCACCAGGAACATTGACCTTCCGTTTCGGGCGCTTAAAAATATGGTTTAGGGGTGTCCAATGATGAGCAGCATAGTGAAGGAGGATATTTTTGCGATTACGGTTTGGTGAGGATGGGGGCGCGACGGTGATACTGGACTATCGCAAAGTGGAAGGAGGGGCGTAGAGCACAATCACCATGCCGGTTGAAAGGCATTCATATATAAGGGTTGTATGGTTTCCCTGCTCTTATTTCTGCACGCTCACTTCAAATTAATCATTTGAGCGGCATACTCCCTGTCGGGTTATCCAAGTTACACTCTTTTTGCAATATGCGCTCCGTTCTCTTTGGCCTCTTGGCCTTGTCTGTCAGTGCTCATCCCTCGAGGCCAACCTTGTTCAAGAGAGCCATCGACATCAGTGCGTTCCGTCCCAAAGTGGAATCTACCTACACCAATGCGACTGTTGTGGAATCGATCCCTACCGTCGAGCGCGCTGTGAAACGTGCCGATGCATCTGACACGGCCACTGAGCTTGTCAAGAAGACTGTTCCTGGAGCGACTTTCCGTCTTGCTAAGGAATATGTTGGCAACAACGGAATTGCGCATTTCTACTTCAAGCAGACTGCCAATGGAATTGATATTGACAATGCCGACTTCAATGTTAACGTAAGTCGCTACCTTTATTGAAAGAGCTTTCCATCCCTCCAACCGATAACACATACCTCGTTATGTACTACTTCAATTCACTTTAACCCTGCATCACATGACCAGAGACTGATCGAAGTAGATTGGGCGCAATGGCGAGATCTTCTCCTTCGGAAACTCTTTCTTTGAGGGCGATGTGCCTCCTGCTTCTAGCTTGAGCAAGCGTGACACCGTGGATGCATTGACAGCTTTGAAAGGAGCTGTCAACGTGCTTCAGCTACCGGTTAATGCCGAGAGCGCAAAGCCAGAAGAGACGGATAAGAATACTTTCTCTATCAAGGGCGCCGAGGGCGCGGTCAGTGATCCAGAGGCCCGATTGGTCTACTTCCAGACTGGAGGCGCTCTCGCCTTGACCTGGCGAGTGGAGACCGATATCCTCAGCAACTGGCTCTTGACTTATGTTGATGCAAAGAGCGGTGATCAAGTGCACTCTGTGATTGATTACTCGGCTGACGCTACTTATGAGGTTTAGTAAGTTTGTCCTTACTCGATTTCCTGGTCCTGCCACTAATATCATCAAAGCCCATGGGGAATTAACGATCCCACTGAAGGATCGCGTGTAGTCGTGACAGATCCTTGGAATGACGAAGCAAGTGAATTCGGATTCCACAGCACTGGAAGTGAATCCTTCAAGACTACCAGGGGAAACAACGGCATTGCCCATAACAACCCAAGCGGCGAGCTACTCTACGTCAACGACAAGTATCTGACTGCCTACCGACCGGAAAGCCCGGATTTGAAGTTTGAATACCCTTACTCCCTCAACGAGAGTGACTGGCTCAAATACGCAAACGCCTCTATCACCCAGCTCTTCTACACTGCCAACGTGTACCACGATCTTTTGCACAAGCTCGGCTTCGATGAGAAAGCCGGAAACTTCGAAATCAACAACAATGGAGCTGGCGGACTCGGAAACGACTTCGTACTGTTGAACGCCCAGGATGGATCCGGCGTCAACAACGCCAACTTCGCTACCCCAGTTGAGGGCCAAATCGCAAGAATGCGAATGTACATCTGGGACAAGACGACTCCAAACCGCGACTGCAGTTTCGAGGCCGGCGTCGTTATCCACGAGTACACCCACGGTCTCTCAAACCGTCTCACTGGAGGACCTCAGAACTCGGGCTGTCTCAGTATCTTGGAGGCCGGCGGTATGGGCGAGGGCTGGAGTGATTTCTACGCCACGGCCATCCGCCTGAAGCCCGGAGACACACGCAAGACCAACTACGCCATGGGAGCTTGGGTTAACGGCAACGCGGCGGGTATCCGAACCTACCTCTACTCGACCGACCTTACCGTCAACCCTCACAAGTACTCTGATGTGGACAGCCTCACCCGAGTCCATGCCATTGGCACTGTGTGGGCCACCACCTTGTATGAGGTGCTGTGGAATTTGATCGATAAGCATGGCAAGAACGACGCCGATCTCCCCGAGTTCGATGCCAACGGTGTGCCAACTGACGGCAAATACCTCGCCATGAAGTTGGTCTTGGACGGATTGGCTCTCCAGCCCTGCAACCCAACCTTTGTGACCGCCCGAGATGCTATCATCGACGCTGACAAGGCCTTGACTGGTGGTGACAATGCTTGCGAACTCTGGAAAGGATTCGCGAAGCGCGGATTGGGTGATGGTGCTAAGTACGATCTCAACAAGAGGACTGAGAGCTTCGACCTCCCAGAAGGAGTGTGCTAAATGTTGAAATTTACAACCAGGGTCAGGTCGAGATCCAAAACTCAGATTGACAGGACAAATGGAGGGAGATACCAGAGAGAGACAGGGAGAGCATCGCATCGATCTAACTGCATTCGGAAATAATTGTTCCAATACCACGTTCTCAATTCCAAGCAGTTCCACGTGTGATGTCTTGAACATAAATTTTGACACGTGCAATGTTGTTATGACCTCATCAATCCCTTTCGAATTCCCAGTGGCGGTCTACGCCTCAGAGACTAAACTTTTGCATGATAGATACATCCCGATTCTTTAGCTCTCAACTGCCGACAATCCACTCACCCCGCCCAACAAGCGAAAATCCCTAGGAGGCAACTCAATTGTCTCTCTCCATCATAATCGTTCGCGGAACCCCACATGTCATAATTCCGCCCTGAATTAATCAGCGGACTTTATCGCTAGTTACCTAGTTAATCAGTTCTCATGTTCAATGTCCTGTAAATCTCACATTGCCAATCTGTAAACATAGACATAGCGATCGAGTGTAACATATCTTAAAGATGTTTTATACAACGCCCCTCATCATCAACGGCAAAGACGTAACGTCTTCGTCGACTTTCCCTGTCATCTCCCCCTCATCACACCAGCAAATATGGAGCGCATCCGCTGCCTCGCTGTCCGACGTATCGTCGGCGATTGAAGCCGCCCAAGCAGCACTACCACAATGGTCGAAGACAAAGCCCGCTGCGAAGCGAGACATCTTCCTCAAAGCCGCCGACATTTTCCAGTCGCGTGCTTCCGAGTTAGGGAAGTACATGATGGAGGAGATGGGCGCAGAGGCCGGCTTCAGTAGTGGTTTCAATGTCCCCTTGGCGGCTGATATGATGAGAGATGTAGCAGGTCGTGTGGGGACGGTGACTGGATATATTCCAACGTGCGCACAAGAAGGTACCGCAGCATTGGTTGTGAAAGAACCCTACGGCGTGGTTCTCGGAATTGCGCCCTGGTAAGTTGGCATTGATCCCATGGAAACGATACACTAGCTAATACAACCATAATCAGGAATGCGCCATACATCCTGGGAACGCGCGCAGTCCTCTACGCGCTCGCGGCAGGCAACACCTGCATCCTAAAAGGCTCTGAGCTCTCGCCGCGCTGTTTCTGGGCCATCGGCTCGGTGTTGAACGAGGCTGGCCTCCCACCAGGCGCCCTAAACGTCCTGTACCACCGCCCGGAAGATGCAGCGCAAATCACCACCGCGCTCATCGAACACCCGGCTATCAAGAAGATCAACTTCACCGGATCTACTGGCGTTGGACGAATCATCGCATCAACTGCTGGTAAGCACCTCAAGCCGGTTCTTATGGAGCTTGGTGGTAAAGCCTCTGCGATTGTGCTCGATGATGCAGACTTGAATAAAGCGGCTACGCAATGCGCGCTTGGTGCGTTCCTTAACTCCGGCCAAATCTGCATGTCCACGGAGCGCATTCTTGTTCACAAAGCTGTGAAACCCCAATTCATCGAAGCGTTCAAGGGCGCAGTCGAAGGCATCTTTGGAGGCGACAAACCAGCGCCTGTTCTCGTGGCCTCCGCCGGAGTCGATAAGAATAGAATTTTGATTCAGTCGGCAATCCAATCTGGAGCGAAGCTTATCCATGGGGATCATAGTAAAATAGAAGCTCACCCGGAGACCAAAGAGGTTTCGAGAACCCGGATGCGCCCTATCATTATTGATGGCGTGACAAAGGAAATGGACATCTATCAAACGGAATCATTCGGGCCGTCTGTTTCCATCATCGAGATTTCAAGCGAGGAAGAGGGGATTGAAATCGCGAATGACACGGAGTACGGCTTGACTGGTGCCGTTTTCACGGAGAATCTGGCACGGGGAATCAGGGTTGCGAGACAGATAGAAAGCGGGTAAGAAGCACTTTTGACGTCCCCATGATGAGTTCATTCGTTGCTAACTAAAGTGTAGCGCCGTGCATATCAATGCTATGACTGTTCATGACGAAACTGGCCTGCCTCACGGAGGCGCGAAATTGAGTGGTTGGGGAAGATTCAATGGAAATTGGGGAATTGAGGAATTCTTGCGCTTGAAAACGATTACGTATCAAGAGTAAGGTGTAAATTCAATCGAGGCATCTTGCAGGTGGACACAGATCTTCGTCCACGAGTTTTGACGATTCTCTCGTTCTAAGAAAGTTACTTTACAGGATAAGAAGACCCAAGGATCACAATGGCAATAGACCAATTTCCACCCAACTACAATAATATTGGCCTGTTTACCTCGATTCGATCGAATTTCCCATGAGATGATCATCTCAAACTCTACTTCGAAAGTCCGTCGGCAGCCAGCGTGCGAGGATTGAGTCTGATCACTTTTCCGTTAAGCAATGAAGAGATCTATTGGGCTTAGAACCATTCGCATCTAATTCCCAACCTTGTTACGCCAGATGATATCAGGTTGTGACACCAGAACTATGCTCATTAACAGCAATTCATGTATACAGGCATCACATGTGGACCACTAATAGAATCGAGTACAGTTATGCAAAATATCATAATCTATTCGCTAATTACCATTATAGTATGACAAAGCATCATGCACCCAGCACTCCTATCGCTTGCGACAGAGACCATGCTTTTCATTGTTCTTGACCTCCACCATGCGCCTACGATTGACCTCCCATCGACACCTTAATCTATGCGATCTGACCACGGACTGCTCCAGGAAGCGCGAGACTCGAATGAACGTCTGCGAAAAAGGCGGCAGGATTGGCTTCAATCTGCTGAACGTGGAATCCCTCGCCGGAATCCTTATCCTCCACCATGACACCCGTGACGAAAGGTCCCGTAAGACATCCAACCGTGCTCCTGACAGTACCCGCCGCATCGACAGGCGCGGGGTTCGGGAATGCAATTCGTGGCGGACCGGAAGCTCCCCGCGCGGCCTCGTGGATATGCGTCGCAGTGTTTGCGGGCGACTCGAAATCTCCTTGGAAGTTGTGGAGCGTGATGTTGTAGCAGATCATGTTGAGGTGGGAGTTCAGGCCGAAGTTGAAGGTACCGGAAGCTCCCGCGAGACCGCCAGTAGGAGTAACATCGTCGACCACTTGTCCTGGTTCTGCGTGGACGAGGTGCTGGGAAGTGAATGTGAATATTGGGTCGGCCACTCCTCCTTGTGCGAAAGCGCCATGTTGGCCGAGGTCGAGGTCGAGTTGCAGGGTAACTCGTCCGCTGCTTAGATCCAAAGGTACTGCAGCTGCACACAGTGCGAGCGAAGCCATAGAGGAATAGGTAGTGAGCTTCATGGTGATCAACAGAATGAAGATGAAATAGTATTAATGAGTATACAAAGAATTGAATGAGTGTAACCCCGTGGAATGAATGAAAGGCTGAGGAGACTGTTCAACAGCTGCTGTCCTGGTGTGAGGATTCATAGGGACCATAAGGATATATACTCGAGCACATTCATTATTGGCATATGCTGCACTCTCAATGCATACTCAGTATTTACTACCTGAGGCAAGTCTGGGACGTGTGCCTGGTTTCAAAGTCGCTTGGCGTGGGTGGCATCCGCTCAAATCGTGACATCTAAGTGGTCCGGAAGATATCAACTCCCCCGCCCAGAGGTTGCCCAGATCCCGCCCGACTGAACTCGTAGATTTACTAGAGAAATGTTTGTGGCTTGGGAGTCGCAGTGTAGAACTGCAGGCGCGGGAACTTCGAGCTTCCGTCTTCGCTTGACGAAAATCGTACGATTGCTTAGAGCTTACGCCTCTCGCTCAACTGAACATATCTTGCTTTATGAAACCATGTCGGTACTTGCTTACAATCTTATTTGAGCAGAGCCGATGCAGCGCCGTTGCGTTCCTCGTTTAATCAAATACAATGAGTGCGCGGCGTGTTCCAATGTCTAAAATACAGCAAAATTGCTATGAACATCTAAATATAACTATGCGTGCGTATCCAGCGCAATGGCGATGAGACAGACTACAATGCATTATCGAAGTAAGCAATGTCTCTGGGTCCTTCTTCCCTGTCAGGATAATACAGCAAGATTGGGGTCTACTATCGTTACGAAGAGCTGTTTCTGCAGTATAGAACAACGCAGACGTGACCTGTAATCTGTGAATAGGTTCGAGCGGGCACCTACGTTGCCTGTCGATTCTCCTCGTGAGTTTAGTACGTTATGAGAGCTTACAGTCGCTCGGGATCTATATTCCGCCTCTTCTCGATACCTCTGCTTCGCTCGGTTCACGTGACCTGAAAACAGCTTCATCAAACCTATAGAGGCGTTTCGTCAATGCAAGGAAAACACCATCGCGATCAAGTGCGTAGACGGAGGTTCTTCCGATTATTTCCAGCGCGAAGTAATACTGTGACATGACTTTTAACGTCTGCCATGTTGAGATCAAAAATCTGCAATCGAGGACGGGAAAATTGAAGATCTGCTAATACAAGGAGCCATCAATGCACTGCTGATTATGGTAGTAGCACAACTTCAGCGGTGTCATGGCCGAACATCATTGAGTTCGATCGCAAACGGATCTAGAATATTTCCTTCTCGTCAAATAACCCTCGGCTTGACTTAATTTGCGAGAAAATGCGCCCTCTCTGACAATGGACCTTCGTATCTCTTTGATGATTCGGCGTAATTGTTTCGTGGGTAGATAGGATAAGTTCGATAAATGCCAAGGAATGATTGTAAAATGTAGTGTCGCTGTTTTACATCATTTTAGCAAGTAGTCAATTGCGCGTCACCTCCACGAACACGCGTGTCTAAACATCGGACACATACCTCCACGCAATTGATTGTATTTACGAAGAACCACGATACCAAGACTCCACAGGCCCACTTAATGCACCCCAGAACCGATAGCAGAGAAACGGTCAGGGTCCCTGCGAGGACTCGAGGCAATTTACCGACATGAAAGGCCGATCGATCGGAAAGGTGGCGACTGCATCGGAAGATAAGATAGCGGGCTTTGTTGCTGCGGAAAGCTCCCAAATATTTTGTTTACGATTGACTTTTGCATTCTACAACATTATTTTTCCTGGCAATTTACTCCTGCTTTTTCATATCTTGAAGTGCTGAAAATGGGTTCAATGCCAGAGGTCATAGCACAGGGAATGCCTACCGTAAGCAGTTTTGAAAAGCTTCAAAGTGAAAGCCTTCTAATAGAATTGTAGCAATGGAGCCGCTTGGTTCGCTTTGTTGCCGTTGAGGACAACGCAGAACATATTGGAGAACCCACAGAGGCCGGCATTGATGGTATGATCAGTTCAGTATCTTCGGTACAAAACAATATGCTAACTTTTATCAAGTCGGTGCCGCCCTCGCTTCATCACAGGAAGTCCGCGTGCGTTCGTTCTCGGGGAAGTCTGTTCTTGATCCCACCGCCGCGCCTACGTCTACAATCCTCACTATCCAAACCCTTCTCAGCCCACTCTCCAAGGCCGAAGTAGGCACAATCAGATGCATTGGCCTCAACTACCGGAATCACGCAAAGGAGATGAACATGGAGCTCCCCGACTACCCGACCCTATTCTTCAAGCCCTCAACATGTCTCTCCGCACCCAACGCCCCACTCGTCATCCCATACCAGGCCACCGACTCGCAAGCTGACTACGAGGCCGAACTTGCCATTGTCATCGGAAAAGATGCAAGGAATATCTCAAAAGAAGAAGCTATGGACTACGTTCTAGGCTACACATGCTCCAACGATGTAACCGCAAGGACGCATCAGTTCCGAGGAGCGCAATGGGGTTTCGGCAAAGGAATGGATGGTTTCGCGCCAATGGGACCATGCATTGTCGCTGCCAGCTCTATCCCCAACGCCGGTGAGATTGAGGTGAAGACCGTTCTCAATGGCGAGACGATGCAGTACAGCCTTGCAAACGACATGATCTTCTCCATCCCCGAGATTGTGTCGTATCTTTCAACTGGAACCACTTTGGAGGCTGGAACGGTTATTATGACCGGAACTCCTCACGGCATTGGCGTCAGCAAGACACCGAAGGTGTTCTTGAAGCCGGGAGATGACTGCAGAATTGTAATGAGCCATGGAATGGGCAGCTTGGTAAACACTGTTGAGTACGAACAAAAGCCATTGAAGAAATAGATAGTATGAATGAATAATAATTAACGGACTCCAAACAAAGCTTGGTCTTGTGTGATACTATCGAGAACTTGTTCCCAGTGTTGAAGGTCTCCAGACTCGAGTAGCGAGAAAGAGGGATCGGCCCATGGTGTTTGCCACGAGAATGGTCCACTGCCACCTGGAATATTATGAAGCCCAAGGAAAGGCTCGGTGTTGAAGTCTGTATCTGGTGTAGTGAACGTTGCGTCACTATCAGCAGCGTTTGGAGCATGGTGGACGGTAGTTGAAGGGTCGACGCTAGGGAGTTCTGTTGCCATGGGCGCGGTGGATATATTAGCAATTGAAGGCAGATTGCCGTGACGCAGGTCATTAGCTTTCTTGATGCAGAGTTCTACTATCTTGACCTCGGCCAGAGCAAATTCGTTCAGCCATGTGTCGTTGCGCTGCATGTCGCAATATGCTGATAGATCTTCGAGAATGGCATGTGATCGACGAGAGTGCGGATCACGCACAGCTATGATACCTAGCACCAGAGCACTATTGAATAAATGATGTGGACCAAGTGACCATTTCAAGCGATCGTGGAAAGGCTGTGCGAGGTATCTTAATCGCATGTCGAGATCAGCGCAAGCAGATGTGATGCAGGCGTCGTGACTCTGCTTGAAACGATTTGTGATGCTTTGCCGGAGAAGATATGGTCTATGCAACGTTACTCGTGTAAAGTGATACATTGAGTGCAGAAGCATGCGGTTCCAGCATAGAAATGGGTGTGATTGATCAAGGCTTAAATCGGGATCCTGTAGACGGAAATATGAAGGCAATTTGGCCTCCCATTCCACAATCTCTTGATCCAGGGAAAGGACTGTGTCATACGAGACAGCAAATAATCCGAAGCAGCGTTCCTGAATTTTTCCGATTATCGTTGCAAGATCATGAGCAAGGAAATTGCAAACGCTGGGCGTAGGATCTGAAAGCGAATTTTCTCCAACATTTGATGCTGCTTCGTCGCTCAGGTCATCAAGCCATACATTCGTCGCCCTCTTTACTAGACACTGTGTATCTACAATTGCGAAAGGTCTTCCAATTGCAAGAGCAATTGTCTTATCCAGCATGTAGAGATGACTCCAAAGGCGTCGTCGAGTCTCCGTTTCCTTGCGCGATAATCGCCAACGCTCTCCATCGATATGGATGCCTTGTGCTTGGGCCATACGCATAGCAAAACTTGTCGTCAACCAAGACTCTGGAGCCCTCCGCAGGTGAATGAGGTATCGGGTTACAAGCACGCCAGCTCGAACAAGATCTGTAGACTCTCCATAGAATGTCGGCGCAATAACGATGGCTCTTCGCGAAGCCCAGTAGAATCGCAACGATGTCTCTTGGAGCTCCCGTTGTACTTGGCTATTCTCTGGTTGCGGACAATCAAGCAACACACCATATGCTAGTACGATAAAGAGAAGTGCAAGCCAGCGCAGGTCAATCGTGGCGAAGTCGTCGAAGCCGAACTTCCTCTCCCAAAACTGGTTGTATTTGGCCTTGAACGACTCTGGATGTACGGCGTCAATGGCCCAGTTGAGGTCATTCAGAAAGCATTCTGTCAGTCGATCCACACTACTCTTTTTCCTTGGAAGCAATCCAAGCAAATCCCATATTTGCGAGAAGGGCCCGCCCACGTCACGAAATGAGTGTGCTGAGCCCGCGGCGTGTCGAATCCCTGAGGATAAGTCTGGGGCCGGAGCTTCGATGATTTTGGCAGCTGCCTGAGGGCCAAAGTATGATGAGCCGAAGAAGGACGGCGCATCGCGGCTACTGAATAGATTGCCGACAGGAGGGTCTCGTGGTTCTGGTGTGTTTCCACTACCTGTGCCCAAGGTGCCTTCAGTAGGTGTTGTTCTGCCTGGGTCTGGTTAGTTGTTTGTACGCTTTGACTGACTACAAGGTTTCAAAGAGTCCACTCACTTGGAGGTCGGTCGCGAGAGGCCTCGGAATGGACTATCACTGGGGGAGGGGTAACAGGACGCTGAATCCCCTCAGAGTCCGCTTTCTTGGGGCGTTGAACATGCTCGCCGTATACACAAGACGAAGTCACGTTCCGGCGGGTGCAATTGAAACATGGACGAGCACCATCGCACTATTGGAACTTGTTGATTAGCATGTAGCGCCAATTTGCCGATGCGATATCAAGATAACAAAGCGGTCTTTTGATATCCCCGTTTAGAATGGAGAGGGTTTGGCTAAATTTGAATAAGGACATGCTTACCTTCTGCTTGCGCCGATGACATGAGGTGCAGGCTGCGGCATGTCGACCGCGTTTGCGTCGCTTATTCGGCTCGTTCTCGTCCATCGGACTTTGAGTGCGATGGTTCGACCCCGAAAGCTGGGGAATTCTAGGTTGTGATGCGGGCAAATACAGGGAATCGATGAAGGGGAAATGATTGTCTGTAAAAAGCCGACGAGGTTGAACACAACTTTGGCCTTAAGGTATGAATGAGTGAGTAATGATAGGATATTGCCGAAGGACGGAGCAGAGGGCTGGCATTATTAAGGCCGATGTCATTGACCAGCTGGATAGGATGGGCCGATACTCTTTGCCTGAGAGGGCAGGGTAGGCGAACGTTAGTTATCTCTTGGAAGCTCTTTAGCTCGCCACCAGCCAGGACAACCTGCTACAGTCGCTATCTAGCGCTCGTTCCTTTCAAATTTTCCGATGATCCACCTCCGCATCGGCTTTTTCTTTGGGTCATGAGAGATAGGAGATTCTTAGATGTAGCGGGGATATATTGGATCATAATGCGGTCGGTTCCTATAAAGACATCATCCAGACGCATTCAACACCACATGCAATCGGTATCGGAGCGGTAACACATTCTGTCTTTCACAATCAACACAGACTCGGTTCCGTTCGTCTAAGGCTAAATTGTTCTCGTAATGGCAACAGAGAATTTCGATACGAAGCCCATGGAGGGCTCCTCCATTCACGAGAAGGAGGCAGAAATTACCGGCAACAATGAGGTCTACATCGACCCTGTTGCTGAAAAGCGTCTTATCAGGAAGCTCGATCTCATGCTGTCCCCGATGATGGTCTTGATCTTCTTGGTGGCATACCTGGATCGTGCGAATATCGGTATGATACGAATCGACTCTTGGCCAATCGCGAAACGCGAATTAACTCGTACGCAGGAAACGCAGCTATTGCTGGCATGAATGAGGATCTCAAACTTACCGGCAACAAGTTGAACGTGGCTGTCACTTTGTTTTACGTGACCTACATCGCCTTCGAAGTCCCCGCCTCACTCGCCTTGAAAAAGGCACGCCCGAGTCGCCTCATCCCATTCTTCATCATCAGCTGGAGCGCTGTTATCATTGGAGCAGCATTCATCAAGAACTACGCGAGCTTGTTAGCCACACGTCTTCTCCTTGGTGCCTTCGAGTCCGGCCTGTTCCCCTGCCTTACGCTCTACCTCAGTACTTTCTACCAGCCATTGGAGCAAGCCCGCCGAGTATCATATCTCTTTGTTGCATCTGCATTGAGCGGAGGTCTCGGTGGACTGCTTGCCTTCGGTCTTACAAACCTCCACGGAGCCAGCGGGTTGGCAGGATGGCGTTGGCTCTTCCTTGTCGAGGGTATCATCTCTATCGTAGTTGGAATCGCGACCATCTTCCTCCTTCCGGATAACTTCGAGACCGCTTGGTGGCTCAACGAAGACGAGAAAACTATCATGCGTGCTCGTCATGAGAACGCTCGCCTTTATCAGGGCAAGTCCACTACAACCGATGCACTTGATCGTTCCGAGGTCAAATTGGCTTTCAGGGACCCCAAGGTCTGGCTTAACTCAGCATGCCAATTCTGTGCCAATACCTGCTCCTTCGGATTCAGTACCTTCCTTCCTGTTATCATCCGCGGCTTCGGTTATAGTTCAATCAGGACCCAGCTGTTGACAGTTCCCGTATACATCTGGGCCAGTGTCGTCTACATCACAGTCTCATTTGCTTCCGATCATTTCAATCGCAGAGCATTCTTTATGGTACCCATGGCTTTGATAACTGCTACGGGCTATGCGCTAATGCTGGGCCTACCGATGACTTCGACCGGAGTCCTCTACTTCGCCACTTTTGTCACCGCCACCGGTATCTACTGCGTCGTCGGCCTCAACGTAACCTGGATTATTAATAGCAATGCTGGATACTTCAAACGAGCTACAGCAATCGGGCTTCAGCAGACAATTGGTAAAGTTTTCTTCTTTCCAGATCTCTTCAAGTACTAACATTCCACAGGTAACAGTGCTGGCATCATGGCCGGTCAGATCTACCGAATCAAGAATTCCGAGGGACGATACGTCATTGGGCATGCCGTGTCTCTGACAACCATAACTCTGGCTGCTTGTGGATATGCTACCATGTACTTCCTGTTGCGTCGCTTGAACCGGAAGAGAGAAGCCATGTCCATTGAAGAGAGGGTCAGGGAGATTGACTCTGGCAAGATGGGAGACAGGCACCCGGATTTCCGATATGTGTTGTGATTGGAACAGAGAATTCACAATACCCAATATCTATCAAGTAGCAAATCATAATATTCGAGATTCATTTTATACGCTTCGTATCTGTTTGATATTGCAAGTATGCTGCACGTGATGAAAGGATGGGGACTAGCGTGAGTAAACCGCCCCTACATGATTCATTGCCACGCTTCCACATTTACGAAGACTGTCAAAACACTTCTTGTCGTTTGTACACCAAATTATTATGCAATTACTTGAGCTTCCTGTAGAGTTGCTAGACCTAATATGCGAGGCGCTCTATGACGATGACGATGAATGCGAGGCTCGAATCACTCGACTCAATGCATGCTCACTCCTTCGGGTATCACTGGTTTCCAAGACATTGAGGCAGATTGTTCGACCGTGGATCTTTAAAGAAGTCCGACTTCAGTACCCTTCCCATCGGGCAAATCTCCTTTTGAGAACGTTGCATGCACTCCCATCATACGGCCACTATATCCAGTATCTCTACCTTTGGAATCGACAGAAGCAATGGTCAGGATCGCTTGATGACCTTGGCTTTCTATTCTCCGTTCTCAATAATCTTCGCGAACTCTATGCTCCACTGTTTCCTCCAGGAATACTGCGCAATGTGCTGAAGGACTTCAGAAGCTGTTCAACGCTGCAGTATCTTTGTTTAGATGGCTCGTCTTACGGCGTGCGGGATTTATTTGAGCTTTTGTCTTTCCCTTGCATGTCCCGATTTTACTTGTTTTCCTTCGATGACACAGCCTGCTGTCAAGATGAGCCACACCAAAGTATCCATGCTCCCTTGACAGAGCTAGACTTGGAGCAAAGTCAAATCGGCCAGCCGTTATTCGGTCACATCATGTCTCGATGCTCACGACTTGAGCAGTTACGATGCCTGGTGCCATTTCCATGCGCCGCGGAGAGGATCGCAGATGAATGGGCTGTGACATGGGTAGGATCGAGCGTGTTAGTTCCGCGACCAATATCAATGAATTTCTTGTCTTTACAGATTTGTGAATTCAAAGAAACCCTGACAGAGCTTCATGTTCTGACCAGCCGGCAGACCTGGACTGGACACGACGGCTCGAAACTCGACCTGCGAGAATTTGTCCGTCTGGAACGTCTCTCAGCGTCCTCTAGTTGCTTCTTCATGGCCACGAACTTTGAGAACGATAGGCTCGGTTTCCATGAGTTGCTACCACCGTCTCTTGTGAATCTCGATGTAAGTTGACTCAACGGGTACAGTTTCTTGATACTTACTATCAATGCACAGGTTGTATGGGGTCCGGAAAGCGGCATCTTCTTCCAAGTACCAACTGATGGAACTTCGATTGAGGACCAGGTCCGGCTCTTCCGAGAACGAGAAGATGGCAAAATGAACAATCACAATTGGATCATTGACCTCGCATTGCAAAAGACATCTCAACTTGATCGTTTACGATCTATCGATTTTCACGAGAGTATGTTGCTGCCTGGTAGACCGGGGATTTTCGATCTGGAAGATTGGCAATTACCGGCGCCAGTCGCGCAGGAGTTTATCAGCGCGCACATTGATCTTAGGGTATCTTATCGGTGCTCTATATCATTACAGTAAAATCAATGAAGATGCGTAGGTACATTTATTATCACAAATCTAAGTAATCACACAAACGTCACGTGACGGTTACACCTAAACAACAGTTCACATCTCATCCCACCAAAGGTCAGCACATAGGGTAGACCAATTAATAGCTTCGTGTATCTTATATACTTCAACTCGCAATTCTATTGTATGTTGTAGCTGGCTAAGTGTAATCTAAGAGCCTTGCGGACTTGCTACTACGCAGTACATTACCAAGTCCAAATTGCGATTGACGGGAATGGACTACAATCACGAATCTCAACATCCTAACACACAATACAGACACACGACAGAGCAAATCAAATCTGCTGCTTCATTTACCCCATTCAAATTAAAGCATACCTGCAAGCCATTCATGCAAAGAACGCGGAGAATTAGTGTAGATGAGAAAGCTAGCGAATGACGGGATCCCCCACGTGTACCATCACGACATTGGGGTCACGAATCACAACAGCAAGCCGTGTCTCATATCAGTGTTATAACCCGCCTTTTGAGACATCGAAACCGCAACACATTTCTCAACATCTCTGCACAATAAAATCGTCTTTTCCTCGTTCCATTTGGGCTACTGAGGGTTGGGATTGCTTTGCAGCATTTACGGCGTTTGCTAGACTGAGCCTGTTACAGTTCCCTAGCATTTTATGTCGCGTGTGGGGTCGATATCGCGATTCTCTAATATCAAGCTGCATTGTGTCTAAAGGTATTCATTGGGATTCTTGGAGACTATCTATGCAACTAGCATCATCTCCGATTTACATCAAAAGAACGGCAAAATGAAATCCTACTTAAGAAGCTGGAGGCAATCCCTTAGGCCACTATATCCTCATAACAATGTCTCTAGCTATCAAGCATTGAGCCAAGGTGATAGTGAGGATCAAGTGGACATGACGAAGGTGTCCTCCGTCCATGTAACTTCGTTCGCAGAAGATCCAGTCATGACGGAACAACTACTTCTCCCTCGCAAACCGGAGGAGTCTTCTATTGGTTTTCAAGATGAGAATCCATTCAGTGATCCCGAAACCGCCGCTCACTGGGCTGGAGTCTACGAAAAAGCGGAGTATGAATGCCGTCACATCTTCGATCCCACCTTGTCGTGGAGCGAGGCAGAAGAGCGGGCATTGGTGCGCAAGCTGGATGGCAGAGTATGCTTATGGGCTGTAGGTGCTGCCGAATACAATGCTGTGGTTGTCGTTGATTTCCATAGTGCATCATGTTCTTCGGGTTGCAGGTCGACCGGGGGAATCTCGTTCAGGCTGTTGCAGACAATATGTTGGACGACCTGAATCTGAACACAAACGACTACAACCGGGGAAACATCATCTTCTTGATTTCATTCCTGTGTGCGGAATTGCCATCGCAACTTATTTCGAAAAAGTTGGGGCCAGACAGATGGATTGTGCGTATGAACAACAGCTAACGATATGCTCCATGCTAATGATCGCAGCCATTACAAATTACCCTGTGGTCGATTGTAGCAATGTCGCAAGCCGCTATCAAGGACAAGTATGGCTTCTTTATCACTCGTGCTTTACTTGGTCTGCTTGAGGGTGGATTTATTCCTGATATGGTTCTGTGGTTATCATATTATTACAACTCTAGGGAGCTTCCGATTCGACTGAGCTTCTTCTGGACAGCTCTGTCGGTTACTACAATCGTCACTTCATTATTGGCTTTTGCACTTCTTCATATGCGGGGCATAGCTGGCTGGCCAGGATGGGCGTGGTTGTTCCTGGTTGGTAAGTCATCGATTAACCTCGGGATATTTTAGGTGATCTCTACTAACCTGTCATCATAGAGGGTGCAATAACTTTCACGATTGGGATTGCTTCATTCTTCATGATGCCTGCGTCTGCTGCCCAGACCAAAACATGGTTCCGACCCAAAGGATGGTTCACAGATCGCGAGCTCAGTATTGCGGTGAACAGAGTGTTGCGTGATGACCCTTCAAAGGGCGACATGCATAACCGTCAAGCTCTAACACTGTTCAACCTCTTTCAATCCTTGAAGGACTATAATTTGTGGCCTCTTTATGCCATCGGTCTGATTGCGTACATGCCGCAAGGTCCGCCTTCGAGATACATTACTCTGATCTTTAGAAACCTTGGATTTAGCACTGTAAGATCTGTCCCTACTCTATATTCTGTCAGTGAATCCAAACTGACTCCGATGAAGTTTTCATCAAACTTGTTGGCAATACCATACAACGTCTTCCACATCATAACACTGATCGGCCTCACGAAATTGAGCGACAGACTCAAAGAACGCACACTGGTGTCTATGATTCAAAACTTGTGGACATTACCTTGTGTCATAGCCCTGAAATTCTGGTCGAAGTCGATGACAGACCCATGGGGTACTTATGCTTTGATCACTGTCCTGCTATCTTATCCTTATTGCCATGCCATTTTGGTGGGATGGACGAGTAAGAATGCCAACAATGTTGGCTCGCGGACTGTTTCCGCTGCTATGTATAACAGTATGTGTATTCAATCTTGCTAACCTGGGAATCTATTTTCAATGCGTATTGAGCTAATGCATTTCCAGTGATGGTCCAACTCGGCAGCGTCATCTCCAACACCATCTACCGAGAAGACGACAAGCCGCGCTACGAGCGCGGCAACAAGTGGCTCATCATTACGAATCTGCTTTCCATCGCTGTGTTTTTGCTCACGAAGCTCTACTATGTGACCGTTAACAAGCGAAGGGAGAAAAGGTGGCAGAGATTGACGCTGGAGGTGAGTAGGCTCGGACAGGTGTTTTTTGAACGTAGGGCTAACGAAGGTGGTGGTAGCAACGCGCTGAGTACACTCGGACGACTACTGATCGGGGAAGCCAACGACTCGATTTCCGGTTTGCGCATTGAGTGTGCTCTAGTCAGGGAAAGATGGGAATGAGTTTAGTGTTTGGCTGCTTCGGCCCAAGTGTTGTGGTATTGTATCGCTGGTGGACGGTATGAAGTCACTGCAGAGACTGTGCGATTACATTTGAATACGAAAACTCCACTGTAGACCATTAGACGGAAACAACTTACAAGAAACGAAATCATGAATAGTTACTCTACCTACTCTTACGTATCACCCCCTGACGACTGGATGCTAATCTCACATTCCCTCAATGCTTCATCAGAGCGCGATTTGGGTACTGGGCTTCACAACAGCTGCGCAAAAGTCCGTATGGCAATATACTCGACGCTCTTACTTCACCCTTAGGCTCTGATTTTCAATCCGATTCGCCTGTGGAATTCCATCGAGAAGCTGATTGAGCTCAGCCTTATCCGACTGCAGGCTTTGATAAATTGAATGGTCACCTATTCGCTATAACTGCAAATGAACCATACCGGTACAGAATAAGGCAGAAGCAATGACAAACACAATAAAGATATTCAATGCTCAGGGTACACTTCGAGCAAACAATGACCATGGAGTTGCGATGCATTGTTCTATTAGGATAAGCTCATATTCGTTGAATGTCATACATACATATCAACTGCGCCTTATAGCTGGAGTACAGACCTCAGACGTGATTCCACTCTTTGTGGGATACAACCCACCCAACCCCATGTACGAAACAGTATTGGGGAGGATATCTTGTATTCACTCTGAGCATATTATGTACAAGCTTCAGAAATTGAACAAAATGCCTTTATCTACGCGCGCTCAGGTATTCCGCGCCCCGATCCTCCCCTTCCTCAAAAAAGGTTTCATCGAGGCGTGCCTACAGTGCATGAGAGCACTGCCCGCCAGCAAGATTAGACAGATAGCCATCTACCAATTAATAAAATGGGTGTATCCGCCCCTGGGCTGACGAGGGGATGTGATGTGCGTATCCGCAGCGGGGCGGTTTGCGACGTGGTGAGGATGAACGCGGTGATTAACGCGGCTTCGAAGCCGGAGGTTATGGTGCTGCAGATGTCTGCCTGCCCCTCAAGAACTAGAAAGTCAGGCTGGAGGACATGGTCAGAAGTAAGAGGTACTCACCTTATCCATTGGCCCTTGTGCCACCTTCGCCGCGGCACAGATCGTCTTGCTGTTTGACATCTCGACAACTCAGGTCGAGGCAACAGATGGATACATGCCCATGATGTGAGTGAAGGTGTGGAGTGGGTATCGTGGTTGATGGAGCAGTGGATGCGGGAAAGAGCGGATGATAAGAGCACAAAGCGGCGATACAACACTGAGCAGAGGAACTGAAGAGAAGAATTGAAGAAAATAAGTGGAAAGCAGAACCAAACAGAGGAATCCAACAGAGAAACTGAGTGAGACAGCGAGAATGTGAGCCACGCTAGACTGGTCTTTCAGCGAGTTTGTTGGCATAACATGCACGCCTTCTTCCTGGCAGAGGGCGCCGATCCTCCCAGCCGCTCATATCTTACACAGCAATTAATTTCTCTTCTTTCAAGTTTGACGGCGTTAAGGATTACAGGTACTAGGCATCTAGGATACACAATGATGACCTAGGAAGTTGTCTCGGGCTCGGTGAAAAGATATCTTGGACTATGCGAGGGTCTCCCGATTTGCTGTCTATCAAGTTGCTGCTATTCGTATTAACAACTATGGGACTTCCTGACAAAATTGCGATCAATTGCACAGACAGCGCAGGAAGGTGCACGTGAATTACCCACTCCGAGAATCGTACAGAGATGGCGAGAGCGTAAATACCTCGAGCAGGTTGATTCCCCTCCCCTTCTACATAGTATCCCATGCCTACAGTTGTGGATTCACGAGGAAAGTCGCGGAGGCCTAGAGACTTTCAAGTGGATACAGCATACTGCAGAACATCTATTTTATGAATCCTGTAGAATACTCACAACTGGATACAGAAGACTCTGAGATAGCCGGTTCAGGTATTCAAGATACCTGCATGAAGCCACCCACTGCCCGATGAATCATCACGTGATTTTGTCCCCATTGCTGGCGGATCTACTATCGGGCCGCCTAGCTAAGCGAAGTGCACGGTCCAGGAACGCACTCGTATTTATAAGGCCCCCCATCTCCTTTCCGTCTAAATCTTTTTCACCTCAGCCCAATCGGAACATTGCCATCTTCCCCGTCTTCTCTCATTGATCAATCTCTCTTTCTTTTCCATCTCAAATCGTCCACTCAAGTCTCGTTATTCATTCGCAATGTCTAACAACACCTTCCCTGCTGCCTTCCCGAACCATGAGTTCTTCTCTCATGTCTTCGGTCTGTCAGATGCCACTACTCTCCCAGTGGTATCAAACTTTCGGGGTCATCCCGCTCCACGGCCTGTGGTCTTGGTATGCCACTCTCTCCGTGATCAAGTTCAGTTCTTGAAAGATACACTCGACCTCGATCTGTTCGACCATTCTGAAGAATTCATTGTCTTCAACCATTGACACTAGTACGCTTTGGAAAGGTCCGGATGCTCTTATCGACGGTCGTGGTATCAAGAATCTTCCATCACTGTTGATTTCGTCCATGCTGACTTTCTCCAGATGTAACCAATGCGACATGCATCCTGCAATATGCCATCAAGCTGCTAAGCTGGTGGCCATGTGAAGACCTCATCGACCTGCGTTGTGCACCACCCTTTCCCTCTCCACTTCCGGGTATTCCCGTTGTGTCCTCTGGACAGCGTGGACGCGTTCCAATCTTTGTAGCGTTCCACGTTGAGAGTGCTTGCGGAGTTGAATTCTGTTGGTTGGATCCGCTAGAAGTTCAACATCTCCCAAGACCCACACAAGGTGAGTTCTCCTCCTCTAACATCCTTCTCTCTGTCTGCTTACTTCTTTTATCTAGGAGACGAGTGGTTTCCTTACCTCTACTCGTCATCGTACCGTTTCCCGAGTCGAGATCAGTTATGTGACAAGATCCTCGATTTTTTCGGACAGATGACATGGCAACAACCCGAAGTGTTCCACACAATCTCGGGTTCCTCCCGCTCTCCGCCTGATGATCAACATTCTGATCCATCAGCGGATATCCCCTGTGAAAGGAACCATTACTGTCGATGGGACAAATCCAAAGCTCCACGTCGGAAATGTGGCAGGTGTCAAGAGTATGAGGCCTTATCCTTTTTAAGACTGCTTCGTGCTAACATTTCTCAGGCAAGTCAACAAGTTTTTGCTCAAGTGCGCGTCCTGTGGCTTCAAGGTCTGTGGCAAGTGCCAAAAGAAGTTGGTCCCCAGGCACTCCCAAGACGGCGCCAAGGATAGGAAGTTGCGCGCGCTTGGCCTTCTGTGAACAGCCTATCGATCGACATTACTGCTACTTCTTGTCATTCATGTACACTTAACTCCATATTCAGAATACCAAAAGCCAACCTCCGTGACATAGCTTTCTTTCCCACATTCAATTTGTTGCCAGTGAGATTGAGATCGTTGAGCAAGTTCCCTCTTACCGAGCCTCTACGACAGCAACTCTAGTGCCCATTCGCGTAGCTTATCGACAGAGCTAGATTAACAAGCTCACCTCGACATACAGCACGAGTCCTGCCCCTTACGTGGCTGTTTGCTGTAGCCTAAATGTTTGTAGTCCCTTATCTGTAGCACTGCTAACGCTGGAATCGGACTCGAGCATTTCCAACCGTTTAGACTCGAGTTTAAGGCTTAAGGACGCACCCAAACAGCGATGTAAAGCTTCACTTGTCTCTCTTGTAACTCGAAGGATGCTTCCTGAAAGATTGAAAAGGTAAGAAGACGCGCCCGCTTGGTCAATGAGGAAATGCTCTGCCGCTCCACTGTGTGCTATTTATGTAGAGTTCTGGTGCCCAAGATGTGTTTACTCTGTCTGATATAGTGGAAAGCGGCAGAGTTTCTTTTGCGATGCTTTCTTGTGGGTTCTGTTGCTGATGTTGTTCGTCTCCTCCCCTAACGTCTTGACAGTGTCGAGGGATACTCTTGTCGAGTAGTGTCGACCGTGCTCGAGGCACGTTGTTACGATGTTTTTGTTGTCGGAGTGATGCGCTGTGACTAGGAAGTTAGTTATCTCTACATAACAGAGCAGAGCAAGGATGCCACAGTCCTAATGTTATCATTGCGTCCTGCGGCCGTGGATACTTCAGCAAGCTGCAACGTCCGTGAGAATACCTACGACTACACTACTTGGCCATTCGGCAGTCTTCCTGGACTCTTGTGAAGTTCAGGGCGGAAATCTTGCGGAGAAGATTAACAAGAGGCGCTGTGAGCCCGCGACAATCTATTCCGCTGCTGACAGCGCTGTGATTGGGGCATGGCTTACCCTGCGCCTCAATGGCGAGCTATCAAAGGTTCCAGCCATAGTCATAAAAGTAAAGAGTACCAGTCTGTCGTCCTCGGAGACCTCGAGTCTTATTGCGGGGTTTGAGATGTGCGTCGATACACCTTCAAGGACCATGCAATGGAGTCAATAGACTACGTACAGAGGGTTGGCATGTCGGGCTGGCCCCATGCTAGTATTTTCTGCCTACAACAGTGTCTTAGCGAGGTTTATTGCAAGCATTTAAGATTGTTTACTGGCTACAGTACATTCATAAGTAGATACTTTAGGTATAGAAGATACATGAAATTAGTAGGTGGCCAGCCCGACGTGCCAACCCTCTGTACATGGTACCAATACCGACGCGAACGAGCGGGAAGCAAACATGCCAGAACAAAGGTCAAGAAGTCATGCCATGTAATTTGCGTATCATGAAGCGGGATTTCCCGAGATCATCAGCGATGAATCAGTGCAATGTTGAACTGCTTCGTAAGAGCCTCGGTGTTTGCCATCACACTCCGTCCTTTTTTCGATTCTAGAGTGAGCTGACGAGTACAATAGTGACTTCCGGGGCCATGTTGTTGATACTACGCTTAGTGATACAAAGTGTAGGTGTGCAGACGTTCAATAGGGGATTGTAGCCCTTTGGAAATAGTCCGCGGCCGCGCAGACGTGATATTCTGGGGGATATCGCAGTGATTTAAGGGTAAAGATCAGGTCTAGCGAATTGGACATCCCGGAATGTGATGAACACAGTACCCCGGACGTGCGTTTCAATTCTGGGCATGAAGCACTAGTAGGGAACCCGTCCGATATTCCTGCTCTCCATATAGCTCCATTAAACACTTCAATCCCTGTTTGTAAAACCCGCGGTCAACTTTGATTCGATACCACTGAAATGCCCTACACAACTCCGAGAACGTGGAATCCCCGCCGCAGCGGGTGGTCTAGCTAATTGCAAAACATACACGCGCCTCTCCAGACTTACCCCATAAACTCGTTTGCGGGTGAAATTGTTCTCGAACATCTGGAGACAACAACTACATTCCGCGTACGATTGCACAACGCCCGTTCGGCCATCATCGACGACGTCTTATCAAGGCGCATCCTCCCAGACTCGAGCAAAGCTTACCAGAATACTTAGCAGTTGCTTTGTTAAGTTTGGTGTCTTGGTATGGCGACTAAAGTTCTGGGCTTCAATGCCAAGGGCGATTGGAGCATCTTGGTATTTATCATGCGACTCGTGGTAGAGGAATTGGAATTGCGCGCGATATTGATATAGCGGGGCTGATGATAGTTGTTGTGGGGATTCAGTGCCGTGTTCCTGTATGCTGTGTCTGCAATCTCATAATTCGAAGTAGGATACTGCAAAGTTTGACCAAGTTGAAGCATGCATAGCTTTGTCTGTAGCTAAAATCTCCAAAACTATTTCGTATTGTCAAAATGTAGATGTCTATTGTTTGGCAACCGTTTTTCATGTATCTTTAATTGTGGAGTATCTCCCAAATGATTCAAGATACGGACTAACTTGGTCCAGATCAATGCAACGCAATGCGCTAGACTACAAGACCTGCTATTGCGTACGCAAGGCTTGCACAGATAAGCTGAAGCAAAATCAAACATGCTGGAGGTCGGATTTTGCGATATTTGATTAGAGAAGTCTATGGGGTATCACCCCAGCTTTCTAATGGTGGGGAAATAGATGTCGGGGCAGGTCTAGTTTCCCGAAAGGCTTCAAAATGTCGGTAGAAACCGTCTTGAGGAATGTTGAGACTGCATCTAACCATGCTTCTGGAGACTGGGAGTACATAACAGTTTGTCGGCGTTAAGGCGTCCAATAAATGAGCGGCGAATGAGGGTGCATGTGTTGTGTGCTCGTTACGGGGTCATCGGACTAGGTTGCTAGGTCTCATTCACCCTGCTCCGCGTTCGCATTATTGTAACCCTGCGGAACATCGTCCAGTTCAGAAGACATATCTGTTTGTCGGTGTATCTAATCCTCCAACGTGTTATTAGCAGTTGTGTTCAGGGTGCGTCCGCTGTTCCACATGACAATGAAAATTCTCCAGATCCCCATTTTTGCACCCACATTCCATACTGTACCAGTGCTTTGTGGAGATAACTATGGACCTTCACAGTGCGGGGAGAAACATCGGAGAAGGTGAACACGGCCTTATTGTGGTCTGACCGGGGAGAAAGGCGATCGATGGAGGTACAAGTAGAAGACGGTGCAATGTTGAATAGGCCGACAATCTCCCCAGCGAATCAACAGCACGGCAAAGGAGTTCATTCAGTAACTTCAACAGCAGTCTAAAAGAGAAAAGAGAACAACTACCGCGGGCCGTCTTCGGTGGATATCGGAGGACACAACAGTAGCCGACGCTAAATGCCCAAAAGGCGTGGGGTCTCATCTGTGGAGGCGAAAGATCCTGGTCCGATTGAGGCCATCTTCGTGCACATCTCCGCTGGCGTACCTTTCTGGCGTATCATGTCAAGCTCTACGGAGCAACTCTCAGCGAAGTCTTCAATCGCCAAGATCCACTCAGGCCATGCCGCGCGAAAGCTTCCCCACCCAAGCACCCCAAGCACTCCTAGCATTCAGCCGCCCCGTCTGGGCATTGTAACGTCGATGCGAGCGATGTGCAGCTGTACCACGCGCGCCCTCATTGGGCTTTTTCACTACGAATTACCGTCCAGGTCGAAGTGCAGATGTGGCGGCTGCTCCGACGAATTCTGGGGATGAGCATCCCAAGTTCCCAACAGTATCCCCTACAAGCGTAGCAACGCATGGTGTGCACTTAGTTAGCCTCGATTAGGAAATTCCCTTGATTATCCTGACCATGGGGTACAGCAGGTTGCCCCAGAATCTTTGGAGTATAAGAGCACGCGGTCAGCTCCTCTGGAAAACAGGATTATCGTGTACTCCCTTGCTGAGAAGCGATCTGAGCAACCCCGCAGTCTCACTCCTCAGTCGGCAGACCTTCTCGCTGACCTGACAAGATTTTGGAGACCTCCAGCTCATTTTTGATTCTATATTTGATCTATTGTTCGTTCGAAAATGTGGAATCCGTGGCGCGAGAATTTGAAGGACACTCCAAGGGAGGTCCTTAATTGGAGACTTTGGTTTGGAGTCTTCGGTAAGTTCGAACCTTTCGGCATTGTCCGCTCAATGCATTGAAGGTCTCCATAATTGACTGACACTTTGTAGTATTCGGCCTGATGGGCGCTGCCCGTGGTATTGACGAAGGCCTCATCGGAACTACTGCTGAATTGGATCCATTCATTCGAAAGTTCGGCCTGGACGATCCTCACAAGTCCAAACACCAGAAGGCTGAGCTCCTCTCCAACATCACATCCATGGTCCAAATGGGTTCCATTCTAGGAGCCCTTATCGCTTTCGTCCTTACTGACAAGATTGGACGTCTATGGGCCACACGGCAGTTATGCCTAGTTTGGGTCGCTGGCATCTCAATATTCCTCGCTTCCTCAGCTACAGGAAGCATCGGTATGATCTACGCTGGCCGTTTTATCGCCGGCGTGGGAATTGGTCAGACCACGGTGGTTGCTCCTACCTATCTGGCTGAGACTGCACCGAGGGCAATCAGAGGTCTTTGTGTGTGCGCATTCGCTGGCGCCGTCTACATCGGAATCATGCTGGCCTACTTTGCGTCATGGGGATCATCCATCCACATCTCCTCTAAGACTGACACACAGTGGCTCGTTCCAAACAGGTATGTGCACGCAGCAAACATCCCTTATTATATCGTATAAGCTAATATATAGTCAGCATGCATCTGATGTTCGCTGGTATCATTTTCACCTTATCTTTCTTCGCCCGCGAGTCACCGCGATGGCTCATCAAGGTCGGACGCCATGAGGAGGCAGCTAAGAATCTCTCTCTTCTCCGCCAACTCCCTGAAGACCACCCGTATGTCGCAAGTGAAATCATCGATATCAATGCACAACTTGATCGGGAACGTGAGGCCACCATGGGCACGTCCTGGCTTGGTCCAGTCCGCGAACTCTTCGCTACCAAGGCCAACATCTACAGAATACAATTGAGCATCATGAGCCAGCTTTTGAGCCAGTGGTCGGGAGCGAACTCAATTACAATTTACGCCCCGCAATATTTTGAAATGATGTAAGTTGTTGAGTCTTCTAGAGGTGTTGGAAATAGAGCCATTAACTGACGACGATGTAGGGGAACAACCGGCCAAAGAGAGAAGCTTTTTGCTACAGCGATTTTCGGACTTGTGAAGTTCATTTCTTCCATTCTTTGCGCCTTTGTTCTTATCGATTGGATTGGCCGCAAGCGCGCACTAACCTCCGGGATTACGCTTCAACTCTTCTCTATGCTCTACATGGCAATCTTCCTTTTCATTGACCACAACGTCAAGGACACCGAAGAGCAATCGCCAAGCCAAAAGCGCGCCGCAATGGGTGCTATTGTGATGATATACTTCTCGGGTTTCGGTTGGGCTCTAGGTAAGTTCTGGCTGCCGCCAAGGGTGCAATTCACCCACATCGCAATCCACACACACACACTACAACCTTCTAACACTGTGTTTCATCGTTCTAACGTTATCTCAGGATGGAACTCAATCCAATATCTCTTGAATTCAGAAATCTACCCACTCAGACTGCGTGCGTTGGGAGGCAGTGTTGCAATGACTTTCCATTTCGTCAACCAATACGGCAATTCCAAGGTATGTAGCGGCACACCAATGCCTTGAACTGGAAAACAGGCTAATCTAGATCATAGGCTGTACCTCTTATGTTCCTCGGAATGACCCATGGAGGCACTATGCTTTTCTTCAGTGCCGTGACTGCGATCGGCCTTGGTTGGGTGTGGTTCTTCCTCCCAGAAACCACCGGCAAGTCTCTCGAGGCTATGGACGAGATGTTCAACCTGCCTTGGCATCTTATTGGAAGGAAGGGAGCGGCATTGACCAAGGGACACGGTGGCGTTGCAGACGCAATTGATGCTGGTCATGAGAAGGCTGTGGCCGCACAGCTCGAAGATGCGCAGGCTTCTACTACTGTCCACCCCAACCAGAAGGTTTAAGCAGTTGAACGATTTCACGACGACAGCAACACTATGCTCGTACGAGACTCGACCTGAGCTAGTCTCAGAGATGACTAAATAAGATCCGACAGACGATCCTACAGAAGGACGCAGGGTCCGTGGCATGAAAGCTATAGAGACGTATACGGACACCATAGCTTTATTACCTATGGACTATCCTAGCAGTTCAAACGAATGAATGATCAAAAATGACATTTGAATCAATATAGCCCCACAGTACCCTATGTTGAAGTGATATTGCAATGGTGCACTTTTGCTTTCCCATCCAGCGCCGTACGATGTTAGCTAAGTACATCAGCACGATAGCGCAGACACCTTAGGCTAGACCCCTACCCTCTAATAGTATTTTATGCATAAAACTGGAGACATCCACGACTACACCCGCAAGGTCTATGATCGATTTGCTCGCTATAAACAGCCTTTTAAATTACTCTAAACTGGCTGCATCATAATCCAGATTATCTAACTTCTAAGGCTCTTTAAATTATGAACGACTGGCTACATCTCCAGCTAGAATGGCCATTTTGGGCACAGAAGATAATGAGTCATATGAACTGTTCGTAGCAGTCGGCCAGCCCGACATTCATTCTCTCTTTATTATGTTACTGTTCATATGATTGATCTTCTCTCTGCTGTAGACAATTTGCGCAGCGCCTTGCAATTTCTTACATTACGGCCACTGAGCTTCACGACAGAATTACATGTAAAGTCAATTACTGAAGGGGCATTCTTAAATGTAGACTATTTTGGCGTACTAGACTTTATTATTCAAGTATCGATTCATTTAGGGCATTGCCGTGTAGATAACTTTTGCACACAGCATTAGGGTATTGCTAGAATAGTGTTCGATCACAACAACGTCCAACACAATGTGCAGACTTGGTAAAAGGTTTCGCAATCAAGAGAATGACGTATGTTTCGATGCGCTTATTTATATATGTATGATTGTAAGTGTTCAACTGCCGCCGCTTATTCCATGTGGTTGATATGTCCAAGAGGCAATTTGTTAGAATTGAAATGGAGTGCCCTCGCGGAAGGATTCCTAGATCAGCATAGCCGCGAAACCCCTCAAAGCTGAGAGGCGGCGAGAACGGCGGCGAACAACACCGCGCTCCATGCCATACCGGTTGTGCTGGCCGCACCGGGGGTCTCCGAAGAGCCTGTCGCGGTACCCGTCTTGGATGGCTCCTGCTTCTCTGTCGAGTTCTTCTCCGTAGCATTGCTGAGAACGCCCTGGGCCTCGGGGTACAACAACGCCTGGACGACCTCCAAAGCACTTTGAACCTCGCTGAGGCCCTCGTCGCCAAGGCTGTTGACATCAGAGTTTGCCTCGAACCACTTGAAGCCGCATGCAATGTCCTTTCCTTCGCCCTTGCAGTTAGAGGCAGCGCCCTTAGCGGAGGCCTCGAGGATCTCGTGCAATGGCTCGGCTACGAAGGGGGCAACGAGGGCGGCGCGGGCGAGAGATCGAGACGCGATGCCCTTGAAAGATTTTTGGTCGTTGCCGCACACGTTCCTCGACTCGCAGGCGACTTCGGAGAGGATTGACGTCTCGTTGGCCTTGAAGATGTCGCCGGCTTCGACGAGCTTCGATACGGTGTTCTTCCAGGTCTCGTTGCCGTTGGTCTGCTTGCGTTAGAATGATGTGTGTTACTTAAGGGAAGTAGATCACTCACGAGGTTGTACATGACGGCAGCACCCTCGGTGAAAACACCCCAGGGAGCAGTGAATTGGATACGGTTGATGCTCTCACAGTTCTCAACATCCAGTCCAGCGAAGACGTAGAACTTTTCTGAAATCAATCCGGATGATTGGGCCCATTTGAAGGACTTCTCTGCCCAATTAGAGTATGTCTCATTGCCCGTTGCGAGTGCGAGACGAGAAGATAGGAGGAAGAAGTTGGCGGCAGAGTTGATGTCCTTGAAGGTGTATCCGTTATTGAAAGAAAAGATTTGCCATCTTAGACCACCGTCGCAAGTCTTCTCGTCCCAGCGCCCGACTAGGTTCTCGAAGACAACCTTTGCAACATCCAGCCATTCTCCTTCCTTTGGCTTCTTGAAGCTGGTTTCGGAGGCTGTCAGCGCAGCAAGTGCCCAGTTGCTTTGACCCTCATTGTCCAAGGTCCTGGTCTGGTTCACCGGCATGTAATTGCGGTCCGAGCCAAGCTGGAATTCGAGAGCCTCAGCAACGACATCGTCGAATTGCGAGTCTCCAGTCAATTTGGAATATTCAACTAAACCGCCCCAGACGGCGCCGAACTGCGACCAGTAGTACGGGTCACCAGAATCCGAGAAGAGACCTGGCGGAATATCATCGGAGCGACCCTTGTACTCATCGATGAGAGCGCTGGCAAGAGTCTTTGCTACAAATTTCACCGAGTCTAAACCCTGTCAGCCACTGTCTGCGACAAACCGAGGTTCTCGTAAATTACCGGAGCTCTTGACGTCGAGGTCTAGGGCGGACGCAGATCCCGCCAAAAGGGGGATAAGAAGAGAAACGCACTTTAGCGCGAACATGTTGATTTTGGGTAACGAATGTGGGTGTGAGAATCACGAAAGATGAAAGAGAAGACGGATTGTCTGAAGGCGCAAATTATCGTAGTTAATACCCGTAGTTAAAGATGAGACGGCTCCTCACGAGACTTTAAGGGGCGCTGTGTAGAATCCTGTTCCGGCCTGTGCACTTTGGCAAGGCGCCCAATGTGCAAGCGCAAATATAGGCTCCCACCGCTACCAAGGAATCCTTTACGGCCGTTTAATCGAATTAAAACTCAAATTGCTGGATACGAAGGGCGTCAAGTAAATCCTGCACCACGATATGAAACTGATGTCTGTGGTCCCTCTGCTAATTCATCTCTGTCACATAGTACGAGAGATTTCGAGATACATTAGCTAGCATACGTGGGTACTCGCCGAGTCCAACGGCATTTACTTCATCAAATACCATAATTGTCAATGGATCTCGGTTACCGTATTAATTAGATACAGTGTGGGGTTCGCCTACTCGTGTATTGCTATAAACAGTACTGGGGATGCCGTATGTGCGGAACTTTCGGCATAGTATTGTTGCCGATTTCTTGAATTGGATGCAGTTGTGCTGTGAGCGAATCAGAGTAAATCTTGGAGGTCCGCCTGAAACGAGAAGGAATGTTGTACAGCAAGAGCCACCTTGTCATACCAAGGGATTATATGAACAGGTTTATTGTCAATTATGCTTGCTGTTGTTCTCATACTCGATGGAGTTAGACGCTTAAAAAAGTCGAGAACAACCTGTTGGCATTCATAAACATTGCATTGTTTGCTTCTGGATCATGATTTGTCCTGCAAATCATTTCATCACCCTTGAATATTCTGCCCAAAAAAGCATTTGTTACGCAATGTTCGTAACGTGTAACCAATAAAATATTTGCTACTAGTACTGCATGTTCCCATGGTCAAGAAGCGTGCGCTCGTAAATTATAATAGCCAATTCGTTGACCATAATTGGCCGCTTAACACTTCAATAAAGCATGGTACGTGGTTCGCATAACGTCGGTAAACATCTATCGGGTAGCCTCGTCCTCGACCTCCATGGCCCGGTCCAGCCTTCTCTGCTCGACCTTTGCCTTCTGTATGCTCAATGACATCTTAACTGGGTTGACTCCAGGAGTCTCGAACACAGCATCGATTTCCTCCAAAGTGAGCTTGCTCGTTTCGGGGAATACAAAGTATGATGCTAAAAGGGATAAGTAATTGATTTATCAAAAGATGTTGAGCTTGTTTGTATATGACTTACCGACCAACTGAAAGCAGTTGTACACAATATATACCACCCAGATCTTGTATCCAATCTTGTTGATACCAATGGAGATACCGTAAGATTCAATGGCACCAGCTGCACCCTGGATGACACCATAGAGACCCATTCCTTTCGCTCGCAGGGGGAGCGAAAGAATCTCAACCGGATACAAGTTGTGCATAGTCGCAATGAACATAGCTGATATGATCTGGAACATAAACATCCACATAATCGTAAGTGCAGATGTAGCCGTCGAAGCCTTGACGTTATATTGCCACGAAGTGATGGTAGCAGCTACCTGCATCAAAACCACGCCAATGAGGCCAGCAAAGATAAGAGTTCGACGCTTGAATGAGTCTACAAACCATGCTCCTACTGTGGTGAAGATGAAGTAAGTCGCTGTGAGGCCCAACGATATCCCAAGTTGGTCGATGGTATCTTTCACACCTATCGTCTCAAGTGCTGGAGTTAAATAATATGAAACTATTCCTCCTCCATTCCAGCTCTGAAAGCAGGAATAGAGGGTTAGAACAAGAAGTCTGAAGCGTACAGGTTTGGTGACGAAGACTGCAAAGTTCCATGATTGTCTGAAACCGGTTTTGGAGGTCTCCAGTGACTCTTCGATTTGCGCCAAGATAACGCCAACAAGAGGCTCTGAAGTACTTCCGGACGTTGTCATGTACCGAGCAATAGTCTCTTTAGCCTTCTCTTTCTGTCCCCTGAGCACAAGGTAGCGAGGCGATTCAGGGGTGAAGAAGTAAATGGTCGCGCAAACGATGAATGGGAAGAGAGCCTCAAGAATAACCGGAATTCGCCATTGCCAGTTATTATCGGTAGACATTCTTGAAAAGGCTATCATAGCTGCGTTCATGCAGACCGATCCTATTTGGAAGCACGCGCCGAATATGCCAACCATACGACCGCGCATGTGTGCAGGGGCAATTTCAGCGATGTACTGAGGGCTGGACATCAATGAAGATCCAAATCCGAGGATGAATCGACCAGCCATGAAGCATGATAGATTGGGTGCCAGACCCTGCAAAAGTGCAGCAACAATAACGAGGAAATTTCCCAGGAAGTTGACGCCTCGACGACCAATACGATCCGATAATGCCAGGAACGGTGCCCCACATACTAAACCTATGCGCATAAGGGCTGTGATAGTGCCATATGTCGATCCGCTGGTTCCAAAGCCGAAGTAGTTATGCCAGCTATCGTAAGCATTGATGTTGCCAATGACAGCCCAGTCGACTCCATAACCTGCTTGGTTGCAGCCTTGAACGAACATGAGCAGGCAGATCCTCCATCCTGTTTGGCACCAGAAGTTTGGGAAAGCTTCCTTGGACATCTTGATCAGGTCGTCATCTGTAATTCGCTGGACAACGATCTCCTCCGTTGCCACAACTCCGGTCTTGAAATCGGATTCATCGTGGTTGATGGAGGTGTTCCTCTCGGTAGCCATGATAGCAAGCTTCCACCTCGAGTATAAATTCGTGAAAAACAATTAGGTACAATCCCAAGATGAAGATACAGTAGATGTGGTACACGTGACTTCGTTGTCAACGACTGAGGTTGGGGTGCTTGCCTGCCACGAACAAAACAGCAGGCGCAAAGCTGGGGTTTTATCATTGTCCCACAATTCTCCCCGCGGGGTCGGGATATGCATCATCATGGTCCAGATCAATTCATCATCACGCAACTAAAACACGAGCATACGAAAACCATCAATTTCCATACCGGTAACCCAACCGACAAGGCGTCCGGATTGTTCCAAAGCTTGAGGTTGCGTTCCCGCTTTGATCGGCGCCAAACCTGAATTCTTCCGTCCAACCGCCAACTAACGATTCCTGACCATCGCCTGATTCAAGACTTCCCCAGGTGGCGGGAATAAAAGCTTGAGACTAGAAATCCTACCACTTGCTAGTACTTCCGAGACTTAATTGGAGATCTTGCTATTTTTCCGGTGGCTCTTATGGTCTGCATATCTTTAGTTCTCTCTAACTTGGTTCTGCTATGCAATTGCACCTACATTTGCATCCTTCAATAGCCTTGGCCGATCATGCTTCACTATACTCACCCCGCATCTGATTGGAACCATGCTTTACCAATTGGGAATGGTCGACTGGGAGCAATGGTATACGGCGGTATTTACAATGAGATACTACGCCTGAACGAAGAAAGCGTCTGGTACGGCGGCCCTCAGACCCGGACGCCTGCGAACGCCAAACACCATCTCCAAGAGCTTAGAAAGTTAATCCGCGAGGGGAAACATCAAGCAACCGAAGCACTTGTTAGGAAACGGTTCCTTGCTACACCGAAGAGTTCGAGGCACTACGAACCACTAGGAACTTGCAAGATTGACTTTGACTACGACTCCATCGAGGGCTCAATTGCCAATGGCCTGAGGGACAAGCAAACAGCCAGTCAGGACTTCGAAAGAACTCTCGATCTCGAAAATGCAGAAGCAACCGTTCGTTACAAAGTCAATGGAGTTCTAGTCAAACGGGAGTGCATTGCAACATTTCCGGACAAAGCTCTTGTAATCCGTATCCGTGCGGAAAAGCCCATCTCATTCATAGTCAGCTTGACTCGCATGAGTGATGTTGATTGGGAGGTCAATGAGTTCCTTGACTCGGTAAATCCGGCTGATGGTCGCATCGTCATGCACGCAACACCTGGTGGAAGAGGAAGTAATTCCCTCTGTGTTGCCGCTGGAGCACGTATTGAGTCAGGAGATGGCAGTGTCAAGATTGTTGGACAAAGTCTAGAGATCGTATCTACAGATGCACTCGTTGTACTCGCCGCACGCACACAGTATCGGCATCCAGATGTCGAGAAAGCCGCCCTAGCAGACATCGATGCGGCATTTGGATTCACGGCTCAGGAGCTATGGCACCGACACTCATCCGATTGGAAGTCAAAATACGATCGTATGAGCGTCCAGCTCTATCCAGATGCAGTATCACTTCCTACCGAAGATCGACTCAAGGGAGTTCCCGACCCTGGACTTCTATCACTCTATCACTCGTACTCCCGCTATCTGCTGCTATCTTCCAGTCGTTCCTATCCCGGAGCACTTCCCGCTACGCTGCAGGGTATCTGGAACCCCAGCTTTCAGCCAGCGTGGGGCTCCAAGTACACCATCAACATCAACCTGCAGATGAACTATTGGATCGCGAACGTGTCCAACCTTTCAGACTGTGAGCTCCCGGTGTTCGAACTGCTGGAACGCATGGCCGTGAATGGTCGTCGAACAGCTGAAGAGGTATGGAATTGCCGTGGTTGGTGTGCCCATCACTGTACAGATATCTTTGCAGACACAGAGCCGCAAGATGCCTGGATGCCTGCAACATTATGGCCCCTTGGCGGTGCTTGGATGTGCACTCACATTTGGGAGCACTACGAATTCACCCATGATGAGGATGTTGTGAAGAGAATGATGCCAGTGTTAGAAGGTTGCGTTCGATTCCTACTCGATTTTCTGGTCCCAGATTCGACTGGTGAGTATCTTGTGACTAACCCATCATTGTCTCCTGAGAATACATTCCGGCATCCAACTAGCGGTGAGAATGGAGTCTTCTGCGAGGGCTCTGTGATCGATATCGAAATCGTACGCACCGTATTCCAACATTATCTGCTCGCCTCCAACGCAATCCCAGGAATGGTATTCGATGCGGAGATAGCTTCTCAAGTCAGAACGGCATTGCTCAAACTCCCTCCCATGATCATTAGTCCAACCACCGGCACGATACAAGAGTGGGGACTCCACGACTATGCAGAAACCGAGCCCGGCCACCGGCACGTATCCCAACTATACGGCTTACACCCAGGCTCGTCCATCACCCCGAGCTCGACGCCCAAGCTCGCAGACGCAGCCATCAAAACACTTACCCGGCGCCTCCAGCACGGCGGCGGCCACACAGGCTGGTCTCGCGCCTGGCTCGTCAACATGTGGGCACGACTACGCCAGCCCGAACAGTGCGAGCGCAACCTGCACGCGCTGCTGAGAGACAGCACACTGCCGAACATGCTGGACACGCACCCGCCGTTCCAGATTGACGGGAACTTTGGCGGTGGAGCAGGAATCATGGAGTGTTTGGTTCAGTCTCACGAGACATTTACTAACACGAGTGGCGCCGTCCAGCGTATCATTCGGCTGCTCCCAGCGTGTCCTGCGTCATGGGCAAAGGGCATCATTCGAGGAGCTCAATGTAGAGGTGGCTTTGAGTTGGATTTCTCGTGGGACTCAGGCAATATCACTGAGCCCATCATCCTCAACTCCAAATTCGGTACCGACGCGGTACTCATAGTCCGCGCCGTTGGGGCAGACGCACAACATGCGGGCATCCATGTCAAGATCCCGGCTCGAGTCAGCGTGCATGTTCTCAGTTTAAGCGCGGCGGAGAATGTGAAAAGTCCCCTAGCACTATAGAATAGTTCGTTCATACCAGGATGTAGTATAAAATTATTCAAAACACAGAACCATTTTGTACACTTCAAACTACCGCAAGAATGAGTGTCAAGACCCCACAAGCATTGCGAGATGCAACGACGGAGTCCAAGCAGGCGGGAGAGAATGGGCGCGTGGTTTATGAGCAATTCATCCTCTTCGGCGATTCTATCACCGAGGGTGACGGGAATCCTGAGTTAGGGTTTAGTTGCTATCAAGCGCTACAGCATGGTAACTACGATATGCTTTCCAAGGATGTGATTTAATGACATTAGTAGACTACAAGAGACGCATCGACATAGTTAACCGAGGATTCAGGTAATGTCTACGCTATGCCAATCATCCGTTAAAAAGAATAGTGACGATTGATGTTTGCAGCGGGTACAACACCTCGAATGCCCTCGCCGTGCTACCTCGAATTTTTCCAACACCGCAGCAAGGGCCAGTCCGACTTGTAGTAAGTCTCTTGAAATTACTCGATCCATTCAAGACGATCATGTTCGATCACCAGAACATCCTCTCAAGCTGCCAACTACCGATGCTTACTGTTCATGCTTTAGACCTTATTCTTCGGCGCCAACGACGCCAGTCTCCCAGACACGACAGGCCAACACATCCCGCTCACCACCTACACCACCAACCTGCGTCTCCTAATCCAGCACCCCGCCATCACCTCGCACAGCGGCGTGCGAATCCTGCTCATCACGCCGCCCCCCATCGACGAGTGGGGATTCGACGGGTGGGACGAGCCAGGGAGGTCGGCGCGGACAGCCGGCGTCGCGAGGGCGTACGCCGAAGCCGTGCGGCACGTGGGCGAGGAGACGGGCGTCGCGGTGGTGGATCTGTGGGGTAAGTGTATGGCGGAGGCGGGCTGGACCGACGACGACACGGGGAAGGACTCGAAGCTCCTCCTCCCTGGGAATAAGAAGCTCGAGAGGAGCGAGGCGCTAGCGAGGTTGCTTTACGATGGTGAGTTTTAAACTTCGTCAGACTCTACAAGTACGCATACACAAGCGTCGGTTGATTGTCTCCGACGAATCCCATCCGGCGGGAAGAGTAACTTGATTGACGCTTAGCGGGGGAGCATTAGGATTGCATCTTAGCGGCGAGGGATACCGAGTCCTGTATCGCGAGATGGTGAAGACGATTGCGGAATCGTATCCCGAATTGCGGCCTCAGAATTTGCCGGTGGCTCTTGAGCCTTTCTTTCCGGAATGGTATCAATGATTCACCTGCATCTTGCAGGAAACGGGCGGATATCGAACCATGTCCTGGGAGACTGTGGTGGCACTACATGCTATTATGTGCAGATGCATTGAGGGACGTTGGATATGGGATCGGCAAAGATCTACCGAATGCGAATACGCGAGAGTGTCGGCTTTCCACCAATGGTGATGGTGCAAGACCTTGCGTCTATCCTTATCACGTAGACCTTCCGACTTCAAGTGGGTTCGTAGACATTGTTAATGATGGTGGTGATGGTAGCTCACGCCATCATGTCACGCAGGTAGAAATGGTACGCAATTGAATTGTCGTATATCAAACAATCAACCCTATGCATGACCGATCCTTCGAATGATCGAGTGATACCTCCACATTGTCCGTCCACTCACCCCTTCTACCCAACAATCGAGAAATCGAGAAATCGAGTAACCGAGTGACAACCATGACCTGGACCCACGACTTCACCTCGTCCCCCGAGGCCTCCCTCGCCGGCTCCCTCCGCAAAGACTTCTACTGGGGCTACGCGACGGCGGCCGCACAAGTCGAAGGCGCCTGGAACGCCGACGGCAAGGGCGAATCCATCTGGGACCGCTTCTGCCACACTCCCGGCAAAGTGCACGACGGCAGCACGAACGAGGACGCCGCGCGCTCGTACGACCTCTACAAGGAGGACGTGCAGCTCATGAAGAGCTACGGTGTCACTGCGTATCGATTCTCGCTCGCGTGGTCGCGAATAATTCCTCTAGGCGGCGCGGACGATCCAGTGAATGAGAAGGGGGTACAGTATTATAACAACTTGATTGATGAGTTGTTGGCGAATGGGATCACGCCGTTTGTGACGCTGTTTCATTGGGATATACCGCAGATGCTGGAGGAGAGGTATGGCGGGATGTTAAATCAGGAGAGGTATACGCCGGACTTCTTGAGATACGCGAGGGTGTGCTTTGAGAGGTTTGGCGATCGAGTTAAGCATTGGATTACGTATAGTCAGTCTTGATACCCTACAACTACTTTTCAACGACAGAAGCTAATGTCCAGTGAAGACGAACCCGGCGTTTACACGTTAGCTGGCTACGCAGCGGGCGTCCACGCACCTGCCCGCTCATCCTTCCGCGAGAGGAATGAAGAGGGTGACAGCTCGACGGAGCCCTTCATCGTCGGGCACACGGAGATCGTGACGCATGCGCGGGCCGCGAAGATGTATCGCGAGGAGTTCAAGCCGAGTCAAAAGGGGGAGATTGGAATTACGCTGCACGGGAACTACTCTGAGCCCTGGGATGCAGAGGATCCGGTGCATGTTGCGGCGGCGGAGAGGGCGCGCGAGTTCGAGATCGCGTGGTATGCGGATCCGATTTATGGGAGTGGGGATTATCCGCAGAGTATGAGGGATCAGTTGGGCGACCGATTACCAACTTTCACTGAGGAAGAGAAGGAATTGGTGAAGGGGAGTTCGGATTTTTATGGGATGAATAGTTACACGACTTTCTTCATCAAAAACTTGGATGGTCCTACGGACATTAACGATCACCTTGGGAATGTGGAGAAGCTCGACACGAATAGTAAAGGCGAATCCAGGGGCCCCGAGTCGGATACTTACTGGTTAAGGACGGCGCCATGGGGCTACGGGAAGCTGCTGAGGTGGGTGTGGAATCGGTACCAGACGCCCATCTACCTGACGGAGAACGGGACCACGGCAAAGGGGGAGACGGAACCGTCTGAAGAGATCCTCAACGACACGTTCCGCATTGATTTCTACAGGGGATATCTCAGTGAGGTGGCAAAGGCTGTACAGGACGGCGTGGACATACGGTCGTATTTCGGGTGGACGTTCACAGATAACTGGGGTGAGTCACTCAAAACTGAAATCATACAGATGGTGTGTCGTGGTGTCCTAACAGTAAATAGAATGGGCGGCTGGATACTCCGATCGGTTCGGCGTGACATACGTCGATTTCGACACCCCAGAGAAGAAGCGGTATCCCAAGCGGTCCGCGTACTTCAACAGGGACTTTTTCAATCACCTCATCGCGAAAGCGTGAGTCAAAGTCGTCTAGGATAATGATGAGAACATGAATACTGGGTGGGATTAGAATGGTTGCAGATGCCGGAATTCGATGGATCAATCCAACTTTATAGAAGGGCATAAGGTCTATACTAGAACAGGGGGACTTATAATTTAGGACGAAAAAGGAGAAAATATCCTTTCATCTTCGAGGTATTCTAGAAATGCTCCACACTCTTTCATCAAGCAGGGGGACGATTTCGACAGCTTAGATCACTTGTTCTTCCAGGAAACAGAAAAACGGTGCTTCAAAAGAAGTGAAAGCTCAAGTTTGATCAGCAAGCTCAATTCAAAGTTGACTATGGAAGGCAATTCCAGTTGATAGGAGAAAGATAGTTAATATTGGTATGTAAAGCAAGCGCGATATGCTAGAGTATATCGATAGATCTACGGTTCATTTACATGCTCGTTCACATGCCAAGCGCGTCTCCTATATAATCCTCTCATGAGGAGCGTAGCGTTCGTTCGTGCTATTTAGTTCAGTTGGCGAGTTTGCCGTGTTCCAAAGTACCGTATGTGCGTAGCGAGTTATGTCAATATACTATGTCCAGTGTATGAGCATTTTAAGCCCAAGCGCCAACCAGACTCATGAGAAAGGCGCCCATGAATACAAGAACGCAGGCCCAGAAGCGCTTCTTGCCGCGGAGAACGTGCCAGCTGGCATCGCTGAGGAAGTCCTCGGACATGAGTTCGACGAGCGACGCGAAGACGAGCAGGCCGGCAGAGATGGCGTTCATGACGCCGACGACGATGAGGCCGATCTCCGAGTCGGGGCTGTAGAGGGTGTGGGTCGCGATGCCGATTGCTTGGCCCAGTGGGGTACTGCGAGTAAGACGTTAGTCATGGGAACGTGACGTGCGATATTTGAAATTGAGGGGACGAATGGACGTACGTGCAACCGTAGGCTAGCGCCATGATCCAGGGTTGGATGGCCTTCTCAGGCCAGTCGATCATGGAGATGCGTGCTCCGAGGGCCAGACCCTCGAACGTTTCTGGACAATGTTAATTATGCAACGTCTGGAGGTCAGCGAGCGAGGTAAGCTTACGGTGGAAGATAATGGCGATAAGCAGAATTACGAATTCGCTGCCGACGGATACGCTTAGAGACATGCCGATGAAAATGCTGTGGAACAGGATTCCCATTTCCAAGAGGAAACACTGCATCACGGCTTTTTTGTGCTCTTGCTCTGGCGTCAGGCCGGATAGGGGTTGGTTCCTATCGGAATCCTCCACGTCGTAGTCGAAAGTCTTTTCTTCTGCGCGCAATGTTTCGCGACGGCGGAATTCGATAATATCAAGCGCTTGGCTTTCTTCGCCCATACGTGAAAGGGTACGGCTGATGCTGTCGTGTCTGCCTCGAAGTGGTCCTCCGCGGGTGCGCATAGTTTCGTCGGGTGCGATGGATCGAATTGGCGATACAGCGCGATCCCTCCTTCCAGTATTATCGTCAGGGTCGGTGGAGTTGTGGGCATGCTGATGATTGTGGTTGTGTGTGCCTCGAGATACAGCTGTCACGCCCTCGTTGCTACCACATGCATGTCGGCCTGGCGAGAATACCATCTCCACCAGTGTGACAAAGAAAATGGCTGCCAAGGCAATTGCTCCAGGCATGGCTTGGTAGCGCTCGGTCCAGAAATCGGACAGACATGGGTTTCCGAGGGATATAAACGCGGTTGGAAGCAAATGGACAAATGCAGTTGCGATGAGCACACCGGTTCCAAAGTGCCGGACAGAAAACAAAAACGTTGCGGGTATACGAAGGCGAGGAAACTTGAGAACAAGTACTGGGAAGGCGCAGCCAGTGGTAGATACGAACAGGATAATGAACAAAGCCCCGACATGGAGAGAGAGGTTGTAGCCAGGTCCGGCACCGCCAGTTGCACATCCATCTCTTTTCAGGAGGCCGGAGGAGGGTGATGCCGAAGGTCCATGGTTGGGTAGATGCTGCAAAACAGAAGAAACCTCTATATTCTTGGTAGATCCGGAAATGAATTGAGACATTCCTCCAAGGCCAACTTGTCTATATTGATTGATGAGGGTTAAAACTGCTGATGTGAACAGCACGGAGAGTAGCCAAGAAGCCCATCCTTTGCACGTGCTTAGCCAAGTACGTGGAGGAAGCTGCTGGTGGCCAGCTTGGTACTCATGATATTTAGCATTGGTTGCCAGGTGGGTGCAAGGTCCTTTTAGAGGTTAGTCGGATTCATTCAATTCTTCCCGAGTACAGGCACAGCATGGAAAAGCGGCTTACATACCTTGTGGAGGACACTTGTCACCCACGCTGGCAAAGGGCGGTGAATTATCTGGCAATTGAGCGAGAGAAGCGTCAAGGTTGGACTGGTCAAGGTCGAGGTATCCAGCTCGCAGACGGGCGGCATCACCAAGTTCCCTTGCGTTGGCGATGTAGCCCATATCCTCGCACGTGGTCAAGTCCGGTGCAAAGCGCGGCGGGTTCTGATTCCAATCCGGGTGGAAGAGGTCATCTTCCGTGCGAGAAGGACAATTCATAGCGAGGACGATCCTGGGATTATGGCGTAAAAGTTGTGGTGGAAGAGGAAGAGGAGCAATGGGCGAATGTGACTGAGAGTATGGTGGTAATTATGGCGACGGTGAAGTGTGTTTAAAGTGTGAAAGATGTCATTGATAGGGTAAGAGTCTGGGCGGGCGTGCGCATCTTCCGTCTTCCCAGGGCCACTAAGGAGGAAAAGTCCGGGGAGGCTAGAGGCTAATGACATGGTATCCTCGGGGCTCAGCCCTTGGCCTCCTTGAACAAGCTGGACTCAAGACCTCAATCGACTCGTCTTAGGGTCGTTTCACATGAATCGCAGACCTTCATAGGCCACTAATCGTTGATGCCATCCGCCTGGGCACTTAATACTTAGCTTTCCTCCCGTAGTGTTCCGAATAGAGGCGTTCCCATTTCTCTCCCCCTCCGCTCCTCTCCGCTATTCTCCGTTCGCAGCATTAATGATGGTAGATCTAATTAATTCCCTACGATCATCTTCAAGTACGAATACTTATCCGTGCTACCGCTATGCTATTCTTTACCAAGTGCATCATTGTTCTCCTCGTAGCGCATACCTAGATGGTCTCTCAAGTCTCGACTCTACCAGACTCGATCCCTCGACCGCTTTTCTCCGCATTCCACCCGCTTGTTCACATAATACACTGACAACTCAAGAGTTACTATTGAACAGGAAGCATCCTTTTATATCAATCACTAATGCATAGTGCATATCCTATCGATGCCATGAGGATCGATTCGTCATTGCAAATTGAAAATTTCCGATTCGCCCATCAGCCACGTGCTCATGTCCCCCTTCCGGACTAGCGCCACTGACCCCTTACCTTTCAGGACATATAAAAAGTAATTCTTGAACTCGACTTGACATGAACGAATGTCAGCGCGTACCTTCTGACTATTCCATCGAGATAGGTAGACTCAAATGAATGAAATTTTCCAATTTCTTTATACAGACGACTATGTTCCGATTATGTGGAGAAAGCTTACGTCCGTAGGATTAGCACGATGCTGATGCCTGTAAATTTCTTACGTCTGAGCGCGCTGCTACGCCTTATCATTTTCTATCAACCTCAGTACAACCAGTCTCCACTCTTCCACATGTCATGACAATGTGAAGTTGTTTCCCTTCATAAAATCTCAATAAGCACTGTAGATCATTATCCCACGCACCATGCGGGGCTGCCTTCGCTGTAGGGGCTGCATCTCCATAAAATGCATCGTATCCATCTTCTTTATCCTCGCCGCACTTACAACGACCTTCTTCTTCACATATATCGTCTTCCCCATACGACGCGCCTACTGGCTGGAACGATCTTATCAAAATGCCCTATCCCGCGTCGAAATGGATGAATTCCTCTTCTCAGGACTCGACCTGTTGGAAAAATCCGAACGCCGTCCTCGCGGCCTCATCCAAGACGTCCCCCAACTCTTCTACTGGGACCACCCCTTCAACCACATCTACTCTGGCAGTCTTACGAAATACTTGACCTACGACGACCTCCTGAGCCTCAACTTCGACGGCACCGGCGACGAACCAGGCGCCGAATACTGGATCTACTTCGGCGGCACAGCACCACTCACTCCCTCAGACAAAACCCATATCCAAAACCTCCAACAAGAAAACACCCAACTCCCCATCCACAAACTCCACGACGTCCCCAACCCAACTAACCGCAACACCTCCACCTTCACCCACCCCTACATCACCCACTCCTGCCTCGACGACCCCTCCGTCTGCACCACCTACAACACCGCCTTCAACGCCATTGCCGCACGTTGGCACTCCACCCTCTCCCCCGACGACTACGACCCCTTCCTCCCCCTCGACCCCGGATCCTCTACCTCCCCATCCATCACCACGCCCGCAAAACTCCGCTACGTAAACTGCGACGTATCCCCGCTCATGTGCTCCACCCTCTGGGGCATCGGCGGCGACCCCACGATGCTGCTGCACGTGAAGCAAGGCACGCAATGCGAGGCAATGCTGCAGGTGTACCGCTGCCCCACCACGTGGTCGTTCATCGGGCTGCCGATCGACATCGCGCCGTGGACGCGGCGCGTGCGGATTCCGCTCGACCGCGGGGGCAGCGTGGTTGTGCCGGCGTTTCCGACCGCGGAGGAGCAGTTGTGGGCGATGGTGAGTCAGTGGGGGGCGGAGGATGGGATGGTGTATGCTGGGGAGGCGGAGAGGGAGGCGGGGGAGGTCGTGAGGAATGTGAGGGTGGAGATTGAGCTTCCGAAGGAGAAGGAGGTGGACGACTACGGTGAGGAGGAGGAGGGTGAGGTGAGGGAGTGGCCGGAGTATAGTGAGTTTTTGGGGATTGTCACGTGGGGGGCTTTGAGGGAGAGGTTGGATAATCCGTTTAGGAGGCCGGAGTGGCCGTTTGAGTATCGGGTTAGGTGTTATGTGGAGAGTTGGTTGGATGGGTGGTTGAGGTGGTGGGATGGGGAAGAGGCGGTTGGGGTTGCGGTAAGGGGGTGTGGGGAGATCGATGAGGAGGCGGAGAAAGAGAAGGCGGATCAGATCGCGGTGCGGAATGTCGGGCTTAGGATGAAGAGGTGGGCGGACGGGGCGGACCAGGATGTGGTCAGGAAGTTTTTGGGGGTGGGTGAGGATGTGGATTTGTGTGATCTGGTGGATGGTGGCATGTATGATGTTGATGATGAAGAGTTCTTTGATGATGAGTATTCATTTGCATTCGCAAATGCTACGCGCCCAAGTTGGAGAGTCAGAGATACGGATTACCCGTAGAATAACGTCGAATTTATTAATACATATCCTTCTCTACTCCTCCTTCTAGGAGACGCTCTCTTCAACACGACGAGGATACCCTGTTTCGCCACCGTTTCTTTAATTCGCGCTTCTCTGGTTCTCTGGTTCTCTGGTCCATCTGGATCCTTATGGTCGATCCGGTCGCTGCCGTTGAGAGTACACTTATGATAAAACAAAGTTCTGCGCAATTACTCTCCTTTGGAAACCATCGACGCTTCCTTGCCTGTGTGACAGCATCTTGTGATGCTTTTTTGAAGAATAGCATAGCAGTGAAGGCCAGCTTGAATGCAGAACATTCAAGGTTTAGATCCCCTTTTTATTCATACATACCACTTCAAAAAGGCCCCATTAATGCCCCAAGTGGCAGGCAGCATCTACCCCCATTCATTAAGCATCCCAGCATACTGGTCCTGACCCAGCCAGAACGGAATATCAAACCCCGCGAACGGATCCGCCCCGTCCGTCGGCATCGACGCAGACGAATCGAACGTGCCGTTGTTCTGCATGAAGTCCTCCCAATGGAGGAATCCGATGTTAGATGTAGATCCATTCGCTGGTGTCCCTGGCGCGGCTAAGCTGACGCGATTGGGATCCGTCATGGGGAATGTGGCGGATTGTGGAGCTTGAGGCGCGGCGCTGGGGTATGCGAATGCGCCGGTGGGAGAGGTGAAGGCTGGGGCGACGTGTGGTGATGTACGCCAATCTGCTTGGCCTTCTGGTCTGTTGGAGGGGTTGGCGGTTGCGGGTGAGGGGGTGCCAGTATCTGCTATGATTCTTCGGTTGTCGAGATCTTGGTGGGATGTCCTTGAATGTGGTGGTTGGTGAGAGAGTCCATCAACTGAGGATGAGTGGGTTGGCGTTCTGTCTGCAATAGGTGTTTTGACGGATCTTCTTGTCATCTGGGCGTTTAAGTCTCGGATTGCAGCCGCACACGCTTCAGGCCATACGCTTCCTCGACGGGCTAGGTGCTGAAGTGTAGCTAAGCTTTTGTCTGCGAATCTATGTGGGTACATCAGAAAATTATGCATCTAGGTCAACTGCGATATACGTACCGTGAGACCATAGACTGAGACACCTCTCCCTTGTTCGCGGCGTAGAAGAGCACAAAAGTACTCATCCAAACGGCCCATGTGAACGATGGCCATAGCAAGGAAACTCCGTGATCCGGCTTCTGGATACAGTCATGAAGGGCAGTTATGATGGATCGCGAGGCACTGATGCAGTGCTGCAATGCAGCCTGATATGCCGGACCATGCGTGGATGCAGCCAAAATAGGCCTGTTCAACGAGATGGTCAGCTCGTGTTTAATGACGGTGAGCACCGTCGCGTGGTATGGTTTGATGGATTGCTCCTGTTCATGCCCCGAGTCGATCATGTCTTCGACATCATTCCACCACTTCACTAGCTTGGCGGTAATGCCTACTGCCTGATCTGTCTCTTTTTGCATATGCTGGATCGACTTGTTGCGCAACTCCATGATCTGGCTTCGAATCTCCGAATGGCGGACCATCATGGTCAGGAGACGAAGTCGGCTGTCTGTACAACAAGGGTCAGCATAGAATAGGACTCGAGCGAAATGGTCGGCAAACCTGATGTCGGTTGCTCTTGGGCATGGCGTTCGCGAATCGGATAGCAAACATCGATATCGTCATCGCGTAAACTGAGTGGAAGACCCATGGCCTGACAAATGTGTCGATCAATGCAGTACAGCGACCAGAACATACGCTGGCGCAACTCTCTCTCCGCGATGGAGAAGGATGGAAAGCGATTAGGACATCGGTGGAGACCAAGTTGCAACGCCATCCTAATGATCAAACCTCCAAGTCGTGATGCAGCTTTCAGTCTTAGCATGGAGACCAAAAAAAGCTGTACGCTGATTGCAGCTTGTAGGGCCAACAAAGAACTCGGGCGTGAGAGTACTTTGTAAAGACTGTCGATGGCGGCATCATAGCTTGGAAAGACGAGCTCGGCAGGATATCGTACGCCTTCCAGTGACCCATCTTGCCTACGATCGGCTAGAGACATGGACATGATAGAACGGACAATGACTAAATTGAGGTCCTTCGAAGCATATTTCTGGGGATTGATATCGCAAGCGAATTGGTCGAAGAAGCCAAGCACAGTAGGCGCATGAAGAAAGGGGTACGCAACGTGCCAATTCGCAAAATACGATGCGCTCCAGTCGACGAGTTCCTGGAATGACACTCGCGGGGATGTTTCATCGGAGACCTCAGAGTCTTTCCATAATCGCGACGAACTATCTGTCCCTGTGGTAGGCAAATAGTCATCCTCGCCTGGAACTACATCACTTTCTGGTGTTTGTGTCACGACCGGACCATCAATGCCCGGATTCGACCGGCGCACCGCATCGTAGACTGAACGAATAAAATAAACACCACTTGCGCTGCCGACGAAGCTGGAGAATTGGTCGCTAGGTAAGCTGCGCATTATACCAACTTCACGTGGCAAGCGGTCCACGGTGGAAGTATCTCCCGTTCGACGCCTTTTGGCCGGACGTTCGGAAGTTGGGGCTGGTGTCGCAAAACCATCGTGCTGTTCCTCCATGGGCGCATAAACATCCTATGGTGACTTTAAAATTTGAAATCGCAATGCTGTTGGAGATCTTAAAGATGGAGATGGAGATGGATGTGGAGAAAGAATGGCCGGCCCCACTTTTGAGCTAGAGTCGGGCCGCGGAATGCACCGATTCTCATACATAGAGGATGGACTGCAGTGTAAAAGTATCCGCCTTTGCTTGAGACAGGCACATGTTGAAATCGGTTCAAAGCCAGAAGAAAGTAATGATCAGGTAGCTAGTATCTTCGATCAAGAAGACTAGAAATAATCGCGCCATCTGGCCGTGTCGTTCAATAGGCCAGAATGGGTTTGGTCTGCGGTTAAATGTGAATTCACAATCCGATCCATGATAACTTGAGGCTGTTCTATAGGTGTCTCCTGCTGCTGCGGAGATGGCCTCATAATGGGGATTGATCTTGGCGATTGTTCGTTCCTTTCTGTGATGAAATTATGCGTATCTTGCGGTTCGTTACCCTCTTCAATAGAAGTTTGGCGTTGTCCGGTCTGATCTGGCAACTCGTCAGGACGCACATGCTGGCCCTTCGAAGCGTACCAATTTGCAAGCTCTTGCTTGCTCGTCAACGGAGTACGTCTCCAATCTTCCAACTTCTCGGCCTTTGACCGTTCGAGAAGTCGGCCAGAATCATCAGCATTATGCGTTCGCAGGTCAATACTAGAATTGCTGATCCCTTCACGACCTTCCACCACGGCCAGGGTCGAGTACAGGGCGGCTTCCGTCTCCTGCAGGCGCTTTTCTAGCGCTGTGATGTACGCGGCGGGAATGCCTCGTCTTCCCCCTTCCTGGTAGCGACATGTTCGTTGTGCTGATTGGCATTGAGAGCATGATGGTCTGGATTTGGTGAGATAAAGTCTCGCTTTCCGTCAAAAGGAAAGGCGTACAGTTTTCGGTCACATCGGCTTTTCTTTGTGCGGCAATGATCGCAAGCTATGGGATTCAATGCCTGTAGGGGAATTAGTGGGTATGAATACTAAAGACAGTCATGTACACACCATTTCAATTTTTGCAATGTAGGGATACGATTGACAACCGTCGGAAGATGAATTGCTTCGAATACCTACATGCAGCTTCCACGTGACGTAATTAGCGTTCCCCAAAGAGGACCGTCAACAGATTTGTCGCAAAGTGCAATATCAATTATTAGGCATCGATTGTTCACTCGAGTAAGAGTCATTATATATTAAGAAGTCGTCACTTCTTGAGGAGTCATCCCAAGTCAAATAGTCACCAAGTATAAGTTACACAGGATTCTGCTCACGAACAATATTTGATGCCCATAAAGGACATATCATTATATCTTCTATATGACATGGATATCTTAAACGAAATCGAAGATGTCTCCTTTGTCAGACACAAATTTTCCTACACGTTTTGTTCCAACAATACGTTCCAATTCCAATCGCTCCCATTTTGAGAATGCGACACGAACGCTGGTCTCTACCTTGCTGACCTCGCCCCTCTCCAAAGATGAACCTACAAACCCAACGACTTCTGTGTAGAAGTGAGGATTCTCGGGAACGCCATAGAATATCACTCGTTTGACACCGCGAATCCGGTATCTATGAAAGTGGTGTGCACGTCCAGTGTACAACAGCACAGAATGGCGACCAGACATGAAGTGTGATCTCGCCTTGCGGACATTGGTGGCATCGGTGTACTCAGATATACTAGCATAGCTGAAATCGCTATCGACAAGAGAGTTTCGTACACGGACAAAGTCAAGATAGGAAGGTATGAATACCAGAACACCGAGGCCACCTTCAACGGGCTTGGGAAGTCGGGTGATTTGTGGGAGGAGTGTCGAGCTGAAATATTTGAAGCGGGCGTCTGGATCGGATACGTGATTTGGTGACTCGAAACGGCTGAATGTCTGCTTTACGCTGTAGTTAATGGTTTCTATGGCCCCGTCGGTGTAGTCTGCGGTGTATTTCAGACGTCCTCCAACATTCTTCATGTGCTTGTTATACAATGTATTAATCTTGGGCGTCAAGTATGCCGACAGTACAACGGTTTGCCGGAGGTTCGGGGCATGGCCATCGAGATACCAAGATCGGACACGGGAGAAGTCGCAATCATGTGCGTCTTTGGGTTGCAGATTCAAGTGCTCGAAAACGTACTCTGCGTGTTCCCAATTTTGCATCAGGGTTGCATCTGCTTGTTCCATAATGACAACCTCGATCGAACTCAGGAAATCGAAGTCCTTCTTCTTAGGATCGCCCGATTCAATGGCACGGCGCAATCCTAGTGCAGACGCAAAGATGATATCTGAGTTGTAAAACTTCGAGAATAGCTTCACCGTCTTGCGAGTGAATTTCATCCCGATTCTAAACTCGTTCTCGTCGTTTCCTTCGAAAAGTTCTCGGTAATCGGCTGGCCTATCTTCTCCGAACTTGTCTTCGGGTAAGAAGAATGTATCCATGAAGCGTTTCTTGTTTTCCTGTTGCTCAAAATCGCATATCTTTGTCATAGCGTCTACTGCGCGAACGCAAGCTTGCTTTGTTTCCAAAAGGAAGAGGACCTTGGGACGGGTGAAACCCTGATCTCGGAACTCAGCCTCCGTATCGTCCGCCATCCGAGCGAGCTTGTCATTGTTCTTGATGACACGATCTCTTGTCTTGAAAATATGGTTGAGCGCATGGAGACAAGTCATCGATCGCAGGCGGTCGGCGTTCTCGGCGGTCCTCGCACCAAAAAGGACGTCTTGGTACTCAAATATGGACGGCGCAATGGCTTGTTCCAGGGTTGTAAACTCCCCAATCACATCCTGCGCCTTGGCTGCGAGCCGTGGCTTTAAGCTGATGTCCTTTGGAGCACGCAGTTTCGGCCGTGAAGGTGCTTTTCCTCCAAAATCAGGATATTGTACCATGCATCTTCCCCCTCCAGCACTGCTTAACCTTTCACTCGCCCACTTGTTCTGCGCAATTGCTTGTAATTGTTGTGATAGCTCCTTCTCGTCCGGATTGGCAAAGTGCCTTAAGAATGGGTCCTGCTTTGTAGCATCGTCATCGTCGGTATCAGAACTTTCGGCTTCTGCGTCCACTTGTTCGATGGCATCAGCAGCATCGTCATCATCCTGGTCTGTATCCGCAGATTCATAGTCGCTCGATTCGAACTGTGCTTCTTCGTCCGACTCAGCAGCGTGATGTTCAAGTTTCTGCCTCTTTCGCCGTGGCTTATCCTTGGGCGCATTCGATTGGTATGATCGCAATAAGGCCTGGTAGGCTTGGGAGGAAGTCTGTCCCTCCTCCTCTTCCTCCTCGGACGATTCGTCTGAGGACTGCGCGCTGTCTGATTCCTCTTCGCTGAAGTTCGGTGCGTCTTCTGTTCTTCGTAGTATAAGCATGCATTGCAGACTAAAGAATAATTATAACTCACCCGTTCGCATCGACATCTTCTAGCTTCGTAGCTACGAATCCACGACGGGTATCTCGTCCGTTGTTTCTTCCACCTCTTCCTCCTCGTCCTCCCCTTCCGCGACCTCCCCCTCGTCCTCTAAAACCCCCGCGAGTTCCGCGACCACGAAAAGGGGCCATATGCCAGTCAATATTGTGGTTTTATAAATTCGTAGCAAGAAGTAAAAAGTTCCGCCCGTCACCAAAAAGTTTCCCTGTGCATGGTCCGTGCGTAACGAGGGAAACCAACGAGAATCGCACCTGCCAAGATTTTCCCCGAATAATATCAAATCGATCCAAATTGCCCCACCAGCCACGAATCTTCAATCTTCACCACCCCCCACGGCCTCAACACCATAGGATTCACGGACGCCGGAAGGCCAAAAGATCCTCTCAACATGGCAGACAAAGACTCCTTCCTCCATCTCGCCCGTCCCCTCGGCCCAGCTCCCGTTGGCGCTCAGCCCTCGACCGCTCCATTGGGCGTCGTCATCCAGCCCCAGGTTAGAATTCCTCCCACCTTTCAAAGCACTTCGATTGCGCGCAAAACGCTGACATCAGAGTCAATAGGCTATCTTCTCAATTCTTGACCACTCTCTCCGCCGACCGGCCGACCAGGAACGCGTGATTGGCACTCTTTTGGGCACCCGCAGCGAGGATGGCACCGAGATCGAAATCCGCAACTGCTACGCAGTGCCGCACACCGAGACGGCCGAGCAGGTCGAGGTCGATATGGACTACCAGAAGCAGATGCTCGCCTTGCACCTGCGCGCGAACCCCCGCGAGGTTTTGGTTGGATGGTATGCGACGAGCAGTGACTTGAACACCTTCTCCGCCCTTATCCAAAATTTCTACGCAGGCGGACAGCAGGGAGACGGAACATGGCCGCACCCCGCCGTCCATCTGACTGTCTCCACCGTTCCGGGCCAGGACATCGAGAGCAGGACGTACATTTCTGCGCCAATTGGCGTGACTGCTGAGCGCGCCGCCGACTCGTGCCTTTTCATCCCCGTGCCCCACGAGATCAAGTACGGCGAGGCAGAGAAGTCCGGTTTGGAGCTCATCTCATCTGCCAAGGACCGTGAGGACCGATCGCAACCCATCATCACAGACCTCGAGGCGCTGGAGCGTTCCGTGCAGCAGGTTTTGGACATGTTGGAGCGTGTGTCAAACTACGTTAACAACGTGTTGGACGAGGAGGCTCAGCCATCATCGGCGTTGGGACAATTCCTCATGAACGCACTCAGCCTGGCACCCAAGGTTGACCCTGCCGACATTGAGCGCGACTTGTATGTTTCTTTCTGTCTTTATTGTAATTATAATAGTGCTAACAGAATCCAGCAACAACCACATCCAGGACGTCCTCCTCGTCTCATACCTTGCCAACACCATCCGCACTCAGATCGATCTCTCCAATCGCCTCGCCACCGCAGCACTCACTCTCGGCACTGGCGACGCGCTGACAGGCGAGGGCGGCGAGAAGCGCGAGGGCGGCGACAACAACAGGCAGAAAGGCGACAGGAGGGGCGGCAAGGGCAGGCAGCAAAGAGCGCAGGAAGCATGAAATGCCCTGAACGACTTTTCATAACGTTTGGTATAAAAAATTAACGGGCGTTTTTCTTGTTGACGATATTGTTTTCCCCTCCTCTCTTCTCTTCGAAATTTCAGAACGATTTCACATCGCCATCACGCATCTAGACACACGAACACGCACACATTTCACGAGGGGAACGATTCGTACGAACACGCTGGGTTGATTGATCGAACGAGCGGTAAGGAGGGCGGTGAGGGAAAGGATTTCTATCTATGGATTCAAGGGTGGCATCGACCACTACCCGAGGCGGTAGCCGGACGGAACGGGGCAGCAGTTAGACATTTGGCGCCATTCCCCGAGGCATGTGAGAAAGCAAGCAAGCATAGTGCGGCCATTTGGAAACGGAACTTTACAAAGGCCGGCTCTGTATGAGTAAATTTTAACAAGGCGAATCCCTCGACTGAAACCTCTGGCTTTGCACGGTCAGTATGGTTTTGGACGGGCGAGGAGATCTTTTTTTGAAAATATAAGTAGAGAAAAATGTGTTCAAAACAAAGTAAATCTGCTCCGTTATTGCAGATACGTGAATGAGGTTGGATGTGTTGTTCATTGTAGAGTTCAAGGATATGCATACACACCCAGCAACACAGATGGAAACCACCACATGTCCACCCCCATATCCATATCCACACGTCTATGTCTATACACATCACATACTTCCCCTCCTCCCTTCACTCCCCAACCAGAACCTACCAAAAGCAACCTATTCTCTACATTCCCCTCGAATCATCCTCTACTCTAACCCTCCAACCCAATCCTTGCCTAAACCACACAAGACAAACGATGACGTTAGATCATCATACATACACATACCTTCAACGTCAGGTAAGCAGGAGATTGGGCAATGAACCTCAAACTCGCCCAAACAACACACAATTCACGAAGAGAAGACTGCATCACACAGACACACTCACGCACGCACACATATAAAACAAACACCTGAATGGGTAGTAGGGAAACAGGTTAGAAGCTTTTATGGAAAGTTTGAATTTGTGATGTATGAATTACACTTTGGGTATGCTACTATGGAGGGTAATCGTGGATGCCTGAGTATCGGCGACTATGATGAAATGATAAGCTCAGGCCGTTCTTCTCTCTCTGAAGGGTGCCAGAGGGGAGAGGGTGGGCGGGGGGAAGGATGTGGCAGTCCCGTTCTCGGGGAAATGTGCTTGAAGTTGAGGTTGAATTGAAAAACTGGAAAACTGCTTTGGCAGTTATTGGGGTATATTTATTGTTTGGTAGGGTACGTGTGGTGTACATCTCGTGTCGAGGATGCGTGGAGTTACGTCCGCTGGTGGTGAAGGTAAAGGTGAAGGTTGCTTTTGATCTGCTATGCCCGAGAGGTTTTGGTTGGGTTTTTGGTGGAATATGGATGGATGAGATTGATTGAGGGTGCTTTGAGTCGTGGTTCGATGTGTTGAGTGTTTATCTCAGGTTGTACGTGCCGTAGTTGTGTGAGTTGGCATGTATTGTGTTGTTTGTTTGCTTTGATCGAACGACTGTGTTGGTCGTGGGATTGAAAGTCGTTTGGTGGTGAAACAGCCTTTACTGCTCCAGCCGTGTTGCTTCATGATCTCAATTCCCTCGGTCGTGGCCTTTCAGTACGCCGTATATCGACGCTTCCAAACCTCACCCACTCCTCACCGTACTCGCATCGTCCCTCCCCGCCGCACTTTCCCTCCTCTTCTTCTTTTTTTTCTTCTTCCTCTCCCCCTCCTCACCACCCCCCTTCCCACCCTCACTCTTCGCGCCCTTCCCCCCACCACCACCACCACCCTCCTCCGCCTCCTCTTCCACCGCCCCACCAGCCCCCCGACTATCCTTCGCCACAGTCCCCTCATCAGTATCAAACGCCTTCCTCTTCCTCTTCAACTCCTTGTCCGTCTCGAGCATCTCGCTGACCCTCCCCAGCTTCGCCGTGTCCCGCCGCAGCATGAACTTGAAGTCGTCGAGCTTGATCTTGGCGCGCCGCGCGTGGTGCGCCACCGACGCCGCCTCGTGGCACGTCTCGATGATGTAGTCGGTCACGATCTCGTCGAGGCACTTGACCGTCTCGGTGAGCGGCTGGTCGTCGTCGCCGAAGGCGATCAGGAAGGCTTCTACTGTGGCGGCGGTTAGGAGGGGTGGGTTGGAGGGGTTGTAAGGGAGGGGGATCCGTGGGAGGATGCGGTGTTTTTTGCGGGCGGCGGTTGCGGCGGACATCGTGGGTGTTGTGTTGTGTTGTCGTGTTGTGGTTGAGGGTGTTGGGAGAGAGGTGGGAATGGTGGAGTGAAGGTGGAGAGGAAGTGGCAGCGCGAGTGAAGTTCAGACGACAATCGGAAGTTTGTACCTACAGTCTGTGGATGGGAACTGCTGGCCCTTATGGCGCAGTCTCATGCGTGGTTCCGTCATCTTTATATCCTCCTCCTGTACTTCATCTACGTCCCGTCCTGTCTTGTCTTTGTATGAATAGCGTCGAACGACCCGTCTATTCTATCCCGTTGCTGAAACTGCGCAATCGAATATATGCGTCTTTATCGCCGTCGGTGTGCTCGCGCGTCGTGTCGTCCGAAGGCCCTCATCCACTTTCTCCCTCTCTTTTACTACAACCCTTTCAACCTTCACACCACACTCTTCCCTCAAGGTCAAAGTCAAAAGCGTACAACACACCCTTCGCGTCGTAAATAGTCTGCCTGCCGTGTCGCGCGCGTCTTATAATCACAAACTGCGCGCTTGTCGATGAAGATGAAGTCGAAGGTTCGCGTGTATGTAGTCGACGATGAACTCAACTTAACTTAAGCTAGGGCTTATTCTACCCATGACGATCGTCCATCCCGTCCTCCGACCAGACCAGCGAGCGTCCGTGCGCAGACACCCATTTAACTAACAACTACACCTCTACCTGTCCTATCCAAACCACCACTTCCACCTCACACCTCAATCCTCAAATCCACCCTCCTCCTCCGCATACCACGTAAATTCACTCAAAATGGTACCTCCCCCCCTCCCCCCTCCCCCTTTCCACCTCCCAAGCTAACGAGACTCCAAGACCGCACTATTCAACTTCCAATCCCTCCTCCTCGTCCTGCTCCTAACAATCTGCACCTCGACGTACGCACACTACGTCTTCCCCGGGATAATGGACCGGAACAAGGACAACTACCTCGTGGGACCGTTCTGGAAGTGCGCGAGGGTCGGCGAGAGGCTGAGCCCGTATGTAGGGATTGCCTGTGTCGTTATGGCTGTAAGTTTTTCGAATTGAGGAAGGGGAAGGGAAATATGGCGGGGGGGCTAATGGGTGGTGTGTAGGTTGTTGAGTTTGTGGGGTGAGTGGGATTACGGTTATCGATTCAACCGCGTCGCATCGCGATGCGGGGACCAGGTGTGAGGGCAAGCTAAGAGCGGGAAGTGCGGGATGCGTGGCGGACGGTTGAGCTTCATGGGGATGTGATTGCGGAGGTGCATATGCCGCGACTTGCAGTCGTACGTTTTTGGGATTCGGCGTCGTGAGGGAAGGGAAAGAAAAGATGTAGGCGCAAGGTCGACAATACACCCGCGGCATATACTTGGAACGGACGCCATTCCTCGCGATCCCGACGGGCGCATATTCACCAACACCAACAAACGAACGCACACTTCCCCAGAAATCTCAAGGCGCAGAAGAGACACAGGGACAAGTAAACAGTGGCAGAAAGAAGCAAAGCGAAGGCGACGGATGAAAAACCATAATACCAACACAGACACGAGAGCTATGATTAATAAGATTAGAACACCACATGCATAAAAAAATATAAAGAACAATTCACAACCCTCTCCTTGCCCCCCTCTACCCTCTTACATGACAAATCCCAGACTATTCTGTACTCCATCTCACCAACCAATTCAACCCAAACCCCACACCTCCGCCCTCCTCTCTTCTACCACCGAACTCCCTAAACATATAAAGAAAAATATAAAGGATGCGAATAAGAGGATAGAGACTCTATTAACCTACCGAAACAACCAAATAACGCCGCCTCAAGCTCACCCAATCGCTCAAGACAACTAAGTATACGGACGCTAGGTAAAGCTCAGATGGGTGAACGTGATACTTAGTTACTCTTAACGTCATAGTCAGAAGTCCGATACTAACATGCAAGCAAACCAACGAATCACAACCTAAACTGCAAATGTACAAATGCACATTCACATGAATTACTAACTCCCAACTCCCAACTGCACTAGGAAACACCCATCTCTCCCCCCATCTCCACTCTCTCCAGGTGAATGGACAGTGAACACACGTCCCGAGAAGACATCTCTAGAGAGAAGAAGGGGAAGGAAAGGGAGATATTCTATGATTGTAAACGCCATTACTGTATCTATGGGAAAAAGAGTATGGATATGAGTGAGTGAGTGCTTGGCTTGACTTGGTTGGAACTGGCTGCAGTCGTCGGAGAAATGCTGCGTATGCTTTGTGGTGTAGTGTGTAATGTGTATGCTCTGTGGTGTGTGATGTGTGATGTCTATGCAGCAGATCAAGGGTTGTATCCGGTATGTATGGATGTATCTTCGACACAACTAAGTCACACACTCAACTCAAGGATTCAAAAAGAGAGGATGAATGATAAATGTCTTTCCAAGCGCTAAATAATTAAAAAATAAAAAGATATATATACAAAAAGTGGATCATATGCTTTAGTTATGGTGCGATGATGATGATGATGGTGATGTTTTTTCAGCTTGTAGTCTTGCTTGCTTGCCTCTCTGTTCCAGAAGATCGTTAAATAAAAAAGGAAGATGTGTGAAACAAAGATATCCAGCACGGGTTTCCCCTCATCCTCCTCACGTCTTTTCTACTTCTTCCTCCCTTCTTTTTTTCGTTTCTCTCCCAGAATCCTACAGACAGAATAATACTACACAAGACGTACCCAGCGCCTAGATGACACACAGACCGCACGCCCGACACACCATCGGGCAGGCGACAAAACGTAGAGAAGAGAGTTTTGGATCTTTTTTAGCTCCCCAAGTCCAAGACGGCGAATCGGGGAAGAAACAGATAACAGCGATTAGACAAGCAGAAAGGCCCGTATGTAAAGTGGTGAACAGGCTCCCCGTCCGTCCAGGCTTGCAGGCAAACCCCCCAAACCCATTGCTGGTACCCATGTAGTGTATTCCCATAAAACAAAACCCGAGACCGCCAAGATGACAAAGAGATAGTTCGCAAGAGAGGAAAGGACAGGAAAAAGTGATATTCTATAGCACAAGAGGGTTGAGAGAAGAGAAGGGTAGGAAACGTCATCAAAAAAACACAATCTTTTCAGACACAACGGGAATCCAGACTTAACTGTTCCGCGTCTAATGCTTGCGACTGCCCTCTCCCTTCTGGAAACACCCCTCCAGCCCCTTCCTAGACCCCGTCCTCTCTGCAGCCACGCCCTCTGCGTCGCTCGCGTCTTCGACCACAACATCGTCGTTCATCATGACATCGATCTGGCTCTTCGCATCGTCCGCGTCGTCCGAGTCATCGTCATCGTGGTCACTCACTAAGCCCGGGTTAGACTCAACTGTGTGGGGGCTGAGGTCTACCGGAGAGGCAGGTGAGTGGTTGTGATGGTGGTGATGGCCCACGTTGACTGGTGGCGGAACGTGCGGAAAGCGGGCCTGGCTACCGTGACCCTTCTTGCTGCCTGGACGATTCGCGGCAGCCTTGCTGGCGGGCGCTGCGTTCGGAGCGCTAACCGGAAGGCGAGCCAGTTGCTGAGACTGCGCGGTGACGGGCGTCTGGGCGGCGGAATCGTCGTCGGACGTCTCCATCGAATCGAGGTCGACCTTGGTCCGGGCCGTGTCCACCATCTGCTTGAGGTCGCCTTCGAACCCACGTTTCTGCAGCAAAGCAGTCATGTAAGGAGTCGATGGCGAATGCAACTTGGATTCCGGCACGGGAGGGGTAATCTTGGTCGGCTTGCGGGAGAAGTCACGGTGGACGTTGGCAGCCATCTGCGGTGGGTTGGCCTTGATCAGGGGATGGACGACGCCCGGGGTCTGCGGCGGCGGGAAGGCAGCAACGGGGGTGGAGACGGTCGTGGAGGCAGGCTCGGTGGCCGGCACTGGCACGGGCTGTCCACCCTCGTTGACGTCGACGGGGACACCGCATGCGATGGCGGCCTGGTCGTGGCTCTTGAAGACCTGGTTGTGCTTGATGCGGCAGTGGTTGAGGAACCCCTGAGTGTTGGAGAAGTTGCTGTGACCGCACTGGGCGCAGTAGAGTCGCACCCACTGTCCGTCGGTGGATCGCTTGTGCAGCAGAGGATCGATCTTGGGAGCAGGCGCTGGGTTTTCACCGAGGGCCGGAAGCTTCAACGTTCCAGTCGAAGTTCGCGACGTGCGGGCCTTGCCGGTCGAACCGAACTCAGCAAAACTACCGCGAGTCGCTCGGCCCGCGCCCGATCCATAGAAAGCCTGGGAGGACTGCTGTTGGGCGAGCTCACGCTCGGGGATGGAGTCGAACTTGGGATCCTGGATCAACCACTTGGCGTAATGACGAGTGTAGGGACCGTCGGTGACTCCCCAGGGTGCGGCATACTTAGGCTTGGTGTGGCCAGGGGCAGGTGGCAGCGCATAGCCCACGCCGCCGCTGACATCCAGAGAAGGTCCATCGGTTCCGGGGAAGGGGATCAGAGAGCAACGCCTCAGTTGCTCGAGGGAGACCTGACACTTGGCTAACTCTTGCTCGATGAGACGGAGCTCCTGGTGCTTGAGGAGGATCTCGTAGTTGAACTGGGCCTCGATGGTCTGCTGCACGGCGGTAAGGTCAGTTGGGGAATCCGTCTCCATGGCCGTGGTGGATTGGTTGGCGGAACCATTACTGGTGGCAGCAGAGGAAGTCTGTTGCGTTGGGACCTTGGATTCGCTGGCGCCTTCCATTTTCACGGGGTGCGCCTTGGGTAACGATTCCGACGATGCATCTGCAGGAGCTTGAGAGACGACCGAGGACGACGACTCATCAGACGCGACTGAGTCGATCCTGGCCAGCTCTGGGATTGCAGTCGCGGGTGCGACTGCATTTGCGGACTTCCACTTCTTCACAACATGCGAGGGGGGCGCTGGCTCTGGGCTGTCGGTGCGCTTCCTCTTGAGCTTCATGAAGGAAGGCATGTCGACGACGTGCAGCGGTCTTGTCTTGTGGATGGTCGCCTTCTCCATGATCTTGTCGCCTGGAGCGTCAGTGCTCCAGGGCAGGCGGAACATGGACTGCATGGTGAAGGGTGAAGAAGTGGAAGTGAGGAAGTGGTGGCAGCAGCGATCATCTGTCTCAGTGGCGAGGCTCGTTGCGCATTCAGCGGGGGAAGGCCCTCGGGTGGCTCGACAGGAGCGAGAGCAGGAACAGGCAGCGATCGCGGCGCAAGGTGACGTCGCGATGGGAGGCTTGGCTGGCTCTCTAAGCAGGCAGGCAGGCGACACACAACGCGCGGTGGCGAGAGTGGAGCGAGCGAGGGAGCGAGCGAAGAGGGAGGGAGGGAGTGGTGGAAAGTGCGCGAAAGGAGGAGAAGCAAACGGAAGAGAAGGGGAAGAGAAGAGGTGAGGGAAGGGGAATAATTAATTGGAGGGGTAATAAGAACACAAAAATAGGATAATAAGAGTCGGGTTGTGAGAGAATCAAAAAAAGAGCGCAAGAAGGAGTGGACGAAGAAGTTGGGAAGAAAGTTGGTAGAGAATCGGTGGGTGGGTGTGTGGGTGACGTGTGAGATGATGAAGGGGAGATGAGAGAAGGGGAAGAGGTAGAAGTGGAAGTGGAAGAGGAATAGAAGTGCAAGGGGAGGGAATTAGGTGGATGTTGGGAGGCTGTTGGTGTTGGTGGTAGTGCAAGGTGGGAGGTGTAAGTGGTGGTGGAATCGCGATGATCGGACCGAGCCAACAACAAGACAGATGGTCGTAGTAGTAGGAGTAGTCGTAGTAGGAGTGGTTGTAGTAGTAAAGTGTAAGAGCAAGAGGTGGAAAGAAGAGGAAGAGTAGATGGAGTGCGCTACAGAGGATAGATGCCCAACCAAGGGATTATCTCGTGAGTTTGCTTTGTTGGTGAGTGTAACTACACGTTCAACTCGTGAGTGAGTGAAGTATCGTGTGTTGTTGTTGTGGTGGTGTTGTTGTTGTTTGTTTGTGTGTGTGAGAGGGAAAAGAAGAAGATGTTGTTGATCTTCTGTTGTGGTGGATGAGGAAGAGGAAGGAGGAGGGGAGGAGGAAAATGTTGAGGAGGGAAGGAGGAATGGGGGGGAGGAAAGGAAGGAGCGGATAGGATGGGAGGGATGTTGTGACTTGCGAAGAGAGTCAAAGGAAGGAGCGAGGGGACAGGAAGGAAGGAAGGAAGGAAGGAAGGGGGGAGAGGACGAAACGAGACGAGACGGACGGGGGGGGAAGATCGGAGGGAGAAGTGGGAAGAGTCAAGAGAGTGGATGCACGGGATTGGCTGGATGGCTACAGGTAGATTGGGTGGGCGCGGCGCGGAAGATGACGGGTCCATCTACAGTACTGTGAAGAGGACGGAATGCCTTAAGCGATACTTCCGAGTACAAGTGAGGGTATACGTTGTAATACCTAGACTCATGTATACTTGAGTATCTCTAGTATCGTTAGTAGAGTATCAGGTACCTCGTACCTATCGTAAGTACCTATCTTAGTATCTATTGTAGGCATCCAGCATCGTTTGTAACTATGCGTACGAGTAAGAATGACACTACATGACACTAGCCATCGCCCCGTCTCTCTTCTACGAGTACCTATCTGGGTACCTACCATCATTCCTTAAATTATCTGACTATTGAATCATTCATCATTACAGTTATTGCAAGGTAAGTCATTTCCTGGATCCTTCTTAATTCTTATCTCTTCACACTTTCTCAACTTTTACAACGAGCCTCATCCAGTATATATGCATCTCCTTACCAATGAGTACCCGAGTAACTTCAACACCTTCGATACTGATGCCTCATGTCTCTATCATGACGAAGATGATGCGCAAGTTAAACGGCCAAGGGACCCGCACCCATCTCCCACCATTCCCAATCAGGCTACCCATGTCTCGCGCACTGATCATCAGGAACACACAGTGCCCCCCAAGATCAGCCTAGTCGCTTCTTGGCCGCCAACACCGTTTCCCGCCCGGCCAATCAGATACCCGCGCTGGACACGCGCGCCCCAAATCTCACCAAAGTGTCTTACGCTCGTCTTACTCTGCTCTGCTTCTATCTATTGCAATAATTGTATGAAGGCATCTCCAACATGTAGAAAATAGATAGATAGAGAGAGCGAGAGATAAATGTAATCTCACACACCTGCGCCACGAAGTCTGCATCTGGTTATTTTATATTTACACACATGTCTCTCCTTCGTTGTTGGTATTACTCACTCTCTAGGTCACCCTACGAGTTATCATCCCTAATAGTTGACCTACAGCCTAAGACAAGACCTGTCGCCATCCTCACTAAAATAACCCAACTCTATCAATCTCGTAGTTACACACATATATCATGACTTCGACTATTATCAACACGCACATGTCAGCCAGCCCGCAAAGGCAGCCCAGACCGCGGCCAGTCCAGTCCAGTCGGGTCCTCCTTAGCCGTACGGTAGATAGTTACCTGTAAAGTTTTCCTCCGGTCAGACTCCACATCCGCCATTCCACTCGCCAGCCGACCGGCCTTTGCGCCTCACCTGGAGGCCAAGCTGAGCCACCAGTAGTTACTTGTAGACAAACGGAATCGTTACACAGATCTACTCCCCTCCCTTTGCGTTGCCATTCGTCTCCATGAAATGTCTTCGATAGTCTCGCACACAACGAGTAACAAATCCAACACTGCTACTGCTACCCCCCACACACACACATGAATTCATGCAAACACCCGCTCGCACTTCGAGACATCTCATCCCTCAAACTCTTCACCTTTTGCACAACGCTTGCTGCAGCGCGCTCCGTACTCCCCCGTGCCTCCCCGTACACCTCTCATGCGGACTAGACAATTCGCTAGCCGTTTGCGCGCAAGGAGACACAGAAGATCAACCCTATCCCATCCCCGGGGCACCGGCAAGACCGACCGGGTTGGTTTTAGTGCTGCATGCGAAGCGTGTAACTAACTGTGCCATACACCGCTGGGGAAAGCCTGCATGAAGCTACGGGATGCTGATTGTCTTCCTTCCACCGTTTGTGCGTCTGTTTGTCGATTTTTGCACTTGTAGGTTTGTAAATGTGGATGTATGTGAGTAGATATGTGAGTAACTATGCGCTACGACGTGAGGATGAAGATGCGCGGGTGCTGCAGTAGACGATAGTATAGGTAGGTAGTTGGTTAAGAAAAGTGTACTCCGTACGGAGGGCGAAACTCCACATCGAACAGCGAAGCCCATGAGGGCAAGTAGAATACTCGGCAGGGGTACTCCACATTCCACGTCTTCCCCGACAACTAACTGTGTAACTAACGAACCTACGAGTGCGACGACCGACCGGTCGGTGAGGCGCGTTGGTTCGAGTAGAGTCTTCTGCGAGTACGGTGTACTTACTCGGGTAATTACTGCGTGGCTGCTGGACGATGGAGGGCTTGTAGATTCGAGTAGATACGAGTGGATGGAGGAGCTAGGGAAGCGTGAAGGCTACGGGATGGGTTATCAGTTGATCTGATAAAATTTGTCGTTAGCGTACTTCGTACCGTACAAGCCTCGGAGCACCTCTCCAGGCTTGCCTAAGGACGACGTAGGTTTGTAAATGTACATACATATATAGGTCCTTGGTTGACAGATGAGAAGCTTTGTCGATTCGATATACAGAGTAGTATTAACATAGGCATAATCTTGATTTTTTTTTTCTCGTGCTTGACTGCGCCCTTATGAGGTTAGAGGTTGCATTGGGAGGAGAGGACACGGCGAATGCATGATGGCCTGGCAGATAGTTTGGGATCGATTTTTAGGCACTAGTGAGCTGTGCAAATATTTGTTAGATTCATTTGATTTCATCAGCTGGTATGCAAAGAATATCTGATTGACTTGGGTTCTGGTGTGTAAAAGGACACAGACGTAAGACTTTAGAGTATCCTTTTCTTGGATGCCATAAAGATGAATTATATTTCAATGTTTTATTAACATATTTTAGTTCTTTACAAATATTTCTCAAAGGACCATTAAATGCCTACATCACGAATAAAAATAGATTTACAACATTTTCGAGAAGTTTGTGTCGTCATATAGCTATTATCTCATGTTGGTTTTCTTTCTTGTCGTTTCATGGATATCACAATCAACTCATTAGGGCTTCTCTACTTGACCTGTTCTCGAGACGTCAATTGCTATCGTATACCCCTGCGGAGCTAGAGTATGTGTTTGTGTGGAAACGTTGTGTAGTAGGTAGTTTGATTATGTATAGATCTGTACATACATAGAGAAGGGAAAGGAAGAAAGATAGTATTGATAACTCCAGTGCCATGCCATGCCGTGCCGTGAGATTCCATGCGATATCATGTCCAGAATATGATGAAATAGAGCAAAAGATATAAAAAGAATGGAAAGAATAGAAAGGTATAATGCTCGCCAGGGAAAGTTAGTGTACTTCCCCCAGGTCTTCGTAAGGAGTATATCAGTGTGCGACTCCCTCAGTAGGAAGCGTCGCCGTCGCACCGAACGGACACTTCGTCGCGCCCGCTGGGATATTCGGATGCGCCTCAGGAACGGGTATCGACGAATTCACCGGCGCCTTCTCCTCCGCCTTTTTCTCCCCCTCCTCCTGGCTACTCCTCCTGGGAGGACTCCTCCTCCCCATACTCGCACTACTCATCGCGAGCCCCTTGAACGGACAACTCCCCTTCGCGCTCGCCGCATCCTCAATCTCACTCTCGCTCTCGCTCCCATCATGCACCACCTTCTTCCCATGCAGATATCCCTCGGCCTCGATCTCCGGCACGAGCCTTTCGTCCTCGAATTCCTCCCCGTCCCGGACGTACCATTTGGCGAACAGGTCGTTCTGGATCCAGATGACTTTGCTCAGCGCCTTGACGAGCGCGATCTTCTTGTCCATCTTGAGACGCGGGTGGGACAGGATGGCCTCGGTGAGCACGTCTTGGATGAACGAGAGGGTCACGCCGATGTGCACGTATTCGACGTGGAGGGGGTGCACGCGGCCTTGTCCGACGTGCATCATGCCGACTTTGTCGAGGTATTCCCAGAACTGTCTTCGCGTTAGCTCACCTATCTACATGTGTATGCACATCTTCCAATTCGTAGATGGGAACTGGATGGGAAGAGAGGGGATGCACATACCTCCATCCGACTGGGATCACTACACAACTTATTCAGGTAACCCCGCAGGAACATCTTGCGGTGCATGATCTGCGGGGAGTACTCGTTGAGGTTCGGGTCCAGCGGGCCCTCGAAGGACGTCGAGCGCGTCTCGAGCGCCCGCGCTGTGATGTCGTATTGGAGGAGTTTCTTGTAGACGATGTTGACGATGGCGGGGATGAGGGCTTTGATGTACTTTGCGCCGCTTATGAGGGCCTCGATGTCGCCTGGAGATTGGGGATGTTAGTGGAGGAGAGGGTGGGTGGGGGAGGGGGAGGACGTACGGGAACTGAAGTCGAGGAAGGAGTGAAGGTATTGGATGCGTACTTCGAGGTTGGTGTAGAGGTCTTTGCGGCTGAAGTATTGCATTGGTCGGCGGGGGAGAGGTGCCATGGTGACGTTGTTGGTTTGGGTATCTTTTTGGTGATGTTTGGATGGGTGTATGACGATGGAAATGGTCTCTTGGGTACACGACGTGAAGGGACTCTATTGTTTGCTGAATGGTCCAATGGGAGTCGAAGAGTCGCAATAATAACAGTCGATTTACTACACGGAAAACGAAGCACTTGGCTCGACGGTGATGTTCGAATGTGGATATATACTGTAGTTCTAAATAGGACTCGATATCACACTATCTGGAGGCACCCAACCCTTATGTACCATCTCCGCAAAAGAGCAACGAAAAGAAACCGAATAAAACAACTCACACCGTCCCATAATTTCCCGCAAACGCACCCAGACCATCCCCGCGCAAATGTCAGTCAATTGCGTTGCGTCGCGAAGAAGGACGGCCAGAAAGTGAGCAATGGGGAGTTGGTGGTGTGTCGTGGCGTGACACAGGTTGGGTGAGCTGATCCTCATGCTGTGACTTTTTCCCTCTTTTCCGCCCTACGGGTGTTTGGCGGGACCATCGAATGACCGGCGACCGGGACTGGAGCTCGCCTGGCCTGGGGGGCCTACAGCTCGCAGGCTACAGCCAACAAATGGACGGGATATGACAGGACGTGGCAGGGATGGAGAGGATCCAAAGAAGCGAAGCGCATTGCTCGCTAATGACTTACAGATCACTGCTTTCGACGGAAATTCACTTCTCTTACTCTATGCGGTAGGTTATGACATGGGAGGTGGGTCTGTCGGCGTCTGCTGCTCGGCTGGCCTTGACGCATTCTAGAAATAACTACCTAGGCATGTAGGTACGAGTAGACTCAAGGGAGGGCTGTTGGAAGAGCCGACTATCTATTCATACGTCCACAGTCAATCATAATGCATCATACATACATGAATTAATCAACTACAGGTATCGTGTGAGCGTTGGGATGCCTGGTGTTGGGTCGCTCCGATGGACTGGTTTGGATTGACTTTATTCCGCTCTGATGGAATTGATTATTGACATGTGAATTGACTGGTTGATCTGATTGATTTGGATTGACAGTCTTACATTTGTCTCAAGATGATGTTTGGGCAGAATTATCACGTTACGATTACCCCAATGTCGTCAATCTCACCCATGCCACCCGTTCGAGAACCTGAGACAGCGGGGTAGAATTGCAATGTATGTGGGATTGAAGGACGCACATTCACAATCAATCCTTCGTACGATCTACTTTGCTTTATTATGATAGAGTCCGGCCGATCGGGAGGGGTTTTGTTTGGAGTTATTGAACATTGAGACATGGTCGCGTCGCGTCGTACGTCGTGCTATCTGTCTAGCCAGTCGCATGTGCCTACTCAATCACCGTCCTAGATGACGATGATGACTCTATCGTCCTGTTCTCTGCCTGTTCGATAATGTGTAACCGCAAGGAGAATGTATAATTGCATCAAGTACTCTCCCAATAATCAATTCTGCCAACTACAATACAGTTCTCCATCTCCCAACGCTCAAATTTTAGCCCTCGCCTTCTCCGCCTGCCTGCTCAGCTTCAGCGCTTCCCTCACCCCAAGATCGATCATGACATCCTCTGATCCTCCCGGCACCACAAAACTGGGTACGCCTCTATAAAAAGCTTCAATCCTTGCGCCCTGACCCGTCTTGGTGAGCCCCAGACCACCCATGATCTTAAGACACTCCTCCGCCACATATTTGCACACCAACCCGCCCTCTACCTTCAGCAACGCCGTCGTACCACCAAGCAGTCTCGCGCCATCCGCATCGCTCAGATTCTCCAGCTCGTAGATAATCTGCTCCGTCCACGCCTGCAGCGCATCGATCTGCCTCCCCATGTTCCCAAACTTGTACCTCACGACCGGCTGCTCGATGAGCGTCTTGCCGAACGCCTCGCGCTTGAGCGCCCACTGGAACGCGTCGTGGATCGCCGTGCGACACCCCCTCAGCGCCTGGAACGTAATCCACAACCTCTCGTGATTAAAATTGACCATCGTCTGCGCGAACCCCCTCCCCTCCGCCCCGATCAAATACTCAACCGGCACCTTCACGTCCTCGAACGTCACGTACGTCGTCGCGGACAGTGGGCCCGCAATCACAGGCACAGGACGCGTGCGGAGGCCCTCCGACCGCGGGATCAGCAGCATCGAAATGCCCTCTGCGCCCTCCCCGCCCGTCCGCACCGCCGTCATGAAGTAGTCAGAAAACATGCCATTCGTGATCCATTTCTTCTCGCCATTGACGATGTAGTGCTTCCCGTCCGCGGTCTTCTCTGCCGTGGTCGTCAGGTTACGCACGTCAGACCCGGCAGAGGGTTCCGTTACCGCAAGACAGATCCTCTTCTCGCCGCTCAGGATCTCGGGAAAGATCTTCTCCTGGAGCTGCGTGCTCGCAAACTTGAGCAGCGGCGGCGCGCCCACCGTGAGTCCGATGAACAGCGACGCGATCGATCCGCCGCGGATGAGTTCGTCCCACAGCACGAAGTCGTGGAAGCCGTCCCATTCTTCCGGGGAAATCCCGCCGATGATGCCGTATTTCGCCCACTGCGGGGGGATCGTCTTGCCCGCGGCGATGGGGACAAGGAGCCCGGCTTTGGCGCACTCTGCGTAGATGGATGGCGGGACCGCGCCGGCTTCTACCCATTCTTCGGTGTGCGGGGCGATGTACTTGCCGCTGGTTAGTATGGCTCTGTGATGTGGAATGTGATTTCCAACGTACCTCTTCACACCATTTCCGTACCGCGTCGCGGAGTCGTCGGTGCGAGTCTTTGTAGTATGGTGATGGGCGGCCGGTGTACCTATCCCGCCGCGTCAAAATCAGTACAGAATCAACTAATGTACGCCGAATTAAACAAGAATAAAGGTTATCTTGAAAAAAGCAATGCAGGTCAGTGTTGACTTACCAAGGAGGTTCCGCCCAGGGCAACGTGCTTCCATACGCAGGGCTCGTCATTCTCTCGTATCTTATGTGTAGTCTCTGAATCTGTCTTCCGATCCCTATTCCGGATCCTATAAAAGATCTTCGATGTTGGTCACGAGTTATTCTCTCCCAGAAAAGTGCGGTATGATGTTTCTTTATTTTCCGTCCTACTCTGGTTATATCTCCAAGCAAGACAAAATACAAGTCGTGAAATAAGCGCAAAGGTTCGGGAGGTCAGGAAGTAGGATTCGCCCGCATCTTATATATATACGCGTCCCCTTTCCCCCTTCCCTCCCCTCACCACTCTCCCCACAACCCACAACCCGACAATCACAATTACTGAATCGAATCTAATTTCATCTTTCCCATCCCCGGCAATCTCATAATCCCCTTGCAGACCCGCGACATGTGGTCGTAGGTAGACATAAACATACCGAGGCTAGCTTCCCCGCTCTGTGGTGGTTATCGCCCGATCGGGGTGGGAATTACCATGAATTACCGACGCGTAGATTTATCTGTCTCTTCGATATGTCGCGGGAAGGAGTAGGCATTTACGTCGAAACCATAGTATTTTCGGAGCTGAATTCAGTTGGCAAGTGATGGATTGTAGATTGTCTTAGCTTTTGGATTTTGTTTAATTGTTGGGCCATGTTTGTTGTGCTAAGAGTGTTGATAATAAAAAGTGGTCGAATTAGAATGAGATTGAATTCACAGCAACAGCGCCATGCAGGGATGTGACTGAAATAAGTATTCAACTATAGCAAATTTCTGTAAGACACGGTTCAAAATAATAGGAAAGGGTACCAGTGTCGAATTCGCTGTCACCAAGATGTGCTAGCTGTTTTCGCCAGCACTTGATACTCCGCTGCACCTGCAAGATGTATAACGCGGACAGAGATGTATATCTCAAAATTGCATAATGGTGATTTAGAATAGGTATGGACGGAGTAATAGTTGGAAGATTACGAGGCGGGAGTTTGTGTTTTGACGTAGACGACTGTATGTAAGATTTTCGAAGCTTTTATTGTGTAGTAGATAGATGTATACAAAAGTAAACATGACAAAGTTGGGAACATTTGAATTTATGGATACTCTATGTAAGTAACGGTATTGCTTTACTTTATTGCAGAGCCCTTTGAACAAAGAGAATAGAATTGCTGTGATTCATATTCGGTCTGTAGATTTGTGGAGCTGGTTTTGGTGTTTGCATCGTCGATAATGGTGGTACATACATCAATTGAAGTGGTGGGAGAGAGAGTGCTGGTCATACCGGCTAGTTCGTGGACCCGGGAACAGATTGCCACAATAACCGGGTCCAACACAAGACCTACCATCCATAACCATTAAGAAAGAACCGCCCGCCCCACAAAACTGTTCGCTCCCACAGACACAAAGAGCCTGCCCTTCATCGTCAACTTCAAATCCCCCTCCTCACCATTTGACATCCGCCTATATATTCCAACCAAAAACAAAATATCTCATTCAACCAATCATGCGGCGCCGTTGGCGCCATCACTCCGCTTGGTGTAGTTGGTTTATCACGTTCGACTGTAAAAGTAACAATTTGTTATCGAAAGGTCCCTAGTTCGATTCTGGGAGCGGAGAGATAAAATCAACCATTGGTTTCTTTTTTTGCCATTTTTTTGCCTGTGTGTGCGTATGTTGGCTGGCTGGCTGACTGGACTGTGTGGTGGATGGTCGGTTGGCTGTCGGGTATTTTTTCTTTCTTTTTTTGGGTCGGGTCGGGGAGAGGAACGGGAAGAGGTTAGTGTGGATGGGGAGGGGATGTTATTGGTGGGGAGAGTGGGTATTGGATGGGAGGGTTGATCATAAGTATACTTGTAGGTAGTTGATTGTCTGTATCTTTTTTCTGCAGCGTAAGTTGAAGTGTAGCAGCATTAATCTAGGAAATCCATGCGAGGGTAGTATAAATCATCTATAGCTACATCAATATCAAAGGCTTAGTTACTGCATTTTGAAGGTCCTCGATTAAGCTTCCAGATCAAGGAGTCAGATCTCAAATAGTGAGACAAAATCACCCAGTACCATGCATCTCAAACTAATTAATGGTCATCATAGTTTCATTGAATTGCATTAGTTCCCTTCTCGAAAGGCATTGTAAGGACATTGCCTGTAAATCTGAGCAATGAGGCATATCCAAAAGACACACATCAATGCAACGTTGAAGTGGTATGCAGAACCGTGTATGCTTTACAATTACATACACAGTACGTCTTCCTCATTCGCCCCTGACCGTCAACGAATAAAAGCGTACGTGTATCTGCCGTGTTGAGCAAATGATAAACGATCGTGTTCCTCTACCGGGCTAGTAAAGGAGAGATGCTAGCAGGGCATTGGGGGAGCCTCTAGTCGTATCCACGGATTAGCGTGCGATACGTGACGACCTTGCCCTTTCGCGTGGAAACAGCCGCATCTCGCGGAGGTATCGGCACATGCATGCATGCATCGTGGTCGAAGCTCGTGGCAAGCCAGTCACAATCGTCAATGGCTGGCCATGCTGTGTGACGAGATTCTCTGCTGGGTCGTTCAAGGAAAATCCCCATTCTTCGCGGGTCGCGGGACAGATTCCAGTTTCAACTTTCATGCGCAAAAGCCACCGTCGAATCGTCGGCGAAAAAGCACCGATCCATGAGGATTTCGTCTTTTTGGGGTTCGATGCATGTTCCGTACCTGGTGAATCAGGCCAAATGCGGCCCTCGTCCTGGTGCGGACAGCGCGTTTTGCAGCTCGCATTCGCCTTTTCGATGGGCTCTGAGATTGCCGTGAACCGTGAATCGTAAAGTTCGGCCGCAGTTACCCATCCCATGTAGAACCTTTTTAGTCCGGTGCTGTCACCGGGCAGATCTTTGCCGGATTGTACAGCACGTTGCTTGCGGGGGCTAGACTACAAATCCTCTATCCAAGGGCATAGATATCTACGCGAGCTTTTCTCGTGCTTCAGGGGCGTTGTTCAGCTGGGCTTGGGCAAGGATATACCTTCGACGAATGTTCTCGTAGTGTTGCGTGTGCGCAATTGACTAGAGATAAATGCATTAGATGCTTAAAGCCGGGAGCTTGAAAGGGAACGGCCAGCGCCATGGAGAACTCTGCGGGGCCATAGACCCTATGCTCTACATCATGGAGATGTTGAGCGTAGCATGCACTGCAATGTGCTTCAGAATCCAGATCTACTGCCTCAGACTCGAGAAACGAGACAGAAATGCATCGCCGGCCACCAATTCCATGCTACCCAGACATCACGTTGTGATTGACAGCCATGCACACCCAGCCCGTTACCTCCTGATTGCCTTATCCCATCACCTTGTTGAATTCGTATTCGTTCAGCCTACAACCATGTCTGGCCAGCAATGCGAATCATGAACCCTTCCTCGCTACAAGCATATCAGCCGAACAGTGGACGGCAAATTCCCTTTCGATATGCAGCCGTTTGAAAAATGCCTGGAAGGCCCTTGCTCCTCCCAGTGTCCCACCCCCAACGGGTCGCTGATCGTTGAGCGATGTTTCCACACCTTGTCTAAACGTCCCCCACCCAGTTGCCAGTCGTTCGCTCGTGACAAGCCGCGCTGCCATAGTTGGAAATGTAAAAGCCTTGTGGTTCCCCCACCGTGCTTGCGGGTTGGTACCATATCGCTCGCGGATACATCAGTCTACGCCGTGAGCTACGAACGCCTGGATTCTTGAGAGGGCTGGCTGGCCTCGATGACTTTGGGGGAAAATGGCGGCCTCCCCGGAACTCATCGCTGAGATGCTTCGCAATCCTCCCGATCCTAATGAGCCATTGCCTGTGTCGAATCGCCCGGAGACGCTCTTTGGAGTGATTGTCCCTCTTATCGTATGTGTTCTAAGTGCGCTTGGCTTCTTTTCCTGACCGTATTATTAGGTTCTCACATGGGGTTCCGTACTTGGACGATTATGGGTCCGTTTTCGTGTCGTCCGCGATCCTGGCTGGGATGATTTCTTCATTGTTTTATGCTGTGTGAGTTGCCAAAAAGATCGTAGCTCACAGTCATGATCTGATGGATATAGGTATTAAATACGGTAGCGGGGGCGATCGTCCTGAAATGTAGGTACTATTTGTATACTGTTGATCGAGTTAAGACATGCTAACACTTATCAAACAGCCATTGACTATGGGTTGGGCAGACACATGCTATACCTACCTCCCGCATCCGCGGTGAAATACTTCAGGGTACGATCACTTAAACTCCGATATCCAGACGCAGCAATCCCTGACGAGTTCATTACAGTGCTTCTACTTTGAAAACGCCTTTTACGTTACCGACACTGCACTCTTCAAGATATCCCTACTCGTCCAGTACCTCCGCATTTTCAAAGCAGGCTACATGCGATGGACATGTCTGGCCGTCCTCGCTCTGGTCTCGCTCTGGGGCGTTGCATATGCCGCCCTCGCGTGGTTTCCCTGCTGGCCGATCAAGCACTACTGGGCCCGTCCATCAAATGCCAAATGCTGGGGCTACGGCTTCTCCGACCCCAAAAGCTTCGTCCAGACGTTCCAGAGCCACTCGGCTGCGAATATGGTGTTCGACATCACCATCTTCCTGATGCCGATGATCCTCTTCTCCAAGCCGGATCTCAAGAAGAGAAGTATCATGGCAATGGTGGGGATGTTCCTGCTCGGCGGGGCGTAAGTACAATCCATCTCCTTACTACCACCTTCGCAATAAGTCACTAACACTCCACCCAGCGTCATCCTAACCTCTGTATGGCGCCTCTACACCGTCATCGAAAGCCGCGCCGCAACGCACCCCTACCTAGACTTCACCTGGTGGCCCGCAATCTCCATCATCCTCTCGTGTCTCGAAGTCGCCCTAGCCGTCATGTGCGCATCCATCCCCATCTTCTGGCCCGTAATCGAAGACCGCATTTCCCAGATCTTCGTGACGCACGAGATCCGCGTCAGCGAGCACCGGCGCCTCGACGAGAGCGAGAATGAAAACGCGTACGAGCTAGAGCAGACGGACAAGGCTGCCAGCGTCAAGAGCGAGCCGAGCGGGAGGGAGAACAGCGAGGAGCAGTTGACGAGGGAGTCGGTGCAGGTGGTGTTGACGGATCCGTTTAAGCATTATAAGGATGAGTATGTGGTTGCGCATGTCGATCCGCTCATCAGTGAGAATAGGCAGGGGAAGGCGCTGCAGGTGGAGACGGAGGTGCAGACGGGGCCGAGGCAGAAGTGGAAAATATAGATGGGAAAAGAAAAGTTATGCAAATGGGTTGGGCGGTATTTTGTGCTTTGTGTTTTTAGAAGATACCCCGAATGGTTCGAAAATAAGATGGTTTGGCGTTCTGCTTTGCATTGTTTGAGGAATTATGATAAGAATGTGATGTTGAACGTATGGGACTATCAAAGGCCGCTCTGTGGTCTCGCTATGGAACTTCGTACCTGGAGCTGGAGAAGCATGGACACACGACGCAAAGGAAGCATGTGTTTCACCAAACGACAAAAGAAATACCGAGATTTATGTTAGATAGGACCTCAGTCTACCTCGTGCTTGAGATGGTTGTACGACAAAGCATACATTGTTTGGCTAGAAATATTGCCATGCGGGTGTACAACGTTTGATGGTGACACAACAATAAAGGCACCACTGATTACGGAAACCACCAAATATATTGAAGACTATGTGATGGTTTATGCAATTTCTGCCTCGTCGTATTTGCCGACATTCGTATGCTTATAGATATAAGATGAAGGTGTTTTCTGCATCCAGATTTTGGCCACTATCAAATAGGTACTCTCGACAATCAATCGAGCAAGTGGCACAAATCTGGGTCTGAAATATATGATGAGACATAATAGCATAAAGATCTATTTGGTTTCAATTTCAGCTTCAACTGTGCCTGATAGATACAACGCCGCCTGCGCGCTCGAAACGAACATTGAGACATTCCATGTTTAGTTCAGTCTGGAAGGCCGCTAACCTGCATATTCACACTTAGTTCAAGCAAGCGCAGTATCGGCGAAGTTGAACATCCTCTGTTTGACCGGACGAGATCAAAATGGTCGGGGCCAATGTTATGAAGTAGCCTATAGTGCCTCGCAAAATTGAGGCATACGGCCCCCAATCATCTCGCCTCACAGCACCTAGTGTCAGCATGCGTGCGTATGGCGCACGAAAACAAAGTGCTGGCTAGGCTACACTGCGCTCTATTGATGAAGTTGGGGCGGAGCGAGTGTCGAGACATGCACTGGACTTGCGCGTCCTTCAATCCTTCTTTACTATGACATGATGTGAACTAGATATGAGATGGTACTGAACTTCCATGCATGCCACTACTGACCACGCATATACCCGCCTAGTGTGGAAATGCGGCGTCATTCTACACACTATTATCCCGATTAGGACATACCCTGACGCAGTCCAAGCAGTTGCTTTTCCAATGTCGATCAGGCCCATTCTCCATAACAAGTTCAGCACGTTGTATGAAATGTAATTGTCGTTCCGCCAGCTCCTCTCTATTTACTTAGGGCTTCTAATGCGCCCCAACAGCTAACACACGTTTGGTGCGAAATCATACTATTTGAAGATGTGTGGCAGTGGCTCAACTTTGCGGCTGAAAGAATGGCGTCGGACTACGATACATAGATCTTGCGCATCTATGTCTTTCCGATGTTCCGTCGAACAAGATGTGAACCAAGCATCGGCGGAGCCCCAGCTCGCCGTAGTGGCAGTAGCCCAGCACAATACGGTGCCTCTTTTGCGAGAAACATCGTTCCTCATGATGCAAGTATTCGCTGTGGAGGATTTAACGTCGACTATTTCGGGCCGACCTTCTCCACATTCTACACCGCGCACAGCCTTACGGCAAAGATCTTGCCGCTTCGCGTGTAGTTGTGCGCTGCTAGAACTTGCTCATGGACCTCAACACCTGGTCGTAAACTTTACCTCTTGAGTGACGTCTTTCCAAGATATTTCCTGTCTTGGAATAATCTCTTCAACATGATCCGATTGTTCGCACTTTCAACCCCATCGAAGAAGTTAGCGTTGCCGTAGATTCTGTGCGTAGAGCACGCACCACGGCGAGTCGTCTTACTGCGTGTGTCAACTCAGCCTTGACCAAATCCTAGTAGGCTGTGCCTCTTCCTTCAGAACTCTATGGACATTATGTCAACCTCCAATTAAGACAATTCTGAATGCCCAATCACAGGAAGCGCTAAAGTGGGTATTCAAGTCAGTTCCTCGTCCAAACCTGGAAGTGGTTGGGCGCCCTGGACGCCTATTTCTGGTATCGCGCCCAAGCCACTGGCAATATGATGATCTCCCGTGGCAGTGAGGTAGAACTAGGACTAACAACGTGACCGAGCGTGGAGTAAATGTGGATTGAGTGAGATCAGACCGGTGAATATGGCCATCACGATCTTGTATATAAGATGTTGTTGGACCTCACTCTATATTCGCATCAGTTCAGTACCATTGTTTCATTATCTAAGTCCTTTTGTATAATTCCCTTCGGTCAAGATGAGACTTCAATCTGCGACCGCCCTCCAGGCTCTTGCTCTTTCTTCCACCGCAATTGCAAAGCCCATCTTTGGAAGGGCCCAGAATGAGACCAAGATCTATGATTTTGCTCAGGTATGTGGAAACGCTACAGGTACTCTCTAACGAAATCACTGACACATTGTAGTTGGAATCATCCCCAGAGCTAAAGTGGACACCCTGCTTTGAAGATTTCACTTGCGCACGCTTAGAAGTGCCATTGGACTACGAGGATCTTGACGTTGGTACAACGGATATTGCATTCATCAAGTGGACTTCGAACAGTACCAATGCCTCATCCGCCCATGATATCTTGCTCAACCCAGGCGGTCCAGGAGGATCGGGTGTGCAGTTCTTGCGATCAAGTCTCAACGATATGCTATTGACTCTCGGTTTCGACAACAACCTTGTCGGCTTCGACCCAAGAGGTGTCAACAACTCTGGTCCGGATCTATCGTGCTTCCCTGGACAAACCGGAACTGCACGTCTTTACGATGATGACTTCAACACGGCAGTTGATATCAACTCCTCCTCAACCATTACTGATGCATTTGCCCGTGCGGGCGCATTCGGCGAGTGGTGCACTCAAGCACACTCTGGTCCCAATGACACAGCAAAGTATGCTAACACTGTCGCTACTGCAACCGATATGCTTCATTACACCGAACTTGCAGCGGAAGCCCGTGGCGAGTCTGCCGAAGATGCCGAGCTCTGGTACTACGGCGCCAGCTATGGTACCATCTTGGGCTCGACTGCTGCTGCATTGTTCCCCGACCGCATTGGACGTATGATTCTCGATGGAGTCGTCGATGCTGAAGACTACTATCTCGGTGCTTGGAGCAACAACCTTGTCGACGGCGATGCAGCCATCTCAACCTTCTTCAAGTACTGCCACGAAGGCGGCAACACTTCCTGCGCCTTCTGGGACGAGAGCCCCGAGGCCATCGAAGAGCGCTTCAACGCCGTCATTGAAGACGTGAGACAGAACCCCATCACCGTTTCCGACCCAACCTTCGTCAAAAAGCCTACCATCATCACCACCAGAGACCTCCACTCGGCACTCACCACCGTCCCATACCAACCATTGATCCTATTCCCCATCCTCGGCCTGGTCATGTCCCACCTCGAGCAGCGTAACGGCACCGTTCTCGCCCAATTCCTCGGCTCAGCCGCACCTCAAGACCAGTGCGAGAACCCACCCACCTTCGAGGTCAGCGACGTCGAGCCCCGCTACTTCATCGCCTGCAACGACGCCAACGGCCGCTACAACCTCAGCACCGTCGAGAAGTTCACCGAGCAAGTCGAGCAGCAATTCGAGCTTTCCAAGTACATGGGCGAGAGCTGGGCCGCTGGCACCTCCATCAACTGCCGCAAGCTCGAGGTCTTCGCCCCGGACAGCCAGGTCTTCGAGGGCGTCCCCTCCGCAAACAAAACTAGCAACCCAATCCTCTTCGTCGGAAACACTTACGACCCCGTCACCCCTCTCACCCACGCGAAGTCCATGAGCAAGCGCTTTGCAGGCTCCGGCGTCCTCCAGCAGGACTCCGTCGGCCACTGCACTCTCGCCGCGCCGTCCAAGTGCACGTGGAAGGTTACGCAGAAGTACATCTTGGACGCTACGTTGCCTGCGGAGGGCACGGTCTGCGAGCCTGATGAGGTGCCTTTTGAGAAGCCGCTCGGTTCGATCCTCGGCTCAGCCGACACGAAGATCCTCAAGAAGAGGCATCATATTCAGGCTGGTAAGATGGGGTGGTAAGGGATGTTTTAGGGGAGTTCTTCTTAATGTATATTCGTAACTGTATATGACTTAATGATTGTGTTTACATTGATGGAATGGGATTTCCATTGGCTATATAGACTATATTCTACTCAACTTCTTTAAACATTACGTGTTTGTGGTGTGACTGACTGATGCTACATGTGATAATGATACACTACTTGCAATGAACCTTTCCATACTACTTCTTAATCCGTGTCACGAAAGGTGATAGAGCAAGTTGAAGAGCGAGGTGGGAGCACACAAGTGTTTATTATGGATCTTGACGATGTTTGACCTTCCCAAGTATTGCAACTCTGTACCATTTTGATCGAAGAAAGAAAGTTCATTAAAGTAAACTATGAGAGCAAGTAACCTGATATTACCAATCATGCAAGCACGGCATCAAATCAGACACTCCAAATCCCCAACTCCTCATCACCCGTTAACGAAACCCCCTGAGTCACTTTCAATACACCGGAAGCTTAAAAGCATCAAACGTATACGTCCAACTCTCTACCGATGCCAAATCTTCCACGCACTCAAACTCCGAGCTATTGCCCGACCACAGCGGACGCGTAGGCCACTGGCAAAGCGCCTGCACCTCACCCTTATTCACCCCCGACGACACCGTCGCATTCAGCCTACTCGGCTTGACTCCACTCTCCACCCAATCGATAATCGTCGCCATGTTGTCCACCGGATACGGTCCCGGCTGTAGCGAATTGCTACCACAGTGCGCGGCACCGGGTACGAGGTAGAACTGATACCAATCGGACAGCGCGTCCCGCGACTCCGCGTCCGAGAGTCCCGGGTACATGATGTCACGGACGGACTGCCAGTAGTGTACGGACGAAGCGGCGGGGATACTCGGGTCGGATTCGCCGTGGTAGTGGAGGAGCTTTCCGCCTGACGACTGGAAGGGAGTGAGGTCGGGGAGGGTGGTTTGGAGGCTGTCGAGGTAGCGGATCATGCCGATGTTCATCCATTCGACGAGGGTGTCGTATGTGACGTTGTTTAGGTCGGACAGGTTGTCCAGGTCGAGGAGCTGGATGAACTTGGTGACGTATTCGCCGCCTGTGGAGGGGATGTTGAGTTCCCATACGCTTGTCGCGTTGTTGTATGTTGGGTCTGCGTCGCTGAGGTCGGATCCGATCTGCCAGGAGAGGTAGGCGCGTTTTCCGTTGGAGTCGTGGAGACCGTCGTAGACGCCTTGCGCGACGGCGACGTCTTGTGCAGTGATGGTACCGTTTTGGGCGGGTTGGACGCTCGTTTGACCTCCTGGGGGTGCTTGACGTTTGCTGAAGCCGAAGCCTAGGGATGTTCCTGTCTGGGCTGCGCAGTAGTAAGACTCGCCGATCAAGGAGCTGAGGTTGAAGTTGAGTTTGCAGAGATCGGTGCGAGAGATGACGCCGTCGGTGCGGCCGTCAAGGGGATCGCATGCGGCGATCGTGGCATTGACTATCTTGGCCAAGGCACATGGCGGAGGATAGTAGTCATTTACTGCCTCAATGGTGGCAGGGTAAACGTGAAGGACCTGTTGCTGTGCGAAACGGAACGCAGGAGCACCGGCAACGACGCCGTCGTACTCTTCTCCCCATCGTTGGACCTGGCTCATACCCTCACGGCCGCCGTCAGAACAACCTTCAAAGTATGTGTAGATTTTCGTATCGTTTAAACCGTAGAATGCCTGCGTCAAGGGCTTGCCGATTTTGGTCAACTCGCCGAGGGCAGTGTATGAAAAGGCGTATGTAGCATCCCAATTGATGGATCCATTGCCGTACAAGACTTTCTCGTCATAGCTGAAGTTGAAGGCATCGTAGCCTGCTGAAGTCGCACCTGAGGCGGCACCATATGGGAGACCACCTGTAGCATCGCTGGACAGGGAAAAGCCTCCACCACCTGCAAGATACCAGCGATTCTGGAAGTCGGGTGGCTGAGGAAAGATGAACTTGAGAGGAATGACATTGTCTTTTCCGACTTGGGTGTAACTCGCAGTGACATTGCAGTAGCTGTACGTAGCGGTACTTTCTCGTCCTACGGTCGCGTTATAGACTGCAGCAGCGGTCACTGAGTCTGCGAGTAGATTCAATCCGAGGATTGTTCCATTTGCTGGCAAGGCTGCCTGGACATGCGAGACTGTGCATAAGTCATCGAGAGAAGCGGCGTTGGTTGTTGCCAGGAGAGCAGCAATAGTTATTGGATTGCTTCGACGCATGTTGACGGGAAACAAAGGGAAAACAAGTAAGAAACCGCTTTATGAAGCTGGAAGCAACGTAAATAGATCGAGTTACGAGTGATTTCCCTAACTTATCAGATCAAAACATCTTCTATATATATTCATTGGGTTTATTAGCCACGACCTTTCCACTGGACATACTTCTGAAAACCGGACCCAGATCTACCACCGCGAAAAACCAAACATAGACGTAATTGCAAACCCATGACGGGCCATGAGGCTGTGACGGCAGCATCCGAGTGCCTTTCCATAGCCACGTAGCTGCATTTGGAAGCAATGCCGGGGCACAACCAGGGTTCACAGCATCGTAGATCAGAGAGTGTGACGAAGCTTTTCGATTAAGGTGTAAACATAGTTTCAAGCTTCATTAGCTTTGATCTTAGCTTTGTGCAATGGGGGCGATTGTTTGGGGCCGCATTTGGTGATTGAGATGTTATGCTAAGGCGGAAGTTTTTGCAATGGTCTAGTGTCAAGTATTGCTTTTGTCCTCGTTGACTATCAATGTAATGATTTCAGCATTGCTCAAGAACATGACTTCACAAACCAAAACTTCATCAATACCGCATATTCGCGAGGAACATTTCCCCTACCCATTTGCTTAACATGCATTGAGATGCTAATTCATAAAATACCAAATTGCGCCGCGTCATTCGACGTCGTGGATGACGACCGGGTTGACGACTAGCAATCACACTCCAATGACGCGGCCAGCCGAAGTCGGCAGGGTTCTTTTAAGGAGCCAGACCGCGACACCATGTCTTGAACATCATGCGCCACAACCAACAACATACTTTTATTCTTCTTTCCCGTTCACATTCTTTCTTTGGTAGAAAACCAGAGATATATTTCATTTCAACCATTTCCGCACTCATTAGCTACATCACATTGCAGAAGAAACAGCAGGGGATTGGTCAGTCATGAAATGGGTGATTACGTTCATGCATTAGATACTGAAGCTATTACTATCTACAGTCGGTATGTACTACCTTTGTAAAGGCCGCTCTACAACTCAGCATAGCCATACTTCTCGTTGAACTCTGTAAACCCAAGTTAGCAGTTATGATCTCACTTTAGTTACGCGAAAAGCGACTTACCCTTCAACCAATCGATGACGAAGTTCTTGAGGAACTGCTGAGCGTACACGATCTGGTTAGGTGGCAGGATAGGCGTAGTCTCGTTCTCGAAGATGCCGTTCTCTTCCCAGTGGTGGACGGCGTGGGCGATCTCGAGGAAGGGGCGCTCGGTGGTGGATTCCCTCTTCGTGGCCTCGTCGGCGAGAGGGCTGGCGGGCCTCCAGGGGTCGGCATTGCCGCCGATGATGGCGAGGCGGTCGAACTCGATGTCGAAGGCTCCGTACTTGTTCACGCGCTCGACGTCGGGGGGCGTGCTGATGTTGAAGGCGGAGCGGCAGAAGTAGGTACCGTACTCGAGGTCGATGGTGCGCGAGATCAGGGGCTTGATCTCCTTGGGCGTGTTGCCGGTTTGGATGTAGCCGTACTCCGTGCAGACTTGCCAGTACCAACTGCGCCAGCCCTGCTGATCGATGCCGTCTTGCTGCCAGAATTCGTCATCGAGCTGGGTGTAGTACTCGTCCTGGGTGATGTTGGTCTTGGCCCAGTTGGCGACAGAGGTGAGATTGTAGTAGTTGATAGCGTTGAGGAGAATGTTCTCGACGTCGGTAGAGTTATCGTAACCGGCTAGGGAGATAACTTCTTGGACCTTTGACCTCAGGTTCTCCAAGTCCTTGTTGTTGAGGGTGGTGGTAAGGTTGTTGGTATAGCTGAGGCCAGTTAGTCAGGTGATATGCTGTAATAATGGCGATTACTTACTAGTAGAAGCCAGGGGAGTTGTCCTCAGGATCCCAGCTAGAACACTGTCAGCTTCATGTCTAGAACAAGGTCTCTTATTGAGATTCTTACTTGGTTCCCTGCCATCCATAGATTCCGTTGGAGAAGATGTTAGCGAAATCGGCGTTGCTGGTAACGTTTCCAAGACCGAAGACGGACTTGAGCTTCTTAACATCTTCCTCGTTGTTTCCAGCAAGGAGAATCTTGTCAATAACATCAATCATGGTCTGAGTGTTGGCAACGACATCGGGAGGGGCAAACTGGCGAATGGGCTCGAAGTACTGCCAGAAATCATAGATGGCCACGGTCACACCAGAAGAAGAAATGCCACCCCAGAAAGTCTCAGGGTAGGCAACGCGCATGAACGCAGCCTGGGCTCCAGCGTAAGATCCTCCGTAGACGATCCAGGGAGTCTTAGGAGCAGTAAGGTCGGCATCGATACCCTCGAACTTGACGTGCCTGGCGAAGTAGTCGATCTCAGCAAGAGATTGTTCTGTGGTGAGGAAACGAAGGTTCTCCACGGAAAGATCCTCCACCGGGAAACTGGTGCCGTAGTAACGGTGCTCAAGGATCACGCCGATTCCATTGGTGGCTGCTGCAACTTGAGCAACAATACCCTTCTGGAGGAAAGGCAGACGGCCTTCGCCATCGGTCTCGCCAGAAAGAAGAACAAAGACGGGGCCACCCGGCTTGTAGTGGCTGTCGTCGAACCAGTACCTTAGGTTGAAGGTATCGTTTGAATGAGGCTCATATCGTGGCTCATTGGGGAAAAAGTCGACTGGGACAGAGATATTGTGCGCTGGGTACAGCGTTGTTGGGTCAACTGTGTCACGCTTTGCGATATCTCGCTTCTTGGCCTGTTCGACCTTGGAAACAGGTCAATTGGATTCATTGTGTACAACTGTGAGCAAGGCCTACCTGGTTCTTCAGCTGGTATACAGTCGGATGACCATATTGCTGGGCCGAAATGGCCTGGGCCACACCCAGCAAACTAAGGATACGCTGAAAATGCATGATGTTCGCTGGAAGATGCAAATCCAAGTGCGGATGGTGGACGTGAGGTCAGAATCCTGGCACTTATAGGAAGAAACGGTTCAGGCACACAAACATTGCGATTGGCATCGTCATCCTTGAGCCTGTTTATCGGCGCAGTTCCTTAATATTTCGGGAAGGTGGATAATTCGTACTAGGATGGCCTACGCTGAATATAGCAGGAGATTGGACAATCAATTGCTGCGAGAGCACGGGCTGAATCCGTGATGATGGTATTTTATGGAGCAATGCCTGTACTCGGCTGTCGGCCTGAATTGCACTACGTACAATTGATTGAGTTCTGCTCGTAGAACACACCTACACGCCTGATAGAAGGGTGACGCAAATGCAGCGGGAATGGCGTAGGTTGAGGCGATCCAAGGCGCAGGACGAGGATGGCGTGAACGAAGACCAGGAGCTTCCTTATCCCCCGCCGTTGCGCCTCAAATCAAGATTAGCCGACCAGGCCAATGAATTTGCGTCAGCAACTAACTGCCTACCCGAGCCTTCTCCTCACCCTAAAAGCTTATTCCCCAATTTGCTATACCTCGTACGGCATACAGCATTGTACAGAGTGATACCGTGTAGGTTGTAGTGCATTGCTTGCGGGAATGAGGTGTTGGTGATCCACATTATTGGTTCCTTCATTCGTGAAAGCATACAAGCAGATGTTGGATTGCGGCCGTATCCAAGTGTTTGCTTCTTCAGAACCTTGCCATAGTTACACAATGGAGAATACCGCACCAGCGGCATATCGTATTCATTGAATAGTCTTGTTGGCAGCAAGCGTACCAAGCTTCGGCCGTTATCAGACACAAGGGAATTGTACGCGACCGATGGTGATGCACCTTTGCGATCAAGGCATATCGATAACTAAACACTCTAATCAGGATGCATGATAGATCTATATGTGCTAGAAAGCACCTGGACCAGATCTCGCATATGAAATATGTCAGGAATCCAGATCTTGCGTTTCCTATGGATTATGAGTCTGCAGGTGCTGGGCCAATCACTTGTGTGATGCCCCTTGGCGGCTCCCCTGCTGCCTGTAACCCTAATCCGAGCTGTAGCTCTGGAATCTACCACACCTTTGACAGATCTTCTAAAGAGGACCGAGTTTATCAAAAGCGATGGGACAAAAAACTTACCGCAAACACTTCATACCTCTGGAATCTAACCCTGATATCTTCACAGAGCTAGTCCATAGCTTGGGTGTGTCAGAGTCTTTGGGCTTTCAAGACGTGCTTTCACTCGATGACCCTGACCTGCTGGCTTTCATACCTCGCCCCGTCTTCGCGTTGATACTAGTGTTCCCATGTGCAGATGATTATGATCAGCGAGTCGATGAGGAGAATGCAAACTCTCCACCGTATGACGGCTCCGGACCGAACGAAGAGGTAGTATTCTGGAAACAAACGATACACAACGCGTGCGGTCTATATGCATTGCTGCATGCTGTGAGTAACGGCGATGCTAAAGATCATATCAGTGGGTCATCCGGTGCCTCATCAAGCAAGGTCATATAGAAACACAAGTCGCACAAGGCTAATTTTATGAAGATAGCGGATCAATATTGAGCAACCTGCTTGATGCTGGTATCCCCTTAAAGCCTTTTGAGAGGGCAATGGTCCTCGAAGACAGCAAGCAGCTCGCATCGGCATACGAATCAGTCGCACGAAAAGGTGACTCTATTGCACCTGAGAACCCGGAAGATGAGGTGAACTTCCACTACATTTGCTTTGTAAAGTCATCAAAGACCGGCAACCTCTTCCAAATGAACGGCGATTTGAATGGACCAATCGACCTAGGACCAATGAAGGCAGAAGACGATGTTCTGTCCGAAAAATGTCTCCAGGTCATCCACAACATGGTCAAGGACAATGATTCAAACATTGGTTTCAGTTTAATGGCTCTCACATCTTCGTGATGCCCGGGAAAACGATTTAACGCTATTCTAGGGGGGCTCAGATGGCATGCATAGAGCTCAAAAGAAGTACGTATGTAGGTGCGCTTGGAGTCACACTCTTCGTAGAAAGTCTCTGAAGAGCGATGAAGTGTGAACTATGAAGGACCTTTGATTGTTCTTGCAACGGAAAAAGCACATAGAATTCTGCAGCCGCACCGTCGCATCGACGCAAGACGCGAGGATACGGGATGCTCCCGAAGGACTTGTCGGATTGTCTGAAGACCAAGTGGCTGGTGTGCGGGTTGCGAAACTACAGCTTAGAATTGATGAGATGTATTGATCGATTGACATTGAGAAAGTTCATATTGGAACTCCGTATTTGTTTGGCGTGAATATCTCTACTTCAACAAAATGAGTGAAGAATGATGAATTGCACGGAGAGGTCGCAAAGAAAAAGTTCAGGACAATGCCAAGGCTATTTCGCGCTAGAGCTCTTTTGGCCGAGGAAATCGCGAGCTACCTGGACTCTACCTCCTCGACCTCGACCTGCGACCTACGAGCAACGCGACTCTTCATCCGCCTTTCAGTTCCAAAAGCTCGAAGTCCTAGTTATCTACTTGGTCACATATAAGACAGACCGAACCGTCTTTCAGAGACACACTGCGCCACAATGACGAAGAAGCGCAAGAGGTATCCCGATCTCAACCAGAAGCTTGAGCGCCCATGGTGCTACTACTGCGAGCGTGACTTCGACGATCTCAAGATTCTTATTTCACATCAAAAGGCCAAACATTTCAAATGCGAGCGATGTGGTCGGCGATTGAATACAGCTGGAGGTCAGTTGCGCGGCGGCTCATTACCGGGAAGCATACGTTAACATAGTTCCTAGGTCTCTCCGTCCACATGAACCAAGTGCACAAAGAGAACTTGACCCAGGTTGAGAATGCCATTCCTGGACGATCAGGCCTCGACATCGAAATCTTTGGCATGGAAGGTGTGCCAGCAGAGGTCATCGACCAGCATGTCCAGGATACTACCCACAAGCACTTCGAGGAGGAGGCTGAGCGCGCACGCGTTACTGGTAATCCCATTCGTGGAGCCTTCACAAATGGCGCTGCTCCACCGAACAAGCGCACCAAAGTGAAGGAATCATTAGAGGAAATCACGGAGAGAGCAGCCAAGTTCAGGATAGACAAGGCCAACGGCGTGCTTCCAGCTCCACCTGTTGAGAAGAAGAAGTCGGAACCCGTAAGTGAAGTCTTTGTTGAACTTGAGAAGATACTAACGATCTGTACAGACGCCTCCAGCTACCCAGACACCAGTCGCGCCGCCTACGCAAACATCTCCTTTCCCGCCGGGCACACAATATCCTCCTCCACCCGGAGCTCCTCAATTTCCGCCAGGCCAATTTCCCCCAGCTGGCCCTCCGGGATTTGTCCCTGGCTTTGGAGGTGCACCGCCGCCATTCCCTCCTGGTGGAAGTCCTGTAAACAGTGCTATCCCTCCTCGCCCAGGAAGCATCCCTGGCCAACCCGGTCTTCCCCAACGCCCTCCATTTGGTGCTCCACCAGGTGTCGGATATCCTGCAGGCACCGACCCCTCGATCGCTGCGTCTGTGGACGAGCTTATTGCAAGTGCAACCGCCTCGGCACCGTCAGCGGACGCTGCACCAGAGAAGAAGAGCAAGAAGGACAAGAACATCAGGCTTGTGTACTCCGAGGACCTCATCAGCCCAGAAGAGAAGATGGCATCGCTGTCACGTTATGCCGCTTTTGTTCGGGGATGAGATTTGGCGCGACAAAAGTATCCCTCAACTTCGACTTTGGAATTTCGATATCGCTGAGAGCAGCGGGTCTTCCTTGCTTATCATCTACTACACAATTGTAACTCTAGGACAACATCTCCTTGTTGAGATTGAATGAAACTTCTCCAACTTTAAACTGCGTGGTTCTGCTCATTGCACATCGAGCGATCCTGAAGCAGTTGCAAGAGGCTGTATGACCTCTTCGTTTTGTCTGTTGGCAAAACATCTGCTTTCTTGCTTCACATGGTGATTGATGATGTCCATGACGTGCTAATCTGATCGTTCTACTAGGTTGACTTGTACAACACTTTATTGCACTATGATTGCCCTTATAGGGCGTAATATGAATGTAGAGGCTATACATGAGTAGACAGCCATCCAATAAATACAATAATAAATCCGAATAACCATTCACCAACCGCGAAAAGCTACTTGCTAGTCAACGATCGTGATAACGCCTGCATGCTAGGACCGAGCCGTTCAAGCATCGTAATCCAACTCCTCCCCTTCTTCCTCCTCATCCTCGTCATACTCCTCACTCTGCTCATCATCACTGCTCCTGTCCTCGCTAGCCCTCGCCCACTCTTGGCTCTCGCTCAGCGCCAAACTCTCACCAAGATCCAATCCCCTCGTGCCCTCGAGGCCTAACCTGCCCTCCTCACTAGCAGTCGCACCCGAAATATCCTCCTCCTGCTCGGGGATCGGATCAACCTCCTGCAACTCATCGTCCTCGTCCTCTCCTTCCATAGCAACAGCAGCAGCAGCACCGCCAAGCGCCGCAAAACCAACCGTCTTTCCAGTGCCGCCGGAACCGCCCTGCTCATGTGCCTGCGACCGAACAGTCGGCTCAATGACGTCCCCGTCCCACGGCTTGCACTCCTTGACCGTGGCGCCGCAGCGCAGACAGGTCCAGCCTTCGCCCTCCTCGTTGGCGATGCGCTGCGCGATGCACGAGAAACAGTATATGCACTCGCATGGGATCGCGGAGTACGGGTTCGTTATGTCGGTTGCGGAGGAGCCGGTGATGCCGCCGCCGGAGGATTGGGCGAGGACGTCGGCTTCGCTTGTTGCGGGGGGGTTTTGGTCTTTGCTGTTGGGTGGGGTGGTTAGTATATGATATATGGGCTGAGGAAGGGGGGTTGGAGGGAGGGGAGACGTACTAGCATATTGCGCATGTCCGTTCAGGGAGGAAACCAAGCTCGCCGTTCTTAGTCTCTGCATCATCATCGTCTGAGGATGTGGAGCGGCCGAGGAGGTGGAGGACGTTTGCTTTCAGCTTGCGCCATGTGCGAGAGAGAATGCGGCGCCAGCGGGAGATGCCGACGAGTGGGAGGAGGAAGAGGAGGAATTCGGTGAATGCGTGCCAGACTAGTTGGCGGTTCAGGTATTCGAAGGAGACCTCGCGGCTCGTCGAGTGGGATGTTGGTGTGAGTCTCAGACGGAGGATGCGATCTGTGAGTGTTCGGTATCGGCCGTTCACGAGGAATACGAGGAAGGATGCCAGACTCGCGATGTCGTGGATGCTGTTCAAGCGCTCTGTCACCCGCGTTGCGAACTTGAGGGATTGCGACTGAGGGGTGGTGTAGTCCTCGGAGGTCGCGAGTAGGTAGTCCTCCCACTTTGTCCAAGCGTATCGTCCACCGACTGTAAGGATTCCGTATGCAATCTTCTGCCATGGTTTTGGCGGCGGTCGTGACGGCGAGTTTGATCGCGCGTCTGTGTATCTCAATCCCTGGAGATGAGCTCCGTAGCTGGCATTGTTGTTCCAGATGCTCAATTTGAAAAGTACCAATCGAAGTCCAAGCAATATTTCTGCTGCGTAGGAATCTGTGAGGTGACTTCCGAAGTATTTCAATCCTTCCCCAGCTTGGCTCTTCAACAGCTCCAGCAGTTCGTCATCCAGGAGTTCTGCATCCACCTGTCCAACACGGAATTCGGGTCGCGTGCCTTCGCGCCCCTTGACAGCGTCCCAGGAGCTTATCCCAAGGTGACCGAGACTGCTCAGTGGATAGGGCAGTCGCGCGACTGCGCGGGCGGAGGAGGACGGTTCATGGAGATGGCTGCGCGTGTGAGCTGCGCGTTGAGCGCGGCGTGCTGCGATGCGTTCCTGGGCGGCGGCGAAGTCGGCGGAGGGCATTATCTAGGAGCATTGGGCATATGTGGGGAGAAAAAGAGGAAGAAGAAGGACGACCCAAGGTCCAATGTATATCTTATCGAGGGCGGCGTGACATGGGGTGAGTCGTGAGAATGGGGGTGGATGCGGCTTGGGCCGAGGTTCACTCGGATGAGAGACAAGGAGATGTGATAATGGGGAGGAGGATTTGATGATCGTATGTCCTTTGGAGCAGGCATCTCTCTGGACCCTTTCACATGTCGCACCGCCTGCTCCCTATCACCCCCGTCGTCACTGCGGGGAGCTTTTTTTGTCGGAGGATCTCGCTGTGGTAAACAAGCTCATGCATTTCGCGCTTCACGCATGTTACCTCTGTCCTGGGTGAGCAGGCTCCTCAAATTTCGACACACGAGGCCGTTTGATCTTTTCTGATCTTCCCTTCCGCTTCTGCCTCCTCGAATTTAACTTTACTCACCCCCCGCCTCAATCCACTACTCAACCCCACGAACGTTGAACTACCAATAACAATGCAGGTGGAATTCTCAGCGATAGAGGTTGCTGGAGAGGCGAATCCTCTCACAGAGGGAATACTGATTCACGTGCTGCGCTCAGCTGCATCTGCAGATCCGCATCAAGTTCAGTCTGGCACAAAGCAGCTGCAACAATGGGAGAAGGCACGGGGCTATTATCCGTTGCTTCAAGTGAGCATATTCTTACTTGTAAATGGTATACAACTAACGTAGTGTTAGTCTGTATTTATCGAGAAATCCCTCCCATGGGAAGTTCGCTACCTCGCAATCATTCAGCTTAAGAATGGTATCGACAAATACTGGCGCAAAACTGCAACGAAGTATGTGCCTTGCATACATAAAACATGGAGATATCTGACAACCTTTACAGTGCAGTCACCAAGGAGGATAAGGCAGCCATACGAGCCAGGCTACTCGAGAGCGGCGTGAATGAGGCAGACCAACGACTCGCGCTACAAAATGCATTAGTTGTCGCAAAGATCGTCCGGTTTGAATTTCCCAATGACTGGTAATCCACATCTACTCTATAAACTTATGCTTATCTCACTTCTCACAGGCCCGATCTTTTTCAACAACTACTCCAGATCCTCCGTTCCTCAACCGAACCAGGCGCTTACCGATTGCTTCTCCCTCGAGCGCTGCTGATAATTCTACATATCGTGAAGGAGCTGTCTACTGGACGTCTCCTTAGAACGCGACAGACGTTACAAACCGTGGCACCAGAAACCTTCAACTTACTCGGAAACATATACGTCAACAAGGTACAGAGCTGGCAGCGGTTCTTCCGCGAAGGTGGAGATGATGAAGCCGGAGCTATCGAGGACATCGAGAACAGCCTCCTGATCATCAAGGCAATTCGTCGTTTGGTCATTGCTGGCTACGACTTTCCTGGCCGCGAAAAGGAAGTCCAGGAGTTTTGGACCCTATCTCGGACACACTTTGGAGAGTTCCTCCAATATGTGGTCTACGAAGATTCCCCGTTGGCGCCCAGCGTGCGAAAGCTCATTGAGAAACTCCTTATGCAACTATCTAAATTCCACCTTGCCATGTCAACGACGCACCCGACAGGCTTTATACTCCTCCCAAACACGATAGACCTCGTCCGCGACTATTGGGCTCTGGTCGCAAAACTTGGTGAATCTTGGGGATCCAAATCATTGGACAGTGCAAAGGTTGGCACTGATGGTGACGAGGAAGATGATGCTCCTATTCTTGAGCGTTTAGGCTTGAAGGGACTGCTCGTCATTCGTGCGTGTGTAAAGATGGTGTTCTACCCAGCCCAAACCTTCCGTTATCAGCATCCTCAGGACAAGGGAGAGAAGACACAAGCCATTGCTCTGGTCAAATCTCAGCTTTTAACCGACGATCTGGTTCGCGAAATTGTATCCGCTTTGGTAACTCGCTTCTTCGTCTTTAGACCAAGTGACCTTCGCATGTGGGAGGAAGAGCCCGATGAGTGGGAGAAGATGGAGGAAGGTGGCGAGGATTGGGAATTTGCAATCCGTCCTTGCGCTGAAAAGCTGTTCTTGGATCTCGCAAAGAATTTCAAAGACTTGATCATCCAGCCACTGTTGCAAGTTTTTCAGCAAGTTGCGAGTAAGTGAAGCTTTTGGCGGCGTAGAACGTCGACTAATATGATGCAGCAACGGAGAACGAAGACATACTCTTCAAGGACTCGGTATACACAGCAATCGGTCTTGCTGCAGACATTCTACTCGATCACCTAGACTTTAACGCGTTCATAACCAACACACTAGTTGCAGAAGCTCAAAAGCAGAAGCCTGGGTTCAACATCATTCGACGACGAATCGCCATCATCATTTCTCAATGGATTGCGATCAAAATTGCAGACTCACAGAAGCCGATTGTTTATCAAATCTTCCAACACCTACTGGACAAGAGCGACCCACTCAACGACCAGGTCGTGCGCGTCACCGCCGGTAGAAAGTTCTATGATGTGGCAAACGAGTGGGAGTTCAAGGCTGACAACTTCCTCCCATACGCTCCTGCCATTCTAGAAAGACTTATGGCCTTGGTCCAAGAAGTAGAACTTCCTGAGACCAAGATGGGTCTTTTGAGTACAATCAGTATCGTTGTCGAGAGGCTGGAACATCACGTAAATAATATTTGTCGCCACATTGTGAGAATTAGCTGACCTTGCTATGCAGATTACTCCGTACGCCAACAGTATCATTGCACTTCTGCCACCCCTTTGGGAACAATCCGGCGACGAACATCTTATGAAACAAGCTATTCTCACACTTCTAGCTCGCTTAACAAACGCGATGAAGGCAGAGTCTCGCTCGTTCCACGTGTCGTTCCTTCCCATCATTCAATCAGCCATTGAGCCGAATTCGGACACGCAGGTGTATCTCCTTGAGGATGCACTAGATCTATGGGCATCAATTATTGCCCAAACACCGTCCGCGCCCGAGGCTCCGCCTCCCGAGTTACTGAATCTTTTACAATACCTCATACCACTGTATTCGTTGGATAATGACACCCTCCGGAAATCGCTCGAGATCACCGAAGCGTACCTCCTTCTTTCACCATCTGCTGTCCTCGCAGACAATTTCCGTACTACTCTTCTTTCCTCATTAGCAGAGCTCATCGGCTCTCTAAAACCTGACGCGAATGGAATGGTAACTCATCTTGTTGAATGCGTAGTCCGTGGCGCAGATGGATTCGGCGGCGAAGAAGCTGTCAAGGTAGTTGTGGGTGATCTGATCTCCACCGGCTTTCTCGCAAAGCTGCTAGAAGGTCTACACGGCGCATGGGTACACCACCAGTCGCATGGTCCCAATCGCGAATTGCCCTCTCGAGCGGTCGATGGTGTCGTGGAAACCGATTACTTCACCGTGCCTGCACGGATTGGCCTCGCATCGCCTACGGTCCTGCTCCAAGCATTGCAGTCTGTATCCAACAACGAGCTTGAGAAGACCCTTGATTGGCTGTTGGAAGAATGGTTTGGCCACATGGACAACATTGGAGACTCTCCCAACCGAAAGCTGATGACATTGACGTTCACGCGGTTTTTAGAGACCGGTCAGCCCTGGATTTTGAGTAGGCTACAAAACCTCATGGTGGTCTGGACGGACGTGCTTGGAGAGTTGCTGGACGGCTGTGATGATCGCAGTGCTGAGTGAGTATTCCTTGCCTTTTCGTATCATAGGAAGAATTTTAATACTGACGCGATATAACAGTTCTCTTCATTGGCCACCAGAACCAGCGCTACAAAACAGCGAACCAGAAGCCCCAGAAGACGTCCGCAAGCGCGAACTTATCTATAGCGACCCCATCCACCGCTTCAATCTCGTCACTTACATCCAGGAGAGATTACAGAGGGCTATCCAAGAAAGTGGAGGCGAAGCAAGGTTTCAGGAGGAGTGGCTCAGTCGTGTGGACAAAGACGTCTTGAAGGGATTCTCGGAGTTGGGCATCATGTGAGGAAGGACACGCTCAGCATTTCAAGCGAATGTACCGCTACATTTTCATGGCTTGCGGGATCTGCTAGACGGTCTTCCGCTGTATGAGTGGTCGAGGAGATGCGCATATCACATTTGAGCGACGTAGACTATTCCCCGTAGATAGCTGCCACAACGTGGATAATTCAATAACTGATATTCCTTACATCTATTCTCGCTGTGTATTTCTGCAAAATTATAAGCTCTAAAACTTTAATCTATTTAACCTATAGTATATACAGTCCCCTCTATAGATTTAGTATATTTAGGAATTATTATAGAAAAATACTAAGAGCTAAAAGATATTATTATATATAGATACCTCTATAGTAGGGAGTGTTATAGGTATAACCTATAATTAGTAAATAGGTAGATATTTGACCCTTTAAACAGGCCTCTAAAGGCAGGTAAACAATACTCAGTGGTAGAAGATCGCGATGCTCATGATGCGTCCGCCCTAAGCGAATTCCAAGACATAATTGAGCGCCTATCAGCCTTCTAAGATCCTTGTTTTCTCTTCTTCTCAGTAACTACCTAATGTAGCATTTTAATGTCAACGTTAACCAGGATGGGGGGAGGCTATTCAGCCCCGTGAGATTGCGTGAGTTTGCCTTGCAGCCTTCCTTTACCGGATTCCCCCGCACCTGTACTCCCGTGACGCTTCACAACAATTCAAATTCAATAATATAAGTCAAGAACAACTCGCTCACTGGTGCCCGGCTACCATCAACGACCCAACAACCTCAGCTTCTTTTACCGTGCTCGCGTACACCTGTCGACGCAGCCGCAGCCTTGTTTCTTCAGAGACACAACCCTCTGCCGACCGCCTCTCTAACCGCCTCCGCGACAAGCCTATTCAACTCCATTGCATACTCGCGCTGGCTCCGCCAATATCTTCCCAAGGCCTGCAAAAACACCAAGTCTCGCAATAAGACCACGCACCGTCACGTGGATGTCACTCGACCATGTCCAATGATATCAGCGAACCATTTTCGGAGGACTGTATTGAGTCTCTTGCTTCCACGCTTTGCAAAGAGTGTGATCGACTCCTTCAACATGCTGCGTCCATGCGCAAGGACTGTGCCGTCGTAGAACTGAAACTAGAACGACTCTGGGGCGAAATCCGGCAAAGTGCTAAGCAGTGTCGTTTGTGCCGGTCTATTTTGCGTGAGGAGATGCCCTTTCAACCACCAGACGAAGACAGCAGCATGATTTCAATGTCCCCAAAAGACTACAATCAATCAATCTCCAGTGGGGCGGTCGGTTATTGGTTATCGGTCTTCACGAAATCGGGTTGCGGAGGAAGTCGCATAGTTCCATTCTATCCAGTTCATGAAAAGAAATCGCCAATACCACAATTCCTGACGGATTATGAATATGCTTCGAGAACAGACGCCCCTTCGGTCGCCCAATTAGTCAGACAATGGTATGACCAGTGCATCTCTAACCATACGCAATGTGATCATCCTAAGAATAAGTACCAACCACCTAGACTTCTGGAGGTTAAAAGTGATAGCTTTCGTCTGGTCATTCCAAATGAACCTGGATTAAGCTACCTGTACGCAACACTCAGCCACTGCTGGGGATCCAACAGTCACTTCCTCAAGCTCACATCAAGCAATATCGACGCTATGATGCAGTGGGCCCCAGTTGAGAACCTTCCAACGACTTTTCGGGATGCTGTACGTCTCTGTTGTCGCATAGATATCCACTACCTGTGGATCGATAGCCTCTGTATAATTCAAGAGGGAAGGAGCAGTGAAGCAGACTGGTCGGATCATGTTTCCAGGATGTCCGCAATTTATTCAAATGGCGCTCTTAATATCGCTGCCAGTTGTTCTTCCGGACCATGGGGCGGGTTACATACCTTACGAGATCCAGGGATGCTTAAACCCGCCATTATAAGAGGTGGACATGACTACGGTCTGTCTGAAGATATTTACTGGATCGGAGGTGAGAAAAACATCAACGCAGGTGTGTTGTTTTCACCTTTGAATCTCCGTGGCTGGGTGTTCCAGGAGCGGCTACTTTCCCCTCGGGTTGTTCACTTCGAATCAGAGCAAGTATTCTGGGAATGCAACAGTGGAGAAATGTGCGAAACATATCCATGCGGCGGGAATTCACGCAAGTCGCCCTATTCAAGTCTAACTAATTTCGCCCTTCCAACGTCAGCGGGGTGCAGCGGTATAGTCGAAAACTATTCTCGATGCAAGCTTTCGTTCCCAGAGAAGGGTAAGTTATAACCTCATCATGGTTTTTCAAATCTAATTAGAGCTATACTCAGATAAGCTTGCTGCCTTTGCTGGAGTTGCCCGAAAGATCTCGCAATATGATGATGACAAATATTATGCCGGCCTGTTTAAGAGCAGCCTTCCGGGAGATCTGCTTTGGCATAATGCCAATAAAATTAACAAGGTCACCGAGGCGAATAAGAAACGGCCAAATACCGGTGTTCTGCTCGATGATCGACATGACTGCCCATCTTGGAGCTGGGCCAAGATAGATGCACCAATCTGCTATACCTGTCCCGTTGGGCCGTATCTTGTAACAATACGAGATGTGCAGATGATGCCTGTGGATTCAAACAGTCACTATGGCCCTGTGAGTGGTGGGTATATGATTCTACGAGGATTTCTGCTAGATTGGGACTGGGACATGATAGCCGGAACAGAGCCTCCAAAATGCCATTTTGATACAGAGATTTTAGCTTGCATAGACCCGCAGGATCTCAGAATCCTTCCATTCGGGTTCGTCCTGGTAAACGATTCTCCTTCTAAAGCCATTATTATGATTTCTCTCATTCTACAAAAGCTGGATGGGAAGACTCAAGAGGAATACAACAGAGTTGGGTGGCTGCAATTTACCTGGGCCACAAGAGATAGAAGCCCTCTCGCCAAGTCAGAAGAAGGGGATGATGATCCAAAAGCAAATACATGGCTGTCAAAAGCTGGCGAGGAGTTTCAGGAAGAGTGGAATGCAGGAGTATACAAGCAGGACAAAGTTTACAAAAGTGATGCATGGAGGTCAAAGGCGGTCAGTGCGTTTCGGGAAGAGTTCAGAGCAAGAGGAAAAGGAGAACTGGACATTTGCATAGCCTAGCGATATGAGCCCGCAAGCCAGGGTCTCATCAATCACGACTTCATTCCCAGTACAATTTCAACAACCTATCCTAATTGAATTTTCTTCATGAGAAGCATACCACACATTCAATGAAACGCTGTAACGAACATTGTAGAGAATGATCGGGAAGTGCAGTTATAATTGATCTGTAAGATTTGTATCAGCACGATCGCCGCCTGTGCACCCAAGGGTGTTCGGCGGCGAATCCCACCTAAAAATAGGCGTTAGATGGATTATTGGAACTGACTGCAGCAATACTATGTAAATGTTTTTGTTGCATTTGAATGTAATTGCAAAACTACAGATAAAAGGATAAAATATATACCAAGCTATCCAAAACCTATATACACTACTAGAAACAAGATATAACGAATCTTTTCCATGTAGAGTTTTCTAAATCATAAACGTCGTCGCAAAATACATGCCTGGACAGATTTATGAACTGCAAATGTATGTACCCGCTGCCTATATCCCTCTGTCCATAGCAATCACAATCAACGCCCACCCCCTACGACTCTTTATCATAGTTCCTCACAAACTCCCACATCGCACGCGTAACCGCCACCCCACCCCCCTGCGTCTCCACCGAGCGTCCCCTCCCCCTCTCATTTGGGTCTCCCGAGCCCGGGGTATTCTTCTTCCCAGCCTTCCTCCCACTCTCGAAGCTCGAAAACGTCGACAGCGACGGCATTCCGAACTGGGGATCCCGCAGCAGGGACTCTGGCACGTTGCGATAGTCGAGTGCCCTGCCCTTGGGAAGTCGTGGCATCTCCCTGGGTGCTGGATCCGCATCTGTGGGAGCGGCGACGGCGCCCCACCACATGCCGAACCTACCCTGCGCGTCCCTCGTGCGCAGCGCGGCTTGCGCGTTCTTGACGACCCACGGCGCGTACTCGTTGCAGCTTGCGCGGTGCAGGGCCGCGGTCTGCCTGGACGCGGCGTGCGTTTTCCCCGGGTGGGTGGGTGTGAGCGGGAGCGGGTTGCAGAAGGCGGTTAGGTGGTGGAAGAGGATGGATTTGAAGGTTTGGCTGTCTTGGCTGCAGGTGCCGTAGGGGTCGCAGAGCTCAGTGAGGATGCCGGAGGTGCCTAGGCCAGCCCAGTCGCCTGCTCGTGTGCGTTGGGTTGGAGGGTGTGAAGTGGTTGAGGCGATTGGGGTGTCGGTCCAGCCGGTTGCGTGGATCACGTTGCGGATGAGCTCATGGCCGTCTTCCAGGTAGGCGGTATTGCCTGTGGCTTCCCAGAGGCCGCGGAGACCGGTTAGGACGACGCCTTGGTTGTAGGTGTAGACCATTTCGTTGCGGTCGTCGCATTCCGTTTTACTGTGGTTGCGGTAGTAGTCTTTGATGTGGAAGCCATCGACGTAGAGACCCTTATCGTTTGTCATACCACTATTCTTCAGCCATTCGTAGCCATTGGCTGCGTTTTGGAGATAGACGCTGTCGTAGGTCGATCGCTTGTTTTGGCTTGGACAGGCGGTTTTGGTTCGTACCTCGCTGTCGCCGTCTTGGAACCCCATGAACGGCGAGCAGTTTTCGTCGCCAGGAAAATGGAGGTACATAGAAATGCTTGCTGAAATAAACAGTTGGTTCGTAATCGCATTTTTATACGGCAACAAGCGCGGGTTCCAAGTCATTCCTCCCCCACATAGATACCAATCCCAACCCTGCTCCGCGAGCTCGTAGAAGACTCTTGCGCGATGCGCAAACGCTGGTATGAATTGACTACCATGCCAATCAGACTCGCCGTCTCCAGCCCCATTCATCGTCGCAGGGTAGTGCAGCTCTGAGTGTTCGCTTATGAATCTGATGCTGTCGAGCCAGCCTAGTACAACCCACAGCATGTCATCGTATGCTTGCATGCGGATCGAGAAGTGATCCTCCCCAAAGAAGAACGCGCTACTCTGCGCAAAGTATTTGTTGATCTGGTTCTCCACCATTTGCGCCTCGACGTCGAGTTTGCGGTTCTTGGAGAATGTCCCCGGAAGAGTATACGAGAGTGAATGCGACAGCGAGTATAGTGAAGCAGACAGATGTGTACCCATCACCGCGGCGGTCCAGTCGATTGCGTTCGTCCATGTTCCGAGCCATAGTGTGAAATATTCATTCTGTAGGGTAGACAGCGCGGAGTGGAGTTCTTGGAGGGCATTGTTCGCAGCTGATGCGCTGAACCGGAAGGACGAAGGTGGTGATTCGAGGATATGATCGCTCGGAGAGGGATTGACGGGCCGGAGAATCTGCTGCTGCTCGGATTTCAAGTGTGTATTCGGTTCGACTGTGTATGCGATTAGCGGTTGGTCGTCAAATTAAGGTTGGGAGAGGATGTCTACCGAAGGAAGGCACGTCGTCTGTATTGATGGCAGCTCCAAGTACGACGAACAATACAATAGTCGCCCAAAGTACAGCCAGCGATCGCTTGAGTAAGGCGATGCTGAACGACATCGTGAGGACTTAACCCCGCAATGGCGCAAGCTGATGATGTATGCGGTAAAAGCGAGGTGTTTCGGTCGCGTGGAGATCGAAAGCCGCTCTTCCAGAGAGCGGCAAAGTGCAATGAGCTAGGTGATGTACATGAGCGGTTTCGATCAAGGTCCAGGCGATATGTAGCTATACCAAGTTTCGACGGGCCTGCGTCCCGTGTCCGAAGGACGTCAGCTTGGAATCCATGAGGTTGTCCAAGCCCGGGGCCAAGCTCGGCTGAAGTGCCTACTTGTACTTGGTCTCTGCCCTAAAGCAACCACTTGTAATGGATGATAAACACTTAGATAGTAAGTAGTCTTAAGTTGAAAAATATACAAAAAAGGGTGTGAATTGAACAATGAGTGATTACTTGAAGAACAACATTAAATTTGTCTTATTCTAGGGCGCATCATGCTTCGACTAGACAACTAGCCAGGTACCCAGCCAGGTACCACATCAGACTACTTGTAAGTGTTCAAGGGTCCCCACACCCATCCGACAATATATGCATTTGAAATAAAAGAATTGTCAAAATTCTCTCTGTATAGTATCAAAGGGCCAAAAAAAGTGAATAGACTGGTGGCCAAATACCAGCGTATAGTGTGTCTGACTCAGACAGTTTAGAGGTAGCTATTAGTCCACACAGAAGTAAAAAAAGCAAAAAGAATGGTGAACAGAGTGGGATTCGAACCCACGCCTATTACTAGACCAGCATGAATGACATGAAACTGATATTTGGTGAGAATATCGCAAGTCACGTGACCTCCTGAAGCTGGCGCCTTAGACCGCTCGGCCATCTGTCCTGTTGCTTGATTTAGAGATTTTATCATTTGAATGAGTTATATATTGCGTAATCTGTAGCCTAAAGTTGTAAAAGAGTTCTTGAATTGCAAAAAGTAACAGAGTGTGCAGTACAGAGGCTAAGGAGCCTATTCAAAGATAAGCGAGACTAGAATAGTGGGGTAGAGTTAACCAATCAGTTTAATTAGCTAGGTAGTTTATGTTACAATCTATCTTATCCTTCCTTTAGAGTACCCTTCTAGGATCTACTGGGAGATAGGTCAGACTGTAAACAGGGCCTGTAGGACAGTTTAACAGTTGATCACTCGGATCAATCAATCAGACAATTGAGTATCACAACCAGATGAGATAGTGAATGATGATAGATCAGATGGAGAATGTACGTCCTTGCGCTGCTGCCTACCTACCTCTATGAGGACCTATCTCCCTGTCCTACTCTACTTACAATCAATTGATCCTCTGATCTATCTAATTCCTTAGGATATTGACCGTGATAAGGCCTGTCCAGGGTTAAGACAACATCTACCAACCTCCTAAGGCCTATCGATAATGATGTATCTCTACCTGTCCTCCTTATCTGCCAATTGTAGGTCGTGCCTGTCATGCTCCCTGCTATAGGCGCGTATAGTTAGAATGTATTCATCTGTAGGGTCTGCAGATAGATTAACTGAGGCAAGAATCTACAAGTGTCAGAGATGAATATATATACTTCTGACCTCTCAAGTTCTAACACACTTCAAGGCACTTCCCGAGAGAGTTTATGTATCATCGATTACCAGCCTGTTGCTGCAAATTGACAAGGTATATTTGCAACGCGCCGCAATGTATCTGACTGCAGGGAAACCTTTTGAGGATGATGATGATAGATGCTAGGTGAGGCAGTATTTGAAGAATTGCAACTACTACAGTTCAAGGATGTTTCAAGCCTCTAGATAGATAATAGCGTATGTACCTGACTACACCACCTCCTCTGTTTCAGCACTTTCAATCAAGGGGTGCTTGCTGCTTAGGATACTGGTTGGTGCAGCTGTGCGATTGCGACCGTGTACGACTGGATGTTCATTTCTGACTGATTTGTGTCTCTGAACTTGGTCCCATGCTGCAAGAAGATTCTGGTACTTATCTTCGGGCCTCTCATCTTCCGCAACAGCCATGCCATCCAGGATCTCCTTGGCTTGGTAGTTACGCCAGTATGCGTTGTTTCGAAAGGTGTAGTATTTTTCGCTGAGCCCATATAACAGCATAGGTGCTTGCATAACAAGTGCAAACGAGAGCGCAGCCTCATTGAGCCAAGGTTGTATGGGGTTTGGATGGCAAGCCCACTCATCTATCCCAACAGAGATCATAGTCGGTTCTGTGCCAGCGTCATTTGCAGTTTTGATGTATGAATTAAAGGTGAGAGGGAAAGTGCAAGCGCGCTCAGGCATTTACCTTTCACAAGAGTTCTTAGTAAGATTCCCTAGCTGATAGCTACCTGTAGTCAAAAAAGTATATAATCTAATATAATAGACTACCCCCACAGGCCAACAGCAATGCCGCCTGTACTGTGCTATTGCCAACAGAGAGGGTTACTTTAACCACCAAATGCAGCACTGGGGTGATGAGCAAAGTCCATATGTCTGTTCTATGCAGGGATGCACACGTCATTTTGTGTGTCTCTGCTACTTCTGCCTAGGCAAGTTCAAATGTAGTCCAAGATTACGAATCGACCTCCCTACTCCTCAACGACCGTACGTACACAATAAAGGCAGCGCCAAAGCTAAAGCAGGTCGCCTTAAAGCCTGTCCCAGAAACAATATCTTTGATTACTACTTCCAGGGTGTGCCTTTCTTTGGGCAAGCAAGGCTCAAGTACTGGCAGGCCTGGCATTCAGTGTAAGACTACAGCAGTAGTTGCAGCTATGGACGCACAGACAAGCAGGCTTCTCGTAGCTGCAAGCCAGGAGAAATCTACTTAAGATTATTGCCAAGAGCAGGGTTTCAAGATGCCTCTCTCCTGTCGTGCCTTCCTCTTGATGCACTATTAATCTATGTAACAGTAGATTATTAGGATTACAGTAGTCTAATTGTAAAAGTATAATAGTAGGGTTTTAGGACTACAGTAGTCTAATTATTATAGATTATAAAAAGTCTAACAGTATACTTTTTAGACTACAGGTAGTCTAAAAATATTAGAATGTGAAAAGGGCAATAGTACTCTTCTTAGACTACAGCAAAGAAAAGGTTCTAATAGAGGTTTAAAGCTCTTGCAACCAGCCTGTTTCTTTGAGTGTTTGATTGATTCCTTGTAGTCAAGGAAGAGCATGCCTCATTGAGCTGGGCATGGTATCTTCTTTACTCAATGAGGGTAAATGTTGTCGTCCCAGCTCACAGCAACCTTTCCCTTGTGGCTAGCAGTCACATGGCCTTTGAGAGCCTTCATGGATTCGAACTCTCGGGTGCATCCGTCAACACCAAAGCTGCAGAATACCTCGTCCTGTCTGCAAACACTTGCTTTATCAAGTATTTGTCTGCGGAGGGTGTACTGAATGTGTACGAATCGCCGTTGTTAATGATTGGCTTTCTTGTTCAAGAGAGCTAGCCATAGGACTCAGGATCTTGGTTGACGAAGGAGATGGGGGAACAACCCTTTCCGGGTGGGTTGCAAGTGCGAGTGATGATCCGTGTCGGCGCGAAGGCGAGAGGCGCATCAAGATCGCGGCGGATATGGACTGGAGAGACAGCCCATTCGGGGTATTGGAGGCAACAGAGATGATAGCTGGGGACAGGCTATCGGTGAAAATAGTGCCAGATTGATCGTTGGCAATGGTCCGTAAAAGGCGAATCGCATCGTCTTGAGAGAGTGCTTTGGAATGCAACAGCGAGCTTGGAACGCTTGAGGAAGCGGGTGTCTCGAGTATTGAATCATATTCTTCGTCATCGCCGGCAAGCTTCTGACGTTTGCTTGATGTTTGGTGCTCCTGCTCGTTCAGGTGAAGGGTGTTGCGTGGGGTAGCAGGTGGGCCACTGAAGGCTTCACTTGGTCTAAACCAGCTGTCGAGAGAGGTACTCTGCTTAGGGAACACCTTAGCCTTGGAAGTTGACTTCGCCATAACAATTAGAAGATGATGTGATGGTGATTGTCGCTTCGCAGAGCACAGAAATGTGGTTGTGCATTCGGTCGCGTGCTTTCCAGTTGTAGAATGTATCCAGATCGGGAAGCGACGACATCATCGACACACCAAAGCTTCGCACGAGGAAGACCCTGATGCATGACCACCGCTTACCCAGGTAGTTTGTTAGAAACGTATCAAAATGCATTCAACTTCCAGGTGACTTACAGACTGTTCCTTGCGCAGTGAAGGCATGCAACCTGAAAATCTCGTATTCCTTTGAACACTGGAAAAGTTTCATCTTCTGAACCTTGGAACACACATAATCTTTTGGAACCGACAACATCGCAGCAGTGATTATCGTAACATTGGGCGGGTGGCAGATCGTCGTGATAGCGGTTGTTGGTTTGAGGTAGGTAATTGTAGGCAGCAGCGCGAGGACCTGCATTCTCCATCTGATCTATCATTCACCATCTCATCTGATGGTGATACTCAATCGTCTGATTGATTAATCCAAGTAATCAACCGTCACAGGCTTCATTAATAGTCTGAGTTTCTTTACTCAATCTTTGGTTTGTCCACGTTAATTGTCCGAACTCATATGTTCGCGACTCATCCTGGCCTCCTTAGCTTCCATGGCTGAGGAAGATCCCTCTTTTCCGGCCGCGCTGCCTTCGGATCCATCGCCATCGCTATCTTCGGTGAAGTCGAATTGATCGCCATTGTCTCTAGCTTCCTGAGCTTTCTGCTCAATTACAGTTTGGCTAAAAGTATATGGCGCTATTTCAATAGACTTCTGCACAAGACTTTCGATTCGGACCGAACTGGGTCCAAAATCATTGTGATCAAGATCCTCGACATTGTCGAAGAATCGTAGGTGTGTTCGGATCGACCAACGAATTGAGGCTTTTGCTAGCCTATGGAGACCTATATCTGTGTATACAGACTCGTTGAAAAGCTGAACACCAGTCTTTTTCTGCTTCACCTAACTTCGTTTCGGGGAAGTCAAGCCAACTTCTATCTTTTGCTTCTTTGCCAGCGCATGTTCGGCAGAGCCTACACTCGCATTGTGATTTAGAGAGGGGAAAGTTTCGCAAGCCTCCAATACAGGTGCCGAACTGCTGCACTCTGGTGACGGTGATTTCCCCGATGACGGCGATTCCTCTGGTGATGGTGACTGCTCTGGTGACGCTGATCTCTCTGGTGAGAGTATCTGGTCCGAGCTGCTCAGTTCGGGCGTCTCCTCGGGTTTTTGATTCTGGGTAGACCCATCATCAGACCACGGCACATCTGTTGGTAAACTTTTGATCGCACTCTCCATGTGTTGTTTCAGTTGATCTTTTGAAATTGGCTGTATGGAACCAGAAGCGTCATCTGTAGTGCCTGGCACAGTCGATGCTTCTCTGAGTGGTGATGCATGTTAAAAATTTGGCGTGGTTAAGTGTCCTACGCTGCTTTGATCGAAATTTTTCTGTACAGGTGAATGTAGTTCTACTGGATCAATCTCCTGTTCGGCTTGTTCACATGGACGCATTTCGATCGAGGAGGCATTGGAGGTAACTGAGAGTTCTCCCCCAACAGGCGACTGTGGAGTGGGTGCAACTGTTCCTGGGTTCTCTGACGCAGGTTTAGTTTGTAGTTCTGCAGCTTTGCTGCAGTCCGCCTGACAAACAGTTCTTGATTCAGATGGAGTGTTCCCTAGGTCCTTTTGCTGAACTGACACATTAAAAACACTGCTAAAAATATCCAAATCGGTCCATGGGTCACGGTCCTCGTTGACCCAAGATGCCGTTGGCATCGTGCCTGGATGTTCATTGGATGCCGCACATGGCATCACAAAACTGTCGCCACTATCTTCGTTCTTTAGCCTTCGAAGAATGTCGCCCAATCTGAGCGGCTCTTGGCTTTGTATACCGAAATCGTCAATCAACAACGATTGCATCCTATCATATCTAGTCTCCATGGAGTCATCGTCGAACGCGGCAGCAACCAAGGCGTGCAGATGGCAAAGGAAAGAAGCTGTCGATCTGTTCGTAATGTTCAAATATCGATGGAATTCATCGTAGAATTGAGTTCGTGTAGTGCTAGCGGAGCTTGCAGCTAGAGTACAATCCAAGCCTAACGTGTTCGGCGAACACGCATGTATATGAAATGTCTTGCAAACACTCACACGCCGAAGGGCATGTCTTAGTGTTCATTTCAGCTTGTCCACTTCGGCATCTTTGGTCTTCTTCTTCTGATCTTCCGGATACGGTAGTATCTGGTGTATTGGTGTATTGGTGTAATCGGAGCAGAAACAGCCTGAGCCAATTCAGCTGCAAGAGACTAGTTGCGCTCTTCTAGCTCAACTTTCTCTTTAGTCTGCTGTCCGACGACGTACATCAAATCGGCGCGGGCTTTGCCGCGTTTGATATCAGCCTCCTCACCTAGAACAAAATGTGTCTCAATCTTGTCGAATGACGCTTTTATCTTTGTAATCTCGCCGCGAATGGTCGAGTCAATTTCTTCCCCTTCTATCATAGCATTGCCGAGGGAACTGATTGTCTGTTTTACGGTCTCGTCTTTGTGGGCTAATCCGGTGGTGCCTTGGTGTTGGCACTCGCCCTGAACTGCAATGTCCTGCATAATACTTAGTTCGCGTTGATAGTTACCAGTGACCATGCAATAACGTACCGATTGAAGTTCTATTGAACGGTCGTATGCTGTTTCTGGCATTCTAGCCTTGTCCTTTTGTTCAGCTATGGTGACCTTGTCTGCTTCAACAAGGTTGTTGGCTCCTCAAAACAAGACTGCCGCGGAATTTTAGTTCGGAAAAGTTCTTCGAACGAAGTTTCTGAGCTCTTGAGATTCCAAGTTCTCAGTGCAGGGTGTTGGCGAGATGCGAACAGGTTACCTTTATGTTGGCGAGATGCGAACAGAGTAACTTTGTGTTGGCGAGGTGCGAACAGAGTAACTTTGTGTTGGCGAGATGCGAACAGGTTAACTTTAAGAGGGTACAGTCAAGATTCTGAAGTAGCAAAGTGAGTGTGTGTTCGAATTGTGTGCTTTTACCTTTGCTAAAATTACTTAATCAATGCCGTCCACCCGTTTGGACAACCGTTTGGACAACCGTTTGGACAACCTCAGCGCCAAACGCCTCTACCTTCACCTTCACCTTTGCTAAACCTACCTAATTTACATTGCCCACAAATCAAGTACCGATCTCTTCTGCCTTTACCTCTACCGAACCTACCTACCTTACCTCAACTACAATTCCTGCTGCCTAGCAGCCTGCAGCACTGATTGTCTCTACCTCTTCGTCTAGTAACTCTCTTGACTAGCCCTGATTTCGCTCAACTTAGCAGAAGACTTTTCTCTCCAATCTCGATTGCTTGGTGAACTCACGTCACTTCGTGACTTCGTGGGCGTTTGACAGTTGTTAGATCCGATTGCAGTATATCGACGATCCATTGATGTGCTCTCACAGAGAACTACCACTTGAATAACGAACGCTAACAACTCCAGATATCATGGATCTCACGAAGAACTCAACCAAGAAAACCATCGGGGGCTCTTGGCTTCACCAATCGGTTAGCGCACAGTTAACTGTCAAAGAGGAAGAAGTCAATCCGAATCGTGCCTTTTATGTTTGTAAATTTATATCTTTTCTTGATAAAGTATGTATTCTGTAGGAAATCACTGTAGCTTACATTCTCTGATTATCAATATAATTGCCTCTGGAGAAGATGAACGATTGAATAACACTCTGAAGACATATATCCAAGTCACCTTGCAAACTGAGAGAGAAAGTGATACTGTAGAACCGTGTAGTCCGTCTTGAAGTTCTTCTATTCGCTATGCTTTGAGAAACTACCTGCATCCAAGTTTACCGCTCTCCTTGATGGTGCAATTTAGTACTGATATCACCCTCGATTGCAAACTGATCATGTGCCTACAGCTTATAGCGCAACAAGTGATAGCATTTGCAACACGACGATCGTAGGAGCATGAAGATCTCCGACCCCGCAGTGTTGTCGCCAACAGATATCGTGCTTCCGCCTCACTTCCCGATGCAGTAAGTTCGTCTCCCATTGGGAGGCGGTGAAGATCTCCCATGCAGCAGATTCCCATCGCCAATTAGAGACTACTGCGTGTTAGGATATAAAGCGGTGATGTCATACACCAGGGTCCGTCAGGCACGAATCGATTGCACATATTTACAATTGGGTTTCAGGTTCGGTGTGGTGTGTTCGCAACTTCAATGCTGTGAAGTCGAAAAAGAGTTGTTTCGTTAATTCTCATTATGTGTTTGTTTGTCTTGGTATTAAGGAATTTGTGCCAACAGAGATTGAGCTGAAATCCATATTCACCCCGTACGCTATGCGCTAAACGCCAGAAGTCGTGATTGTTTTTATCGATTCGTTATACAGGGGCCCTCCTCAGATGCCTCCCAAAAGAAAAAGAAGCCTGCCATCCACAGATAAAACCCGAAATTCGAAACCCAGTCATAAGATACTCCTTCAAACATCAAATCATGAACGACAACCAAAGCATCGGCTCATAAGTAATTGCGATCATCGTCCCTGCTTGGCGATGAAGTTTCCAATCTGCTTCTTCATCATCTTCCCGCCCTCGGCTTTGATCACCGGCACTGCGTACTGCAAGAACATGTCCTTGGCTTGGTCCTGCCACTTGCTGTCCTTGCGACTGGTGCCGGGCCGCTTTACGCGCCTGTCGTCGCGCTCCCGACGCTCGGGGTAACGGTCCCGGTCGTCACGACGTCGCGGCCTGTCGTAGTCGTCATAATGGTGGTCGCGACGAGGGCGCGGGTCGTCGTAAGGATCGCGAGGCCTGGGTCGCGGGTCATCGTAGGGGTCTCGTCGCGGGCGCGGATCATCGTAGGGATCTCTGCGCGGACGGTTGTGGCGGTTGTCTGAGAAGTATTCTTCGTCGCGGGGACGCTCGTAGCGACGAGGGCGGTCGTGGTAGTAGTCTGTGTCGTACTCGTCTCGGTGTCTTGGTCGTGGCGCCGCGGGGGATCTGTGACGGCGAGGTGGCCGTGGGGGTGGACTCTCTGAGTCTGAGTCTGAGTGGTAGTGCTTTGGGGGTTCGCGGTAGGTTTGACGTCTTTGTGGTCGTGGTCCTCCTGGGAGCGTTTAGTATGCGATGAATGTATGGGACGGGCATTGGTTGCTTACCTCTAGGTCGGTCGTAGTCGTCGTCCTCGTAGCGCCTGCGCCTTTGATCGCGATATGGATCTTGTGGTGGGATTTGTCTACCACCGTAGTCGTCGGTGTAGACTGGTTCGCCTGGTCATGGCTGTAAGTCCGGTGTGATCATCTAGGTGATGCCCGAAGGCGAGGGTGATACTTACGTGGATATGGAGAAGGCATGGTGTATTGAGTTGGTGGAGCTTTAGTCCAAGGTGTTCTTCAAGCTGGAGCTATGGACCCTCTTCTGCAGGTACATGAGAGAACGACGACAGGCAACTGTAGATATAACAAAAAGTGTCGTTTGACTGCCTCCGCGTTCTCACATTACCCGAACCCTGACTTGGTTTTTCGGGGGGCTGTGTCGTCATAATCCCTGCTCCGCCGTAGGTCCACATGCCCAGTCCGGAGATGCCCTACGCAGTGCATATGCAAAAACCCTTAAGAAAGGGTTTGCACGGTAAGCTCGGCGCGGGATAGTGGGCTCGCGTGGCCAGGCACTACTGGAGAAGATCACATGTGGAACATTATCATTGTGCATGAGGGTGATGCGTAACTTTGCACGGTGATGGTCACGCAAAATTGTGTGGAATGACCTGGGAGAGATCTGGGCCGCTACGGTTGAGGCGCCCCCGCGGGATCGTCCCATTAGGGGAATGACCAGCACTGCCTGATAGCCGGCTCAGGCGACAATAATGGACGGCGTGGACGGCGTGGACGGATGATTCAAAGCATGACTGGACTCGACTTGACTGGTCGGCTGTTGGGAGCCTGGCACTCCTGGGACTGATTACAGCTCGACTGGAGCTTTCTGGCGATTTCCGACAATTGTGGCGGTGTAACTGTGGCGGTGCCACAATACAAAGGGTGCATTTCAGCTGCTCAGGGAGCGTGGTGTATGATATTTTCCCGAGGGTCTGGACTCATCGAATATTGAAGTCGTTGGTGAAGTCAGAATGTCACCATCGTGTTCGGTGATGCTTTGGTTACATGTCCATCAATATGCAACAGCGCGGCGTGCGGAACGTTTTACTGATCTATTCTTGCTATATTTGCACTGATATTATACACAGTACCCCCATTATGACCTCAATATCAATAGAGCGGTGTAACAATGTGCTAGGCCTGTGGTTGCGCACTCTATCATACCTAGACAACCATGACGCTATAGTTCCCCACATGAGGGGCTAGAGACTGGTAAATCACCCTATCCTGTTGAGGTGCATTTCTATATCTTGAAGGAACTCCCATAAGTATCTTTTCGACTCTTCACAAGCTTCCATTCGAAGTAGTGTTTACCCCCATGGGTCCTTGAACACCCCTCTCACCCTTCTTATCGAACATGTGACTCGGAAGTAATCCAGCTCAGCCTTATGGAATCGGCAACTCCGTGCCGGTAGCGATTGTAGTGTTCTAGGCTTGCGCTCAGTGCTGGAACATCCTGGTCTGTCTCTATTCCCTTCGCAAAGATGCGACAGATAGAGAGATACGCTTTACAGATGTCCTGTATTGCACGCTTGTTGAACAGCATCTTACTGTCCTTATTGATAGCCTCTTCAACGAATTCAAAACCGGAGCCAGGATTGACTCTGAGTTGTAATCAATATGTATGATACAGCCCGCTCGCCATATTCGTCATGCACTCGCATAGTCGATGTTCTAGCCGTAGGCTTCATCCGCACGACGAACGACACCGGGACTCCGGATGTACCTTGCCATGCATGCAGCGTACGTTGCGGATCGCCTTTTCTAGACGAGGCCTCTTTGGTTTGCTCAGAATGATGAGGACCTCCAGAAACTTCGATATCCTTGAACACCGACCCATTACCGCCAGGACACATAGCCGGACCAGCTTGTGCTTCCTGGCTCCACCTCTTATACCACAGCCAATGCATCGTGCACTAGGCCATTGGAACTTGTGTCATCGGCGTTCGATGTTCTCTCATAGTGTTCGTTTCCATAGTCAAGTTGATGGTTGTCGCGCGATAGGGAAGGCATCAGAGCCTCGAGTACCGTACCGCCGACGTTGCCGTGAGGAGGACTGAAGACAAAATACTGGGACGGGAGAGCGGATCGCACGACAGCTTGTACTCTGGCACGATATCAGTACAATGGAAATTGTTGAGAACCCCCAATTCAATAGACACTTTACCTTTGAAACTCTGCAATGTCCCACCCGATGTATCCTGCCTTTTCGGACTTCTCGACAAGAGCATCCATCCTCTTCTCCGAAGAATCCGATCGCCCCATGTGCACACCCATCCCAGCGAACAGAAGCGCCATGCCGCCTGCCGCGCTACCACGTCCCACTATCTCAATCTAGAAAGGCAAATCAGTCTCCAAGTCCCGATTCGAGAACAGAGTAACGGGATCGACCTACGGAATGAACTTATCGATCATAATCAATACCGTCCGATCGACTCAACAAACCACGCAGTGCGACAAGCGAACTCAGAGCAAGAATGGCGACGTAGAGATAAGTCAAGGAGGAGAATTGAGGTAGAGTGGGATCCTGGTAGTGGAGCCAGCCGTCGAGTGTCATGATGACTTGCAGGAATGTCGGATCTCTGAATAATTGATCGTCGTTGTTTCTTTTTCAATTAATGACAATTGAACGCATTCAATTTTATAACAGGAGCGATTGTATGCAGAACGATGATTGACAGGGAGTAGTTTTCCAATCATTGTGACGTCGGCGGGGGTGAGGGTCTACTTAAGGACGTTAGGGTAAGTAAGCTGTTGAGTTAACTAACTAAAGCGGAAGCGCCCGGTACCGTACCTAGATGTCATGGAGGGATAAGCGTCCGGTATGTTCGTTATCCATTTGTTATTGGGTGCGTTATTGAAATGTTGGGATTTTTGGGATTCTTTGATTGGTGGTGCTCTGGAATGTAATTCTAGTTTTGATATGTAACTAGTCTCACAGCACACTTTTGATAACGGCCTATGATACCACCCATCTCTTCTTTAGATCGCTACTGTTGTAAACATTGCGAGAAGAATTTAACATTCATACTATATATTGGGAACCTTCATGTTCCCACACTCATCGCCTTGCAACGCAATCGTTCGTTGTGCTAGAGGTCCTCAATAAACAGCCTACAATCGGGCGTAGCATACAAGTTTTATGCATATTGACTAGAAAACCTCGCTTGGTGTGGGAAAGGTATCATGCATGAGCTGTGTAGTACCAGAGTGTACTATCAGATGGATCGATTGGCTTAGGTGTAGCCGGATTCTCAAAGCATGACGAAGAGAAAAAGTCTTCGATAAGTTAGGTGATAAATGATATAGGTTTTGTGCAGCAATTATTTGATTCTCTCTATGCCATAAAACCTAAATAGTAAAGTACTACAGCGTTACGCATATCGTCAAAGTCTACAGGTATAATTTCATCAATAATCACAACTTGTATAGTAGTTGGTGTTTGCCTGCTGAATGATAATTACACTAGAAAAAGCATAGACAGATATGCAAGGTACGATTGTAAATTCGTAGAGTTATATCATAATGCCAAAAGGAATGCCTGAGCATGTAGTATGTACAGCAGCTCTAGACAAATTCAGAAGATGTGATATAAGATTTACCCCCTCCTGCACTGATATATCATAATATGCTTTACTCTCCTATTGCTCGCAGGAACTGACACATTTCCTTGCCAATTATACAGTTGAAAAAAAGTAGTGTCATATTGAAGATAGCCACTAGCAGATACTATTAGGGTTCTTCAGGTCTATCTCATTAATTCTTGATAATAAATGCTTAGCTGCCTTAAAATTTGAAGTGTCTGCCTGCACTTCTGAGGCCACTTATAGAAGACCGGGTATGCAGGCCTAGAGATATTTTACTTGCTGCACTGAGAGGAAGTGTATGATATTGTTCCCGCTCTGCTTATTGTTTTCTATGTTAGTTCAAAGCTATATAAGCACATATAAAGCAGAAGTGTGTACTTAATATCTACATACGATTGGCACGTCAGGCTGCCCACCCGCGAGTTTTATGTATCTCCTCTACCTAAAGTATCTAGCTGAAAGTGCACTGTAGCCAGTAAACAGTCCTAAAACCTCGCAAATGCATGGTTGTGGGCATGAAGTAGAGAGCCATCCCGGAGTGCTAACCCTCCGTAGTTCTAAGATAGTAGTATATATAAGTCAATGGACTCCATACCGTTCGCGCTGGTTTCTGTTTGCATCATGGACACGTTCAGCTTCAGGTTCGAAAGGACAGACTTCCAAAGGACAAACCATTGACCGCCACTTTCACTTGAACGGCAGACATAGCAGTAAATGCCTTGGCGCAATCTCACTTCACTTGCTTTGGCCTGTGCGGTCTCTCTTTCGTTCTCAAGCCCACACCTTTTTATACTTAAGCCCCCGACCTTTTCTACTTAAGCTTATAACATTTTTTTTTAAACGTATAACTTCTTTTCCTTAAGTCTACACTTCTCTTTCTTAAGCTTACAGCCTTCCTTCCTTAAGCCTACGACTTGCCTTATTTAAGTCTACTACCTTTCTTTCTTGACCCATAACTCTTCTATCTATTCAAGCCTACAACCTATCTAGCTTTTCCTCAAGCCCGTAAACGTTCTGCCTCGTGCTCAAGCCGGTTATTTCCAGCTTCTTCATCAAGCCGGAAAATCTCTACTTCATTTTCTCCAGACCGGATCACGCCATCGAAACGACCTTCAAAGCCTGCCTCTGAGTAAGATACAAGATGGACAAGTACCAAAAGAGTTCATATATGGAGACGAGTGTCTCGCTGGCATTTACGATTGTGTCCGTCAATAATGGGAAAGCTACGCTGTCAAAGGGCCAGCCAACGTCGCAGCAGGTTGCCAAACACCTCGACCCGGGCCGCCGAGCATTTGATAGCCAGCCGTTACTAGGTCAATCCATAGTAAAGGAAATCCCTAAAGGTGGAATCACCCAATCTCCGATAAAACAGAAATTCCGGTACTTCATGGAGTTTGCCCTGAGAGCTGGGCTATCGGCTCTGTACGAGTACAGGTACTCCATGTACACGGAGTATCCCGGTTCCGCAAGCATGAATCCCATCAGTGCATGGTTGGACGAGGCGGAGGGAGTCACAAAGGCCTATACTGCAGTGGTGACTCTGGATATGTCTTGCAAGCGGCTTCCAAATCTCACGCCGGGAGACCGTGTACACGTTCATCTGGGAGATTCGCTTCTAGATCGTCGACCAACTTGGAGCGGAGTGATAATGCCAGCTGGACGTACTACTAATTTTGGCCAAGTCACCATCGCAATCCGGCCAGAGAATCCCGAAAACCCTCGCATTACGGATGTCAGTTTTCGCACTCGAGTCATCGTCATGGCAGAAACGGACAACAAGGACATCAATCGACAGTTCATAGCACTTCGCCATTTTCACATCTCACCAGCGGAACTCAAGTCTCCTAGCGCCAGGGTAAACCTCCTCGCGCAACATCAACTGTTTTTTCAGTGCGATGGACATGAGCGGCTCTCATCTTCTAATTTGTACGCGGCTCTAAGAGATCCTAACTCAAGCCGATTGTGCAGTTACGTCCAGAAGATACTTCTGCCCCACCAGCGCAAGGCGTTCAAGTTCTGGTGCACCGGCGGGCTGCGAGCGAACACTGCAGTCGTCGCAGGTCCGTCCGGCACTGGCAAAACCACTTTGGTGATCCACGCCATGAAACCTTTTCTGGGAAAGGTGAAGAAGCTGATCAGGGCATCTGAGAAACCAGGTGTGGAGGAATCTTCACGAGTGGAAGAGGAGGTTGAGCGTGGCCGCATAACAGCAGTTGCAGCTGCTAATGAGAGCGTCGATAAGCTTCATGAACAGCTGATGACCGAAGCTCGAGCATTCTGCGAAGAGCAAGGCCTCCCTCCTCCACTTGGATTCCGAAAACACTCGGATGTGACATTTAAGATGGCTATTCGGGCGATGCGTAATCGAGGTTTTATTACTAGCCTCGAAAAGCTATCATCTAGGGAAACAGGAGAAAGTCTACCACTCGAGGAGACTGATAGGGTGCTGGCCGAATATAAAAAGGCCATTAAAGGTAGTAAATACCCGGGTATTCAAGATGTCCGGATGAAAGATATTTTCAGCTCTGAGGCGTACTATCTCCTACAACTCGCCGGGGCCTTTGCTCCATCCCCTGAACTGCAAGCAGCATTCTCCCCGGAAGAGTTGGCCGAGAAAAGGCGAACTATCGGTAGTTTTTTGTTGAGTGTGGATTGGGAACTTCTTGAGCGTCTCCCTAAGGCCGATGAGAGACATCGGCCTGCTCGAGAAATCATCAAACTTGGTATGGAGTGCCTGGAAAGCCGTGCAGCAATCGTGACCGTCTCAGCCAGCAATGGCATGGTGCAAGAGTTCGCTGCGCAACGGAAGTCACACGTTGTATTCATCGAAGAGGCAACTCGACTGACAGACGCACAACTGACTGGGTACTGGTCACTGTATTATGATGCCTACGCAAGGTTCGTGATTGGTGATTGGCGGCAGCTTCCTCCATCTATATTTGGGCCAAAGGAACAGAACCCATTTCAAGATCAGGCTTCTTGTCCTCTTCTGAAGAGACTCAAGGACACAGACTTTCCGGTTCAGGAGCTAGACACAACACGTCGTTTTGGTAATCCAGAAACGTTGAAATTGTGCCGGCAAGCGAATGAGCTATCCGATCTTCTTGCATCTCCTGATGCATCACGCCCAAGAGAAGCTCTCGGAGTAAGGAAAGCAAACAAAGCACTGTACGACCTAGACTTTCCCGTAGTTTGTGTCGATATCTATCCCTCTGAGCCTGAAAAGGATGAGATGACGGGCTCCTGGTACTGCGAAGCATCCGCTAACGCAGTTATTCATGACATTCTCCACCGTCTGAAGGAAACACCAGGAGATTGCATTGGCTACGAGACACCTTACCGGGCGCAGCTTACACTCATGAAAAGGAAAATCGAGGACTTGGTATCCCACAAACGTCGGTCGGGGGAGCATTCCCTTGCGAACGAACTTTCAAAAGTCCTCTTGAGTACGGTTGACAGCTTTATGGGTGCCGAACGGCCCATTGTGCTGCTAGATGTTGTTATCGTTGGTCACATAATGGATCTCCCTCGCACCATCGTTGCTGCAACTAGGGCTAAGGATGGGTTCGTTATCTTCTGCAACGTCCACAGCCTTCGCCGACATGAGAGCCGGGGGAATCACCCACTGAAAGTCATCGTAGAGGGATTGGAGCTTTCTCGCCGGTTTAGATGCAATCAAGCTGTGCAAAATACTCTTGAAGAGAAGTATGGACTTCTAGGATGATCTCGAAATATTCAGAGCGTCGCATAGTCCACGTTGCGAAAAACGATGAATCATTCATCTTTGACCAAGCGAATTTCTCCAGAACGTTTGAGTTGACCTACCCAATTTTCGGCTTCTTCGGCTGCCAGTGTTTTATGGAGCAATTAGACATCTTAACAAGACCGAAGGGACTTTATTGAAGTCTCAAAAACAGATCCACGGAAAAGAAAGAATAGAGAAGAATTGTTGGCAGAACAAGATTGCTCAATGAAACCTGAAGACATGATGAACTCGAACATCTATTCATTCTTTCGTTATACGTTTTGTCTTATTCTACCAAATCTTGAAAAGAACGAACGAATTTCGAGGCGATTACTATCAGTTCAGCAACGCCATATTATTTACGAGTGATGTGCGAAAAAATGCTAGCCTTAGAACGGGTTATGGGGATCCGTCCGTGCGGGAGAAGGATGACGTGGGGTCACACAAAAGAAGCCACTCAGGATGTCATTCAAAGTTGTTGTCAATCATTAGCTCGTAAACAACACTAAACCTTTCCCTTACACTCCCGCACTTCAGTCTGCAACATGGCTACAGACCCTTTACTTGCGGTCGCCGTAGACACCAACGACCACGCAGCCGTAGATTTCCCAACAGCATCGCCGGGGCTTCCAGGCCGTCTTTGGGCCATTAGCGATCTCCACCTGTCTTACAAGACGAACCGCGAAGAGCTTCAGAAGCTTCTACCTCGACCCAATGACGGACTGATTCTATGCGGCGATATTGGCGAATCTCCAGATCACCTCCACGAAGCTTTCACGAAAGCGACAGCCTGCTTCAAGCAAGTATTCTGGGCCCCGGGAAACCACGAATTGTATACTCTACCCACACAGAGACACAGCGGCCTGCGCGGGGAGAAGAAGTATGAAGAGTGCGTTGAGATCGCTCGAGAATATGGCGTGAAGACGCCCGAGGACGACTTCGTCTTATGGCAAGGCGAGGGCGGGCCCTGTATAATCGCACCGATATTCACGCTGTACGACTACAGCTTTCGGCCGGATGATGTCAAACTAGAAGATGCTCTCGATTGGGCGCGAGAAAAGGATATTGAGGCGACCGATGAACATCTACTTCATCCAGATCCGTACTCATCACGCATAGAATGGTGCAATGCGCTGTTGGCGCGAACAGAGCACCGGCTGTCTGCAGCTGTCGCATCGAACCCCGGTGTGCAATTGATCATTGTCGGGCACTGGCCGTTGCGACATGATCTGGTGAAGCTTCCCAACGTTCCGAGATTTAGTCTTTGGTGCGGTACAAAGAAGACAACAGACTGGCACAAGAAATTCAATGCTAAAGTCGTTGTCAGCGGCCACCTGCATATCAGGAGGACGGATTGGATCGATGGCACACGATTCGAAGAGGTTAGTCTGGGCTATCCCAGGCAATGGCAGGAGTGCATGGACAGAGGATTGGATGTGAATGATCTCTTGAGAGAGATATTACCTGGCCCTGAAGAACCCCCGCTAGAACAACGCGCTACAAGATGGAGACGGTACGGATGAGGCTGTCAGGTGCAAACATAGCTCCGCTAAAGACCGTTATCGCTCGGCCAGACTTGTTGTGCCGCGCAAACCACAATGACACCTGGGAGGTAGACCGCGCTTTCATATCAATTGGCGGGTCATTCTACGCTCTACACCATATAGACAACTCCATTTCCCAACGTGGTCGTACTTTGAATCTCGTTGTACGTTCATGTACTCATCCCACTACCCAGTCTCCTTCCTACAAGGGTAACGCAAGTCAGATGGGATCGACCAATCCTCCCGTCCGCCTAAACCACGCACTGGCCGACCGCACCTGTCAACCCCAGGCCGCCCCAGACCCTTTGGTGGGAACGCATGACAACCTAATATATGAATGCCCAGGATCCGCACGAACTATTTCTCCATGCAGCATTCAACCCGATCCTGCATTAAACATGACTTGCGCATCACTGCTCGGTGCATACAAATCTGGGAACGTTCCTGGCTCGGAGCTGGTTAAATCAGGGTGTTGGCCCTGGCGTTTAGCATACAATAGGGCAGGTCGCCATAACGTCGTTGTAAACATGTCCAATTGAACTTCATGTGCGTGTCTCCACGAGCGCTGTCCTGCCTGCTAGCTCCAAGAACCCGGGCGTTCTCCTTCGCCGAGCAACCATAGCAAGAAGCTATGGACGATACTTAAATGCTTTGCTATCCTGTGTAGTTTTGGAGCCATCCTCTGTAGCACTGCGCGCAGTTCTCCAAGAGCATCCGAGTCAAGAAAAGTCAAGCACAGAAGACCTTCAGTACAAGTCTCTACAATGCACTTCAGCATCGGACAAGTAGCGTGTGGTGTTGTCGCTTTGTCGACCACCGTCACAGCTGCTCCCTTCAGCTTCCTGACTCGTCGCGCAGTCATCAACCATGATGCTGTTGTTGGATTCCCTCAGACTGTTCCCTCAGGAACAGCAGGAAACCTGTACCTCAAGTACAAGCCATGGCTCAAGGTCTTCAACGGCTGTGTTCCTTTCCCCGCCGTCAATGCCAACGGCGACACTGGGTACGTCTAACCCCTCAATCCCAAGTCCGTACGGAGAAATCGGAGAAATGAATACTCACACTTCCCCAGCGGTGGCCTCGCAACCTCCGGCGACCCAAGCGGCGGCTGTTCCTCTTCCACAGGCCAAGTCTACGTTCGCGGTGGAACCTACAACGGCGCATACGGCATCATGTACTCATGGTACATGCCCAAGGACTCGCCGTCCAGCGGGCTCGGCCACCGCCACGACTGGGAGAACGCTGTCGTCTGGCTGTCCTCGCAATCCGAGTCCGCGACCGTCCGCGGCGTCGCCATCTCCGCGCACGGCGACTACCAAAAGGTCAGCGGCCATTTCGACGGCAGCAGGCCGTTGATTGGATATATTTCCGCCTGGCCGGTCAACCATCAGCTCATCGATACGTCGGATAAGGGTGGCGAGCAGCCGCTCATTGCGTGGGAGAGCTTGACGGCTGCGGCGAGGACTGCGATTGAGAATACGAATTTCGGTGATGCGACGCCGAGTTTTAGGGATAATAACTTCCAGAGTTATCTGGAGAAGGCCTACTTCTAGAGGTTGATGTGGGATGTAATTCACGAGGGAAGAGAAAGATATCATGAGGCAATGTGTGAATGAAACGGGTATTGAAGAATCGTAATAGTTTGATTGAATGAAAAAATACTCAACACGCAGAGGAATGCGTGAACGAAATGGATATAAAGCGTGATAAAAAGCGTGCTAGATCCCTAGCGACACGAAACAAGTGACCCCCTGACCTAAATTTGCACATACATAATTGAGATTGAGCCCAACGGCAGTGGTTGTATAACAGCCGCAGTTATGGGAATGTTCCTCCTCTACATTCTTATGCCGAATAAGCTGGTGGCGCTTCATTAAAGTCATCAGGAACTGGGAGCGGCAACGGAGCACCAGGAGACAAGGTAGACGAGTCACTGTTGACACCGGTAATTCTGGGATCCTGAGCCTGTACATGTTCTCCCCTAGCCACCTTGATGAACACTTCTTGTCTTGCTATTTGCAATTCTTGTCTTGCCGTCTGCAACTCCCTGCTAGCTCGCTGTAGTTCTTCATTCCGCTCGTTCACTCTCACGGCAGCTTCGTCCATCAGTCTGTTATGAATTGTGGTGGATTTGGCGACCTGTTCTTGGTTTTGCTTAATCTGAGCGTGCATCTCCATGTCTGTGAAGATGTTGTCGAAAACGACGTCCGACCAGATTGAACCGGTGTCAATATTTATTGGCCCCAGGTTTCCAATGTCAGGCTTGACATTCCTCAGCTGGTCCTGGAGCATAACGAGTTGCGACACCAAGTTATTGGCTCGCTGCAGGGCATTGAGCTTCATCATGGAGAACAGCGTATCACCGCCAAAGAGATCTCCCCTAGAACTATTACGTGCGTCGCTCAGTTCGTTGGTGATGATCTGAAGCTTCAACTTGCATTCGTTCAATATGCGGACGACTTGACGTTCCCTCTCGAGTGCTTCTGAGAAACGAGCGCACGTCTGTTGAGCGGCAGCTACGGCGGATTCTTTGGCGTCTTCCTCGGGCATACCTGGCGTGAAACCCGCGAAGATGGAGTTGTACAGTTCGTCGAGTTCGTGCTGGAGGGTATCATGTCGTTGGGCTTGAGTCTCCACTTTGTTCCTCTCGATCTCCGCCTCGGCTCGCAATTGACGTGCATACGCAAGCCCGTCTTCCGCTGTCTTCTGTGCCATCATCGCATCGTAGTAGTCCTTCTCTTCCTTGGCGGCTTTTTCCTCGAATCGACCCTTTCTTCCGGATGCTATGTGCGCGAAACGTCGAAATGTGGACTCGGAGTACTTCTTGTGCTGTTCGAGGTCGGCTGAGGTTCGCATTTTCAGGACGTGCACCTCCTTCTCGGACTTCACAATCTGCGTGTCCAGATCAGCGATGTAGTTGATTTGCTGGTAAAGCTTTTGCGGTGCGAAGTCATTTTCAGCGAGACCGGAGAGAAGTTGGGAATTGCGTTCTGATGCGGCCTGTATCTTCTGTTCGAGCTCTGACATTGTTCGTTGATGATAAGTTTTCGTATTTGATAGGATGATATGTGTTGATACTGTTTGTCAATGGACGAAACCGATGTTTCGAAGCGGGTCTTGCGACTTATATATTGTCTCACGATGAAGATACGACTGGAAAGCTGCCTTTGGTTAGTTATATCTTAAAGAGGTTGCCTGATGACATAGTTGAGCTGCTGAACTGGCTTGGCATATTGTTGGCATTCGGCTATCATCCTCTATCATCTGGCACTGCCACATTATGCTCTGAAGCAATCAATCGATCCTTCGCATGCATGGCATGCACTCGTAGGTCATCATTGGTTCACGGGTTTCGACAATGTTGGAGGACGGAAATCCTAGAGAAGGGGAACAGCTGCGCCACAGTGCTGGGGAAGTGTGGCGTAGCTTAGTGAGCACGTGGCGGGGTCCACTAGAACATGCTTCTCCAAGAGGAAAGGCTAAAAGCTGGCAGGATCATGATCATCTCCAGGAACCCGAAGAATATTCTGGAGATAGATGTTCGGAGTCGTGGAGCAAACGATGGGGGGTACGGGCAGACTGAGAATCTATTCGTACAATAAACTGGGGAGAGCGAAAAGAGGCGGGCCGAAGCTATCCGGAAAGGGAAATCAGTGCCACCAACTGCCGCCCAGGGAAATCTCAAGCACCGCTTCCGCCCCGCATAAGACGCGTTGGCTCATAGGCAGACTCCGTGAAGAAACAATTATTGTCTACACTGTGCAGTAGTAGTCAATAAAGATTCAATTATCAAGAATTCCTGTACCTGATTGTAGCTAGTTAATAGTTTGCTCGGCTAATGTTCGGGTGGCCTTCCCCATGCATCACGACAGTGACACATGCGTAACATCCAACCTCCGGCCCTTCTTGGTATCGATACACGCTATATGGGTAGGAAAGCCTCCCACCTCCAACTGCACTTAAAAACCTGAGCTGTGTCTTGAATTTCCCTCACGCACGATTTAATTATACCCCCATTGAGTCTCTCACGCCATCATGACAGACCGCCTGCAGCAGTTCACCGAGAAGCCCCGCGTCTTCATTCTCTCCGACATTTCAAACGAACCTGACGATGCCGAGTCACTATGCAGATACCTCCTCTACTCCAATCAGTTTGATACTGAGGGTCTGGTGGCATGTACGAGCACATGGATGAAGAACAAGGTCTGCCCGCAGGACATGCACAAGATTGTCGACGCATATGCCGGAGCTGTCGACAACCTCAACAAGAATGCACATCCAGACCACCAATACCCCTCTGCGGACTTCTTTCGAAGCCTCATTCACAAGGGCGCCGAGGTATGTTTTATTTATGATCCTATAAATTCCATTGCCAACAAAATTATAGACATACGGTATGACCGCCGTGGGCGACGACATCCCTCTTTCTGAGGGCGGAAAGCTTCTCCTCCAGAGCATCGAGAAGACCTCCCGAATCCCTCTCTGGATCCTCTGCTGGGGCGGAACAAACACCCTCGCCCAGGTCCTCCTCCACATCGACACCAAGTACGAGCCGGAAGATGCTCGACGCCTCATGTCTCGAATCCGCGTCTATGCTATCTCCGACCAAGACGACACCGGCGCATGGATCCGCACAAATTTCCCCGACATCTTCTACATCGCTTCGGTACATGGCTGGAACCAGTACGGACTCGCTGCCTGGACCGGTATTTCCGGAGACAAATACTACAAGTTCGATCAGGGTGGTCCCGACTTCACCAAGATGGAAAAGCAATGGGTCAAGGATAACATCCAGATTGGTCCCCTGGGAAGCGCATACCCGAACTACATGTTCATCCCCGAAGGCGATACCCCAACCTTCCTGTACCTCATCCAGAACGGCCTGGGTGTGTCAGAAAACCCCAACTACGGCTCGTGGGGTGGACGTTACGAGCGCACAGATGCCAGCTCGGCGGGTACAAACAGCAACCATTACAGCGACGCCGTCGATTCCGTCAAGGGCAAGGACGGCAAATCATACACCTCAAACCACGCCACCATCTGGCGATGGCGAGACGCTTTCCAGAACGACTTCGCCGCAAGGATACAATGGACCATGGAGCCCGACCTAGCGAAGACGAACCACCACCCCATCATCAACATCAATGGCGCAAAGGACCTCGCACCCCTTCGCATCTCCGCCGAAGCTGGCAGCACAATCACGCTCGACGCTACATGGACCTACGACCCAGATGGTGACAACCTCACCTTCAAGTGGTGGCACTACAAGGAGCCCACTGCCACCCAATGGTGGTGCGACGCCGAGGTTGCCGATCTCGTCATCAAGAAGCTCGATGACGAGGGCCGAAAGGTCGAAGTCACGCTCCCGCCCCCCGACAAATGCGCCGTCGAGCTGATGAGCCGAAAGCCTGTCGCGACGGGTCAACTGTTGCACTTGATCTTGGAGGTTACCGACGATGGCGGCCCACCATTGACCAGCTACCGCAGAGTGTTGATCCAGGCTACCAACCCTAAGTTGCTTGGTGGTGGACAGGGAGGCGATGCTATCCAGGAGGTTATGGATTTCGCTGCTACCCAGGGCGCTTGATGATATGATATTTATGATGATATCTAGACGATTGAGAAAAATACTTCTAAATGAAAATATAGTTCAATAACCAAAATTTCCCAGCACGTGAAGTTACAATTAGCCTAGACTGCGACGTTAAAGTAATTTGATAGCCAGCGATGCGAACACCCCTGAACAGCCTTCAAAATATAATGTTCTAACGAATGCCTAAGACGCGTTAATTTGTGCCTGGATGACCTGTAGTCTAGTAGATCTTTCTCTGTTCCTCATTCGCGCTAAGTCTCTTGAAAACCTTGACCAAGTTTATTGGACAGCGTTGCGTAGGGCCAGCTCTAAGTTCCCTCTGTTCAATGAGTCGGTAGGTACCTAGCGCAGTCCCCATAACTGATCCATGAATAATCTCATAATTCTAGGACATCACAGTGGTAGCAGTAAGATGATTGATCATAGGAGTAATATTAGCTTTTGAGGCTTTTCACCCGTTTGCTACGCCTTTGAGTAGGCTTTTATTTCCCCCTCTCCACAACACGATGTCTAATCCTGACGGTCATATACAGCATCTCTCATCCAACACCAAATAACTATACACAGAGAATATAAAAAGTACAGCTAAGAGCTTTTTGGGGGTATCTTCCAATCTAGTATCCACTCTTCTCGTCCTTGACAGCCTCGCCCATGGCCTGGGCGTCGGTCTTGTAGCTCTTGAATTTCCTGGCGGGGATCTTCTTGATGAACATCTCGTCGAGCTCCTCGTAGGTGCGGCCGGCAGTCTCGGGCTGGTAGAACCACAGGTAAACGAGACAGATACAGCTGAGACCGCCGAAAATGAAACCAAGACGGCCGCCGAGGTTGAGCTTGTCGGGGTTGAA